ATTTATATAAAAGAAACTGGCACTGGTACACAACAAGTTATTGCATCGTTGTATTTTTACATACAGTAATCTCTCCCACAGGTGACTTTTTAAACTCATGCAAACAGCTATTTTGACTGAGCTTAGTGAGAAAAGTTTGGCTGCGTCCAACAAAAAAACACACATACTTTCACTGCTTTTAATGCTGAGTTTGTACAGCAGCAGTGATCGCAGCATGTTACAATCATGTTGAAATGAAGCAGTGCAAATCACAGAACAGTGCAGGGCTATTAAACCATAAAAATAAACACATGAATCCTTACCAAACTGCTGTCATTAATGTTTGATAGTATTCTGAAACTGGTTTAATAGTTTGAAACCATGCAAAAATAGCCCACATTTTATATAGCATTAACATTATATACACCTATCAGTTAGTGACCCAGTATTAAAATGTCCAAGTTCATAAGGAGGTACAGACCTAAAAAAAACAACAACACAGAGACCAAAGGATCAAAGTTTGGACCAAACTAACTCTGAACTTGTTTTGACCTCTTTAGTGGTTACAAAGTTCAGTGTGGATCTGGCGATCTAAGACATTTTGCTGAAAGCTGCTCATCACAGTCATTTTCCTCCTTTGAAACATAGTTTTTCAGTCTATAGCATGCATTTACAGCTGTGGTAAGGACAGCAGGTTAGAGTTAAGACTTGGTGGTGCAGAGTCTTCTGAGTGTTTACAGCAGAAATGGTATAAATAGTGAGCTGTGATTCATGTTCACTTGTGCTTTAGAGAAACTGAGGAATAAACTAAGCTCATGTCACTTGTGCTCAGTGATTAATCACTGTGCTTTTTTAAATTTAAAAAGTTATGACCAAACTAAAAGTAGATCTGATGTTATAAAATCACTTTTAAGGCCACGAGAACAGAGCACAAAGTCTGAAGAGCTGCCGCCTATACAGAGGTCCAACTGTTGATAATAACAGTTTAAAACCCCACCTCAGTGCACCTACAACAACTAAATAAGCAACTACAAAGATGCTGGTTAGTTTATTTGAAAGTTTACATGTTTTCTGTGGTGAAATGATTCATACTGAGCAATCTGAGTGTGCGTGTGTGTGTGTGTGCATGTGTGCTGCAGCTTTACTCTACTTACTAAGCAGAGGGGAGAGTAATGTTTTTAGAGCTCAGATGCAAACATCAGATTTTTTTCCTTGTATGATGATGAATTTACCAGGTTGAGGATGGTATGAAAGAAGCTCAGAAATACAGTTTAAATAACAGTTGAAATGTCCTGATTTCAACTTTTAGATCCGAGCTAATCTGGAGTTTTTCTTCAATGATCAGGGAACAGCAGTTAGTTTGTTCAGTTTCAAAGCATACTGGATTGACCCCTCCTTCCCTCCACAAGCTGACGCTATTAAAACTGGTTATTAATTAAACAAAGAATATTAACCAAACATAAATTTGAACCAAATGCCATGGTTATGACATTATAAGATCAGAAAGGTTTAATTATGCAAAACATCTTTAAACCTTTATTGTGCAATAAAGGATAAGTCATGTAATATAAAAAATATATATATTGCTTTATCTATTTGTCTTTTTTATGTGAAGCATTTCATGATTGAATATTAAATTTTTAGGCCTTGCTGTTTACAAAGCCACAGTGTTATATAAAGTAAAGAAAGAAACAATTAACTCTGACAGTGATCATAATTATGATGGAAAGAAACAAATATAATTAGCATACATTAATTTAACCCTCAGTACAGAAAGCATCAGGTGATGGGGACAGACTTTCAAATCTCCATTCACGATGGCAGAAACTGAATACATGAATGAAGCTTTTTATGATTTTACAGTTTTTATCAAATGACCTGAGCACTGCTCTCATTTCAGGCTTCAAATATCATGGTAGACTTTAATAAGCTGACTGTGAACATGTCTATAAATACAGTATGCTCAATCCCTTTAAAACCTGCCATTGTACAGATTGTGATGATGAGCCTGATAATAGATGTTACCCATCAGCTACATGACCGAAAACATGACTCAGGTAAAATCTAAACTCATAGAGGAGAGGACTGACATGGTCTCTGAGTCTGAAAGTGTTTGAAAACTGCACTCATTTAAAAGTCCAGAACTCCTAAGTCCAAATGCAGACTGACAACTTCTGACTTGATTCAAGACTTAAGTAAACACTTTCCTTATTAGTCCAGTGTTTTTATGAAGAGCTTTAATTGGTCTTTATGCTGTCCATTTCATAATCAAAGGTTAAAAATTAAATTCAGGTTCTTGCTACATGAATAAACTGCTCCCTCTCTGACTTGAAAAACTGCTTTTAGTTGACAGTCCAGGACAGTCTGAGGAGTCTGCTCATTATTCTTAGAGCAGTACACATTTGGAAAAAGCCTGTTTTTGCTGAACAAAGTCAGGCTGAATCACATCTTGAATTTGCCCTTCGTTCAGTTATGGTTACAATTTAGCTCAAACAGCAAAACTAAAAGTGAAGGCAGGTTGGTGATGATCAAGCCGAAGGGTTTCCAGTGTAAGACTAAATTAACTGTAGCTACATCCTGTCCTCTGTCCTGTCTCAGACTTCTGTAAGAAGTTGAGATAAGCCAAGTTTGAACAGCTTTGGAAATTTAAGAGGCAGGTTGTCTTGAATTTTCCTGTAAATTTCCAGAGTGCATATGTGAAGAGAGCTTCTGAGAAGTGCGGTCTCAGAAAGAGGTAACTGCATGCAATCCAAAAAGAAAACAAATATTGGTACAGCACTGAAAAATCCTATTCCCTCACCCAAAGAAAAGAAAAGCTGTGTAAACCACGTTCAGAACAATGACAGTATATCCAGCATGTGAATATGTAAACAAAAATACTATGAATAAGTGCTTTTGGTCAGCTCTGTTCTGGGATATGAAACTTTGTTGGGTTTGCAGTCACTCACTCACAGCATTGATCACATTGTAGAGCACATTTTAGTGGAGCTTGTCTCTGCATTTGCTTTCTGCCGGACACTCTCTGAAAGGTTAAAAGAATAACAACAGACGTTTGCTTGTTACATGTGCATGTACATATCACACCACATAAACACACTATCTTACAGTTTTTATCAATTAGGAAATGACTGAGCAGAAAGTGATGGTCACATACTAAAAAAAGGAAAATCTCTGAAACTACTAAATGATCCAGGAGCCCTGGAAGACCCAGTAAAGTCAGAGAGGGGTGCAGCTCAGTCTCACACAGTGGATCAAAGAAAGACCAAACTCTATCGCTAAGCAACTGAAGAAAATGCTGATAGAAAATGCTTTTTTTTAAACCCTGCATCATGATGCAGAGTTTTTTTTTTAGATGTGATAGCCAGTATCATAAAGGCACTACTTACAGCGAAGATCTGTGTGCTCACCTGCCAAGTCTGTCCGTGAGATTTCAACCAGCCCCTCATAGAGGCCTTTGATCGGGTTTTCCCCTGCTACCGCCACTCCATGAAACCAGATCAACAGCATCCTGTGACCGTGCTCTTTGAAGCTTTTTGTACCTGAGAGTTTAAATCAGAGTGAAAACACATATTAGTATTTATCTTAGGTCCTAATCAAGATGAGAAAATCTGAAAACCAGCCAACTTGCACTGTAGTCTGCACTCTGTGAAACACTGCTTTGTTATTCTGGGTTAGTGAAAGCAGCCTGGGATCAGTCAGGGTTTTTTTAAGAAAACAATCAAAACTAGGGCCCCGTTGGGGCACTGGCGGGCCCGAGCCGTGTCGCGCCGCCCCCCCCCCAACGCGCTGCCTCCCCGTCCCATTCGTGTCCTCTGGCCATCGCCCTCTCTGGTAACGCCCATCACTGCAAAGACCCTTTTCCTTCATCGGCGTTTGCTGTTCTTCCTGCCAGTGCGTGTTGCTTTCACTTACACTTGCCACAGCCAGCCTCGTGAGTGCCTAGCCTATTGGATATCACTGTCATCTACACAGGACAGTCATTACCTTTCTATTAATACTTTGTTTTTTAATTTCACATTAATTTCCATATTGTATGAATGACTGGAAAAAACTTGAGCCCCTGCCCCTGTATAATCATGTGCACGTCCCTGTTCTAGCTCCAAGGTGAATCTTCACTGCTCATGTTCTCCTCAGAAATAGTCACCTCACTCCCCTCAGGTTACTGTACACATGCACCAACTATCTGCTTCAGGTTTGGATGGAGCTTCATGGTTGTCTTTTGGAGAAATGAACAGTCAAGTTGTGTTTGAAATTTGATTTTTTTCAGGGGCAAAAGGAAGCCTCTGCATTCTTGTCAAATATGTAAACAGCATGTTTTTGCAGGTGCTAAAAAACAGACTCTGAGTGTGTGTGTGTGTGTGTGTGTGTGTTGGCGTGTGTGTATATGTGTGTGTATCCTGCAGTACTCTGTACTCCTGCAGTGGCCAAAAAGACTTTTAAGAATGTGGATTTTTGGGTCATCTTTGGCGCCCCCTAGAACTGCAGTACTCTGTACTCCTGCAGTGGCCAAAATGACTTTTAAGAATGTGGATTTTTGGGTCATCTTTGGCGCCCCCTAGAACTGCAGTACTCTGTACTCCTGCAGTGGCCAAAATGACTTTTAAGAATGTGGATTTTTGGGTCATCTTTGGCGCCCCCTAGAACGTAAACCGTGGGGTGCAGCGTCATGATTTTTACAACTTTGAATGGGCATGGGGTGTAGATTGCCCTGAGCAAATTTGGTATCAGTGGGACGAAAGCCTTAGGAGGAGATAGCCACATTCCAATGTGTGCGAATCGGCAAAAAATGCGAAATAGCCCTTTAACCGTACATTATACAGATACGCGCTCTTTGACTTTTTCGTAGAGCTAATTGAGATACACATGATTGTCAATTTTTGTGTCAATATGACAAAGCGTTCAGGCGTGACACTCAACAATGTGTATTTTCATGTAAGGGGTCAAGAAAAAATTGACTTTTTTCTCCTGCCATGGGGGGGCGCTCTTTTGGGGAGTAAAAATTCCTTCACAAATGTGTTGATGGCTGGACATTGCATCATCCTAGAAAACTTGGAGGCCAGTGAGGACAAAAATAAAAAGTTATAAGACTTTTAAGAATGTGGATTTTTGGGTTATCTTTGGCGCCCCCTAGAACCTAAACCGTGGGGTGCAGCGTCATGATTTGTACAACTTTGAATGGCCATGGGGTGTAGACTGGCCTGAGCAAATGTGGTGCCGGTGGAACGAAAGCCTTCGGAGGAGTTAGCGAAATTCCAATGTGTGCGGATCGGCAAAAAATGCGAAATAACCCTTTAACCGTACATTTGACAGATACGCCCGCACTGACTTTTTTGTAGATCTTATTGAGATACATATGTGTGTCAATTTTTGTGTCAATATGACAAAACGTACAGACGTGACAGTCAATAGTGTGAATTTCCACCTTAGGGGGCGCTATGGAGCCATTTTGCATTTTATTGTTTGGGCGACTTCAGAATATCGAATTTTTCACCAGGCCCGGTCGTCCTGCCAAATTTCATGAGTTTTCGCCAGTGGGAAGTGGGCCATTTTCCAGTTTAAAGCGGAGGAAAAATAATAATAACTAGGGCCCCGTTGGGGCACTGGCGGGCCCGAGCTGTGTCGCGCTGCCCCCCCCAACGCGCTGCCTCCCCGTCCCATTCGCGTCCTCTGGCCATTGTCCTCTCTGGTAACGCCCATCACTGCAAAGACCCTTTCCTTCATTGGCGTTTGCTGTTCTTCCTGCCAGTGCGTGTTGCTTTCACTTACACTTGCCACAGCCAGCCTCGTGAGTGCCTAGCCTATTGGATATCACTGTCATCTACACAGGACAGTCATAACCTTTCTATTAATACTTTGTTTTTTAATTTCACATTAATTTCCATATTGTATAAATGACTGGAAAAAACTTGAGCCCCTGCCCCTGTATAATCATGTGCACGTCCCTGTTCTAGCTCCAAGGTGAATCTTCACTGCTCATGTTCTCCTCAGAAATAGTCACCTCACTCCCCTCAGGTTACTGTACACATGCACCAACTATCTGCTTCAGGTTTGGATGGAGCTTCATGGTTGTCTTTTGGAGAAATGAACAGTCAAGTTGTGTTTGAAATTTGATTCTTTTCAGGGGCAAAAGGAAGCCTCTGCATTCTTGTCAAATATGTAAACAGCATGTTTTTGCAGGTGCTAAAAAACAGACTCTGAGTGTGTGTGTGTGTGTGTGTGTGTGTGTGTGTGTGTGTGTGTGTCTGTGTGTGTGTGTATATATGTGTGTGTATCCTGCAGTACTCTGTACTCCTGCAGTGGCCAAAAAGACTTTTAAGAATGTGGATTTTTGGGTCATCTTTGGCGCCCCCTAGAACTGCAGTACTCTGTACTCCTGCAGTGGCCAAAATGACTTTTAAGAATGTGGATTTTTGGGTCATCTTTGGCGCCCCCTAGAACGTAAACCGTGGGGTGCAGCGTCATGATTTTTACAACTTTGAATGGGCATGGGGTGTAGATTGCCCTGAGCAAATTTGGTATCAGTGGGACGAAAGCCTTAGGAGGAGATAGCCACATTCCAATGTGTGCGAATCGGCAAAAAATGCGAAATAGCCCTTTAACCGTACATTTGACAGATACGCGCGCATTGACTTTTTCGTAGATCTAATTGAGATACACATGATTGTCAATTTTTGTGTCAATATGACAAAGCGTTCAGGCGTGACACTCAACAATGTGTATTTTCATGTAAGGGGACAAGAAAAAATTGACTTTTTTTTCCTGCCATGGGGGGGCGCTCTTTTGGGGAGTAAAAATTCCTTCACAAATGTGTTGATGGCTGGACATTGCATCATCCTAGAAAACTTGGAGGCCAGTGAGGACAAAAATAAAAAGTTATAAGACTTTTAAGAATGTGGATTTTTGGGTTATCTTTGGCGCCCCCTAGAACCTAAACCGTGGGGTGCAGCGTCATGATTTGTACAACTTTTAATGGCCATGGGGTGTAGACTGGCCTGAGCAAATGTGGTGCCGGTGGAACGAAAGCCTTCGGAGGAGTTAGCGAAATTCCAATGTGTGCAGATCGGCAAAAAATGCGAAATAACCCTTTAACCGTACATTTGACAGATACGCCCGCACTGACTTTTTTGTAGATCTTATTGAGATACATATGTGTGTCAATTTTTGTGTCAATATGACAAAACGTACAGACGTGACAGTCAATAGTGTGAATTTCCACCTTAGGGGGCGCTATGGAGCCATTTTGCATTTTATTGTTTGGGCGACTTCAGAATATCGAATTTTTCACCAGGCCCGGTCGTCCTGCCAAATTTCATGAGTTTTCGCCAGTGGGAAGTGGGCCATTTTCCAGTTTAAAGCGGAGGAAAAATAATAATAATAATAATAACAAAAGAAGAATCCATCAGGAACAAGAGGGCTCTCGCAGCTGCTTAGCAGCTACGCTCGGGCCCTAATAACTAGGACCCCGTTGGGGCACTGGCGGGCCCGAGCCGTGTCGCGTCCCCCCCCCCCCCCCCCAACGTGCTGCCTCCCCGTCCCATTTGTGTCCTCTGACCATCGCCCTCTCTGGTAACGCCCATCGCTGCAAAGACCCTTTTCCTTCATCGGCGTTTGCTGCTCTTCCTGCCAGTGCGTGTTGCTTTCACTTACACTTGCCACAGCCAGCCTCGTGAGTGCCTAGCCTATTGGATATCACTGTCACCTACACAGGACAGTCATTACCTTTCTATTAATACTTTGTGTTTTAATTTCACATTAATTTCCATATTGTATAAACGACTGGAAAAAACTTGAGCCCCTGCCCCTGTATAATCATGTGCATGTCTCTGTTCTAGCTCCAAGGTGAATCTTCACTGCTCATGTTCTCCTCAGAAGCACTCACCTCACTCCCCTCAGGTTACTGTACACATGCACCAACTGCCTGCTTCAGGTTTGGATGGAGCTTCATGGTTGTCTTTTGGAGAAATGAGCAGTCAAGTTGTGTTTGAAATTTGATTTTTTTCAGGGGCAAAAGGAGCCTCTGCATTCTTGTCAAATATGTAAATAGCATGTTTTTGCAGGTGCTAAAAACCAGACTCTGAGTGTGTGTGTGTGTGTGTGTGTGTGTGTGTGTGTGTGTGTGTGTGTGTGTGTGTGTGTGTGTGTGTGTGTGTGTGTGTGCGTGTGTGTGTGTCTATGTGTGCGTTCAAATCACATGACATATTTAACCGGATGTAGCTGCAAGACGGAGCCTCGTTGACTCTCCGTTTCAACTTATCTCAAAAGTGAGGACCTCAACCTATATACCAGTTTTTAAATTGTGTTGATAGGCCAAATAAAACCAGAGTTATGATAAATTATGTCCGCGATACTTTTTTTCTGCTTATTTTGATCACGTTCGGCGCTCGATCGCGCTGTATGAGACAGGAAAACATAGCATGCAGACATTAGCGACAGGTCTTACAGGCGGAAAAGGCTTGCCAAAGGAAAAAAAAAACACACCACAACATCTCTCCTATTGGTGGAAAACTTCACCACAACAACCAATCCAAAATTATATGGTGACTGATTGACAAGGGGCGGGCGCTTACGTTCTTCCTGCAACATGAGAAGGGAGGGAGGGACTCTCAGCAGGGATGCAGTCTGGGACACGTAGTTGCAAACCTAGCGACTTTGTTGTTAGATTCAATGACTTTTCAGACCCCCTAACGACTTTTTTTTAGAAAGAAAGGGACTTTTATCGACTTCTTCTGGAGTTTAGAGACTCTGACATGAAGCAGGCTTTCCTTACTGAGGAGTTAGCAACGCTGCTAAGGGTGCAGAGCCACACATGCACTCAGAGCTCTGCATGGGAGACTGAAGCTGACAGAGCTGCAGCAGTTAGCAGGTTTCACCCTCAGAGACCACCAGGGGTTCATGTTGAGGCATTTTAATTTTTTTTTTTTTGTGCCATAGACACTGTCAGCACAATCTGCAGTTACACTAACAAAAATGCTGCAAAAAACAAAGAATTATGGAAAAATTACACATGGACTGACATAGAGGAGGATCTACACAAGTTTTTTACATCATGTTTTACATCATGCATCATTTACATCATGTTTTTTTGTAGTGGCATAAATAAAAAGTGACATTTGTGAGACTATACAGTGTTTTGTAAATAATTTTACAAAGAACGCCTGGGCCATTGCCTGCATTTTGATGTAAATAGAGGTAAATTACTATGTTCTTTGTTAAAAATTTGCATATGTTTTGAAGTTTACAATTTTTATTTGAAGTTTAAGTTTTAAAAACAGTTCATCACACATATTTGTGGTTTAATTTCACATTAATTTCCATATTGTATAAATGACTGGAAAAAACTTGAGCCCCTGCCCCTGTATAATCATGTGCACGTCCCTGTTCTAGCTCCAAGGTGAATCTTCACTGCTCATGTTCTCCTCAGAAATAGTCACCTCACTCCCCTCAGGTTACTGTACACATGCACCAACTATCTGCTTCAGGTTTGAAATGGAGCTTCATGGTTGTCTTTTGGAGAAATGAACAGTCAAGTTGTGTTTGAAATTTGATTTTTTTCAGGGGCAAAAGGAAGCCTCTGCATTCTTGTCAAATATGTAAACAGCATGTTTTTGCAGGTGCTAAAAAACAGACTCTGAGTGTGTGTGTGTGTCTGTGTGTGTGTGTGTGTGTGTGTGTGTGTGTGTATGTTGGCGTGTGTGTATATGTGTGTGTATCCTGCAGTACTCTGTACTCCTGCAGTGGCCAAAAAGACTTTTAAGAATGTGGATTTTTGGGTCATCTTTGGCGCCCCCTAGAACTGCAGTACTCTGTACTCCTGCAGTGGCCAAAATGACTTTTAAGAATGTGGATTTTTGGGTCATCTTTGGCGCCCCCTAGAACGTAAACCGTGGGGTGCAGCGTCATGATTTTTACAACTTTGAATGGGCATGGGGTGTAGATTGCCCTGAGCAAATTTGGTATCGGTGGGACGAAAGCCTTAGGAGGAGATAGCCACATTCCAATGTGTGCGAATCGGCAAAAAATGCAAAATAGCCCTTTAACCGTACATTATACAGATACGCGCTCTTTGACTTTTTCGTAGATCTAATTGAGATACACATGATTGTCAATTTTTGTGTCAATATGACAAAGCGTTCAGGCGTGACACTCAACAATGTGTATTTTTATGTAAGGGGACAAGAAAAAATTGACTTTTTTCTCCTACCATGGGGGGCGCTCTTTTGGGGAGTAAAAATTCCTTCACAAATGTGTTGATGGCTGGACATTGCATCATCCTAGAAAACTTGGAGGCCAGTGAGGACAAAAATAAAAAGTTATAAAACATTTAAGAATGTGGATTTTTGGGTTATTTTTGGCGCCCCCTAGAACCTAAACCATGGGGTGCAGCATCATGATTTGAATAACTTTTAATGGCCATGGGGTGTAGATTGGCCTGAGCAAATGTGGTGCCGGTGGAACGAAAGCCTTCGGAGGAGTTAGCGAAATTCCAATGTGTGCGTATCGGCAAAAAATGCGGAATAACCCTTTAACTGTACATTTGACAGATACGCGCGCATGGACTTTTTTGTAGATCTTATTGAGTTACATGTGTGTGTCAATTTTTGTGTCATTTTGACAAAGCGTATAGGCGTGACACTCAACAATGTGTATTTTCACCTTAGGGGACAAGAAAAAATGGACTTTTTTCTCCTGCCATGGGGGGGCGCTCTTTTGGGGAGTAAAAATTCCTTCACAAATGTGTTGATGGCTGGACATTGCATCATCCTAGAAAACTTGGAGGCCAGTGAGGACAAAAATAAAAAGTTATAAGACTTTTAAATATGTGGATTTTAGTGTTATCTTTGGCGCCCCCTAGAACCTAAACCTTGGGGTGCAGCGTCATGATTTTGATAACTTTTAATGGCCACGGGGTGTAGATTGGCCTGAGCAAATGTGGTGCCGGTGGAACGAAAGCCTTCGGAGGAGTTAGCGAAATTCCAATGTGTGCGGATCGGCAAAAAATGCGAAATAACCCTTTAACCGTAATTTTGACAGATACGGCCGAACTGACTTTTTTGTAGATCTTATTGAGATACATGTGTGTGTCAATTTTTGTGTCAATATGACAAAGCGTACAGGCGTGACAGGCAATAGTGTGAATTTCCACCTTAGGGGGCGCTATGGAGCCATTTTGCATTTTATTGTTTTGGCGACTTCAGAATATCGAATTTTTCACCAGGCCCGGTCGTCCTGCCAAATGTCATGAGTTTTCGCCAGTGGGAAGTGGGCCATTTTCCAGTTCAAAGGGGAGGAAAAAGAAAAAACTAGGACCCCGTTGGGGCACTGGCGGGCCCGAGCCGCGTCGCGCCGCCCCCAGCGCGACCGCCTCCCCCTCCCGATCGCGTCACACTCAAGGTCCAAAGATGGTGTGCGCACTTGTCTGTGGTCATTTCCCATTATAATGAATGGGAGGCGCAGTTTCTACCAAAACACTCGCTGCAGACAAACTTCATGTCCTATTTGAAAAAAGTCTGGACCATGAGTGAGGGCACAAACACAGCTATGATATATCGAAATGGCGGGTTGCTCCTCCTTACGGTGTTGCCTGGAGAGCGATGCGATTGAGCCATTGAGCGATGGGCAGGGTTAACTTGACTTTTTCTCCTGCCTTGGGGGGGGGGGGGGGGTGGATTCCTTTAAGAATGTGGATTTTTGGGTCATCTTTGGCGCCCCCTAGAACGTAAACCGTGGGGTGCAGCGTCATGATTTTTACAACTTTGAATGGCCATGGGGTGTAGATTGGCCTGAGCAAATTTGGTGTCAGTGGGACGAAAGCCTTAGGAGGAGTTAGCCACATTCCAATGTGTGCGAATCGGCAAAAAATGCAAAATAGCCCTTTAACTGTACATTTGACAGATACGCGCGCATTGACTTTTTTGTAGATCTTATTGAGATACATATGTGTGTCAATTTTTGTGTCAATATGATAAAGCGTACAGGCGTGACAGTCAATAGTGTGAATTTCCACCTTAGGGGACAAGAAAAAATTGACTTTTTTCTCCTGCCATGGGGGGGCGCTCTTTTGGGGAGTAAAAATTCCTTCACAAATGTGTTGATGGCTGGACATTGCATCATCCTAGAAAACTTGGAGGCCAGTGAGGACAAAAATAAAAAGTTATAAGACTTTTAAATATGTGGATTTTAGGGTTATCTTTGGCGCCCCCTAGAACCTAAACTGTGGGGTGCAGCGTCATGATTTGAATAACTTTTAATGGCCACGGGGTGTAGATTGGCCTGAGCAAATGTGGTGCCGGTGGAACGAAAGCCTTCGGAGGAGTTAGCGAAATTCCAATGTGTGCGGATCGGCAAAAAATGCAAAATAGCCCTTTAACTGTACATTTGACAGATACGCGCGCATTGACTTTTTTGTAGATCTTATTGAGATACATATGTGTGTCAATTTTTGTGTCAATATGATAAAGCGTACAGGCGTGACAGTCAATAGTGTGAATTTCCACCTTAGGGGACAAGAAAAAATTGACTTTTTTCTCCTGCCATGGGGGGGCGCTCTTTTGGGGAGTAAAAATTCCTTCACAAATGTGTTGATGGCTGGACATTGCATCATCCTAGAAAACTTGGAGGCCAGTGAGGACAAAAATAAAAAGTTATAAGACTTTTAAATATGTGGATTTTAGGGTTATCTTTGGCGCCCCCTAGAACCTAAACTGTGGGGTGCAGCGTCATGATTTGAATAACTTTTAATGGCCACGGGGTGTAGATTGGCCTGAGCAAATGTGGTGCCGGTGGAACGAAAGCCTTCGGAGGAGTTAGCGAAATTCCAATGTGTGCGGATCGGCAAAAAATGCGAAATAACCCTTTAACCGTACATTTGACAGATACGCCCGCACTGACTTTTTTGTAGATCTTATTGAGATACATGTGTGTGTCAATTTTTGTGTCATTTTGACAAAGCGTACACGCGTGACAGTCAATAGTGTGAATTTTCACCTTAGGGGGCGCTATGGAGCCATTTTGCATTTTATTGTTTGGGCGACTTCGGAATATCAAATTTTTCACCAGGCCCGGTCGTCCTGCCAAATTTCATGAGTTTTCGCCAGTGGGAAGTGGGCCATTTTCCAGTTCAAAGGGGAGGAAAAATAATAACTAGGGCCCCCGGTGGGGCACTGTCGGGCCCGAGCCGCGTCACGCCGCCCCCAGCGCGACCGCCTCCACCTCCCGATCGCGTCACACTCTAGGTCCAAAGATGGAGTGCGCACTTGTCTGTGGTCATTTACCATTATAATGAATGGGAGGCGCAGTTTCTACCAAAACACTCGCTGCAGACAAACTACATGTCCTATTTGAAAAAAGTCTGGACCATGAGTGAGGGCACAAACACAGCTAGGATATATCCAAATGGCAAGTTGCTCCTCCTTTCGCTTTTGCCGAGAGAGCGATGCAATTGAGCCATTGAGCGATGGGCAGGAAAAACTTGACTTTTTCTCCTGCCATGGGGGGAGGGGGGGGGATGTGGATTCTTTTAAGAATGTGGATTTTTGGGTCATCTTTGGCACCCCCTAGAACGTAAACCGTGAAGTGCAGCGTCATGATTTTTACAACTTTGAATGGCCATGGGGTGTAGATTGGCCTGAGCAAATTTGGTGTCAGTGGGACGAAAGCCTTAGGAGGAGTTAGCCACATTCCAATGTGTGCGAATCGGCAAAAAATGCAAAATAGCCCTTTAACCGTACATTTTACAGATATTTGCGCATGACTTTTTCATAGATCTTATTGAGATACACGTGATTGTCAAATTTTGTGTCATTTTGACAAAGCGTAGAGGCGTGACACTCAACAATGTGTTTTTTCACCTTATGGGACAAGAAAAAATTGACTTTTTTCTCCTGCCATGGGGGGCGCTCTTTTGGGGAGTAAAAATTCCTTCACAAATGTGTTGATGGCTGGACATTGCATCATCCTAGAAAACTTGGAGGCCAGTGGGGACAAAAATAAAAAGTTATAAGACTTTTAAATATGTGGATTTTACGGTTATCTTTGGCTCCCCCTAGAACCTAAACCGTGGGGTGCAGCGTCATGATTTGAATAACTTTTAATGGCCATGGGGTGTAGATTGGCCTGAGCAAATGTGGTGCCGGTGGAACGAAAGCCTTCGGAGGAGTTAGCGAAATTCCAATGTGTGCGGATCGGCAAAAAATGCGGAATAACCCTTTAACCGTACATTTAACAGATACGCGCGCATTGACTTTTTCGTAGATCTTATTGAGATACATGTGTGTGTCAATTTTTGTGTCATTTTGCCAAAGCGTACAGGTGTTACACTCAACAATGTGTATTTTCACCTTAGGGGACAAGAAAAAATGGACTTTTTTCTCCTGCCATGGGGGGCGCTCTTTTGGGGAGTAAAAATTCCTTCACAAATGTGTTGATGGCTGGACATTGCATCATCCTAGAAAACTTTGAGGCCAGTGAGGGCAAAAATAAAAAGTTATAAGACTTTTAAATATGTGGATCTTAGGGTTATCTGTGGCGCCCCCTAGAACCTAAACCGTGGGGTGCAGCGTCATGATTTGAATAACTTTTAATGGCCATGGGGTGTAGATTGGCCTGAGCAAATGTGGTGCCGGTGGAACGAAAGCCTTCGGAGGAGTTAGCGAAATTCCAATGTGTGCGGATCGGCAAAAAATGCGAAATAACCCTTTAACCGTACATTTGACAGATACGCCCGCACTGACTTTTTTGTAGATCTTATTGAGATACATGTGTGTGTCAATTTTTGTGTCATTTTGCCAAAGCGTACAGGCGTGACAGTGAATAGTGTGAATTTTCACCTTAGGGGGCGCTATGGAGCCATTTTGCATTTTCTTGTTTGGGCGACTTCGGAATATCAAATTTTTCACCAGGCCCGGTCGTCCTGCCAAATTTCATGAGTTTTCGCCAGTGGGAAGTGGGCCATTTTCCAGTTCAAAGGGGAGGAAAAATAATAATAATAATAATAACAAAAGAAGGAAACTACAGGAACAAGAGGGCTCTCGCAGCTGCTTAGCAGCTACGCTCGGGCCCTAATAATAATAATAACAAAAGAAGGAAACATGCAGGAACAATAGGGCTCTCGCAGCTGCTTAGCAGCTACGCTCGGGCCCTAAGAAAGAAAGAAACAAAGAAAAACCACTTGGGGAATAATAGGGCCTACGCCCGGCTGCTCTGCAGCTGGCTCGGGCCCTAACTAGGACCCCGTTGGGGCACTGGCGGGCCCGAGCCGTGTCGCGTCCCCCCCCCCAACGTGCTGCCTCCCCGTCCCATTTGTGTCCTCTGGCCATCGCCCTCTCTGGTAACGCCCATCACTGCAAAGACCCTTTTCCTTCATCGGCGTTTGCTGTTCTTCCTGCCAGTGCGTGTTGCTTTCACTTACACTTGCCACAGCCAGCCTCGTGAGTGCCTAGCCTATTGGATATCACTGTCACCTACACAGGACAGTCATTACCTTTCTATTAATACTTTGTGTTTTAATTTCACATTAATTTCCATATTGTATAAACGACTGGAAAAAACTTGAGCCCCTGCCCCTGTATAATCATGTGCATGTCTCTGTTCTAGCTCCAAGGTGAATCTTCACTGCTCATGTTCTCCTCAGAAGCACTCACCTCACTCCCCTCAGGTTACTGTACACATGCACCAACTGCCTGCTTCAGGTTTGGATGGAGCTTCATGGTTGTCTTTTGGAGAAATGAGCAGTCAAGTTGTGTTTGAAATTTGATTTTTTTCAGGGGCAAAAGGAGCCTCTGCATTCTTGTCAAATATGTAAATAGCATGTTTTTGCAGGTGCTAAAAACCAGACTCTGAGTGTGTGTGTGTGTGTGTGTGTGCGTGTGTGTGTGTCTGTGTGTGCGTTCAAGTCACATTACATATTTAACCGGATGTAGCAGCAAGACGGAGCCTCGTTGACTCTCCGTTTCAACTTATCTCAAAAGTGAGGACCTCAAACTATACACCAGTTTTCAAATTGTGTTGATAGGCCAAATAAAACCAGAGTTATGATAAATTATGTCCGCGATACTTTTTTTCTGCTTATTTTGATCACGTTCGGCGCTCGATCGCGCTGTATGAGACAGGAAAACATAGCATGCAGACATTAGCGACAGGTCTTACAGGCGGAAAAGGCTTGCCAAAGAAAAAAAAAACACACCACAACATCTCTCCTATTGGTGGAAAACTTCACCACAACAACCAATCCAAAATTATATGGTGACTGATTGACAAGGGGGGCGCTTACGTTCTTCCTGCAACATGAGAAGGGAGGGAGGAACTCTCAGCAGGGATGCAGTCTGGGACACGTAGTTGCAAACCTAGCGACTTTGTTGTTAGATTCAATGACTTTTCAGACCCCCTAACGACTTTTTTTTAGAAAGAAAGGGACTTTTATCGACTTCTTCTGGAGTTTAGAGACTCTGACATGAAGCAGGCTTTCCTTACTGAGGAGTTAGCAACGCTGCTAAGGGTGCAGAGCCACACATGCGCTCCGAGCTCTGCATGGGAGACTAAAGCTGACAGAGCTGCAGCAGTTAGCAGGTTTCACCCTCAGAGACCACCAGGGGTTCATGTTGAGGCATTTTCAGTTTTTTTTTTTTTTTTGCCATAGACACTGTCAGCACAATCTGCAGTTACACTAACAAAAATGCTGCAAAAAACAAAGAATTATGGAAAGATTACACATGGACTGACATAGAGGAGGATCTACACAAGTTTTTTACATCATGTTTTACATCATGCATCATTTACATCATGTTTTTTTGTAGTGGCATAAATAAAAAGTGACATTTGTGAGACTATACAGTGTTTTGTAAATAATTTTACAAAGAACGCCTGGGCCATTGCCTGCATTTTGATGTAAATAGAGGTAAATTACTATGTTCTTTGTTAAAAATTTGCATATGTTTTGAAGTTTACAATTTTTATTTGAAGTTTAAGTTTTAAAAACAGTTCATCACATATATTTGTGGTTTAATTTCACATTAATTTCCATATTGTATAAATGACTGGAAAAAACTTGAGCCCCTGCCCCTGTATAATCATGTGCACGTCCCTGTTCTAGCTCCAAGGTGAATCTTCACTGCTCATGTTCTCCTCAGAAATAGTCACCTCACTCCCCTCAGGTTACTGTACACATGCACCAACTATCTGCTTCAGGTTTGGATGGAGCTTCATGGTTGTCTTTTGGAGAAATGAACAGTCAAGTTGTGTTTGAAATTTGATTTTTTTCAGGGGCAAAAGGAAGCCTCTGCATTCTTGTCAAATATGTAAACAGCATGTTTTTGCAGGTGCTAAAAAACAGACTCTGTGTGTGTGTGTGTGTGTGTGTGTGTGTGTGTGTGTGTGTGTGTGTGTGTGTGTATGTTGGCGTGTGTGTATATGTGTGTGTATCCTGCAGTACTCTGTACTCCTGCAGTGGCCAAAAAGACTTTTAAGAATGTGGATTTTTGGGTCATCTTTGGCGCCCCCTAGAACTGCAGTACTCTGTACTCCTGCAGTGGCCAAAATGACTTTTAAGAATGTGGATTTTTGGGTCATCTTTGGCGCCCCCTAGAACGTAAACCGTGGGGTGCAGCATCATGATTTTTACAACTTTGAATGGGCATGGGGTGTAGATTGCCCTGAGCAAATTTGGTATCGGTGGGACGAAAGCCTTAGGAGGAGATAGCCACATTCCAATGTGTGCGAATCGGCAAAAAATGCAAAATAGCCCTTTAACCGTACATTATACAGATACGCGCTCTTTGACTTTTTCATAGATCTAATTGAGATACACATGATTCTCAATTTTTGTGTCAATATGACATAGGTTCAGGCGTGACACTCAACAATGTGTATTTTCATGTAAGGGGACAAGAAAAAATTGACTTTTTTCTCCTACCATGGGGGGGCGCTCTTTTGGGGAGTAAAAATTCCTTCACAAATGTGTTGATGGCTGGACATTGCATCATCCTAGAAAACTTGGAGGCCAGTGAGGACAAAAAAAAAAAGTTATAAAACATTTAAGAATGTGGATTTTTGGGTTATTTTTGGCGCCCCCTAGAACCTAAACCATGGGATGCAGCGTCATGATTTGAATAACTTTTAATGGCCATGGGGTGTAGATTGGCCTGAGCAAATGTGGTGCCAGTGGAACGAAAGCCTTCGGAGGAGTTAGCGAAATTCCAATGTGTGCGTATCGGCAAAAAATGCGGAATAACCCTTTAACCGTACATTTGACAGATACGCGCGCAGGACTTTTTTGTAGATCTTATTGAGATACATGTGTGTGTCAATTTTTGTGTAATTTTGACAAAGCGTACAGGCGTGACAGTCAATAGTGTGAATTTTCACCTTATGGGACAAGAAAAAATGGACTTTTTTCTCCTGCCATGGGGGGGCGCTCTTTTGGGGAGTAAAAATTCCTTCACAAATGTGTTGATGGCTGGACATTGCATCATCCTAGAAAACTTGGAGGCCAGTGAGGGCAAAAATAAAAAGTTATAAGACTTTGAAATATGTGGATTTTAGGGTTATCTTTGGCGCCCGCTAGAACCTAAACCGTGGGGTGCAGCGTCATGATTTGAATAACTTTTAATGGCCATGGGGTGTAGATTGGCCTGAGCAAATGTGGTGCCGGTGGAACGAAAGCCTTCGGAGGAGTTAGCGAAATTCCAATGTGTGCGGATCGGCAAAAAATGCGCAATAACCCTTTAACCGTACATTTGACAGATACGCCCGCACTGACTTTTTTGTAGATCTTATTGAGATACATGTGTGTGTCAATTTTTGTGTCATTTTGACAAAGCGTACAGGCGTCAGGTGAATTTTTCACCTTAGGGGGCGCTATGGAGCCATTTTGCATTGTATTGTTTGGACGACTTCAGAATATCAAATTTTTCACCAGGCCCGGTCGTCCTGCCAAATTTCATGAGTTTTCGCCAGTGGGAAGTGGGCCATTTTCCAGTTCAAAGGGGAGGAAAAAGAAACTAGGGCCCCGGTGGGGCACTGTCGGGCCCGAGCCGCGTCGCGCCGCCCCCAGCGCGACCGCCTCCCCCTCCCGATCGCGTCACACTCAAGGTCCAAAGATGGTGTGCGCACTTGTCTGTGGTCATTTCCCATTATAATGAATGGGAGGCGCAGTTTCTACCAAAACGCTCGCTGCAGACAAACTACATGTCCTATTTGAAAAAAGTCTGGACCATGAGTGAGGGCACAAACACAGCTAGTATATATCCAAATGGCAAGTTGCTCCTCCTTTCGGTTTTGCAGAGAGAGCGATGCGTTTGAGCCATTGAGCGATGGGCAGGAAAAACTTGACTTTTTCTCCTGCCATGGGGGGGCGCTCTTTTGGGGAGAAAAAATTCCTTCACAAATGTGTTGATGGCTGGACATTGCATCATCCTAGAAAACTTGGAGGCCAGTGAGGACAAAAATAAAAAGTTATAAGACTTTTAAAAATGTGGATATTTGGGTCCTCTTTGGCGCCCCCTAGAACGTAAACTGTGGAGTGCAGCGTCATGATTTGTACAACTTTGAATGGCCATGGGGTGTAGATTGACCTGAGCAAATTTGAAGCCGATGGGACAAAAGATTTAGGAGGAGTTAGCGAAATTCCAATGTGTGCGGATCGGCAAAAAATGCGAAATAACCCTTTAACCGTACATTTGACAGATACGCCCGCACTGACTTTTTTGTAGATCTTATTGAGATACATGTGTGTGTCAAATTTTGTGTCATTTTGACAAAGCGTAAAGGCGTGACAGTCAACAATGTGTATTTTCGCCTTAGGAGACAAGAAAAAATGGACTTTTTTCTCCTGCCATGGGGGGCGCTCTTTTGGCGAGTAAAAATTCTTTCACAAATGTGTTGATGGCTGGACATTGCATCATCCTAGAGAACTTGGAGGCCAGTGAGGACAAAAATAAAAAGTTATAAGACTTTTAAGAATGTGGATTTTTGGGTTATCTTTGGCGCCCCCTAGAACGTAAACCGTGGGGTGCAGCGTCATGATTTGTACAACTTTTAATGGCCATGGGGTGTAGATTGGCCTCAGCAAATGTGGTGCCTTTGGAACGAAAGCCTTCGGAGGAGTTAGCGAAATTCCAATGTGTGCGGATCGGCAAAAAATGCGAAATAGCCCTTAAACCGTACATTTGACAGATACGCCCGCACTGACTTTTTTGTAGATCTTATTGAGATACATGTGTGTGTCAATTTTTGTGTCAATATGACAAAGCGTAAAGGCGTGACAGTCAATAGTGTGAATTTTCGCCTTAGGAGACAAGAAAAAATGGACTTTTTTCTCCTGCCATGGGGGGCGCTCTTTTGGGGAGTAAAAATTCCTTCACAAATGTGTTGATGGCTGGACATTGCATCATCCTAGAAAACTTGGAGGCCAGTGAGGACAAAAATAAAAAGTTATACGACTTTTAAGAATGTGGATTTCTGGGTTATCTTTGGCGCCCCCTAGAACGTAAACCGTGGGATGCAGCGTCATGATTTGTACAACTTTTAATGGCCATGGGGTGTAGATTGGCCTGAGCAAATTTGGTGCCGGTGGAACGAAAGCCTTCGGAGGAGTTAGCGAAATTCCAATGTGTGCGGATCGGCAAAAAATGCGAAATAGCCCTTTAACCGTACATTTGACAGATACGCCCGCACTGACTTTTTTGTAGATCTTATTGAGATACACGTGTGTGTCAAATTTTGTGTCATTTTGACAAAGCGTACAGGCGTGACACTCAATCATGTGAATTTTTCACCTTAGGGGGCGCTATGGAGCCATTTTGCATTTGATTTTTTGGGCGACTTCAGAATATCGAATTTTTCACCAGGCCCGGTCGTCCTGCCAAATTTCATGACTTTTCACCAGTGGGAAGTGGGCCATTTTCCAGTTCAAAGGGGCAGAAAAATAATAAGAAGACTAGGACCCCGTTGGGGCACTGGCGGGCCCGAGCCGTGTCGCGTCCCCCCCCCAACGTGCTGCCTCCCCGTCCCATTTGTGTCCTCTGGCCATCGCCCTCTCTGGTAACGCCCATCACTGCAAAGACCCTTTTCCTTCATCGGCGTTTGCTGTTCTTCCTGCCAGTGCGTGTTGCTTTCACTTACACTTGCCACAGCCAGCCTCGTGAGTGCCTAGCCTATTGGATATCACTGTCACCTACACAGGACAGTCATTACCTTTCTATTAATACTTTGTGTTTTAATTTCACATTAATTTCCATATTGTATAAACGACTGGAAAAAACTTGAGCCCCTGCCCCTGTATAATCATGTGCATGTCTCTGTTCTAGCTCCAAGGTGAATCTTCACTGCTCATGTTCTCCTCAGAAGCACTCACCTCACTCCCCTCAGGTTACTGTACACATGCACCAACTGCCTGCTTCAGGTTTGGATGGAGCTTCATGGTTGTCTTTTGGAGAAATGAGCAGTCAAGTTGTGTTTGAAATTTGATTTTTTTCAGGGGCAAAAGGAGCCTCTGCATTCTTGTCAAATATGTAAATAGCATGTTTTTGCAGGTGCTAAAAACCAGACTCTGAGTGTGTGTGTGTGTGTGTGTGTGTGTGTGTGTGTGTGTGTGTGTGTGTGTGTGTGTGTGTGTGCGTGTGTGTGTGTCTGTGTGTGCGTTCAAGTCACATGACATATTTAACCGGATGTAGCTGCAAGACGGAGCCTCGTTGACTCTCCGTTTCAACTTATCTCAAAAGTGAGGACCTCAACCTATATACCAGTTTTTAAATTGTGTTGATAGGCCAAATAAAACCAGAGTTATGATAAATTATGTCCGCGATACTTGTTTTCTGCTTATTTTGATCACGTTCGGCGCTCGATCGCGCTGTATGAGACAGGAAAACATAGCATGCAGACATTAGCGACAGGTCTCACAGGCGGAAAAGGCTTGCCAAAAGAAAAAAACACACCACAACATCTCTCCTATTGGTGGAAAACTTCACCACAACAACCAATCCAAAATTATATGGTGACTGATTGACAAGGGGCGGGCGCTTACGTTCTTCCTGCAACATGAGAAGCGAGGGAGGGACTCTCAGCAGGGATGCAGTCTGGGACACGTAGTTGCAAACCTAGCGACTTTGTTGTTAGATTCAATGACTTTTCAGACCCCCTAACGACTTTTTTTTAGAAAGAAAGGGACTTTTATCGACTTCTTCTGGAGTTTAGAGACTCTGACATGAAGCAGGCTTTCCTTACTGAGGAGTTAGCAACGCTGCTAAGGGTGCAGAGCCACACATGCGCTCAGAGCTCTGCATGGGAGACTGAAGCTGACAGAGCTGCAGCAGTTAGCAGGTTTCACCCTCAGAGACCACCAGGGGTTCATGTTGAGGCATTTTAATTTTTTTTTTTTTTTTGTGCCATAGACACTGTCAGCACAATCTGCAGTTACACTAACAAAAATGCTGCAAAAAACAAAGAATTATGGAAAAATTACACATGGACTGACATAGAGGAGGATCTACACAAGTTTTTTACATCATGTTTTACATCATGCATCATTTACATCATGTTTTTTTGTAGTGGCATAAATAAAAAGTGACATTTGTGAGACTATACAGTGTTTTGTAAATAATTTTACAAAGAACGCCTGGGCCATTGCCTGCATTTTGATGTAAATAGAGGTAAATCACTATGTTCTTTGTTAAAAATTTGCATATGTTTTGAAGTTTACAATTTTTATTTGAAGTTTAAGTTTTAAAAACAGTTCATCACACATATTTGTGGTTTAATTTCACATTAATTTCCATATTGTATAAATGACTGGAAAAAACTTGAGCCCCTGCCCCTGTATAATCATGTGCACGTCCCTGTTCTAGCTCCAAGGTGAATCTTCACTGCTCATGTTCTCCTCAGAAATAGTCACCTCACTCCCCTCAGGTTACTGTACACATGCACCAACTATCTGCTTCAGGTTTGAAATGGAGCTTCATGGTTGTCTTTTGGAGAAATGAACAGTCAAGTTGTGTTTGAAATTTGATTTTTTTCAGGGGCAAAAGGAGCCTCTGCATTCTTGTCAAATATGTAAACAGCATGTTTTTGCAGGTGCTAAAAAACAGACTCTGAGTGTGTGTGTGTGTGTGTGTGTGTGTGTGTGTGTGTGTGTGTGTGTGTATTTTGGCGTGTGTGTATATGTGTGTGTATCCTGCAGTACTCTGTACTCCTGCAGTGGCCAAAAAGACTTTTAAGAATGTCGATTTTTGGGTCATCTTTGGCGCCCCCTAGAACTGCAGTACTCTGTACTCCTGCAGTGGCCAAAATGACTTTTAAGAATGTGGATTTTTGGGTCATCTTTGGCGCCCCCTAGAACGTAAACCGTGGGGTGCAGCGTCATGATTTTTACAACTTTGAATGGGCATGGGGTGTAGATTGCCCTGAGCAAATTTGGTATCGGTGGGACGAAAGCCTTAGGAGGAGATAGCCACATTCCAATGTGTGCGAATCGGCAAAAAATGCAAAATAGCCCTTTAACCGTACATTATACAGATACGCGCTCTTTGACTTTTTCGTAGATCTAATTGAGATACACATGATTGTCAATTTTTGTGTCATTTTGCCAAAGCGTAAAGGCGTGACAGTCAACAATGTGTATTTTCACCTTAGGGGACAAGAAAAAAATGGACTTTTTTCTCCTGCCATGGGGGGGCGCTCTTTTGGGGAGTAAAAATTCCTTCACAAATGTGTTGATGGCTGGACATTGCATCATCCTAGAAAACTTGGAGGCCAGTGAGGACAAAAATAAAAAGTTATAAGACTTTTAAAAATGTGGATTTTTGGGTTATCTTTGGCGCCCCCTAGAACGTAAACCGTGGGGTGCAGCGTCATGATTTGAATAACTTTTAATGGCCATGGGGTGTAATTTGGCCTGAGCAAATGTGGTGCCGGTGGAACGAAAGCCTTCGGAGGAGTTAGCGAAATTCCAATGTGTGCGAATCGGCAAAAAATGCGGAATAACCCTTTAACCGTACATTAGACAGATACGCGCGCATGGACTTTTTTGTAGATCTTATTGAGATACATGTGTGTGTCAATTTTTGTGTCATTTTGACAAAGCGTACAGGCGTGACACTCAACAATGTGTATTTTCACCTTAGGGGACAAGAAAAAAATGGACTTTTTTCTCCTGCCATGGGGGGCGCTCTTTTGGGGAGTAAAAATTCCTTCACAAATGTGTTGATGGCTGGACATTGCATCATCCTAGAAAACTTGGAGGCCAGTGAGGGCAAAAATAAAAAGTTATAAGACTTTTAAAAATGTGGATTTTAGGGTTATCTTTGGCGCCCCCTAGAACCTAAACCGTGGGGTGCAGCGTCATGATTTGAATAACTTTTAATGGCCATGGGGTGTAGATTGGCCTGAGCAAATGTGGTGCCGGTGGAACGAAAGCCTTCGGAGGAGTTAGCGAAATTCCAATGTGTGCGGATCGGCAAAAAATGCGAAATAACCCTTTAACCGTACATTTGACAGATACGCCCGCACTGACTTTTTTGTAGATCTTATTGAGATACATGTGTGTGTCAATTTTTGTGTCATTTTGACAAAGCGTACAGGCGTGACAGTCAATAGTGTGAATTTTCACCTTAGGGGGCGCTATGGAGCCATTTTGCATTTTCTTGTTTGGGCGACTTCGGAATATCAAATTTTTCACCAGGCCCGGTCGTCCTGCCAAATTTCATGAGTTTTCGCCAGTGGGAAGTGGGCCATTTTCCAGTTCAAAGGGGAGGAAAAAGAAGAAAGAAAGAAACAAAGAAAAACCCCTACAGGAATAACAGGGCCTACGCCCGGCTGCTCTGCAGCTGGCTCGGGCCCTAACTAGGGCCCCGGTGGGGCACTGTCGGGCCCGAGCCGCGTCGCGCCGCCCCCAGCGCGACCGCCTCCCCCTCCCGATCGCGTCACACTCAAGGTCCAAAGATGGTGTGCGCACTTGTCTGTGGTCATTTCCCATTATAATGAATGGGAGGCGCAGTTTCTACCAAAACACTCGCTGCAGACAAACTGCATGTCCTATTTGAAAAAAGTCTGGACCAGGAGTGAGGGCACAAACACAGCTAGGATATATCCAAACGGCAAGTTGCTCCTCGTTACGGTGTTGCCGGGAGAGCGATGCGATTGAGCCATTGAGTGATGGGCAGGAAAAACTTGACTGTTTCTCCTGCCATGGGGGATGGGGGATGGGGGATGGGGGGGGGGATTCTTTTAAGAATGTGGATATTTGGGTCATCTTTGGCGCCCCCTAGAACGTAAACCGTGGGGTGCAGCGTCATGATTTTTACAACTTTGAATGGCCATGGGGTGTAGATTGGCCTGAGCAAATTTGGTGTCAGTGGGACGAAAGCCTTAGGAGGAGTTAGCCACATTCCAATGTGTGCGAATCGGCAAAAAATGCAAAATAGCCCTTTAACCGTACATTTTACAGATACGCGCGCATTGACTTTTTCGTAGATCTTATTGAGATACATGTGATTGTCAAATTTTGTGTCAATATGACAAAGCGTACAGGTATGACAGTCAACAATGTGTTTTTTCACCTTATGGGACAAGAAAAAATGGACTTTTTTCTCCTGCCATGGGGGGGCGCTCTTTTGGGGAGTAAAAATTCCTTCACAAATGTGTTGATGGCTGGACATTGCATCATCCTAGAGAACTTGGAGGCCAGTGAGGACAAAAATAAAAAGTTATAAGACTTTGAAATATGTGGATTTTAGGGTTATCTTTGGCGCCCCCTAGAACCTAAACTGTGGGGTGCAGCGTCATGATTTGAATAACTTTTAATGGCCATGGGGTGTAGATTGGCCTGAGCAAATGTGGTGCCGGTGGAACGCCAGCCTTAGGAGGAGTTAGCGAAATTCCAATGTGTGCGGATCAGCAAAAAATGCGGAATAACCCTTTAACCGTACATTTTACAGATACGCGCGCATTGACTTTTTCGTAGATCTTATTGAGATACATGTGTGTGTCAAATTTTGTGTCAATATGACAAAGCGTACAGGCGTGACACTCAACAATGTGTATTTTCACCTTAGGGGACAAGAAAAAATGGACTTTTTTCTCCTGCCATGGGGGGGCGCTCTTTTGGGGATTAAAAATTCCTTCACAAATGTGTTGATGGCTGGACATTGCATCATCCTAGAAAACTTGGAGGCCAGTGAGGGCAAAAATAAAAAGTTATAAGACTTTTAAATATGTGGATTTTAGGGTTATCTTTGGCGCCCCCTAGAACCTAAACCGTGGGGTGCAGCGTCATGATTTGAATAACTTTTAATGGCCATGGGGTGTAGATTGGCCTGAGCAAATGTGGTGCCGGTGGAACAAAAGCCTTCGGAGGAGTTAGCGAAATTCCAATGTGTGCGGATCGGCAAAAAATGCGAAATAACCCTTTAACCGTACATTTGACAGATACGCCCGCACTGACTTTTTTGTAGATCTTATTGAGATACATGTGTGTGTCAATTTTTGTGTCATTTTGACAAAGCGTACAGGCGTGACAGTGAATAGTGTGAATTTTCACCTTAGGGGGCGCTATGGAGCCATTTTGCATTTTCTTGTTTGGGCGACTTCGGAATATCAAATTTTTCACCAGGCCCGGTCGTCCTGCCAAATTTCATGAGTTTTCGCCAGTGGGAAGTGGGCCATTTTCCAGTTCAAAGGGGAGGAAAAATAATAACTAGGACCCCGTTGGGGCACTGGCGGGCCCGAGCCGTGTCCCGTCCCCCCCCCCCCCCCCAACGTGCTGCCTCCCCGTCCCATTTGTGTCCTCTGGCCATCGCCCTATCTGGTAACGCCCATCACTGCAAAGACCCTTTTTCTTCATCGGCGTTTGCTGTTCTTCCTGCCAGTGCGTGTTGCTTTCACTTACACTTGCCACAGCCAGCCTCGTGAGTGCCTAGCCTATTGGATATCACTGTCACCTACACAGGACAGTCATTACCTTTCTATTAATACTTTGTGTTTTAATTTCACATTAATTTCCATATTGTATAAACGACTGGAAAAAACTTGAGCCCCTGCCCCTGTATAATCATGTGCATGTCTCTGTTCTAGCTCCAAGGTGAATCTTCACTGCTCATGTTCTCCTCAGAAGCACTCACCTCACTCCCCTCAGGTTACTGTACACATGCACCAACTGCCTGCTTCAGGTTTGGATGGAGCTTCATGGTTGTCTTTTGGAGAAATGACCAGTCAAGTTGTGTTTGAAATTTGATTTTTTTTCAGGGGCAAAAGGAGCCTCTGCATTCTTGTCAAATATGTAAATAGCATGTTTTTGCAGGTGCTAAAAACCAGACTCTGAGTGTGTGTGTGTGTGTGTGTGTGCGTGTGTGTGTGTCTGTGTGTGCGTTCAAGTCACATGACATATTTAACCGGATGTAGCTGCAAGACGGAGCCTCGTTGACTCTCCGTTTCAACTTATCTCAAAAGTGAGGACCTCAACCTATATACCATTTTTTAAATTGTGTTGATAGGCCAAATAAAACCAGAGTTATGATAAATTATGTCCGCGATACTTTTTTTCTGCTTATTTTGATCACGTTCGGCGCTCGATCGCGCTGTATGAGACAGGAAAACATAGCATGCAGACATTAGCGACAGGTCTTACAGGCGGAAAAGGCTTGCCAAAAGAAAAAAAAAACACACCACAACATCTCTCCTATTGGTGGAAAACTTCACCACAACAACCAATCCAAAATTATATGGTGACTGATTGACAAGGGGCGGGCGCTTACGTTCTTCCTGCAACATGAGAAGGGAGGGAGGGACTCTCAGCAGGGATGCAGTCTGGGACACGTAGTTGCAAACCTAGCGACTTTGTTGTTAGATTCAATTACTTTTCAGACCCCCTAACAACTTTTGTTAGAAAGAAAGGGACTTTTATCGACTTCTTCTGGAGTTTAGAGACTCTGACATGAAGCAGGCTTTCCTTACTGAGGAGTTAGCAACGCTGCTAAGGGTGCAGAGCCACACATGCGCTCCGAGCTCTGCATGGGAGACTGAAGCTGACAGAGCTGCAGCAGTTAGCAGGTTTCACCCTCAGAGACCACCAGGGGTTCATGTTGAGGCATTTTCAGTTTTTGTTTTTTTTGCCATAGACTGTCAGCACAATCTGCAGTTACACTAACGAAAATGCTGCAAAAAACAAAGAATTATGGAAAAATTACACATGGACTGACATAGAGGAGGATCTACACAAGTTTTTTACATCATGTTTTACATCATGCATCATTTACATCATGTTTTTTTGTAGTGGCATAAATAAAAAGTGACATTTGTGAGACTATACAGTGTTTTGTAAATAATTTTACAAAGAACGCCTGGGCCATTGCCTGCATTTTGATGTAAATAGAGGTAAATTACTATGTTCTTTGTTAAAAATTTGCATATGTTTTGAAGTTTACAATTTTTATTTGAAGTTTAAGTTTTAAAAACAGTTCATCACACATATTTGTGGTTTAATTTCACATTAATTTCCATATTGTATAAATGACTGGAAAAAACTTGAGCCCCTGCCCCTGTATAATCATGTGCACGTCCCTGTTCTAGCTCCAAGGTGAATCTTCACTGCTCATGTTCTCCTCAGAAATAGTCACCTCACTCCCCTCAGGTTACTGTACACATGCACCAACTATCTGCTTCAGGTTTGGATGGAGCTTCATGGTTGTCTTTTGGAGAAATGAACAGTCAAGTTGTGTTTGAAATCTGATTTTTTTCAGGGGCAAAAGGAAGCCTCTGCATTCTTGTCAAATATGTAAACAGCATGTTTTTGCAGGTGCTAAAAAACAGACTCTGAGTGTGTGTGTGTGTGTGTGTGTGTGTGTGTGTGTGTGTGTGTGTGTATATGTGTGTGTATCCTGCAGTACTCTGTACTCCTGCAGTGGCCAAAAAGACTTTTAAGAATGTGGATTTTTGGGTCATCTTTGGCGCCCCCTAGAACTGCAGTACTCTGTACTCCTGCAGTGGCCAAAATGACTTTTAAGAATGTGGATTTTTGGGTCATCTTTGGCGCCCCCTAGAACGTAAACCGTGGGGTGCAGCGTCATGATTTTTACAACTTTGAATGGGCATGGGGTGTAGATTGGCCTGAGCAAATTTGGTATCGGTGGGACGAAAGCCTTAGGAGGAGATAGCCACATTCCAATGTGTGCGAATCGGCAAAAAATGCGAAATAGCCCTTTAACCGTACATTATACAGATACGCGCGCATTGACTTTTTCGTAGATCTAGTTGAGATACACATGATTGTCAATTTTTGTGTCAATATGACAAAGCGTTCAGGCGTGACACTCAACAATGTGTATTTTCATGTAAGGGGACAAGAAAAAATTGACTTTTTTCTCCTGCCATGGGGGGGCGCTCTTTTGGGGAGTAAAAATTCCTTCACAAATGTGTTGATGGCTGGACATTGCATCATCCTAGAAAACTTGGAGGCCAGAGAGGACAAAAATAAAAAGTTATAAGACTTTTAAATATGTGGATTTTAGGGTTATCTTTGGCGCCCCCTAGAACCTAAACCGTGGGGTGCAGCATCATGATTTGAATAACTTTTAATGGCCATGGGGTGTAGATTGGCCTGAGCAAATGTGGTGCCGGTGGAACGAAAGCCTTCGGAGGAGTTAGCGAAATTCCAATGTGTGCGGATCGGCAAAAAATGCGGAATAACCCTTTAACCGTACATTTGACAGATACGCGCGCATGGACTTTTTTGTAGATCTTATTGAGATACATGTGTGTGTCAATTTTTGTGTAATTTTGACAAAGCGTACAGGCGTGACAGTCAATAGTGTGAATTTTCACCTTATGGGACAAGAAAAAATGGACTTTTTTCTCCTGCCATGGGGGGGCGCTCTTTTGGGGAGTAAAAATTCCTTCACAAATGTGTTGATGGCTGGACATTGCATCATCCTAGAAAACTTGGAGGCCAGTGAGGGCAAAAATAAAAAGTTATAAGACTTTGAAATATGTGGATTTTAGGGTTATCTTTGGCGCCCCCTAGAACCTAAACCGTGGGGTGCAGCGTCATGATTTGAATAACTTTTAATGGCCATGGGGTGTAGATTGGCCTGAGCAAATGTGGTGCCGGTGGAACGAAAGCCTTCGGAGGAGTTAGCGAAATTCCAATGTGTGCGGATCGGCAAAAAATGCGCAATAACCCTTTAACCGTACATTTGACAGATACGCCCGCACTGACTTTTTTGTAGATCTTATTGAGATACATGTGTGTGTCAATTTTTGTGTCATTTTGACAAAGCGTACAGGCGTCAGGTGAATTTTTCACCCTAGGGGGCGCTATGGAGCCATTTTGCATTGTATTGTTTGGGCGACTTCAGAATATCAAATTTTTCACCAGGCCCGGTCGTCCTGCCAAATTTCATGAGTTTTCGCCTGTGGGAAGTGGGCCATTTTCCAGTTCAAAGGGGAGGAAAAAGAAAAAAGAAACAAAGAAAAACCACTTGGGGAATAATAGGGCTCTCGCAGCTGCTTAGCAGCTACGCTCGGGCCCTAACTAGGGCCCCGGTGGGGCACTGTCGGGCCCGAGCCGCGTCGCGCCGCCCCTAGCGCGACCGCCTCCCCCTCCCGATCGCGTCACACTCAAGGTCCAAAGATGGTGTGCGCACTTGTCTGTGGTCATTTCCCATTATAATGAATGGGAGGCGCAGTTTCTACCAAAACACTCGCTGCAGACAAACTACATGTCCTATTTGAAAAAAGTCTGGACCATGAGTGAGGGCACAAACACAGCTAGGATTTATCCAAACGGCAAGTTGCTCCTCGTTACGGTGTTGCCGGGAGAGCGATGCGATTGAGCCATTGAGTGATGGGCAGGAAAAACTTGACTGTTTCTCCTGCCATGGGGGGTGGGGGATGGGGGGGATGTGGATTCTTTTAAGAATGTGGATATTTGGGTCATCTTTGGCGCCCCCTAGAACGTAAACCGTGGGGTGCAGCGTCATGATTTTTACAACTTTGAATGGCCATGGGGTGTAGATTGGCCTGAGCAAATTTGGTGTCAGTGGGACGAAAGCCTTAGGAGGAGTTAGCCACATTCCAATGTGTGCGAATCGGCAAAAAATGCAAAATAGCCCTTTAACCGTACATTTGACAGATACGCGCGCATTGACTTTTTTGTAGATCTTATTGAGATACATATGTGTGTCAATTTTTGTGTCATTTTGCCAAAGCGTACAGGTGTTACACTCAACAATGTGTATTTTCACCTTAGGGGACAAGAAAAAATGGACTTTTTTCTCCTGCCATGGGGGGGCGCTCTTTTGGGGAGTAAAAATTCCTTCACAAATGTGTTGATGGCTGGACATTGCATCATCCTAGAAAACTTGGAGGCCAGTGAGGGCAAAAATAAAAAGTTATAAGACTTTTAAATATGTGGATCTTAGGGTTATCTTTGGCGCCCCCTAGAACCTAAACCGTGGGGTGCAGCGTCATGATTTGAATAACTTTTAATGGCCATGGGGTGTAGATTGGCCTGAGCAAATGTGGTGCCGGTGGAACGAAAGCCTTCGGAGGAGTTAGCGAAATTCCAATGTGTGCGGATCGGCAAAAAATGCGAAATAACCCTTTAACCGTACATTTGACAGATACGCCCGCACTGACTTTTTTGTAGATCTTATTGAGATACATGTGTGTGTCAATTTTTGTGTCATTTTGACAAAGCGTACAGGCGTGACAGTGAATAGTGTGAATTTTCACCTTAGGGGGCGCTATGGAGCCATTTTGCATTTTCTTGTTTGGGCGACTTCGGAATATCAAATTTTTCACCAGGCCCGGTCGTCCTGCCAAATTTCATGAGTTTTCGCCAGTGGGAAGTGGGCCATTTTCCAGTTCAAAGGGGAGGAAAAATAATAATAATAATAATAATAACAAAAGAAGGAAACTACAGGAACAAGAGGGCTCTCGCAGCTGCTTAGCAGCTACGCTCGGGCCCTAACTAGGGCCCCGGTGGGGCACTGTCGGGCCCGAGCCGCATCGCACCGCCCCCAGCGCGACCGCCTCCACCTCCCGATCGCGTCACACTCAAGGTCCAAAGATGGTGTGCGCACTTGTCTGTGGTCATTTCCCATTATAATGAATGGGAGGCGCAGTTTCTACCAAAACACTCGCTGCAGACAAACTACATGTCCTATTTGAAAAAAGTCTGGACCATGAGTGAGGGCACAAACACAGCTAGGATATATCCAAACGGCAAGTTGCTCCTCGTTACGGTGTTGCCGGGAGAGCGATGCGATTGAGCCATTGAGTGATGGGCAGGAAAAACTTGACTGTTTCTCCTGCCATGGGGGGTGGGGGATGGGGGGGATGTGGATTCTTTTAAGAATGTGGATTTTTGGGTCATCTTTGGCGCCCCCTAGAACGTAAACCGTGGGGTGCAGCGTCATGATTTTTACAACTTTGAATGGCCATGGGGTGTAGATTGGCCTGAGAAAATTTGGTGTCAGTGGGACGAAAGCCTTAGGAGGAGTTTGCCACATTCCAATGTGTGCGAATCGGCAAAAAATGCAAAATAGCCCTTTAACCGTACATTTGACAGATACGCGCGCATTGACTTTTTCGTAGATCTTATTGAGATACACGTGATTGTCAAATTTTGTGTCAATATGACAAAGCGTACAGGCGTGACACTCAACAATGTAAATTTTCACCTTAGGGGACAAGAAAAAAATGGACTTTTTTCTCCTGCCATGGGGGGGCGCTCTTTTGGGGAGTAAAAATTCCTTCACAAATGTGTTGATGGCTGGACATTGCATTATCCTAGAGAACTTGGAGGCCAGTGAGGACAAAAATAAAAAGTTATAAGACTTTTAAATATGTGGATTTTATGGTTATCTTTGGCGCCCCCTAGAACCTAAACCGTGGGGTGCAGCGTCATGATTTGTACAACTTTTAATGGCCATGGGGTGTAGATTGGCCTGAGCAAATGTGGTGCCGGTGGAACGAAAGCCTTCGGAGGAGTTAGCGAAATTCCAATGTGTGCGGATCGGCAAAAAATGCGCAATAATCCTTTAACCGTACATTTGACAGATACGCCCGCACTGACTTTTTTGTAGATCTTATTGAGATACATGTGTGTGTCAATTTTTGTGTCATTTTGACAAAGCGTACAGGCGTGACAGTCAATAGTGTGAATTTTCACCTTAGGGGGCGCTATGGAGCCATTTTGCATTTTATTGTTTGGGCGACTTCAGAATATCGAATTTTTCACCAGGCCCGGTCGTCCTGCCAAATTTCATGAGTTTTCGCCAGTGGGAAGTGGGCCATTTTCCAGTTTAAAGCGGAGGAAAAATAATAACTAGGGCCCCGGTGGGGCACTGTCGGGCCCGAGCCGCGTCGCGCCGCCTCCAGCGCGACCGCCTCCCCCTCCCGATCGCGTCACACTCAAGGTCCAAAGATGGTGTGCGCACTTGTCTGTGGTCATTTCCCATTATAATGAATGGGAGGCGCAGTTTCTACCAAAACGCTCGCTGCAGACAAACTACATGTCCTATTTGAAAAAAGTCTGGACCATGAGTGAGGGCACAAACACAGCTAGTATATATCCAAATGGCAAGTTGCTCCTCCTTTCGGTTTTGCAGAGAGAGCGATGCGTTTGAGCCATTGAGCGATGGGCAGGAAAAACTTGACTTTTTCTCCTGCCATGGGGGGCGCTCTTTTGGGGAGAAAAATTCCTTCACAAATGTGTTGATGGCTGGACATTGCATCATCCTAGAAAACTTGGAGGCCAGTGAGGACAAAAATAAAAAGTTATAAGACTTTTAAAAATGTGGATATTTGGGTCCTCTTTGGCGCCCCCTAGAACGTAAACTGTGGGGTGCAGCGTCATGAGTTGTACAACTTTGAATGGCCATGGGGTGTAGATTGACCTGAGCAAATTTGAAGCCGATGGGACAAAAGATTTAGGAGGAGTTAGCGAAATTCCAATGTGTGCGGATCGGCAAAAAATGCGAAATAACCCTTTAACCGTACATTTGACAGATACGCCCGCACTGACTTTTTTGTAGATCTTATTGAGATACATGTGTGTGTCAAATTTTGTGTCATTTTGACAAAGCGTAAAGGCGTGACAGTCAACAATGTGTATTTTCGCCTTAGGAGACAAGAAAAAATGGACTTTTTTCTCCTGCCATGGGGGGGCGCTCTTTTGGCGAGTAAAAATTCCTTCACAAATGTGTTGATGGCTGGACATTGCATCATCCTAGAGAACTTGGAGGCCAGTGAGGACAAAAATAAAAAGTTATAAGACTTTTAAGACTGTGGATTTTTGGGTTATCTTTGGCGCCCCCTAGAACGTAAACCGTGGGGTGCAGCGTCATGATTTGTACAACTTTTAATGGCCATGGGGTGTAGATTGGCCTCAGCAAATGTGGTGCCTTTGGAACGAAAGCCTTCGGAGGAGTTAGCGAAATTCCAATGTGTGCGGATCGGCAAAAAATGCGAAATAGCCCTTTCACCGTACATTTGACAGATACGCCCGCACTGACTTTTTTGTAGATCTTATTGAGATACATGTGTGTGTCAATTTTTGTGTCAATATGACAAAGCGTAAAGGCGTGACAGTCAATAGTGTGAATTTTCGCCTTAGGAGACAAGAAAAAATGGACTTTTTTCTCCTGCCATGGGGGGGCGCTCTTTTGGGGAGTAAAAATTCCTTCACAAATGTGTTGATGGCTGGACATTGCATCATCCTAGAAAACTTGGAGGCCAGTGAGGACAAAAATAAAAAGTTATACGACTTTTAAGAATGTGGATTTCTGGGTTATCTTTGGCGCCCCCTAGAACGTAAACCGTGGGATGCAGCGTCATGATTTGTACAACTTTTAATGGCCATGGGGTGTAGATTGGCCTGAGCAAATTTGGTGCCGGTGGAACGAAAGCCTTCGGAGGAGTTAGCGAAATTCCAATGTGTGCGGATCGGCAAAAAATGCGAAATAGCCCTTTAACCGTACATTTGACAGATACGCCCGCACTGACTTTTTTGTAGATCTTATTGAGATACACGTGTGTCTCAAATTTTGTGTCATTTTGACAAAGCGTACAGGCGTGACACTCAATCATGTGAATTTTTCACCTTAGGGGGCGCTATGGAGCCATTTTGCATTTGATTTTTTGGGCGACTTCAGAATATCGAATTTTTCACCAGGCCCGGTCGTCCTGCCAAATTTCATGACTTTTCACCAGTGGGAAGTGGGCCATTTTCCAGTTCAAAGGGGCAGAAAAATAATAAGAAGAAGAAGAAGAAAGAAGAATCCATCAGGAATAATAGGGCTCTCGCAGCTGCTTAGCAGCTACGCTCGGGCCCTAATAATAACAAAAGAAGAATCCATCAGGAACAAGAGGGCTCTCGCAGCTGCTTAGCAGCTACGCTCGGGCCCTAAAGAAGAAGAAAGAAGAATCCATCAGGAATAATAGGGCTCTCGCAGCTGCTTAGCAGCTACGCTCGGGCCCTAATAACAAAAGAAGAATCCATCAGGAACAAGAGGGCTCTCGCAGCTGCTTAGCAGCTACGCTCGGGCCCTAATTTGAAAACAAATGTATGTCTGCTCGGGGCTACCACACTAACACTTTTCTGACCTCAGTTATATAATTACAAATGGATCTGATAGACATAAGAGCTGTATCCAGCTTTGGTATCTGCCATCAGATATTTCTGCTCTTTAAAAGCATCAGTGTAGCTAACATGAACCTGAATTCACCTGTCCACTGATGTTCTATAGCTCGTATATGTGCGTCACTGAACTCCCAGTGTTGTGCTAGAATCTTCCATTCCCCGCGGCAGAGGTGCTTGGTGGCCAGGCTCCACAGGACCGAGCGGATGTGCTGAGTCTCTGGCTGGTGGTCCTGCTTGAAGCTCAGATTTCTTCCCACCCAGGAGTCCTGCCCGCTGCTGATCTGATCCTGAACATCATGGCAGAAGAACACACAGTGCAAAAACTGTAGGGACACAAATCATCTGTAGTCCACACACCAAATTATTAATCCAACCACAGAGCTCAGACTGACTTTGCTTCCAGATGTCCAAGAAAACTGGTGTTAGGAAAAGTGATCAATTAAAAATGCCTTTTCAACTCTGCATCAGCAAAATCATGATCAAACATCGAGGTCCAAATCTGAAATAAGAACTTCAAGTTTCTAGAAAAGAGCACATTAGGTATTTTGAACTATTTCATTGGGTGCAGGTCTGATGAGATTAAACTCACCTTCTCCCATTTATAAAAACGGTCTGCTTTGATGACCATATCCACCAGGATGACGTGGTTTCCTCTTGCTGCCACATCCAGACATGTTTTCCCCTGCTGTGTGTTTTCAAAGTTTAAAACAGTGGATAGGACAAGCATTACTTGATTATAGAGTTGTGATGGTAGAAGCTTATAACTCTGTGTTGGTGAAGGTGTGTGCTGTGTAGCACCTTGTCAGTCAGACTGAGGTTAACACCAGAGATCAGCATTATCTCAGCCAGGTCCTGCCAGCCGTGCTCTGCTGCTAGGTGCAGAGCTGTCTGCTGTCTCTGTGAACGGATGAAGGAAATCTGTTCCAGCTGATATTGGTGTGAGTGTTTTAAGCTTTTCTGACATTAAATGTTAGCACACAGATTTCCCATGGAGGCTTGTGTTTCTGTCTCCTTTAACAGTTTGCATGTGGACCGGTGCGGCTGCAGAGGCTTGTACTCACACTGTCAGGGATGTCCAGGTCACAGTCAGCATCTATGAGCTGCCGAACCACCTCTGCATGGTTGTTGAACACAGCCAGGTGCAGAGGTGTGTTGTGTTGCTGATTCAGACAAAAGAAGAGAACAATAAAAACATTCAAAAAGTTTTCAGGGTTCAGCTTTTTTTTTTTTTTTCTTATACCAAGCACCTTTCACAAAAACATGCAGCCCCATGTGTTTCAGAAATAAGACAACAGTCAAAATAAGAACAGAAACAGGAACAGGAATGTTACACATTTTAAACACTTTGAGAAAAAGAAAGTAAAAACAACAACAACAGCTCAGGTGATATTACTAAAAATTTGAAAAAGTAAAATAAGACAAGTCCCAGAGAAAGTTTTTTTTTCTGATTGTAATGAGGAAAATCTTTGACAAAGGCCATAAAATGACTTAAAAATGAAACCCCTTTCAGTAGGTTCAATTTGACATGTCCATAATGAAAAACCTACTGTGGCCCTGAGGTGCAAAACACAACGGCAAATAAAAAAATACAACACTAAAGGGAAAAACACAACCGCAAATCTTAAAAATGCAACGGCAACAGAGAAAACACAACACAAAAAGAGAAAACACAACAGCAAATCAGAAAACACAATGACTTTAACCATTGTATTTTCTCTTCTTGTGTTACGTTTTCTTATTTGCTGTTGTGTTTTGCACCTCAGGGCCACCGTAAAAATCAGGCTTACACTGTTCACAGCATTTATGTTGATTCCTGCCTGCAGCAGCAGGTGAGCCTCTCTGTCAAAGCCGTGCTGCGCCACATAATGCAGAGCAGTCATATTCATCTGCAGGAAAACACACACAAAAATATGAAGATGCACGCTGAGGTCTTTCAGAGAGTCCAAATTTTTTAGAGACATTTAATCTTCTCATGAGTCTAAGGCTTAAAAAACTATACACTGGTTTGCAAGTTGATGTCACAGCCGGACTCCAGCAACAGTTTGATACACTCCCAGTGACCTCCTTCAGCCGCCTGGTGTAGAGCTGTGAGACCGTCCTGGAAACACCAAAGACACACTTCAGACAGAAGCTCCTGTGTTTTTAAGTTTTAATGTGGGGCTTTCCATGGAGAGGACAGGACAGTGGACAAAAATGAAAAAAGTGAAATTATGACTGTTAGTGCTCATGAGTAACTTTTTCAGCTTTTAAACTCATGTAAATCTCTTCTTTCATTCAATCTCAGTCAAGGATTACTTGAAAGAACATAAAGAGGCTATAAACTGAAACTCATTGTCTCATCTGAATTGTTTTGCATTCCTTTCCAAACTTTTTGTCTTCAGATAAAAACGAACTTTTCACTGAATTTTGTTTTGCAGTCAGTTGAGGTCCTTTTCATTATTTCCCATTTCATTTTTTCTGCCTTACGGCGAAAAATATCTGAACTTCATTGTAAAAAAACTTACAGAGATGGTGGGTCATTGCATTGTTGCATTGCACTGTGAGGAATGTGATTTATACACTGTAAGGTTTTAACTAAATTCTATTTTGGGGTGGGAAACATTTGAAAGGACTTGGTCCAGCACCTTTGGTCTCTGTACTGAACTGAGGTAAGAGGACTCTAACTCTCTGCTCTGTTTGCTCTTCATGTAGCATTCATCCATTCTTCTTAAGGTTAGCACTTTTGCAGGTCCTGTACCATATTATCAATACCTCAGTCCATTTATTATCCTTATGAGGGTGCTGTGCTGGATAAACAGCTGCCACAGATACGTTCAATCTATTTGGAGTACACAGAATACAGGAGATCAATTCTTTTTCTTCCATCTTTTAACCTTTCATGGGTCTCAGCACCACAAACCAGAGGCCCAAAGTTGACACACATCAGTGAAAAAAGCTGCATATCCAAACAGACTCAAGTCTTGTAATTCATAGACTTAAACTTGGCTGTGATCAAATGTGTTCAGTTCGTTGTGGTATAAAGCTCTCAGTAAGAAGCCAGAAGGCACGATGAGACAGTGCATCTGTCATAAATATGGAAATAAATTAGACATGACAATCACCCCACCTTTTAAGGAAGTAAAAACTTGGACCTGTGAGAAGGCAGCCCAGAACATTTCACTTACAATGTTTCTGTCATCCACGTCCACTCCGGTCTCAATGATCTTCTGCAGGACCTCTGTGTGCCCAAACTTGGCTGCTAGATGTGCTGCAGTGTTCTCCTCCTGAAGTCCAGACAAAACAACACATCATAACTAGAGACAACTTCCTCTGTGCACACATCATCCACCAACATGAGCAGGAGAGGGTGTTGGCATGGGCTGGTTTGAAGCTCAACAGTGTCTGACCTTAGAGATATCAAGATAGAGGCTCAATAAACTATTCCAACCCTCTTATTTGTCATTCAGTTCAGCGCCCCAAAACTGTCATGGACACTAGCAGAAATGCTTAACTCAGGGTCTCAAAGGTAAAGTCAACAGCTGCTGAAAGGTGATGACACTGCACAGAGAAAACTCAACCACATGTTCACACAGTACTGGGCTCATAGTGGTCTGGTGGTTCAGTACCTGACTTGAACTTGTATTTCTTGATGATAATAAACTCACAAAACAGGGGAATTACTTTTACATGACTTGTCAACAGTGAACTTTTCGCTGCATTTTATTTCTTTACTATTAATACAAATCAACATGTTATTAGAAGTTACTTGAGAAAAATCAACTTGTTATCATGATGATGAAACTACCTTACTCATAATAACCCCATCATGTTGGATACCATCTTAGTTTCACTGTGCAAGCTCTGATCTCTCATAAGGTTGAATATAAAATCATTATCTCCAGAACATATACTAAATCAAAACTCAGACTATGAAAAGAAGTCATTTATGTGGCTCACAACACGCACCACTGTGGCTGTTCTGGTTCTAAGTGGACTCTACTCTCTCAGTGTAAACCAATTCAATTCAATTCAGCTTTATTTATATGGCGTTTTTCGTGCATGAGGAAATGCAATTCAAAGTGCCTCACAGAGGCTAAAAACAACAATAAAAACAAAAACCCAACCCTTCCACCCACACACACACCCATGGTCGCACACAAAGACACACACCCACCATAACTCACCCACACATACGCACACACACACACACACAACCGCACACAGTGTTAGAATTTCTGATATAATTTAAAGAGACATGGCCTGTCCCGAGACATTACATGAGGAAAGAGCTACCGTTAGGAAACACTGAAGACACAAATAGAGATAAAAATGGTGAAAAGAGTAAAACCTGATGGACTAAAATAAGAAGATAATAATATTAAATGAACAAATAAATAAAAGGGAAAATTTTAAAACTAACGGGAAATTAAGATTAAAAAAGGCTAAGAACAGAGATAATGGATAGAATGACATAAAATAAACATTAAGAACTTTGATTAAAATTAACATTTGCAATAAGAGAAATCTAAAATGGCAATTAGTAAAAAGCCTGGTTAAAAAAGTGAGTCTTGAGCCTCCTCATAAAAATATCAACAGTCTCTGCAGCCCTGAGGATCTCCGGCAGGCTGTTCCACAACCAGGGACCATAAAAACTGAACGCCGCCTCCCCGTGTGTTTTTGTTTTGACTCTGGGTAAGGTTAAAAGGCCTGTGCCGGAGGACCTCAGGGTCCGCGAGGGTCGATATGGTAAAAGTAAGTCAGATAAATAGTAGGGGCCAAGACCATTAATACATCTAAAAACTAATAAAAGAACCTTAAAATCAATCCTGAAACGGACGGGGAGCCAATGCAGCGATGCTAAAACTGGTGTTATATGCTCTGACCATGTGACCAGCATGACCATGTGACACTGACCAGCACGGAGGAAACACTGACTCTGACCCAGCTGTGTGAGGTGGCAGCTGCTCAGTGAAGACAGGATTCAAAGTCAGGACACATCCTGCTTTTAGCTGTATTTGAGTACAGACAGCTTAAAAATGCTGGAGTGATGGATGTATTTTCACTTATATAACCTTTGACCAAGGTGCGGTCATAGCAACTGAACAAATAAAGCGTAATCATTCAGAAGTTGCAATTTGAAAATTTGTATTTACTTTGTGCACAATGACTAATTGTTTACTCTGGTACAATTACAAATTCACATGTTTGTGTGTGTGTGTGTGCGTGCGTGCGTGCGTGCGTGTGTGTGTGTGATCACCTTGTCCTTCAGAGCATGAGTGCAACCCATCCCAATCAGAAACTCCACCACGTCAATCTGTCCGTGTTCTGCAGCCAGGTGAAGAGCTGTCTTTCCTGACTGCTCACAGAGACATCAGCTGGTTAGCGACATGTCATATAGCTCAGCTTTTTTTATTTAACCTACACATGTGAGAATAATGTCAGTATGCACATGTGTAGGAGAACAATACCACAAAAATGGACAATTGTCAATGAAAGCTGCAAATGAAACCCTGTGAGACCAACACCACTGAAATAATATCTGTACATTTTCAATTCTTTGAGTTTGGATCCTCTACTGCCATTTCTAATAAAACAGGAGAGATAAGATCAGAAACTGCATGTAAGACTATCATACTTCTACCATGTTAAATACATCAAATGATGCACTTAAACCGAGAAGTCTGGTCTCTCTGTATTGTATGTAATTTTTGCTATATTTTTTTATAAATATGACTTGTTTTTTGAGACATGATAAATGAGACTACAGACAATTGAATTTCCCTTCGGAGATAAAGTTCTTCTTATTCTTATATCAGCTAGAAGTGTTTTGCATTTTATTGGTTATATTTTGTGTTTTTAAAACAAATAAAAACAAGCACTAAGAAGTGTTCAGCCTTCTAAAAGTCCTTCACCACCTCATAAAATCCAGCACACAGATACACATTTGGACTCCCAGAACTTTATCTCCTGCAACTTTAACCTCGAGAAAAAGATTTGTTTCAGATTTATCAACATGTGTTGAAGTCAAAATGGATTTTCAGAAGAAAATCATGAACAACAGAGCCAATCACAAATCCATTACTGTGGTATAAAAGCTTTAGTAGGAAAAACAGGATATAAATGTTTCCTTTTCTGCTCCAAATACTATAAATATATGAATGAGTCACATTGTCAACTCTGTCGAGGCGAACATCTTCCAGGTCCTCCATGATGAACTCCAGGACGCTGATGTGGCCTCTCTGTGCGGCACAGTGCAGCATGCTCAGACCATCCTAACACACACATCCACACGCACACACACATACATACAGTCTGAGTGAGTCAGTTTAATAGTCACCTTCCAGTTTGAGTGTGTCATTATGATGAAATGAAGCAGGTCTCACTTTGTTTGTACAGTTGAGTTTTGCTCCACAGGACACCAGGACCTGCAGGATCTTCAGGTGACCGAACCAGGAAGCCAGTAGCAGAGCATTCATACCAAACTGTGAGAGAACATTTCAGAGGTATACGACAGTGAAGCTCTGAGGGAACAAATGTGACAAATCCACTGTGTGTCTGTTTGGTCCAGTGGCTGTTTTTCAGTCTCAAAGCTTTCTAACTGGATTAAAAAGGGAGTAAAAGTCCCTTTAGAGTTTGATCTGCTGTAACCAGTCTGTCCGTATTTAATGTATTATCATTATTTGGAAATACCCTAAACTATAAGCTGCTGAAGCCTGAGTGAGTAATAAATGGAAACACTTTGATAATGAACACATGCTCAGTATTTTGTGTATTTTGGAGAGAGAATTAACAATCTTGTCCCTCAGATCTCTGCAGAGGTAACACTATAGCTAAGTCGATATTATCTGTTTATTATGATTCTGCATATGATGACAGGACACAGAGTTTATGCGCTGATGATTATACAATCCAAACATTTACAGTGATGAGAAGATTTAGGATTAAACTTTGTTTAAGTGAGAGAACGTCAAAATACATTAAAAAAAACAAAAACTTTGCCTTTTTGTTCTTTTAAAAGTTTGTCAGGAACACAAATGGGACTAGATATCAATCACTGTTCTACTATTATATACGACAAACTTTAATATTTATTTCAAGGAACAAATAAAAACTGTGGCAAACTTGAGAGGTTTACGACAGCCGTGCACGTACAGAGTCCTTCTCGTCAATGTCAGTGTCGTGGTCCAGGAGGAGGCGTAGAGCCTGTTCATTCCCAGCTCCTGCTGCCCAGTGCAGAGCTTTCCGATCGACCTGTGCAGAGACAGACAGAGAGGTACACGACCGAACATAACTCTGAGCACAGCTGAAATGACACATGTTATTCAAGTATCTGTGGATATAATAGATAACAGGAGAACAGAAATCCAAAAAACAGCAGCTTTTCTCATAGAAAAGTTTTCGTTAAAGCCTCCCTCATTTAAGGATCTGCAGTGTTTTCTGCAGGATAAAAAAATTAAAGTATTTTGGTTTTGTTTGGCAAAGGAAGCATGTCTTGAGTCTAGCCGTTAACCATTTTAAACATTTTTAAGAATATAAATTATTAAGTAACTTGAAAATCTATTCTCAATAAAAACAATCATTAGTTCAAGCACTAATCCAGATCAAAAGTCTCAGCAACTCAAAGTTACAGCTGATGCACAAACAGTCATGTATTTTATTTATTTCAATATTGATGTTATGCAGTATTTATTTAGACATAATGTCAACATTTCAGTAATGATTATTGTACAGAGTTATGTGGTTGTTCAAGCTAATCTCTTTTTAATGTATCCATGAGTGAGCTTCAGTTGAACATGTAAAGGTCTGGATGTGGTGCAGAAGTTAAAAGATCGATGACTAGACTAAACTCTGACTAAAACACTGGCTCCAGATCAGTAAAAATCAAACACTTACTTTGTTCTTGGCCTTGGCGTCCACACCCTTCCTGATCAGCTCCAGTAGTTTCTCTGTGTCATTTCTCTTTGCAGCATCGTGGAGCTCTTTTTCAGAAACCAGCACTAACAGGGGGGACACACAAACACACAGAGATTTCCACATGGGTTGGGGTTAACGTCTAAAAGCAGCAGCAGTATGCTGTGACCTCCACATTATAAGCTGTAGGCGATTAATGGTCCACAATATGTGGTGGACAGACAACACAAATCCATCACCTGGGTCCAAATATAGAGCCTCCTGGTCATGTGTTACTCTGATATTATTCAAAGTTGCTTATTAGGCAACTTACATTAGAAAAATAAAATACCAAAATATTCAAAGTTCATTATTTTAACCATTGTTGTACTCCTGCATTTGTCAGCTCACATGCTTTAAATTTCCAGATTTGCAGCTCTGAAACACGAGGAACAACAGCAGGAACAATCAGCCATAAACTAAAACTAAAGTTACTGTGAGCACAGAGAGCTTGCTCAACAAAATTAAACAAATATTTAGGGACATAATTTATTGTGTTTCTTCAGGTTAGACAGATTTGTGGGCCTTGATGAGTCTGTGTGTAATTAACAAACACTGAAAACAAGAAAATCGTTCATACCCCAGTAAGTTCAAATGTCTTAAAATAGGACCAGGTGTTCTCAGGTGGACAATCATTGTTGCTACTGCTGACTGGGCGGCCTGATCTGACTGATGGTTGCTCTTAACCATAAGGATGCACCACATTTAAGTACAGAACAGAACTGCACAGACTGGGGTCAGATTTAAGAAAAGACAAGAAATTCAGCAGCTCATCTCAGAGCAGGTGACAGGAATGATCATGGAAATGTGTCTGAGTCAAATGGGGACGTTTGTCCTTCGAATGCAGGAAAGTCAAAGTTTGTCTGGTCTGTTTAATCTCTGTACAGTACAGGAGAGTATAGTCGGCTGAGTTACAGCCAGTTAAAATGGCCTCAAAGCTGATTTATTGATTAAATTTGTGGTTTTGTAATTACATTCTTTTGAAAACGAACTTCATGGGAACATAAATAAAACCCTCATAATCAGTCCATTAACAGTATCAGTCCGTCACAGACACGCAGTGATGTCCTTCAATGTATGGACGACCTTCCGGACAGATTGAGTTAGTCCCTCTGTTATCACACTGTTACTAAAGCCTCTTCAACTCTGAAAACAGAGAAACTGGACTATTAATGTGGAGGCAGTTACTAAATCCCAAAGGCTACAAATAAACTAATTATTTGTTAATTAACATACAGTGAATATTGATTGAAAACCGTAAATATATCAGTAAATAACCATTTCTGACAAGAATCACAGTGTAACCAGACTGGACACCAGTACGGGGTTAAACTGGAACAGCGGGGGAATAACGTGTTTGTCTCTCTCAGGTCCACACGGACATCCTGCTGCTGCTGCCAGATGTGGACCTTCAGCTGCTGTGTGATACCATTACTCACAGATATCATCCTCTGACACCAGGTCGTCCTCCATCTCTGCTTTAGAGACTCTCCGTTTCTGCCATGGTGCCAATGTGGGATTTCTTTTCCTGTAAATGGGGACAGGCTGGACTCCACCGTGCACGGCTCTGTCTGTGATATCCACAATGTGTAGTAAAACCGTCAAGCTCAACTATCAACTCATAAAAAGCCTACTTCCGGGCTGTACCTTCAAAATAAAATAGGTCTTGGACGTTTTACAGTCAAGCCAACAGTAGAAAAACCTGTCCTGCTACTCTAAATATACTCCTGAAGTTTCAGCAATGTTATCAGGTGTGTGAGTTTGGGAGAAAATGGGCCCTAAAGTTAGAAAGGCTCACAAAGATCAAATGTTGAATGGTTATCAGTGCAGATAGAGGTTCTCAGAGAAAGCCTATGTAGGTGCAACACACCTAAGGGTAGAAATAATTTAGTATCCCAAAGTGTGGTGGAGGGTTGGGGTTCATAGATAGTAGATATCCAGGTATCAGAGCTCAGCTTCTGCACAAATCACTTCCACACTTGCTCAAATGCACCTCAAAACCCATACCTCCACCACACTTTGACCTCTTCATAAAAAATGACCTTTACATATACACTTCCCTCATAATATTTCTAAAACATGCAAAACACCAATAAAATAAAATAAAAAGTTCCAGTCTCAAGAAACCAAATATCTATATGAATCTATCGGGCTGTCCCATTTGTAAAGCATCACGTTAATTGTCAGCCTTAACTAAAAACAACTTGATTGATTACCAAAACCTTTTTTCAATACAGCCAGTTCAGACTGTCATAACTCATGATTCTGAGTTCTCTGTGAACAGAAAACACCCCAGCTGGTTTTGGCAAAGTCCTGGATTCTGAGGCAAAAGGCTGATTTTAATCTGCTGAGAAAAAAGTGACATCTGTGAATGACTCACATAAACAAGCCGAAAGGTGATGATCAAATTAAAGACACACAACAGGTAGTTGTCCTTTGTTTATTTGGGCAGTAGCAAATGTTATCAAAGAATAAAAAACTGTATCTAAAGTTAAAAAAGTGTCGTACAAACCACCACGACAGATTTCAACAAAGATTTCTTCAAACTTTCTGATTCACAAAGTCCATCACTGATAAGCAATGATTGTATGTTAGTGAGAGCTCAATGTGCCATGCAGGCCTAAAATATCTGTATTAAGAACACATTAATAATAACAAGAACCTGCTACTCATGTGGAGTAACAGGTTTTCAGAAACACAAACAGAAAACTCCTGAGCTATGGTGACACACTTCCCTCTACATTAAACAGCAGGTGCTGTGGTAAACATATTAGGTATGTACAACAAAAATTCCCTCATATAAACTGGAAGCAAAACATGTTAACTAAAAAAGAAGAAAAACTGCAGAAAATTGACAAAGCTGTATAATTTGATTTTTTTAGTTAACCTGCATGTTCTCCATTATTTTATTGACAGTATTGTTGTGTGTTATTATAAGATGTCAAATTAGCTTTCAAGTAATTTATTCTTGAAAATATCAGGTATTCAAAACAAAAAACAGACATAACAAATGGCATTAAATTTCAGCTGCAGAGAAAATAAAACAAGAACAAATTGCACATTGGTATTTTGTGCAAACAGTTACATGTGCTGTATACAGTAACAATCAAAAATGAGACACTTTTGTCATTCTTACCAAATCCACAGACTGACTGCTCTGTAAACCCTGTCCCCTTCACAACACCTCTTATTGGCAATCATAAATCGGTCTGCTGAAACGTTGACTCAATCAACTCTGAAATTTAGCTCCATTTCAAACAGTCATAGTTAAAATCCTCCCTCCAGTAACACAACATTAACAGCTTTAAAACATCACAGGGACAAAGTCTCTGAGCAACTTTGCAAACAGGACATGGTGGTGGAGCCATCAGAAGATAAATTCTCCAAAGAGGACAACATGGCCTAAAAAAGCATGATTTATTGTGTAACCAAGAACTACACACACTACAGTGGTTGGAGATTGACGGGTTGTTGAAGCCATGTTCGGGAGTTTGTGGTGAAAAAGTTCTTCGGGCATAAAAGTTCAGCAAACACAGAGACATCACACAGCAGCCATTCACTCTGAAGCTTAACTGCCACCTCATTGCAACAATAACAGATTTAGTCTCATATGTGGGCCTAAAAAGCTCAGGAAGCCTGTTTGGTATTAAGTCGATGTACTGTTATCTAGAGGTGCCGCATTGAAAATGTAACTGTAATAGCGCAGTATGTTTAAAGCCCACATCTAATGGGTCGTACAAACAGAAGCTATAAAATATTTGACTGAAACAAAACATAAATCTGTCTTTTTTGATCAAACTGTCTTGATGCTACAGTGAAGTCATGATTTTAATCTTTAAAGTTGAAATAAATGCAACATTTTATGGCCACAATATAATGTTGCTAGAGACAGTCAAACACATAGACTGTATATAGCATGGACGCCGTCTGCCTCCTTGCTGGGTGAAGCCACTGCGAGAAAAGCACCCCCTCTGGTGATGGGCTGCCCTATAGGTCATAAATCCTGCCTCCTCCAGCAATCCCTATGGGGCTTTGGACAAAATTTAGAAATTTATTACACGTAATATAATTTTTTCTCCCCCCTGCTTGCTATGTTGACATGTAGTTACTGTAAGACTGGTTTGTGCTCAAGTCCTCTTTTTTTCTGTACAGCTCCATTTTTAAAAGTTATGAGGGGTTCATGTTTTCTATGATTGACACCTGATACAGCCTATGGGCAATCTATACGAAGATTGCGTCGCTCACCCGGGGATACGCTGTCTGAGCCAAGCGTCACCACAGCGACTCTTGGCAACTCTCCCACCAAATGCGGATAATGCTACTGTGCAAGTGGTGGTTACAGGAAGTGGAGAAAATCCAGGAAATACTGAGAGCTCATTGGCTTCAAATCCGTATACTGGCAGAAAGCGGAACCAAGTTGTTCATAGTATATGCAGTCTATGGTTAAACATAGTTCAACACCTGAAAACTTTTTCAGTTATCCGCTGATATTAAATAAAAACTTCTAATACTTTTGGTGTTCTTAATTTTCATACATTTCCAAAACTTTCTTTTCTTCTCATTCAGATATGACGAGTTATAGCTCCTATCAGGAACTTCAGGGTTATTTTGTATTTGGTGCCCCTCTCCTGGACAAAGTGTCTTTGCTGTGTTGAACTTTTCCTGACCATGGCTGGTTTTTCAGACCAAGTCTTATTTACAGACATTAAAAAAACAATACGATCATATTTTCTTTTGCAGGTCAAGAACGGATGTCTCTGCTAATTTCAGCTTTAAGTTCTCTCACTTTCTGAACTGTCGAAATGATAAAACAACTTTCTGAACAACATCTGAAGCTTCGGCTACTTGACACACTGCATAAAGACAATCTGCTTCCCTGGAGAGACTTGAGCTGTGGTGTTCCTGTATCATCTGCCCATAAGGATACACAGACACACCAGTGTTTCTGGATTTGGAAGGAAGACACTCAAACAAGCCCCCAAATCTTTACAGGAAGTTGTACAGTAGGTGGACTGACACAGATCCTGACAGGACTGCTGAATTATGGATGGACAGAAACTTTGATGTTCATTTTCAGCTCAATCTTTCACCAGCTTTTTCTGTGGCTTGAATTCTTTGCAGGTGTCAGTTTTTGGACCTCTTTGAGGACATGGTCGGCTTTCTTCAGCTTCTCCATGGCCTTAGTAAGCAGATCCTCTGGCATGGCCTCCCCCTCACTTCCATCCTCTAACTGAGACACTCTGCTCAGGAGCTCCCTCGTCTTTTCCATCTCCAGAGCCACTTCAGCCTCCAGTTTCATGACATTATCACCTGGGGCAGGAGAGCAGGCGAAGGAGTCAGACAGCAGGTCTCCACTGGAGGCTGACCGCATCTTTGCTGAGGGTTTGAGTGAAGGGGTTGGCTCTGAGCGGCGACAGAGAAATGCCTTTGATAGGAGTTGGGGCTTGGTCGCCACCTTTGGGTGCCTTAAGCTAACAGAGATCTGAACGTCATCCTCACTGGCGTCCAACACATCCAGCCCAGCGTTGCTTCCTTTCAGTGCAGCTGTGGAAGCGGCCAGCATGTCTTCACTTCCAGAGCCTTCGCTGTCGTCGTCTGAGTGCTGACCACTGTCCACAGATTTCTCCTCTGCCTTCTTCTTCTTCTTCTCCCCAGACAAGTGGCAGAGCAGCGGACTCAGGCTGGGGCTGTCAGTGACTGGATCATTCAGAGAAACGACCACTGTGGGGACTTCACTCTTTGTCAGGGCCTCTTCTGCCTGAGTGGAGCTGGCTGAGGTATCTGAGGCTGTTTGCAGCAATGCGGCGGGGTCTTCTCCCTGGTTTGGCTGTGATATGGATGCTTCACCTTCAGTTTGTCTCATGTTGGGCTGAACAGGTTTCTCAGGCTTTTTCTTGGGGACTAGTGGAGGAGTGGGGCTCTTTCTGATTGGCCCTGTCACTGTTTGTGGCTCATTGTCAGATTCTTTGTTTGCACCTCCTGATTCTTCTTCAGACACCTGACCCTCTGCACTGGGGCTACCTGGATCATTGTTCTCCGTAGAAATTGCCTGCTCTGCCATATCTGTTTCCTCAGCTGTGTCTGTTTCCTCTTTGTCCTCTTCCTCCTCCTTTTTCTCATCTGTAGTAGCCTCCACCTCTTGTTCAGGCCCCACAGCGGGATGGGATGGTTTCTTCTCTTTGCACGGAGGGGTGGGAGGGTGGGAGGTCTCAGAAAGATTGCTCATGGAGCTGCTGGAGCTTGGTTTGTTGGGAGGGGTTGGTGGTGGGCCAGTCTTTTTCCTGGCATCTGGACTCTTTTCAGGAACCTTCTCAGCTGTTGCCTCCTCTGCAACCTCCTCTCCTGGGGAAACACTGGGTTTGGCATCTTTAGAGGGAGGCATGGGCGGCTTCAGGACCTGAAATATGTCAAGTCATCTTGTAAGGGCCATGTTCACCAAAACAAAAAAAGACCAAATAAATAATAATAAGAAGAAAGACACACACCTTCGTCTCTGAGCCATCCTCCTTCTCTGCTTCATCCTCAGGTGGTGAAGTAGGTTTGGCCTCTTTGATCGGGGGCATGGGGGGTTTGATGACCTTTTTCTGAGGGGCAGCAGCTACTTCGGTCTTAGTCTCTTCATCTGGACTTTGCTCTGACGGTTTCTCTGCAGCGTCACTGACGCCAGATGAAGGTGTTGAAGTCTTGGTGGCCTCTTTTTTAGCCCCATCTACACTGACAGGGTGAGTCCCATTAGGCATTAAGGCGTTTTCAAGATCCAGATCCAAACGCAGGATACCATCAGATGACACATCAGCTACCTACAGAGGCAGATATACAGACAAACATTCAATAAAACTTAATAGACAGTTATAGAAATATTGATTAACAAGTCAAATCCATTCAACAAACATAACAACAGGAGGGGAAGAGGCTGACTGAGCTATATAGAAATGGTGCATTCTATTTACCTTGGAAGTTGGAGCTGGGAATGACGTCAGTTATCAGTGTTTTAGTTACAAAGTCAGAAACAAAAGCAGAAACAAGATGGCTAAATCTACAAAAGTTGTTCTCATGCTTGCCCTGTCCGAATATAAACAACTCCGGACAAATATGTGGTCCTTCTGCAACCTGTGAACATGGTGGATGAAGAGGAAACACAAAGGTGTGGAAGGTAGCCTATTTTTTTCTCATTACAGGAGTTTCTACATACTGATTACAACTGGCGCCGCCATCTTTTAATGTCAGCTCAGGGTTGTGTGGATCATCCAACTTTCCGAGTCAGAAATCAGACCTCAGGGGTCATTCCAGTTGAAAGTTTCGACTCGGAGCTTGGAAATCCTGACTTCCAAGTACAACTGGAATGCACCAGAACTACATATATAATAATCATTCCTATCTAGAGGTGTCCCGATACAACTTTTTGACTTCCGATACAATACCAATATTGTAGCCTTCAATATTGACCGATACCAATATTGATCTGATATTTGTGCATAACAAGTTTTTCACTAAGTTGCAATGTCTTTTTCAGACTTAAACAAAAAATACTGCCACACGCTGACATCACTCCAACTCTTTGCTACTTTGTTAGTACCTTAGTACACACTGTTGTTGTGAGTACACAGGCTCTGCATGCTGGATCCGGGCGCTGCTAGATAGAGGTGCTGGAGTAGAGTCTAAAATAGACTACTCATATCAGAGTGCTGATATCTGAGATTTTAGATGCATAATCAGATACTTGTTTTTTTTTTTTTTTTTTGCTGATATCGGACTGATATCCAATATCAATATTGTATCGGGACACCCCTATTCCTATCTGTAGTTTATTCCGGCACTTTGCAAAGCCACCTTGGGTTCTTTGAAAGGTGCTATATCAATTCAATTTATTATTATTATTATCATCATTGTGTCTGCTAGATAATCTTGGACTTTTGGTGCTTAATATTATGTCAAACTGAGAGGACACCAAATCAAATTCACAATATCAGTGAAATGTTCATTATCGCCTCAATTAGCTGAGCAGAGGTTGAACAACATGGTTTGCATCCAAGAAATTAGCGAATGGGTTTCCTGACAGTAAGATAAAACAGAGTTTGCACTGAGAAGAGTACTTTGGCTGGAGTATCATTAAGCTGGCTGAATAACAGGGAGAGTTGATTCTGTCATTCTGTCAATAGCAGGTGATAGCCTTGCTTCTGTTCAGGTTCTCTGGCCACTTTCCCAGCAAACAGGCCGTGCTGGGATCCCTGCGGCTAACACTCCTACAGTTGACAAGAACCTCATACAAGCCTTGTTGAAAACATGAAACTGAACTGTCTCATTATAGAAGCTAAAATACGCAGAAAGCGAGTAATCAAAGTGTACAAACACTCATTCATGCCCACACTGCAACTCATCCACACCTGCTTAGACCTTACCACCTGGAGTCTGTTACACACACACACGCACGCACGCACGCACGCACGCACGCACGCACACGCACACACGCACACACACACACACACACACACACACACACACACACACACACATACATACTGTATGTGTGTGTGTGTCAACTGATTTGAACACAAACCTCTCTCATGTGTATCCTGGTCGGTGGCCGTCGGTTACGGTTCCCTTTGGGTCTTGATCGGGTCACATGCTCCAAATTACTGCTCTCATTGATCGTCACCTGAAAATAAAAGCATATTTATTAATTAACTTCAGCTTTTTTTATAGACTCACTTCAGACTGTCTCTGAAGGTTAGACTGATGTTTACCTCATCAAAGATCTTGTTCTTTGCTCGATTGATGCCATCACTCAGAGCTTTGATCCAAGCCTCCTTCTCCTCTGCGCTCTGGGCCTGAAACTTCAAGTCATGGACCTGTTGGACGCACAAAACAGCTGTCAGTCACACTACCCTGATGTAAACAAATACAGATGGCAGAAGGGCAGCTGCAGGTTCTTTTCAAATAGTTCAGAAATGTCCAGTAAGTTTCACGGAAGTTTGAAATATATACTTCAAATCTTTGTTTTACACTGGGCTTGGAGGTGAGAGTAAAGGTGTGGACAGGAAGGTCGGAAAATCTAGACATTTGCACTCATGCATTGCATTCCATTACATACAGATGCTGTACTTTAACTGCTGTTGTTAATTTTAATCTCTTCTCTTCTCACTTCCTTTATACTCATCGACTGAAATTCCAAAAGGTCTACAGTTTCCTCATGCACTCTTATTTCTTCATAGCCATCCATTTGTAACCCATGTTTGCTGCAACAGCTGAGGCTGAGAGAAGTGTGTGTGAGTTTGAGTGTGTGTGAGTTTGAATGAGGTCTAAAGCTTCATGTAAAGACTAATTGAGATTTTGCCATTGCTGAAACACAGGATTTGATTGGCTGAAATGTTGTACATAGAAGTTTTTGAGCAGCGCCATACTTCAGAGTATTTGCCAGAATATTTGTCAACCTGATTTGTCAAAAATTACAGTAACTTAAAGACCTTTTTACTGACCACACAGTCTCACTTCTGCTGCCTCTTTCTCTGACACCTGAGCTGCTGTATTTGGAGCACTTAAGACTAACACAGTTAACTTTATCTGGAGTCAACATAGGGGGCCTTTTATACACTCTGTGGTCAAAACCAGTCACGTCTCTCTCTGCTGATGATTAGAAGGAATACATGTTTGAGGTGTTTGATATACACTCACCGGCCACTTTATTAGGTACACCTGTCCAACTGCTCGTTAACACTTAATTTCTAATCAGCCAATCACATGGCGGCAACTTAGTGCATTTAGGCATGTAGACATGGTCAAGACAATCTCCTGCAGTTCAAACCGAGCATCAGTATGGGGAAGAAAGGTGATTTGAGTGACTTTGAACGTGGCATGGTTGTTGGTGCCAGAAGGGCTGGTCTGAGTATTTCAGAAACTGCTGATCTACTGGGATTTTCACGCACAACCATCTCTAGGGTTTACAGAGAATGGTCCGAAAAAGAAAAAATATCCAGTGAGCGGCAGTTCTGTGGGCGGAAATGCCTTGTTGATGCCAGAGGTCAGAGGAGAATGGCCAGACTGGTTCGAGCTGATAGAAAGGCAACAGTGACTCAAATAACCACCCGTTACAACCAAGGTAGGCAGAACAGCATCTCTGAACGCACAGTACGTCGAACTTTGAGGCAGATGGGCTACAGCAGCAGAAGACCACACCGGGTGCCACTCCTTTCAGCTAAGAACAGGAAACTGAGGCTATAATTTGCACAAGCTCATCGAAATTGGACAATAGAAGATTGGAAAAACGTTGCCTGGTCTGATGAGTCTCGATTTCTGCTGCGACATTCGGATGGTAGGGTCAGAATTTGGCGTCAACAACATGAAAGCATGGCTCCATCCTGCCTTGTATCAACGGTTCAGGCTGGTGGTGGTGGTGTCATGGTGTGGGGAATATTTTCTTGGCACTCTTTGGGCCCCTTGGTACCAATTGAGCATCGTTGCAACGCCACAGCCTACCTGAGTATTGTTGCTGACCATGTCCATCCCTTTATGACCACAATGTACCCAACTTCTGATGGCTACTTTCAGCAGGATAATGCGCCATGTCATAAAGCTGGAATCATCTCAGACTGGTTTCTTGAACATGACAATGAGTTCACTGTACTCAAATGGCCTCCACAGTCACCAGATCTCAATCCAATAGAGCATCTTTGGGATGTGGTGGAACGGGAGATTCGCATCATGGATGTGCAGCCGACAAATCTGCGGCAACTGTGTGATGCCATCATGTCAATATGGACCAAGCTCTCTGAGGAATGCTTCCAGCACCTTGTTGAATCTATGCCACGAAGAATTGAGGCAGTTCTGAAGGCAAAAGGGGGTCCAACCCGTTACTAGCATGGTGTACCTAATAAAGTGGCCGGTGAGTGTATGGTGTTTTATGAGATTATGTCCAGTTCTTATAAACACTGTGTCTTTTAATCTGAAGCGATAATAACAAACCACCTGAATTTCACTAGTCTACAAGCTTCAGTGACTGTGGCTCAGTTGGAGGTTTGTGTGTCAATAATAATGAATGGTATTAGCCATTAGAGCATCCTCTGTCATGAGTGTATAAATATGGTGTGGATGGGAGATTGTGGTTAGAAGTATGAAAGCACTTTGGAAGATTTGAAGGACAAGAAACTACGAGTCAATGAAGCATTTCCTCAGTGCGAGTCAGCAGCTCCACCTTTGTGTTTTTACATTAGAGATTTTACCCCCACTGCTACAGTGATTCCTTCACTGCCATCAGCTCTTCTGAGGATCATAATCCACAGGTGACACACTGAGACACCCTGACACTGCTGAGCTGCTCTGAGAAAACCTTTTTCTCCTCTCAGTCTCATTCAGCAGCAGAGCTCGAGCGGATGACAGTTACCCTGGAGAAACTGAGAGGCAGCCAAGCAGCTCTTCACATCCTTTACAGGCCCACTCATTTAATTCACAGCAGAGAAGCACAGCACCATACAAACTACAAACAACATGTTCAGGAGCTTCAGTTTCACAAATAGATTGCACTTAATGGTATGTCAAAATGTTGTTTTAGGAATTGAAATAGCATTGTTTAACATTTTCTACTTCCCTTTGATTATAAAATAACAAAAAAAGCAGCTCTGGATTTTTTTTTTTGAAGATATCCACTGTTTCCTGTCTTACTGATGGATTTCTCCATTAAATCTTTTGCTTTTGTTTGTGGATCAGTGTCTTTTTTTCTTTAGGCTCTTTATCTTAACTACAACTTACAGTTTCATTTTTCCAAAGCAATTCACTTCAAAATTCTTCACAAAGTAGTAGACACTTCAAAAACTTTACTAGGAAATGCAGTTGACTACCTAACACGTCATCATCCACTCCTGATAGTGCTCACAGTTGTGTTTTTCCACATTACCAGAAACCTATCATTGAAAACTGATGTTTTTTTCTGCCTCACACACTGGCCACACAAACACACCCTGTTAGGTTTCCAGACCCCCCCCCCAAATTGGCCGTTGTGCAGCAGTAGTAGCGACACACTGGGTTTAAGACGTGTCAATCTAATTTGAGAGGAGACAACATCATTGGGCAGCTGCTAATTCTCACTCCTAATACCACTGACTGTTGAGGGGTAATGGTGAGCCCTGTACCCCACTGTGGGGTACAGGGGCGGTGGTTTACATTTTTAACCAACAGCAGAGGAAGTTACACAGACAGGTTGAAATATGTGTTCATAAGGGGCCTAAGGGAATGCGGTTTGTGACATTGAGGAAGTTATCTATGTTGTCCATCAGCAGTTAGGAGCTACTGCAATAAAGAAGAAGATGATAAAGCAGAAATTAGCAGCTCTTCTGCAGCAAGCCATAAGGTCCTGCAGCTCCTCAGATAGCACAGTCATCATTGTTTTAGGAGATGTAACCATAGCCTATCGATGTCACACACTTGGGGAAGTGCCCAGCTGGTGGGTAATACTGAGCATTTGACTGACTGTACTATAAGTTTCTCCCTGTGTCTCTGCTTTTCTGTGGATGTTAGGTGATGTGGATACACCTCATGCTAAAGAGACAAGCCAATAACATGCATGCTGCAGCTCAACAGTGTCCAGATAGAGGAAATCGTTCCAGGAAGCTCTTTTTGCTCTTCAGGCAGGTCACTTGATTAGAAACTATGAACTCTGGGACAAGAATCACAGCATGAAAAGAATGGTTGTAATACGGCAGAAAAACAGCAAACACTGAGATATTAACAGCACAGAGCAAAGCCTTCTATGGTATTACTGAGAGGCCTGTGCTGAAAAAGGGGAACAGCCTCTGACACCCATGACAGGGAGAGCATGTGAGAGTGGTTCTGTCTCAAAACAGAAGTTTGTCTAAACTGAACTGAAATTCAGGTCCTGGAGCTGCAGCTTGACAAACATCTGAGCTGTGACTCAGTTTCAGCTCAGTTACTGTGTACAGACGGAGGAAAAAGTGACACAAGTGAGCAACACTGTCTGTATACCTCTCTTTCTGTCTGTCTGTCTGTCTGTCTGTCTGTCTGTCTGTCTGTCTGTCTGTCTGACTCACACACACACACACACGCACACACACACACACGCACACACACACACACACACACACACACACACACACACACACACACACACACACAGACACACACACACATAGAAGCTGTCCACCTATATTGAACATTTTCTTGACCCCGCAACCAATGGACTGGACTGGACCTCTTTTCAAATGCTCCATTGAAAGTATTTCTTTATTATATCACCATTAAAATATGATCAAAGTAAATAAACAGCTCTTTTTACATGTGCACCACACACAGAGCAACATCAGCATCTGTTCATCAGCATCTGTTTTTTCAGCTCTGTTCGGTCTACATCATGCCTTTGAGTTGTGATCTGTACAGCTGATGTACGGCTGAATCAGGGGCGCAGATTTTTAGAACTGGGGGGGACGAAGCCGCCAGTCCCGATTCTGGACTCTAAAAAATAATTTACTGTGTCTGTAAGGCGAGATAACAAGCTAACAGCCTCAGTCATTCAAATTCAATGGAGGTGATCTATGACAACAACACAATTGTGCTAAACGCTAACACTGATTCACCTTAAATTGAACACATTGCGCCAGTCTAAATGATTGCATATTACCATGTCTAGATCAGCTAATATCAGTCATGATATCTGACTGGGTGTTAGTAACTAAAATTACAGTTCACTGTTTAAAATGATTACGTTAGCAATTTTCTGGCTTGAAAGTTCATGTTTCTCATAATACAAACTGTAACAACATACACCATTAGGTTTGGCATAATCACGGATTCAAGTACACATTTCCAAAAGACCCCCACAACTCCAGAAAGTTGCAATGGCCGATTTAATGGATAATAAATAAATGCATGAAGGTTGATTCCCCCCTCCCCTCCCCCTTGTGAAATTGGCACCTCTCTTCCTCTATTCTCTCTGCCTGTCTCTACTCCATACGATTTTACTTCCACAGCGACATTACTTTGAACAGACGACCAAAAAATTCCAAGGTGATATGATAACGTAAGGCACAGTTTACTTACAGTTGTTGCTTTTTGAAAAAAGGATGCAATAGTTTTCTGCCTTTTCGGTTTGGGTGGCCTCATCATGCGTGTTGGTAGGTTATGGGGTCCTGAACTAGGAGCTCTCCCATTGATGCCTGTCATACTCGTTCTGGGTAACCATGGCAACCAGGCTCAAGACTACAATGCAGCCTGCCCAGCTCAACAACCAAATATTGATACCAGTCTTTGTGTGGTTTTATGTGAGTTGTTGCAAAGCATGCACTGACATGCAATAAACCTAATGTCAATTTATCTTTTTATTTTCCTGTGAGGTTTGCCTTAAGCAAAGAAAGAAAGAGTTTTTTTTTGTTTTTTTTTTAAATAAAAGTGAGGGGGATGGATCGAAGGGCATTCGAATCTGGGTATGTCGAAACCCCCTTGACACACCCCCTATCTGCGCGCATTGGCTGAAGTGACCTGTCAGACAGCTCTGAAGGACATTTTTAAGCATTAGACCACTGCTAACTCTCCTCATCTTCATCAGTGTCAGCCATCTTAGACTCTCTGGTGAAGTGAACGACAGATATACTGAAATATGCGCTGTATTTTCAGAGGTTAGTATCTACCAGCACAGTGTGGGATGAGGGCTGCTGTGGCTTGTTGTCACTTCCTCATTGAGGTTAGCTGTAATGTTTGTGGACTGTTTCTATAACAAATAGAGTGGACTGAATCTTGAGGTCTGCTTCTATCTTTGAAACCACACGCTTCTTAACTTGTCTTCTGCTTCAACAGAGCTGCAATAACTTTTTCTATTTACTGGTGAGACAATCATATTTGTTTCATTAAAGCTCTCATGAGGATGTTTTATTTAGATGACACTGACTTCAATAAATACTGATGCCTCCTTGAGACCACAGAGGGTCTGAAAATCAGTACAAACTAAAACTTCATATAAGTTTAAGGTGGTTTAGTTTGTGAAAAGGATAGAGTGAAGTAATCCTTTTGTCTGCAGTATTGTATTTTTAATGGTGGCAGATTGTGATAGTGAAGTCTTCACCTCAGGGGTCTTCATTTATTCATTGAATGCATGTTTCCTGATATGAGTTGTCAACCTTACAAAACACTCAAGCACTGATGAGTTATACCAACTTAAAAAGGTTCATCCAGTAACCTAATATTCATTGTTTTGAACTTATTTCCATCAGAGAACCACTGAAATAATATAGTACACATTTTTTTAAGAATGTCCAGACCCCAACCTCTAATCCATGCAGGGCCCTGCCCTCAAACTGGGGTGCTGTCTGCTTTGCGCTCTGTGTCAGAGTAAATATGGGCTAAGAGGTGGGGATGTGCATAAAGAGCATTTAAGTTTCCCATGAAGTTAAATGGTTTCACTTCCCTCATTAAACATGTTACAGTACGCTACAGCTTCCTTAAATACCAGTTCCTGGTATTTAACTGTTACAGCCCTTCATGCACTGAGTGTGTTTTTATAACTTACATTTCTCAGCTTTATGCTTCACACAAACTTCAGCAGGAATCCAAATTAGCATCACTGCTATCACCTTTTACAAGGGCAGCAGCTCACTCTGAAGCATCTTCCTCTTCTTTCCCCTCCACTTCATAAAATAAAGTAGCCCAAAGAAAATTATGTCTCACAGCTTTATCTTCACCTCTTTCTCTCTTCGCCACTTTTACTCTTTCTATCTCTCTGAACTTCACATCGTTCACTATTTTTCTCTTCACCTCTTTCACTCTTTTTATCTTCACCTTTTCACTCCTTTTATCTTTCTGAACTTTACCTCTTTCACTCCTTTGTAAACCAATCACTGTGGACATGAGTCCTTCAATATTCTTCTTATCCCGACAGACACAATCATGTGTTGTCAGAATCAGACATTTGTTTTTTTTTTCTTTTTTTTGACCGTATTGAACAGATAAGAAAAAAAGTACATCATCTTTCATTGTATTAGAGCTCTTTGCATTTTCGCATGTAGTTCATGTTTAGCGTCCCGCAGCTCACCTTGTTTGCAGACTTTGGGGAGCGTATCACAATCAGTCTGTGTTTCTTCTTGAACGGGCTCTTTAACTCATGACATTTATCATAGTTTTCCAGGTCGAGCCTCTCCAAGCAGTTCTGCAAGTCCTGCAACACAAGGCCACATAGATTACCCTCCAAGTCTTCTTCCAATGACAGAGTCATTTAGCTTTATGATCAGTTAATAACAGACCCCACAAGCAGAGCCCAAGCACGGCCTACTGTATTCGACTACAGCTACAGCAGGGTGTGTTTGTTTGCTCTGCACATGTCATGAGGGTTTTGTATGATTTTATAAGAGCTACACTACAGGCCAAAAGTTTGGAAGCAAGATCAGATTTGTACAAAAAAAGAAATATAGTTTCATATATATGATTTGCAACACAATAAACATGACTATTGTGTGAAGAGTAACTTATCAGAAGGCATTTTGACTATAATTATTAGGTATTTGAGTTATTGTTGCTTAGACTTTGCTTTCTTTAAAGTAACCTCCTCTGGCTTTAACAACAGCTTGGCATATACCAGGCATTCGTTCCACAAGTTTTTCTAAGGTATGTTCCAGGAATTGCATTCCAAGCTTTCTTAAGTTCAGTAAAAAGAGACTACTGATTCGTGGGACGCGTTTTTCTGACAGATCGATCCAATTCATCCCGCACAAGCTAAATTGGAGAAAGGTCTGGAGACTGAGGGGGCCAAACCATCTTTTGAAGAACACCTTCCTCTTCTTTTTTTGTCTAGGTAACCCTGACAGAGCTTGGCAGAGTGCTTAGGGTCATTGTCCTGCTGCAAAACAAACTTATGAGCCACAAGTCTGAGTCCAGATGGAACAGCACGGTGCTGGAGGATGGAGTGGTACTGTTCCTTCTTCATGATACCCTTTACTTCAAACAAAGCTCCTACGCCATCACCTGCAAAACATCCCCATAACATGGAACTGCCACCTCCATGCTGAATTGTGGGCGTAACACATGGTGCTTTCAGACATTCACCAGTTTGTCTGCGGACATAGACTCTGCCTTTTGAACCAAACAGTGCAAACTTGTTTCTAGTCATCATAAGTCCAATTTTTGTGAGCTTTGGCCCACTCATATCTCTTTTTCTTGTTCTGTGGACAAAGTAGTGTTTTTTTTGCAGATACACAACCATTCAGACCAGCCTTTCTCAAACATCTTTTCACGGTTGTCAGAGATATGGGTTTCGACCTTGTCATGTTGATTTCCTCCCTTGTTTTTGGTGCTGTCTTTTGCTGATCTCTCTTACTGGTGACAATGCTATGTTTATCCTCTGCTTTTGTAGTAACTCTCTTTTGTCCAGGCCTTTTTCTGTCATCATAACTTCCAGGTTCCTCTAGTCTCTTCAGAGTGTAGTGGACTCCTTTGTTAAACACCTTTAGGCGTTTTGCAATTTCTCTTTCTGTGTATCCTTCTTTCTTCAATGTACAAATCTGTACTTTTGTTTCTTTACTCAGTTGCTTCTTTCTAGCCATTTTTGCAGAAGTTTGAACGCAGTTGAGATTTCTTAGGATTTTTGAATGCAGACTCTCAAAAGCCAAAGAGTTGAAGTGAATAATCCAACTGTGATTTGTTTTTTTGCTTTTGCACTGAAGTTGTGACTCTTGCAAATATTTTCAACCCTAAAACTAAGCCCTTATTATCTTTTGCTGACATATATTTAGCAATGGTCTGTTAACATCAATGTATATCTAAAGGTAAATGGAGTAAAATGGTGTATTTCCATCAAAGCAACATCTGATCATGGAGTAAATACATCCCAAAATACATAAAACTCATGCTGGATTTTTAAAAAAGCATTGTGAACAAAAACTTGAAGTTACTCCCAACTGTTTGGCCTGTAATGGCCTTGCTTCCAAACTTTTGGCCTGTTGTGTAAATAGTAAATGATAAATGGATAGTGTTCATCAGTGAGAGTGATACAGGAGTAAGTGACAGGATGAGACAGAAATGTTATTGTACCTCATTTTCATACACCACAATCTCAGTCTTCTCCACATGGATGAAGCGCTCCTTGTAGCTGGTCAACAGTCTGCCGTGGGACTTCTTCACCCAGCCAGCCTTAGCCAGGAATTTTGGCTCTTTACTCTGGGCTGGGTCCTCTTTCACACCCTAAAACGAAACAGAGGAAGGAAATCACACTCAGCACACATGGCACTGTGCTGGCAGAGCACAGACAGCTATCACTTCACTTGTAAAATATACCTGCTCCCCAGTCTAGATTGAGCAGTTAGCAAAAAAGAGATCCCAAGTTGTACTTGTGGTGTAGTTTAAAAAAAGGTGTGCGAGAAAGAAGAGCAGCTCTATTTCTGACCAGCATACTTGTTAACCTCTCACTTCAGAATATAACACCTTAAACAATATCGAGTTTGTGTTCTGCACAGTTGCTGTTTTGGTCCTATCACGATTTGTCCACAGATGTGTGGTTGAAGTCTGCAACACATCCAAAAAAGGTATAGACAACTCATAGCGAGACCTCAGCAGCTGCTTAGCAACACAATAAACAGCAGCTGGAGTGATTGATGATGGAGCGCTGAGCCAAATCAAAAAGGAAATGATAAACCTCCCATGATGATGAAAGTGAGCTGCTGCTTTCCACCTGATAAATCCATGCTGGTGTGTTTTCTAGACCTTTGGTGGTGTACAAATATGTCCTGAAATGATCTTCTTTCATGGCAGAATGTGGTTCAGTTACTTCATTTGCTGTTCAGCTGGTGTTTTATGTAATGCACACTGCTACATAGATTAGGAGTTCATTCATTCATTCAAATAATCAGACTGCAGAAGAGTAACCTGAAATCACAAACTCTACACATTACTGTGTCTGTCTGTTCGTCTGAGGCATTCGATGCTTCAAATAACAAATCCCCAATATATCATCACATGAAGAACCAGGCCAGTCAATGTGCTGTATAAGGAGAACACATACATGCTGCATCTCCAAATAATGCAAAAATAAATAAGCTGTCTGACAGCAAAGTGATGCACTGAAAAATCCTAACCAGAGAGAGCTCATGCACTGAAAAAGAGGCCTTTGTTAGAGTTTGTTAACAGATGCTAAATTATGTGGTCTGTGTGGTTGACCCCGTTTACAGCGGCTGATAGTCAAGGTTTCGTTCTTGTCCTGCGGCAACAAAAGGGCCAAGCTAACTGGTGTCCTCTGTGGTTAATAATACATGTACTATTAAAAGTATCTCAAACATACTTGTAAAACTGAGCTATCCCTACAAGTCCAGTACCGAATGTGAAAAAAAAACGCACTAGCTAACCAAAGAACTGATCTTTATGCCTCTGGAGATATACTGTTACTGTTACAGACTTCCCTAGTTCGGCACTATTTTTTATCTTCTGACCAGTTTAAGGTTCTTTGCACAGCAGTCACTCTTTCACACACACACATGCACTAATTTAGTGTTTTATTTAAGTGTAAGCTCATTATTCCAGAGGGGTCAGCGGTGTTAAAATATATTGATATCAGGACAAAGGTAAATTGAGATGCTCAAAATACTTGGACGCTGATTAACATGCACGGTCTTCAATCTTCCTGTCTCCAGTCAGTCTCCAGTGGGTTGGGCGAATCCAAAATGGTGAAAACTAGGGGGGTTTTCTGAGACAGGCTGTTACTTGTGAATGGGGGAGCTCTGAAAACAGCCCCATTAGCACTTGGTATGTTCCTCCTGATGAAATTAGCCATAGACTGTAAATTGACATGGAAAAAAATCGAGTCGACCAATCAGCATCTTGATCGACCAGTCGACTAAGACTTCACAGCCATATGACAAACAGCCTCATTACATGTCTAATGCCACGACAGCTGGGCTTTTAGTGAATTGAAGAAGAAGAAGAACTTAATTGATCCCTGAAGGGAAATTCAATAAAATTGTGTAGTTATTCTGACTTTTATCGGTTGTGTTCACACATCACATAACCACCCTGTCTTCCTGTGGAAATTTTACTTGGGGGCTGGCCGGATAATGTTTGGGTGAAGTCCGTCAGACAGATTTCTCCATTTAAAGCACTTTTTAATAGTTTTGTGCAGTTTCAGAACTGTTTGTAATTGTAGAAGTTTGCTGCTTTTGACCCTGTTTAACTTTGTTGCTTAGCAAATAAAGCTTGTTACATTTTCCTTCATTACTCTTTTATTATGACTGTGAATGGCTGCAACCTGGCTGCTGACCTCTGCAAAACACAGACTGAGCTCTTCATGTAGACTTGTGGAGTAAGCTTTCTGTAAACCCATATTCATATTTTTCACAGTGACTAACACACAGACACGTGCAGGTGTCTGCAAAATCCACAGCCTTCGTTTCTATTAGAGGAACTTCCACAGGATATCTTTTTTCCTTTTCTAGGATTAGGTGGGAGGTCATCTCACTGTTTTTCCACTTTCACTGTAGCTGCAAGTGTGTCTCTACTTTGTAAACAGCAGTGCAGCTGCAGGGAGAGGAACGCCAAGTGAGGAGGACAGACATGCCAGATAAAAAGTGAGAGGGGCAAGAATAAAAACCCACTCAGTGAAATCTCTTCTTGGTGGAGAGACGAAGCAGACTCTCTCTGCAGAGCACCTGAAGGTCATGTGGACAAGGAAACATTTCAAACTGACCAAACCTTCACAAAGGAGCGGCAGTGAGAGGTTTCCATTACTAAGAGCTTGGCTGAGTAATAGAGCTGAGCTCAGTGATAGCACACAGTGGGTGAAGGGGCTCATATTTTTAAACTCACACAGGAAGTCGACTCTGCACTGAAACACAAGTCTAACCAGAAGAGTTTGCCCAAACTATTATCAGACCTTTCTGTGGTGTCATAGTGTGCATCGGCTTCAGTGTGTGGACTATAATAACACACAGTCAGACATGGTTCTAATCTTACAATGTGCTAAAGCTAACCTACCTCATGTATGCTGGGTCTTAAAAAGGAAGAGAAAACAGGGTTTGGCTGAGGAGGCACACCTTAGCAGACATGTGTTTCTGATCAAGTCTGAGGTCAGAGAGCATCTGGCAGTCATTGATTTTCACGCTGACCTGCCCAGCTTGAACTCACCACAAGCCCTCAGTGGAGCTCACACTTGACTCCCACCAACTCCTCACTGCTCCAGCTGGGACACAGCACTGAATCTACTGGCTCACTGGTGTTATGAGCTTTAAATGAAGCACAAGTCACTGACTAATCAGGGATGTATTCTGCCCCACAAAAACACCCTGTAAACACATGAAATCAAATGAAACCTTCTCTGATTCATAATCGCTGCATTACAAAGATAAAGTTACAAGATGCCCTTTTCTGTTATGAGATGTCACTTCCTGTTTTGTGCCGTTGCTGTCAGTGTTGTCACAGCCAAATGTGCTGCAATAAAAAAACAGAAGAGGTGATAAAGTCGTCCACACCCTACAATCAGAAGCAGACACAAGCGCTTAGAGCTGGATTGTGAGCTTCACTCACTAGTGGGCTCCTCATCCTGGTTTTTGTCTGTTTCAGGGTTTAGAGGCATAAAACAAAGTCTGCTCCTCGTTTTAGTGTCAAATGTCGGATGTTAATTCAGGAGGAAAGACTTTCACACTTGGCAAAGACTGGATAAACCCTCTCCAAACATTTCTGCCCAGAGTTGATTTAGTCTGAGGACAAAAACACAGACTAAGTTACATTTTAGTTTGTCTAAGCTGATGAAAAGTCAAAACATTTTAGTCTAATTTTAGTCATAAAAGGTCTAAAGAGTTTTTTCTTCATTTTTACTTTGACTCCAAACCATATTTAGCAGATCAGAGACTAGCATCAAGTTGTACCGAGTAGTTACATCTGCTGTTTCACTCTCTCAACACTTAAACGTGCAATACCTGGATTCCTGATCTTAGTCAGATGATTCAGACTCTCCCACAATGCAATGCTGCGAAGGTTATATAGAGGAAAGATCCAAGTAAGTGAAAAGGAGAAAAAAGCATGAAGACAGTTCGGATTTGTACCCATGGTGCACTTGTTGCATTTAAGTCACAAATAATCACTGCATTTCCGAATAACTCAACCTGATACCAGAATGAGCTGTGGGAAAATTCTGGGTATTTAGTCGAACAGTCCACTTAAAACCCTCTAAGCCTCATAATCTTCTTGTTAACAGAAATAAAACATTTATTGACGGCGATGTTACTATGAGCTCATCATCATCTTGTCTTTGTCATGCAAAAAGAGGTTGTTGACAAAAATTCATCCTAATTTTCAGAAGTGTATAAAATCATTTGCTCGTATAAATCTGCACTCTGCTGCTCGGCCTCTCCTCACATCCGCTGACCTCTATCTGACCTCTCTGTGACCTCTCATGGTAAATATGAACCTAATCGAACCATCTTGTGCAGCTTCTTGTTGTCACTGATATTCTGAAGCCTCTTAAAAGGAGATGAAAGACCATGAAATAGGGTCTTTGTTTCTTTACAGGCTTTCTATCCATTTACCAAGACCAACTCTCTTATCTTTTAATGAGACTGACCTCTGACTATCATATCTGATTTTAACCCTTATCAGTCTAACGATCTTCTTTTTTTTTTAGTTCTTATATAACTCGCTGTCATCTGTATGTCACTGTGCTTCAGTCTTTTCTAGGCTGCTGTAAACCTGTTGCCTCAGTAAGGATCAATTAAGTTGTTTGAAAAAAGAAGTGTCAACATTTGGTCACTGCTCATTGCTCAGGAGGAAGTCTAATTTTACACCACATGAGAACATTTATGACCACTTAATGTTGCACAACAGCAACAATGTAAAATAAATACAAGTATCTACGCACTATCTCACAACTCGATATAACCACAAAACCAGCAGAATGATGTTCAAATGAACAAACCTGGGCAGTCAAAAATGATCAAATCAGGTCATCAACAGTTTGTAACTGTTGATGACCTAGTCCCCTTGGACAGTGAGGGTCTTTTGTTTCAAAGTAAAATCACAGTATTAATAATGGATGAATAGTTTATGGCAGCTTGTTCTTTGTGTAAAACATGCAACGTACATTCCTCCACAGACACAACACCAATAAATAAGGTTGTTGTTTACAGTCCTGACTTTGATAATACTCTCATATATTCCTTACATTCTTCTCCTAGGACCTGATTTACAATAAATTGCAGTGTTTGTGTCTGCTAAGTGACACATAAAGATGCAGTCTGAGCTATATTTTAAATAATGGTCAGATATTCTCCTTTTAGGCGGATGAACCTTTTTGTAAAAAATATCTTCATCACCAGAACCAAAAATAATAGACTAAAACTATTGCTGTCTGCTGAGAGCTGGAAAATTCACCGCAGGCTTCATAGGGGAGGTCACACTCAACTTTGCTCGTGTTTTTATTATTATCAGTATTAATATTGCTGTTTTCACAAACAGGGGTGAAATCTGTCTGCAGCTCTGTGAGGCTCAAATCCATCAGACACAAACACATGTGTGCAGACGGGATGGAGACAAACAGGAAAGATGGTGTTTTTTTTAATCTTTCAGATTGCTCCAGGGAGGAAGCGTCTCTGTAAACAAATGTAATTTGTATCACATCTGTCCGCTCTGACTTCACTCATTCCTTGTTCAAAGTGTCACCTATCCATTTCGCTTCTCACTTATTTGCTCTCTGTGCAGCAAAAAGGAGATGCTGCTGAGGGCTCATTTCTGCAATCAGGTGTGAAACAGGAGCAAACCACACAAAGCTGCAAAGCTCTGAGCGTGTTTGCACATGAATACTGTAAGTGTAATTTACTCTGTGGATCTGACCTTGAAACAGAAACAGAGCTGATAGCAGGGGCAAATAATGCAACACTTTGTGCTTTTAACAACCGCAAATTTACCCCTCAGCTGTTGGTGACCACAAAATGAAGGAAATCTCAGCGATGTTTTTAATATTGAACATTTACAGATTTGAACTGTTGGTCCTGATCACGTGACACTGAAGTTGTTTAACTGACAGTAACCTCTTGTCTATGACTGGACTACATCAAGCCAAAATAATCTGCAGCTTTCCGAGTATGAAGGACACTCAGAGGCAGAGAGAGACATTGATATCAAAGACTTAAGTGTGAGAATAACAGAAAGTTGTAAACTGAATATTTCAGCAACATCCTCTAAAAGAATGAATTCTCTATCTCTGCATCTTTGGAGGACTTTTTGTCTCTACAAGTGCACACATTCATTCAGTATTGAGGCACTTTCTTCTTCATAATAGCACTTTCCCCAAAATGGTCCGCTGCGCCCCAATGAGACGATGCTCACACACACACACATCCATTGTGCAGCAGAGGCTGGGAGAGCAGGCCGATTATGAGAGAGGGTTAATTGTTTTCTGCCTGACACATAATGTGCCAGTCTGTTTCCTCCTGGATGAATAGGTCAGGCAGACACGTCACGCTGCACTCTGGGTCAGTGAGATGCCGATAAAAGGATGACTCACAGAGCAGACTAATGGTCCCCATGGACAAGGCCACAGTGGTTTTGTAGAGTGAAATGAAAGAAAATGTGAAGTAGAAAAAGAAGGGGAAACAAAAAAACTTCCAAAATATAAAGGGACAGATAAGAGCTGTGAGGGGGCCACCAACCAGGTAGATGAACTCCAGGTTTAGACGCGAACTTTAACTCAGCACCAAATGATTGAACAAAATTCAAACCATGAGGTCAAAGTTTACCCAGAGTCCTGTCACTAACATGCAAGAAGATGTTGACTTTTCACAAAACAGAGAAGAGTGCTTCATATTCATCATATCTATGGTACTGTTACACAGTTGCTACTGAGTTTTAGAAATGCAGGATTTCAGTCTGTTTTCTGTTGTCTGGTGAATATTAAATTATCGAGCAAACTAGCTTTAGAATCTGCTCAACACTCATCCCAACAATCACAGGCATCTCCCCAACGCCAGCTCCATGACTTCTGTCTCCACAGGGTTAAGAAAACTCACAAACCTCCCCTCTTTGGTTTGGTTGTTACAGTTCAATCAAAATCACAAGCAGAGAGTAAAACAAGCAGAGTAGAAAACAAACTCCAAACTCTTCTACAGCAACCTTTTTAGGAAGTATCACTCCTGTTGGCTCTGCTTCACTTTGGGAATCCCCAAACTCAACATCATTTTCTCACTTCATCAAATGTTTAGAAGTCATGCACACTTGGATTTTAGCCATTTACAAACAAATACTGCCAACTTACTCAACTTCTTCCAAAGTGCCATTTGGTGTCTGTCTCAGTCTTAGAGAATTTAAACATGTGATCGACTTCAACAAGCTTTCTGAAAGTGAGCCAACAGTCACTTTACAGCAGCCTATGGTAACTCTCCGGGAACACAGGGTTCAGGGGCAAACGCATAAACACAGGACAGCGTGTTACATACACATAACAATAGCAACCCCATGGCTACGATGTCAGCAGAAAAGAAATATCTGAAGCTAGAAAGTGAAAACAGTCCAGCAACCAAACAAACAGCCGCCCAGCAAATACAACAAACTCTGGACTTATCAGTAAATGTGTTAAAAGGTCGAATGAAAAAAAAAAACTATAAAGCTCCTCTTCTGTTCTGCCATTGCTGTGACTCTAACAAACCTCCATCAGCTGGCTAAAATACTTTAACTGATGTTAAAGGTTAAAAATAATCTGACAGGGTGATGTTGGACAAAAGCAACAAAAATGTTTGATTATTTAATATCACCCTTTCTTCTTTAAATCACTTTAATTGAAAGGTCAACTGTACTTTGAAAAGGTGGTTTAAGCCGGTTAAAATCTCCTCAGAGTGACCAGGATGCATGAACCGGGTCCTGCTCCCCCTTAAGGGGTTCTATTCAGCACAAGCCGTCTGCCATGTTGCTTCCATGGCAACAGCTTCTTATCAGCTACCTATAGCAGGCAAATCAACTTTAAACTTCACATTTGAACTAATTACTTTCACCGACAGTAGTGTTAGACCAGGTTGAATATTTCTGTCCATATTTAGCTCTCCCTCAGACTGATCCCACACGTCACACATATCACAGAGGAGTGTACGGCACACGAAGTGGACTATTTATGATTTCATCTCTTCCTGTTTCAAAGCACAAACAACATCAAGGATTTTTCCATCACTATCCTCTATTCATTTGGGGTTTATTTGGTTGGTTGCCTGGTAAGAAGTGGAATATTGTTTTGTTGGCTTGAGGTTATGTCAGATAAAATCCAGACAGAGTGAGACAAGACCCTGACACAAAGCAGAGGGTCTTGTACAGTGATATTAATGTAATATTTAATGATAGTGAAGACTGGTCTCGTCACCCCCTTCACATCAAGGGCTTTCTTTTACCTTGTCTAAACACTAGTTCACATTAAAACTGGGTAACTGCACAATATCTCTTACATGTTTTCTAATTCTTGGACTAACTTAGAGTAAGAAAAACACAGAGCAGAGTATGCTTGGAGCTAAAAATACCTGTGCCAAGTTCATGCCAAAGCTCCCTGTCATTCAGGACAGAGGCCGCACAATGCATGAGAGTGGGAATACAACCAATGATCCCAGTGTGTTAACTCGTTAAATACCATTATGTTTACAGGGCTAGGACCATGTACCCCATGACAATGCTGAAAGTGATAACAAAAGTACAACCTTGGGAAATCATTTAACACATCCCTCCATCGCCATGGTGACCTCATAGTTGCCTACACTCATACAGCACTGACTGATCTGTAAAAAAGCATATTAGGGCTGGAGGTAAAACTTGAGGTCTATTTATAGCCTTCCTGTTTCTCAACATGTGACTTTAATTAACACTTCACAGATATGATTGTGTTCACTACTTGCCAACCCACACTGTTGCTGTTTGATGACGATGCTTGAAAATTAAACCCAACACTAATGCTCTATGTACAGTATGTCAGTTTGCTATAGTAAAGTTGATAGTTTGAGAAAAGGAAAAGTTTTTGATCACATTCATAGGGTGGGGTTTCTCACGCATCTACACACACGCTATGCTTTATGTTAGTACTGTAAAGGATGTTTCTGTTTAACTTCCTTTTATAGTTTGCTTCCTCAAAAGGCTAATTTCCCAGCAGCTTTTGAGGTAGTTTGTTTCTATCTTTAATGTAGGCTACCACTACATGACCTTTTAAAAAGTGACACTTCTTTTAAGAATGGCACAAATGAACCTGTGTGTCCATTTCAAACTCTGATTTATGTGCTCCTATAGACGACTGCTAGGCCAGATATCCTTCATATATGAGAAATTACACTTTTCTGAGTTGATCTCAATCAGGAGCCTTACTAAGCCTCGAGTGATTCATCTTTCTTTTACAGTCAGCTCAGCAAAAGCACAATTTATGGACTATCTTTGATTTGTCAAATTAAGTCACTTCAGATACTTTTCTTGAACGCGATGCGGGCTGGGTGTCTCTCAGATGTTAAAATGCAAGTCCGATACAATCTACATTAGGGGTTTTAATGATGCCGAATACACTAAAAGACCTGTCTAACCCAGATAAAGTCTGAACTTTTATTTCTTTTCGTGTACGTTTGCGTCTGCACCAAAAATGACGCTTTTTCTGTAGCTTTCTGTTACCTCATTTCTGCTGGAATCTGCCCAACAAGTTGATGCAACAGATTGACAGGTGGGCAGGTGCTTTGTGCCAAGTTGTGTCAAGCTTCTAAAGAGTGCAGGGCACCGCCTTGGACAGCAAAAAAGCCCACAGCTGACATCTGTCTCTAGACTTTTTACACAGTTGTTGATTTGAGTAAACTCAATACTTTTCTATGGGCCCTTACCCAGCTCTCAGGACTTGGTCGCGCCCTATCAGTATTTTACCACTGATGTGTTTTTAAACATATCATCGTAAACCCAGTGATCACTCCCGATTACACGTTTTAAACTCATTTTACATTGCACATGCAGAAATAACATCCCAACAGGGAAGTGGCGTCTGTAGAGGCAGAGCTAGGACTATACTCACATCTTCCATGATAAAGGACCAAATCCGTTATGTGAGAGCGGAGCAGCCTGAAATCACTCGACGTCGCCCTTATTATCCTCGCCAGAAACCGTTTCCTTCTCCCCGTATGGTCGGCAGCTGACACATTTCCAACTCCACGCGGATATGCAGAAAAAAGGGAACCGTGCTGTTTTATGACACTACGGGCTCGTCTTTTCCTCTTTAGCCTCGGAGCAAAAAAAAAGTTCGAAGAAAAAAGTTTGGTTTCCGGTTGAAGCCTCTCTTTACACTTCTTGAATTGAAGAGTCTATCGAGGAGGAGCAACGCGAGCAGCAGCGTCTGTGCGTGCATCATCTGTGGCATCCCGACTCAGGCTCAGCACACTAGAGTCCTGTACGAGAAAAGTTTTTGTTAGTGCAGTTTGCAGAAAGCAGTCTGCATGATGATCGGATCTATTTTCTGCAACAAACCAGGGCTGCAGATTCTGCAGCTGCAGCATCCTCTGAGATTCGCAGAGAGCGGACTCCTCTCATTAAAAAGAGTCTCAGCACAAACATGTTTGACTAAACTCCAGAGCAACAGATATGCAGTAAGGGATCATGTAATTTAACTGAATGCCGTTTACTTTGGTGTGAATCTTTAGGACATAAGTAAATGACAAACTTTACACTGGCCTTTCATGTTACTGCACTCTTCACTTCCTGGTGGGTGTGGTGTTTAAGGGCCTGTTTGTTAGTGGAGGAAAGTGAAAATAACAGTGAAATGAAGAATCCAGGGAGGTAACGGGACCACTTTTGATGAGGAACAAAGTGAACTATTGTTAATCAGTGGTTTGATAGATATTTACTCCACTTGAATGACTGAGGAAAAAAAGTCACAAACCACAAGTTAACTTGGGTTTTCAGGTTGTAACACAGACCTTTAGTAAGTGTAACTTAGCTGTCGATTAAATCCCAATTAAATGGTCAAACTTTCACAGACAAACCCTAAAGGCTGAGTGCAGTAGGATGGAGTACAACCACAACCCCAGCTCTCTTAGGTACTTTATCTGAAAGGATTTGTTGACGTTTCTGTCAGTGTTTCTGTACACTACAATGCTAATCTTTACTTAAAACCACAATTACATCATCCCACATTTTATAAAGACTGTTAAAGTAGGCCACACCCCTGACTCTGCCTCATAACATGTACATTACAGTTGTTCATTTTTGTCTAACACAGCAGCAGGAAATAATTCGCTTTGCCACAGAACACAGTGGAGTTACATATATTTTTTTTCATATCGATAACTTCTTTTACTGTTTAAGAAAAAACATATTTATTTTTTAATCACTATTTTATCCTGTGCTATAAACAACATTACATGTCAGAACAGTTCAAAACCAAAGTTGCTCTGACAGTGTTCAAATCCACAGCTCCAGTAGAGAACCTGCAGGAGGACAGAGATCCATAGAGAATTAACTTTCCTACATGGTCACACGTTTGAAGAGTTAAACACAACTTAGAAGATAAGTATACCAATTGTTGTCCTCTCCCATCAGTGTTACAATGAAAATTTAGAGATGCTGTGCCATGCACTATAGAATATATTTCAGCTGTGAAAATGAATGACTATTGTGTCAGCTCTTGCTTTCTCTGAAGCCACAGACTTTTGTCACGCCAATGCTCACTAGGATACTGGAGGAGAACAGAGCCATTGTCTCTGCTTACAGTACTAATTGTTCTTTGACCTGTCCAAATGTCGGCTGGGACTCTTTGCTTTTGATAAATTTGACCAGAGAGAGCTGTAGCAAACTAACAGAACCCAGACTACTGAGCCAAAGATATCAACTAGAACTCTCAGTTTGGGAGGAATACACAAATCCTGCTCTGCAGAGAGGAAAAAGGCTAAATCTGTGGGAATCTGAACTATTTAAGATTTGTCTCATATTGGAATTTTACACTAAATCTGTATACAGAGGTGTTGAAGAGTATCAAACTCCCTGTTCCCCCCTGAGGTGCTATCTATTCCCTGTTTTAAGCATATTAAAAGTATTTTTATTATTCACTTCATCATGAATTACCCATACATCTCACAAGTCCGGACACTGCTCAGTGACCATGCCTCATCCTTTAGTCCTCCAGATCTGACCATCAGGTCAGATGATCATGACTCGACTGTGGGGAATGTCAAGTAAATTCAAACACTAGCAGAGAAAATGAGTTCAACTTTCACACCACAGCTTTTCTTGTTTCTGTTTCGTGCCTCCACATCTTCATTCTCCTCCACACTGAAGCTGTGGATGGACTGAGATCATACATTTTCATTGTGCTGATGTGATAATATCAGCTGTTTCCTCCAGATCTGACCATCAGGTCAGATGATCATGACTCGTATATCCAGTGTTGCCGAAGCACAGGTTTAACTGACCTCATCACTGTGGGCAGAGGCAGCACAGCATGAGGCAGCACAGCCTGTCGTGGTCTGGCCAGTCAGAGAGACCAGCCAATTATTTTGTCATCTGGATCACAAGAAGATGATCCTGTCATTATGAGAAAACCAAATTTGCTTTCCCAAGATTATGGGATGAATTTACTGGAAGCTACTCTTTAAAAGTAATGATTAAAAAAAGTCAAACTCTGAAACAGATGTATGCATATCTACTTCAAGCTTCTGCACCTCTGTCCCTCTGCCTTTATCTTTCTCAGCAGGCTATCCCTGGAGATGTTTCAAAAAAGCATCAGGAGGAGGGGAGCAAGACAAGAGGAGGGGACCAAGACAGCAGGATGCACACGTGTATCTGCGTTACCTTACATATATTCAAAGACGGTGTATACACAAGTGTCGTGACCACTGTTTTGCTCATCTTGCAGGGATCATATGATGTATCAGAAAGCTAAGTCAAAACAATGGACATGTGATGCAGCTGAGCCAACATCATATTTGCTGGCCCTGTTTTCAGGTGGCTCTGAATCATGAATGTCTCATTTTGTATGATGGCAGTTTCCTCCCCTTACCCTTCCTCTGTTTGAATCTCAGAGACAAAAAGTAAGATGTAAAGTGTGTATAAGGAGAAAGAAAAATGGGATGTACAAGCCAAGGAGAGGAATAGAAAGAGTCCGTGTTTAGCTGTGCAGTCTGCTAGTGCGAGTCTCCACCTCACCACTAGATGGAGCCGAGATAAAACATTTGAAAATCCTGATTTCAACGCCTCAGTAAAACAGACCACAAAGATTCTCCCTCATGTTTTCACCAGGATCACACACCTACTTTATCTGTATGCCCTGATCTAAATTCTACATCTAATTTACATACTTTGTCATGATAACACGCACTCTGGATCAAATCATTAAAAGTCTTTGTTCCCCTGAATCCTTGTGCTTTCTTACACTCAGAAAAATAACTCATGGCATTATTTATTTTAAAGTACAGTATTTGCATCTATTTGATTATATTTAAATTGATTTTTTTTGTAAAATTTATTTGTTCAAATGTCTTTAATTAGCATAAATCTGTTATTCTGAAAACAATTCAATTTAAATCAATTAAAATGTATGAATATAGTTTGAATGTGATAAGCTGTGGATCAACCAAGTTTATGAGACAGAAACAAATTGAAGTTATGAATGATGAATACATAAGTCTTCATTATTTATTAAAAACACATTGGGATTATTACATAAATTTAATTCTTAATTGTTTCATTTACATTTGACTAACAAATATGCAGCTCGTGAAGTTTATTGGCCTGTTTATGTTTAATCTAAGTAATTCAAAAGGATGGAAATTTTGAGGCCTAAATATGTCTGTGAGTGTAAACCTGGGCTGCTCAGAGTAACAGTAAAAATGAATCCGGAAGAATGGACACTTAGTAACAACGCATATTGTTGATCAGATACTTGAATATACAGGAAAGGGAAGGTCAGGGTGTCTGGTCTGCAGTCAGTCACTTATTGATGGCAGTATTTGCTGGTAGAGTTCGGTCAGGTTTATTTCCTGGAAGGCTGCACACAGCTCTGAAGATGATTGGTAGGTCATCACAGTGAAATCCTGCAGACTGACGAAGAAAAAAGCACAAGAGAGCTGCACTGATACTGCCATGTGATTACATGGATACAGTGATCATAACTTGATTCCGTTTGTCTACTTCAATCCTGAGTGCTTACCCATGTCCAGAGGAGGAAGACAAAGGAGCCTCTATGAGAACCTTCATCATCCTCTCTTTGCATTTCTTCCCTGAAGAGTCCACGTCTACCTTCACTGTCTTCAAGAGGCGACAAAACTCCTGCAGAGAAATAATTACTGTAAGGAAAAAAAATCACAGCATCTGCTAATGTCGGTCATCAAAGTAAACATTGTGAATATATCCTTCCTATAAAACTCCTCTCTTTGCTCAACACCAAATTCAGTGTTCGCCTCAGTCTGCAGTTATGTTAGTCTGACTCAGACTATTTATTCAAATAGACACTGTAAGTGTTCACTGACTGTGAAGTGAAAAGATTTATATTTCCTCTAACTGATGGGATGCAGCAGGTCATAAACCCTGCCTCCTTCATGTTAACAGGTGGATCGAGGGTCCTACCAGAAAAATTAAACTCACTTTTAACAGTCCTCCCAAATATGTTTTCTGTTGTTATAACTCTTAATGTCTGAACGCTACTGTTTTTTAGGCAAGTTCAGCTTTGATTTATTTTATTTTGTCTTTGAATTGTATTATTATTGTGACATGTGCTGATAACCTCTTGGCCAGGTCACCCTTGTAAGAGGGATCTCGATCTCGATCTCAATGGGTTTCTTACCTGGTTAAATAAAGGTTAAACAAAAATTGATAATATAAAGATGATTGACAAATGAAGCTGCTGTTGCAGCTCTGTACAGGGTTATCAAACTAAAGGAGGAGTGGTGAGAGAAAATGTAACCAAGAGTTACTGAACTCTGCGTAGCCATGAGCGTCTGCTTCAAATCAACACACAAGAATCTGCTCTGCCAGACTGTACCCACCTGAGGGATCTTTGACACTTGATAGTTCAGTTAAATGTGTGTGACGTCAGACCCTCAACTCTACCAGCCAGGTCACTTCTGCCCATGCTTTGACTGAACAAGTGCTTTACATCAGCACCCATGAGGGCTGGTCTTTGGCTTCACATCTCACAGTGGGCAAAAAAACAGAGCTCACTAACTTTTCCATACAGAGATAGTGGTCTGACCGAGCAACAATACTAGACTGCTTAAAATGCCAGTGTTATGGTGTTTCCAGGGGAGGCAGTCTTAATCTACTGAGAAAAGAGCATTTTGTATTTTACCTGAAAAGACAACTAATGGAATAGTCAGTAAAGTATTTAAGTTAACTATTTTTTAAAAAATCTCAATGATTTATATTATTAAGGTATCACTGCCTGTTCAAGCCACCCAGACCTGTACTCCTATACCTTACTTACTCCTGCTGCAGTTTGTTAGTGTCACTTTAAGCAAAGCTGAGTATCAGTCATACAATTAAAATGTTAATGTATGTACGTATGTATGTACACATATATCATACCTTTGCAATGTGCAGCAAGTTTGAATGGTCACAGTAATCCATCAGGTCATTTTCTCACAGTCAAGCATGCAGAGTATCCAGGTAACAGAATGTGGAACCGATTTGCATGTTGTCTGTGCATCTTCTTCACAAGTGTGCGTCTTCTCCGTAAGCTTTGTGTAAAGCTGTATTAAACTTCTACATTTATGAGCATCAGTTTGGCTGAGCTGGAAAACCCTGTGTTTCATACACAGAGGCTGCAGTCTTTATCAAAGCGACTGAGAGTTTCATGAAGACCTTTATGAAAGGTCTTCATGAAACTCTCACTCTCTGCATGCCCTACACTCTCTCCTCCCAGCTTCTTTTGGCCTTTTTGCTGCCATTCTTTTCAACAAAGGAAAATGGCCCAAAAAAAGATCCTTAACAAGGAAACATGTGTTGATACCTTGATGTTGGGTTTGGCCCCCTGCAGAATAACCAGTATACTGCGTCCCAGCAACAACCTCCCAGCAAGCTGTAGCTGCTGGCTCCAGCGCTCCAGCAGTCCGATGTAACGATTTTGAGAACGGATGTGGTCCAACGACAGCACAGCAGTCCATTCCTCCTCTTTTTCTATCCTTTTTACCTCTTCATCACCTTGTCTGCATTCCTTTGTAATCTCCACAGACTGTTAAGATCACACAACCAGATAATCGTGAGTTACTGCTGTGAAGGGTCCCCTAACTTTTTATTTTGCTTGTGCTTTACAACTTCATCGGACCTGTAACCACTCCACTAGCTGATGAATCATTGGTTCTGGAGGGAGATCTGCAGCTTGATCGAGCAGCTTCTGCTTGATGTTGAGACACTGAGTCCTGGAGAGATGAGTGGAGGAAATGGAGATGTCGGGGGGACAGGAGGGGTAGCTGGGGTGCAGATGGAACAACAGACTCACTTCCAGGTGTCTTTCTCCTCCGACAGTGCTGTTAATCTGGACCACAAGCCCATCCTGAGCTGAGAGAAAAACAGGGTCTGGTTACAGTTGCTGTAAAGGAGAAACATATTTTACTTAACTGGATCCATTTTTTCCAGGGTTCTTTAATAGCCTTTTTACGCTCTTGTTTGCCATGTCTTTGCTTATCCTCAGAGGGTAAAAACGTAACAAAGTTTTATCTTAGCTTTTTTGTCAGACCTTAGTGTTTACAGGACACGTTATGCAAAGAGGTCTAACATATAACTCAGAATGCTTTTTTTCCTCATTTGTCAGACTGTAACAGGCTGCAGGCACGGTTGGTGCATGCACACTAAAATTGCCTGATGGTGGCGCCAAAATCAACATAAACCAAAGGTTGCTCACAGCTGCTTCGGATAATAGAAATGAGTTTCACAGTTCTACGATTGAAATTTAAAATCTTAATGGTGAAAATGAAAATAATAAAAAAAAAACAATTATTACACCTCATTCGTGTCATGTGACATCCTCCACCAGAAATATATTACTTGAACATCTACGAGGTGGTCATGACAATGATTTAGCTACTTAGATTTAATCCAACAAGAAGAAGCAGCTTTAAAAACTTTAAAGGCATTTAAACTTTGTCGATCGCCGACTTTTATGGACATAATCAGTCTATTTTTAGAGACATTATTTCAAGTATTTACATGAGTCGAGCTTACCAGACTGCTGGATGAGCTGAAACTCTCCGTCTCCGCAGTATATAGACGACAGGACAGAAACCTCCTCAATAGCGGCTTCAGACATTATAATAAGTCAACGTTTCACCACAAGATCATGTTAAACACATTTACAGCCATCTTACGGTCATACCCAAACAGTCTCTGGCCATGCCATGATGAACAAACTTCTTCTTCTTTGTTGAGTTTAGGGGCGGTTGGCCACCTTTAAGAGGGCCTTACCGCCACCTACTGACCCGGGGTGTGGGTCAGGCTCTAATTTTCTTCTCAACCCTCATGTTGTGTTCCGGTCAAATTTGACCGATTCGAAAGTTTTATTTCTCCCAAATGTAGTTAATTTGATCAGACTATCCTGAAATTCAATGACTTTGTCTAAAATGCGAATTTCAACACACAAACTACATTTTATTAATTTTGAGATGGTCTTGTGGGTTTTATTCAACTTTTATACAATCTTGTGTTCACGGTCAAAATTGACCGCTCATCAGGAACGAATGGGAGAGACAACACAAGTGTAAAAAAACTGAGCTCAGGTAAATCCCCATTTGTCTCTCTCTCTCTCTCTCTCTCTCTCTCTCTCTCTCTCTCACACACACACACACACACACACACACACACACACACACACACACACACACACACACACACACACACACACACATATTTGTACAAGACAAAGACAGATCAGACACGCAGTCAGAGTCAAAAGGTTAGAAATAAAAGAGATCAATCAGTAAATTATCAAACATTTATGCATTTGATGTATCTGATGGGTTTCAGTATAGCAGGTTTACACAGGTGTAGGAGCTGCAAAGAGTCTCGCAGTTCACTTACGCTGTGTTCGAGTTACCTTGGAAGTCAGATGTCCAGGGGCAGATGGCATGACCCGAGTTACCAGCGTATCAGTCACCAAGTTGGAAAAAAGCAAAGGTGGAGGCGGAAACAATATGCTGCAGAAGGACCGCATATTTGTCCAGAGGTTGCTTGTATTCAAACAAGGCAAGCGCTAAAATAACTTTTGTAGATGTACCCATCTTGTTTCTGCCTTCAATTTTGCTTTTTTCTGACCAGGTAACTGAAATGCTGGTAACTCGGGTGTGATGTCATACCCAGCTCGGACATTTGACATGGCTGGTCGGTAGACTGTAAGTGAAGCTCTTGACTATATTTTTGATGACCAAACTGGTCAGGAGGAGAGAGGCAGGGAAACTGCTGGTGATGGAATGATGGAATTGAGGAGGAAGTGTCAGAAAATGAAGACGACACGGAATATAACATTGCTGACGGAGATACAGGGCCGAGAGGCAAAATCACTTGCTGTAAGAAAGAGCGGTGACAAGAAGAAAAAGCGGTGCAGTCTGTATGTGCCAAGAGATGTAAAAAACAAGCACAACATGCCAGAAGTGCAACATGTGCATGAGAAAAAAACACCATTGGAGGAAGCCTGATTTTGTTAACAGTTTTATGCTGATATCAGGCAAAAAACACCTGAAAAACTGATCTAATTGTATTATTTGTGTTCTGGAGACATTGATCTTTAAGTACTGTGAAGTTGTCAAGTGCAGTTTCTAAGGAGTTCCCTTTGTGCACTAATAAAATATTCCCAGTCACTTTTGACCAAAACACAACATGTGTTACTTCATGTGATTACATAAACCCTCTACATGGTTTCAAAACAATTGTATTAACTTTGACCCAAAGTAGTCTGTGTTGAAAAAAAAAGTAGACTATTTTTCTTTTGATTATTTCTTACAATCAAATAATCTGGAAATTATGCCTTTGACAACTCAAATTCAAGATGTATAAGCTCGGATCAATGAGGCCTGCAGGCCATGAATAACAAATAAAACTTCGAAACTTGAAATGTTTACAACAACTTAAGTTAATAGAAATAAAAAACTCTACAAGTAGTCATTATTTATGCATTATTACAGTTTCTATGATGAGTCTTAATGTTACCGTCATTTTTGACTGGGAACATAAAAATGCTTAACATGAAACGACCACAACATGAGGGTTAACTCATATTCCTATCGCTCAGTAAATTAATAGAAAAGAAAAAATAATGACTAAACAAATAAACAATTATAATAATCAAACAAACAAACAAATAAAAGCTCATCTTCTATCAAACACCCCTATGCTTTTCAGATACTCCACCAACACCTTTGATTTATCACCACTGCCTTCACTAAGTATGTCATTCAGCTCAAATCTCTGGATCCCACCCTCCTCATCTTGTCCCTCATCACTCTCCTTTGTTCTTCATATGCCCTACATCCCAGCAATACATGTTCCACTGACTCCTGCTCCTTCCCACACCCCTCACATAACCCTGACTGATGCTTCCCAACTAGCTTTCAATGTTTTATTCAGCACACATTGTCCCAGTTTCAACCTTATTCATACATTGCTTCTCTCCTGCTACCTCTCCTTACCCCATACCCTTTAACACTATGCTGTACCTGGTAGAAGTGTCGATCTCTCTCTTCCCCATCCCATCAAGCATGCCACAACTGATTGGCCTTTCCCCAGATTATCCCCTTTGCCTCCACTTTGCTTATTCTACTATGCACATCTACCCTCTCCTTCCTTATAGCCCTTTTAGCTAACAAATCCCCCCTGGTATTTTGTGAGTCATATCAGTTGTTGTTTATACTGGAGACAATTTCCCGCAAAAATAAATAAATTTTAGCTTTGTCCTCATTTGGCTCTCCTCAGCCGAGCAGTTGACCCTACAGCAGAGGAGGGTCTGATATAAAACAGGACAAAGCTGTTTGTGCCATAACAAGAGCATCATCACTAACATGGAGACTACATAAACAGCTCTGGACCAAGATGAGCCCGTTTGCAGTTGTTCAACATGAGGATGAAAACATTACACAATCTAGCTGTTTCCTCTGAGGAATGTAAACCTCAGTCACCAGAGTCCAGCTGTCTTGTGTAAAACCCTTTAGACCATGTGGCTCTTTGAAAGCTGTTTTATGAGTCTTTCACCACCAGCTTGTGTTCTACGTTCATGGAAATGTTTGACAGATTTTCAAGTTTTCACAAAGAAAAACAAAGAAATGTGGTCATTCGCCCTGAACACTCCAAAACCAGTAATCCAACAGTTTAGTGTGAGGACACCTCTCAAGAAATACTGCATGATTAACCTCCACCCTTCCAGTGCCAGACATGCACATCTGCACCCTCTCTTAAAAACTGACAGTATTTCTGGCTGCATTACTCTGCTCAATCCCAGCTTTTAACTGAATACAGCAGTCAGCTGGTAGAACTGATGTGCGCTCCAACAGTCAACAACATAAAAATGTGATCAACAAAAATAAGAAAAACAATAAAAAACAGAGCTGTCAGGGCCAGGGAGAAGCAAAATCATAACATCCAGTTTTTATGACTGTGTGGACAGAGTGTCATAGAGAACAGATTCAGCACTTCTTTTTGAGAAGCTCAGTGATATCTTATATTAGTGTGGAGTTGAAAATGTTGCTACTTTAAAAGTTTGGTAAAACAGAAAAAAAAGCAAAATAGAGAACAGCACAAAAGTTCATGGTTTTGTAAAAAGTGCATTCTTTATTATGCAGTTTTGTTTATATTTAGTAGTACATGTTTACACAGTCAACATAATGAAATTAAAAAAATATTTTAAAAAGATCTAGAAAAACAAGTCTCATCCGTTCATCAGGCAGGTCTGGCAGCAGAACTGACGGTAAAGCTTTTTCTCACAAAGACGGTTGGACTTGACCATTTCACAGAACACCTCATCAGCTGAAAGAGAAACAGAAACAGTCAGTTTAATATCCTCAGTTTTAGAGAAAATAAGACTCATTAAAAAAAAAACTAAAATCACACCATTGAATCTCTGCTGAAAACAAGCTAGCTAATACTGTTATCAAACATAAGACTTTGGGCTCTATTTTCGTGCCTCGCCAGAGACGTGGTGTGGCGTAAGTCAGGTCCACCGCGCCGACAAGGCGTTCCCAAGCACAATTTGGTATTTTGGTGAGCGGCGCAGCCCAGCGTAAGTATCCCCCCTCCCTAACTCAGCTCCTCCCAGCAGCTTAAGTCATAGGGAGGGAGGAGAGAGGGCGGTGAGTGGGTTTAACACAGCTGAGACCTGTATTGACCAATAACATCAGCTCCTCTCCTCACCTTTAAATTCGCCACCGGCGAGGTGTATTACAATTTTCATGCAGTAGTCAAAGAGATCAGGAGATGTCTGAAGACAGCAATGCCACACGATTGCGACAGAAGGCAGCTCCTTAACAAGTGTCGCTGTAAGCGCCGCAGAGGGCGTCCTCCACACTGTCTCATATAAGCACAGATGTAATTTGTGTTGTAAGGTTGGACCCACTGGTAAGACAAACATCCCTTTCCACAAATAAAGGCACTCACATAAAGTTGCATTTAAATTTTTTATTTACACCCCACATGTCAAAGGTGGGTTGTGCGTGGCCTGGCTCTTTCTTTCATTGATGTTGGCATATAAAATAAATTTGGCTCACAAAACTGAATATTATAATATTCGTATGTGGGCCTGACTCCGGATTGAATATTTACAAAATCTTAATGATGTGAAAAAATCAGATAAACAGGTAATTTTGAGTGAAAGTTTCTTTTCTTTTCTTTTTTGTTCAAATTTTCGAAGTAAATAACTCATCTGATCACTAAAATAAATCATCTGGTCAGCCGTGCCACCACCACAGCAGCAGGACGGAGAGAGGACACGGAGACATGTCAGGTGTTGTGCCATAGAATGCACCCCTGCCGTAGAATGCACCCCCTGACGGGAGCGCGGTTGAAAGTACACAACAAGGTGAAATAATTTTCCTTACCGTTGGACTGATTCTAAAGCGTGTGCCTTTAATGATTTCATTCAAGCTATTCAGATAAGCCAAAAACAATAGCCCTCTGATTCGGAATATTTACTGCCCCTAAAATACAATGTTTCCTACCTTAACAGCTTAATGTACAGTTTATATACCCAAGTACACCTCTGTATGTGCATTTTTTAAATACCTAAAAACAGAACAAAAGTTTGCTGCTCCATTTGACATGTTGTCATGATCCAATACTTGTGCTTTTTTTCAATATGAGATCATTTATTTCCACTTTAAGAAGCTAATGAGTGGATGGGATGCAGGGGATGCATTCTATGGTGGGGGTGCATTCTACGGCATAACACCTATTGAGCTGCGGGAGGAAGAAGGAGGGTAAGCGGGGGGACAAATTAAATATCTTGTTAACTTCATCATGTGTGACTGTTTACTGGATATTTAATGTAATGCAGTTTCAGCTGTGTTAATTCGGTCAGGTGGAGCGTCCAAAAGCATGCCAAACACGCTCATCAGATCAGATATAGATCAGAATATATCTATATAGATCTAAATGTATGTGCTGACTCAGAGTAATAGTTGTTGATGATTATTTATTGCACTGAAATGTGCCTGACACTGTGGAAACCTGCCGGTGAGGCATCAGTGACGTATGCATAATACACTGCCGGTCTACCAAAATACCTCTAGACCAGCTGCGCTCCGCCTGCGCTGAAAGCTGACCAGGTTTAAATCGGCGAGCTTTCAGCGCACTTTTCACGCCACCGGTGAGCACGAAAATGTCACTGCGCCAGCTGATTCTGTCGACACCTCCCCCTGCCACGCATCCACGCCCAGCTTGGCGGACCTCGGCGCACCTCAGTCTACGAAAATACCAAACTGGCTGTGCGCCGGGCTCCGCCAGACGAAAATACCACTGCGTGGGGTCCGCCACTCTGCCGCATCACCGGTGGACACAAAAATAGAGCCCTTTGTCTTTACCTGGTAATATGTTTGAACTGAATCTGGATATAATCTGGACAAGGTAGCTCAGGAGGTAGAGCGGTCGTCCAATAACCAGAAGGTTGGCAGTTCGACTCCCCCCCTGTCTGTTGTGTCCTTGGGCAAGACACTTAATCTGCCTTGCTCCTGGTATGTGTCCTCCACTGGTGTATGATTGTGAGTGTTGTGTGGTGGTAGTCAGAGAGGCTGTAGGTGCAAACTGGCCCCAGGGCAGCTGTGACGACTAAGGTAGTTTACCACCACCAAGGTGTGACTGTGTGAGTGAATGAATGATGTATCCAATGAGAAGCGCTTTGAGGGTATCTGATAAAGCGCTATATGAAATCTGATGCATCAATGTAATGTAATATTATATTAACAACCCAACATGCTGGGTTTAAAGAACCCAGCAGAGTAGCTGACCTATACAAAGAGAGGCGGTAACCTCACTGTTTAAGTTGATTTTCTTCAAACCTCTCATCAGTTCAGAGGCTGTTCACACTCACCATTATTACAGGATGCATTTTTTATACAGGTCCGGCTAACCAGACCGTAACCCTCTTTGCATTTGGTGCAAGTACTTCCAGGCCCGCTGCATATCAAACAGTTTTCCTCACATCTGGAGAGAGAAGACCATATACAAACAAAAGATAAGAGATACAAGAACAGTGCATAGAAATAACAAACGTTATTGGGATCTAGTGTTCAGCCTCTGGACTGAATGGCTCCCTTGCTCACCCCCTGCTTGTCCCCATCAATACAAATTCTTCTGCTTACAACAAATACTCTCCTTTTTCAAAATGTGTATTTGGCACAACCACTCACTGAAAACAAAAACACCTTGTTTTTTTTTTAAAATACTTAGTTTTGGTCTCTTTGACTGCATTTGGAGATGACAGGACAGTGGATGGAGCGTAAGATGTGAAGAGAGAGTGGGAAATGGCACAGGCTGGAGTCAAACACAGACCACCCACATGGTGGTTATAATCTCTGTGGAAGGGGTGCATGCTTAGACACGCTTAAACCCCATAAAAATGCATATGTCACTAAATCATCCATTCCGTGCAAAATTAGATGGCAGGATAAAATAAACTTATTCTAACTTTAAAAAAAAATCCATTATCTAGTATTTATTTTTACATGATTATGTGCATCTATAAATATAAGATTCCATTTATGCCAACACTGCTAAATTATATGTACTGTACATCTTAATCCTTAAAAACCAAGGACAGTCCTTTTCCTAAGGGGAGCAGATTTTCAATTACTAAACGTAGAATAAAAAAAAGAAGGATAAAAAAACTGGATATATGGAGCAAACATATCTCTGTAAATAAGAAGAACAGGAAAAGAAAATCACCCACCGGTGACACATCCTGTGAGGGACTCCTGCAGCCTCCCCACAGTAGAAACCAGGTGAGCAGGTATGCACACACTTCCACTGCTGCTGCAGGTAGCCCTCTGCACACTGGATACACTCCTCCTTACCCGGCCCTGAAAAAACACACACATGGATTCCATGTATTATAAGATAAAAACCAGCAGAGCTCCAGAAGACACATCACTACATGGTTCAAACATGTTCATATCTTCACCTCATCTGTACCTAATCTCTTCATCTCTTTCAGATGGAACAAATCCCAGATCCACCTCAAAGTCTAAATAAACCTTAGCCCGCCCCTGAGGCAGTTTTCTTTTGTCTGCCTCTGTGAAGTTCTGTCGAAACTGGACATATCCGGAAAACACACTGACCTGTACAAGTCTTACAGGTGGAGTGGCACGGACTGCACGCCATCTCCTCGAGATGGAAAAAGGTCCCATTGGTGCATTCAGGGACACATGTCATCCCCCCTAATCTACAAGTGAACATGTTTAAAATACATTAATGTAGTTTTTTTTTTTTTTCAAAATCAGAGCTTAAATCAAAACAGCAGCTCACCTGTCTTTACCTACCTGTAGCCTTCTGTGCAGGCTGTGCACCTGTCTGCATACCTCAAGCATGTCACACAGGGATCATGGCACTTCAGACACTTTCTCTGACCTGATAGAGAAAGCAGGCACCTACGTTAATATATCTGTACAAGGTATCTAGACACCTCAAACATAGATGCTTTCATATCTGATCTGCATGAGTGCTGCTTGTGAAGTATCTTGAAGTGTAGCTGTGTTCACTTACTTTCATCAGGATAGTAACCTGGACTGCAGGTATCAGTGCAGCTGGAGTTGAGCGTGTTGAGGTAAAGTCCTCTTCGACAGGAGAGACATGCGCCTGCTGATGGGCCGACACATCTCTCACAGCCTTTAAAGCAGCGCCTACAGCGACGAGATGCTACATCCCCGTAGAGTCCCAGTGGACAGTGGCTCACACAGGTCCTACACAAACATGAGGGAGGGTGCAGACAGAGGGAGCACACAGCAGAATATAGACACGTACTTGTAGATCACTAGCTCCTACTCTGGACTTATCATTTACGACTTTATTGATAAACTACAAGAAGGAAGGAGAGCTGAAATCACAAGCAGCTCCAAAAAACAATTTTATGGTACTTCAGTGAGCTCTTACTTTCCACGCTGCAAAGTGCCTGAACTGAAGTGGACACAGTTCAGACACCGATCAGCACCTGGTCCATCACAGCCCTGATCTCCACACTCACTGTGGCATGGACCTTAATGCACAATATCATCATCATTATCATCACCATCATCACTGTCATCACCTTCATTACCACATCCATTATTAGTCTGAACAGCTGTTGAACCTCTCTCCATTACTGTATACTGAAGTGTAACAATCATAACCTAAACTTGAACCAGGCTCTGCTTGTCTCTGTCCTACACATCTTATACTTTAAGTCTGGGGAAAAATCTGTCTGATTTAACTCTCTCACCGCTGTACTCTTCTTCTTCCTCCTCTTCTTCGTGTCTGGGTGGCTCCAGTATCTCCTCTGGAGCTGGGATCCCTGACATCTTTGAAGGGGAGTGCTGAGCACTGTTGGACTGGTAAGGGCTCTGAGACGTGCCATGAAGAGTCAGGGTCCAGTCTTTCAGGTTGCCTGTGCAGAGTAACAATAAAAACAATGGCTACAATAATCGCTGATGTGATGACAAATGGACTTACTTTTCTCCTAACCGTTAAGAGAGCAACTCTACATATATGCCACTCTGCTTGTTCCACACACTCATAAAACTTTGCTTTGGTGTACATGCGTTGTTGTGTCTTACCCATCACCTCGGGGTTGCGCAGCTTTGACGGTGAGTCAATAATCTCCAGGGTCCATGTGCCCTCTGCTCTCTCACCCCAGAAATGAACTGACATGAACTCCCAGTTTCTGAAGCCCTCATTGGAGTTATCAAACAACCTGGACATAGATGAAAGATATAATGAAACAGCTCTGTCTCCATGGGTCAGCTACTGGACCATGAATACAAAAATCAAGAAATAAACAGACTTTATTGTGACTTTGTTGTGAGCAAACTAAATGTTCCACCTGAAGCCTCTTCAAGTATGAAGGCTCCATGAAATCCCTGTGAGCTACACATTTTTCTGAAATAGTACAGAAAACCCCAAAGCTGATGTTATCCTGTTGGTTCCACTAGCTATGGGTTTGCAAACTTAAAAAACATTGTTGGTTTTTGTAAGGATGCCTAGCCCATGTTCACACCTTAAAGAATGGAAGGTCCACATGAATGATCAGTTTGACAAGCTTTGCTGGTTGCAGATCTGGGTTACAGCTTCAGCATGCCACAAGTGTAACAAAGACTGGTCTGTGACTGTTCAGGTATACATAGCCCTCCACGTTTCCAAACATTCTGCTTCCATCTTAATGACCTGAAGGAAAGTCCATGTAGGGTAATAACAAAGCACAACATATTTTGGGAGCCTGAGTGATGTTAAACAGGTGTACAAGGTCCTACATGGAGGATGGTTGTCAGGGGCCCGAGGCTCCAGAAATCTAGCACCAAAATATCCATGGTGTTTTCAGTTACACAGCTCCACCACCCTAAAGGATGACATGACTGGCTAAAGAAAATCATCCAAGCAGTTTTAAAACAATTTTATTGTTATAAAAGTGATAAAATTCATGATATCAAAAAAGAAAAAAAAAAACACCTTATAATGACAGTTTAAACCGTGTCTTTTAGGTAACTGCATCTACTACCTTCAGGGTGGACAGAACTCCTCCTTCCTCTTTCCTCCACATATGCACCAGTTATTCATTATCCAGAGGTTTTGACAGGTTCATGAAAACTGTCTGAACCGCTGCAGATCAAATCAAACCCAGACTATCGCTGTGCTGACTGTGGTGAGTGGCATATCTTTTACCTCTTGGCCAGTAGCTGTGATCTTGTTCCTGATGGAGAGATGAGGTTGATCTCCAGGTCTCCTCGACGTGGATGGGCTATCAGGACCTTGACCACTACATGCTCTAGGTAGTTCACTTGTTGCTCAGGCTCCTCTGAACACCCAGTGGTGGTGAAGCTGCTGTTCAGACTTTGGCCTGCATGGATGTACCTGTGAAAGCCGAAAACATCCATAATGTGTTGTTATAAAATTACTGTGGATTATATGGAGTGTATAATAGAAAGCCCTTCCATGTATTCAACAACTTCAACAAAGTCTGGAGATAAAGGTAACCACAGTGATTCACTGCATGTGATTTGTTAAATCAGATATGGTCACTGCAAAAAAACAGTCACCACTCGGTATCCCACTTCTTAGGTGAGTATTTATAGTAACAAGTTTTTTATCATTGAATTATCAACATGCTTTCTTCAACGATACTCAAGGATGTCATATTTTGTGCGATAGAAGATAAAGTGATGAACTTTTCAGCCCACACTGGTTTTGTACCAAGCTCTTTGTTTTTGCAGTAAAGATGGTCTTTTCTGAAAAGATGTGGAAGTGGCTTCTGGTGCTTTCGCAGCCTCAAGTGGACACTTGAGGAACTGCAGTTTTTAACGCTTGAACATACATCAGCTTCATTTCTCAAGACTGGGGGTTACCACTTGGTGTACAGCCATCATTGCAGTTTAAAATGACAAATTCACCAAGAGCTGTCCAGTTTAGTCTCTTTTATCTTCATGTCAGGTTAAGCTACAGCCCATCTCTGTAGTTCAGCTCACCTGGTGCGTCTCTCCAGATTATGACTACAGGTGTGCTGAGATGGAACAGTCCTCCACTTCATAGCCTCCAGAACTATGGCCTCTGCATCTACCAAGCCGAACCCATACAGGTGGCTGACTGTATGAGAGGACACACACATTAAGAGTGACTGCTTCTGTGATGTAGAAATGGTCTGCATAGCTCCTGTTTAACTGCACACACTACCAAAACTAGAGTATTTCAAGTATGAAGCAGTTAATGTACTATGTTAGTATTAGCAGAAGAATGCAGTGTGCCTCTGTGTCCAGCAGCATTGGTCTTCCAGTCATCAGCTTTCAGGTGCACTGGTCTAGATGTCTTAACCAGAATATGCTGCACATCCCTCCATGTTAGCAAAAGGCTGAAAAACAAGGACACTGCACTTGTCAAATGCTGCAAAACGCAGATCCTAAACATCAATGAATATTGGATCACAACTAGTACGTTTAAGTTTGAAGAAATGCTCCATTAGTTGACTTAAAAAAAGGAACTGTAATCAGGTCTACATGTGCTTTAAAAAGGCAGTCTATATCTTTCAAGTCAGATTTTGAAACTGCACTTTGAAGGTAAATTAGATATATTGTTTTGCTTTAAAAACAGTTCAAAGCAAGTTTGAAGAAGCTGGACTGACTTGGCCTCCAGAGCGAGAGCTATGACTCCAGCCACGATGGGAGCAGAGACCGACGTGCCGGTGTGACTGTCAGTGCAGCGATGTCGGATGTCAGTCGTTACCTGTGAGGGAGCACAAACACAGAGCAAGCCTTTTAAATAATACAATCTATGTCTCACCCCAAACCGTAATTCGTGATGGTTTTATGTGGCCCCGATGTTTCATTCTCTATTTTTTTAACTGGAGCTTTTATTTTGAAGCAACTCTGGTCAGAGTCTCTTCCGGCCAATCTCACAGTAAAATTATGAAGGAGTGAAGTGAACTATAAAATACAAGGTAAAGCAGTAAAAAGGTTCATGTGGATTTCAATCTGGATGGTCGAAACCAGTGCTGGGTGGTTTCTGCTCAGTTGAGAGGAACAAGTATGTTGACAGCAACATTTACAGTTTTCCACAAAGTCATGTTTTTAAAGCATTAATGCAGCCTCTCTCAGGTGTGTAGACAGAAAGGTGCTTCAGTGTGTTGCTGCTATTAAAATTTGACTGTGAGCATGTTGAGTCATGTAGAGCTTTCACAATATGCACAAAACTCCTGAAAATTCCCTGTAATTCTGCAGGGGGAGGGCTGTGTACTCAGTGGCACATTTCGATAAGAGGAAGTAGTGAGGTGAATGTCTGTGCAAACCTGGAAGAGGAACGAGTAAGGGGGTGAGAAAGACTACCAGCCTGTGGAAGGACTGTGATATACTCACTTTTCATCTTTAGTTTAATTATCTTGAATTTACGCACAAACACCAGTGGTTCAAGGAAATTAAGAGAATAAAGAAGAAAGTAAGAGAATAAAATATAAAGGACACATTTGGGAGAGCAAATTAAAAGGATCCGCAGTTTTTTTTATCTTGGCTAAAACTATTAAAAAATTTCCCTTGATTACTGCAGCATCCTTTTGGTCTCATGTCCAGACCTCTGAAAAATCTGATATTTTCTAAACCAGTTCAGGACTGTACATGTGAGAGAGGCAACGCTTACTTTTTAAGTAAGCATGGACATTGAACTGGGTATGTACAGGTGCCTTTGGACCTTAACCAACATATCTCTGGAGGTTTTTTCCTCCATAAATGACAGTAATACAGTATCTATTGACCTGTTCAGCCTCTCTACCTAAAAAAACAGACAGCTTGATTTGCAGCAGAGCAGGGTCAGGCATCTTAAAGCCCAATGTCTGTCCTTCAGGGAGAGATTGAATAATGAAGAACATACGTCATTGGCCAGCCACTTTTCCTGCTGCATAAACTTTTAATTACTAGACTGTATCCATTTACAGATGTAAACAAAACCCAAACGCAGTGTCTGACAATACAGCCAGATCTAATCTAATCTAATCTAAACATAAATTTATGTTATCTAGTCTAAACTAATCTGATTTAATCTTAATGAAAATTTAATTTAAAAAAGTAAATATATAATCTAATCTTATTTCATCTCATCTAACCTAATCTAAATAAAAATTTGGAAAAAAATACAAAAATAGTCTAATTAAACCTTATCGAATCTAATCTGAATAAAATTTTCATATAAAGATATATAAAATAATCCAATCTCATCTAATCTAAATAGAAATTAATTAGAAAAAATACAAAAATAAATACATTTAACCTTACTGAATCTAATCTGAATGAAAAATAATAATACAAAGAAATAAAAAAAAAATCTAATCTGGCAGTCTGCTTTGTCAATGCACTTCCACCGAAGTCCTCTTTTTTTGAAATTAAAGAAAAAAAATTTGTGTGGTTTTCCTCTCTTCAAATGACCTGAATCTTGGCTGGCCTCCAACTCACTCACCCACTACAGCAGTGAGCCAGTTTTATCTTTGCACTAGTTTTTTTCCAGAGACAAAGCAAAATATTTACTTTGAGGGACACAGAGACCCACGGTTAGAGCCAGAGAGGACCCAAATACAGATTCTCACAGTTCATTAATAACTGCAGCTTGGCAGAGGAGTACCACCTTTTAATGTGGGTGAATTTAAACCCTTCTGTCTCTTCACTTTGTCATCTCAGTCTTAAACTCTCCAAATGATGTTAGAGTGACACTACAGTCCAAATTAAAACCACCTTCACTGATCCTTGGTCTCCTTCTACTCATGCAAACACAAACCTAACAGCACATGCCTCACCTTATCTGTCAAAACAGGAGTTACTCTGATTCATTCTCTGACCAGTGAGACGCTACAGCAGATATTACATTTTTTCCCCTTTTGTTAACTAATCCCATTTTAATCCCCCATACTAGACGGTCGATTTCAAGGTCAAACAGTCAGAGCATGAACACACACAAATGGCTCATCGTGTCAGTGACCTGGTTTATACACATCAGTTTAGCTTTTCCTAGAAAGGTTTTCATTTAGGGAAGTTTGTTCTTATCTCAAATGAGGGTAATGCAGATGTTTTATATGGCATACAGCTTAATTTTAGTAACATATTGTGTCTGTGAGATTCTGATAAAACTGTAGAGACACCAGTCCTTTCAGACACAAATGTCCGTTTCACTTCACAAACACAACAAATCTAACATTACTCACTGCACATATAATTGACCTGGAAGTTTTATTCCCCGCTCTATGAATCAAACTGCAAATCAGAGAGTAGTGCCTTTTAAGAAAATATACATGTCCTGAATGATAAAAAAGGACATATTTGTAGATATGGCAACTATAAATTGAAATTATAAAAGTTAAAATTAGAGTCTACCTTTCGATTGCCAGATGTCCTCCCTGCTTTTTGTAGCTGCAGGTCTGTTGATTTTTGATATTTATGTAAAATATCTGTCATTGTTTATCACTCAGCCTATAGTAGTCACCTGGCCATGTTAAATACTTAATTCTGATTGGTTTTCAGAGTAATATGGCTGATACCATTGGTTGTTAATTATAAATAGCAAAGCTGATGCTTGGGAAAACCTTATCAAGGTGAGTGCAATGCGGCAAAAGGTTTCTTTACTTGTACATTAGTAAACAATGCAGAGGAGATGTCAATACTGCTGTGAAATCATCGAGTAATCACAAAGTTTGAAAGAGGTGGTTAATATCGATCCAGTCAGCAAGAGAGAAAAGAAAGAGGGGAAACAGTGCAATGAAGAACGTCAAAACACATAAGGAGCAGCAAAATAAAAACACACATCAACCAAATTTAAGAAAACAGGCATAAAGCAACCAAGACCCAGAGTGGGCTTTCGCAGCTTTAAAGGACAACATGAGTGAGGAGGAAATATCTACAGAAAAGCCAAGAGGACTGTCCTTAGAGACGTGCCGCTTTTTTTTTTTTTGTCATCTTTAAAGAAAACCAACGAGAAAATGCTGATATCAAGATTTTACTGTGAATGAAATATTAGGTTTGATGTCAATTTGATAACAACTCTGTTGCCATAGAAGTACAACCAATAGTTGAGACTGGGGGATTTTTGTACTAATGAGTCATTTCTGAATCATTGAAATCATCTTTACATCAAAACGTGGTGTCTGACTGTTTGAATGTTAAGTTAGTACATCTTCATGTCAGTGTTTTTCTCTCACCTTGTCGGATTTCATTTCACATGAGCACCAGCAGACTATACAGTATCACATTTTTAATTTAACTCTACCTGAACACTTCTTCACATCTGTAGTATCGTCTATGCTTTTGTGAACAAGCCTGTGTTGACCCTGAGAGTCACATGTTAACATTTGTGTCTCTTTCATCTCACGTGACTTTCAGAGCTCAAGCTAAGAATACACAGTCATCCATTACTCACGATCTTCCTCTCGTTGAACTCCCCGCTGCTGTATGTTGTTGCAATGATGGAGCTGCAGGCCTCCAGGTACCACGGCTTGTTTCCATTCTCAGTGGTGCTGGAGATGGAGATTGTGTAGATACTGCTGGTGTAGCCGTCACATGAACAGTGATCACCCTGCCGACCACCGTTACCTGACGCCCAGACGAAAATGGACCCGAGGCCTTTGCGTCCCTGTGGGACACATGTATGTGATGCTGTGACTCAGCATAAACCACATCGTCTATGTGGAGAAATGTATCTTAGTTTGATCAAACCTTCCTGATGCCTTGCTCAAAGGCTCGCTTGGTTAGCTGCCCTGGGCCATCCACTGTCTTGCCGTCGTCTTTTGGACCCCAGCTGGAGCTGTAGATGTCAATGTAGTCAGGGCGGATACCCAGGGACTTCGCCTCCACTATATCAGTCACATCACCATCCAGCATCCGAATCCCTGTATCCAAGATCAAATCAATGTCAGTGCTTCAGTGATTTACCAGCATTAATGTTTACTTTGACCAGATTACATGGGAAATAGATCATAAAATCAACTTTAACATAAATGAAAGAGACCTTACAGTATTAAGCATAAACAAACAGGAAGAGAAACCCTGAGAATATCAGTTCAGTGTTGGAGAGGAGAGAAACTCAACCTCCAATGTGAGCGTTGTAGGCAACTCCAACAATACAGTGCGAGTTATTGGCTGCTGCTGCAACTTCTCCAGCACACCTGGTTCCATGTCTACATGTAAACAGAGCACAAACACAGAACTTATGACCAGACAACCAGCTGTTATCCATTTCAGAGGCAAATTCAAATTCCATCTAAACACCTCCAAAAGGCATCTTTAAATAAAAAAAAAAGAAGCCCTGCTGGATTGGCAGTCTGTCTGTAAAAAAAGAGATACCACAGACCCAGCTCACCACCAGCGGAACCAGACCCTGCAGTTGAGACTTTATTTGGATCTCAACACACCCCCTTTCTTTAACAGGTCATCATCTCCTGAAGGAATTCTCCTCTCTTGTAGGGTTTACATGTGTTTATTTGCAAAAACTCAAAGGCTAGAGGCCTAAACTGAGTATTGAGGGGTACTGGGTAACTACAGGATATGTAGATCTGAGGTGAAGAAGGATGGAGACATGTCTGTTGTTCTTTCTTACACGTTTTCATTCCTGGGGTCATAGCGTGGTGTTGGGTCATGGTCATTCCCATTGACATCATAACTCGCCAAATGATCCTGCAGAAGAAATGAAGTTGAGCTGAGGAAAATTGAGTCTCACAGGAGGAAACAGCACAAAACTATCCAACAAACCAAGCCTGGGTAAAGTGACACAAAAACCGAGGACAAAGTGGAGCATATGACATGACACAGGGTTAAATAGGATTATAGAAATAGGACCACTAAAAATTATATGATAGTAACCCCTCATTTCAGCCCAAAAAAAACAACATTTAAAAGACGGTTATAGATATTGGAAATTGTTTGAAATGTCAAAGATTTCTGCTGTCTGTTGAGATTAATAAAACAGCCACACACATCAGATTTTTCACACAATCACACACAAAGTAACAGGGTTTTAAAAAGTACTATCTTAGTAATACTGTGGCCAAAACTGTCACTGACAGAAATATTAACAGATAAAAAAAACTGTAAGAGTCGGCCAACCACCAAGCTCTTACTAAAGGTATTTTCAGCATGTATAGGTCTTTCTCTTTACCATCAGAGCTTCACAGCACGACTTGAAACTAAAGTGTCTCCTCTAATTCACTGCTATGGTAACCAAATTATAGTTGGTGTGAACTTTGACCTGATTTCTTTCTGTGTTCGGCCAACTGTGTTTTTTCCAACATTTAACTCTAATACATGTACTTTTCTGTTTGTGCTTAAAATATTGTGGTGTTGACAACCTGACATTTGACTGAGCAGTAAACCCAGATTTTGATGGAGTAGATTTCTATGGTCCTACAACATCTATTTTTGCAAATAGTGTGATAAACAGTACATACATAGTTCTGAGCTAAATCGGGGTGGTTCCTCTCAATGCCATCATCCAGTATGGTGACCACCACGTTTTTGCCGGTGTAGCCTCTTTTCCAAGCTGCTAGGATGTTCATATCTGAGCGGCAGCGGCTGTTCCTATCGTTGCAGTGCTCAAAAGGAGAAGGAAAATTTAAGACTTATCTTACACTAAGTTTAAAAAAAAATGTAAGAGTGATTCTGTAGAGAGTACTTACAATGTACCACATGCTGGACCATTTAAGGTCAGTGAAATGATTGACACCTGGGTCACTTCGAACTTGCCTTTTCACTCTTGGTTTGACTACCTGCTGCTCGGCCCAGTGCACCTTAAATGGGAAAAGAGCAGCATGAGGTTACCAAGGCAGGCTTATTCAAAAAGAGGGTCGTAACAAAAGAACAGACTCTCTACACTCTGAGACAGCCAGGAACTTCTTATTAGGCAAACATTGAGAAAAAAGGAAGGCATGTTTGCAAGAATACTGTCATAAAATGTCCTTATGAATATTTTAATAAACCTAAAATGATTATTTCTGACAAAAGCCAAGAGGTCAAAACTCAACTTCACAAGTCAGTAGTATGAACCAGAGAAAAAACAAAAACCAAAAACAGCTAAAGCTTGCACTGCTGCATTTGTATAAACGTGGTCATGTGACTGTATATCTCCACTGCAGCATGTTTTGATCACAGGTATCAGAGTCGAGTCTCACCTTAGGATCCAAGTGGATGAAGCTGTGGGGGCCTTTGAAGGAGTAGGCCGCCCTGCGAACCACTCTGCTGTGGTGGAAATGGTAATGGTCCTCCAGACTTCCTATCTGACCAAAAACACCCAAACATGAAGACAATACAACAGTTAGTCAGATTCTTTTCGCTTTTCTGGTCCTTGCAAAAGTTCCCCTTGTGTAGATTTATGCTCAAGACATCCTATATGGTGTATAGTGTTTTTTTCTCTTTTTTTTTTCAATAATGTCACATCTGGTTTTAGGCAAAATTTTGAGTAAAGAGACTTCAGAGTCTTGTTTTGTTTGATCTGAGCTTAAACCAAAGAAGAAACAGATGACTGAAAGCTAAACCCTCCTTCTCTTATAGACACTGTTATCAAGACTGCTGTGGTTTGACTTTTTTTCAAGTGAAAAATATCTAATTCTGCAAAGCCCTCTTCACTGAAAACACATTGGAGCCATCTGTAGTCAGCAGATGAAGTCGGTTTAAAAATGCACACACACACACACTCAATTGTGAGCAGATCTCTCAGCACATGTGCACAGCTGGCACACTTACAGTCATACTCTTCAGATTTATTTGCCTCTGACCCAAACCATTCCTCTCTCTACATCAAACCTCATCCTCTCCTCACTCACAGAGACATCCTGCATTTTCTCCTTCATCAACACAGCCTGCGAAACAATGAGTTGTGGTTTAACATAACCATACCTCTGTAAGGACTGCATAGAGAAGAGCAACTTCTTTAAAGCAAAAGGAACAAGATTACTGGAGATTTTCTGACAGGCCCTAACTCAAGCGCAGTGCAGTAGTAATCCTATTCAGCAACTGATAATGACAGAAATAAAGATGAGTTTAAGTACTAAAGAAGCAACTGTTTTTGATATATAGGTGGAGGTTAGGAATTTCACAAAATGTACGCTACACATTTCTGAAGATTAAAGACTTTTTTAACTTTGTTTTTATAACTTCATGTATTTCTAAATCATTAGTTAAATAATTGGAAATACTGAGTTTAAAATGTCCCTTTAGAGAGCTGCAGCTGCACAGTGAACAATGTTATACAAGATACATGGCTGTAATGCATTAAAAACATGACAAACGAAACAGACCATATGATTCACATTCACCACAATAACAATATGTATATGAAGCCAAATATCTACAGCCAGATGTGTCTGCTTTCAATTCCTTTCACACCACCTTAAATCAAACAGTGAGAGCCATTCAGTACCTTTTTCATATCACACCTATTATTCTTCAAGTGACAATACACTCATTCACACACTACTCTCATGTCTTGTTAGAGGTTTTCAGTCATAACTCCTTGAAAACTAAATTTGGCCGATTAGCAGGTTGTATAAAGTAACCTATAACCATGTGAAGGATAAACCAAGGAGGAGTTTTAATAAGCAAGAGGCTAAATCTTCAACTTGATGGAGCTAAAATGTTTGGCGATATAACTTAAAACAAACATACAATATGCTTATCGATTTACTTTACACATCCACGGGTTGTAAATGATTTATAGAGGCTCCGGGAGAGGAGTCATCGTTGATAAGAGTACAAAAATGCTCTCAGATATTGTTTTTATTTGTTTCCAATCAAAAATAATCTGATCCGTGTTAATCTTTCACCGGTGTCCTCGCGGACCGGTGATCGTCTCGTGATAAAGTGTAACACAGACTTTCATAGTTACTGTTTGTGTGTTTATAATGCTTATGATTTATGTGACGTATCATACATCACATTCACCACCATAATGAATAATAATGAAAAAAGATAATAGGATGATTGCATTTGTTACCTGTCCCAGATTGACATATCCGTATTTCGCAGCTATTTTCTCAGCCTGGTCCGGACCACCTGGGACTTTAACGGCCCAGTGGTTTGTGTAAAGTTGTCCGCGTACCGACATCTCTGATTGACAGGTTTGAAAAGTTAAAATGATAGAAATCCACAGCAAAGTCATCCTGAGCGCAATACCGAGCACAGAGTCGGGAAAAACAGAGAGAAAGAAAAACTCGGGTCTTCGTATGTCATAAACGAGTCATGCAGCGGTCACATCCCGGTCGGATTCACTGATCGGTAGTAAAAAGTAGTCCCCATCCCGCGGAGGAGCTGAGCCACATGAGCTCACAGCAGCAGATAACAGCACAGAGGGATTTGTGTCCATGTGTGAGACTTGACCTGCAGGAGGCGTCTCACCCTCAGAAGTCACAGCCTTCTGGATCTGCAGCTCCTAAGGCAGCTCGCATACGTTTTTTTTTTTTTTTTTTCAAAGTTTGTGATTATTTCAATGTTGCAACAGACAAACGAACATCAAACAAACAGATATAATGGAGGTCAAAAATGGAAATAATAAAATAAGTACTCAAAAGAAAATAAATATTTTTATTTTCTCTTGAGTACTTATTTTATTATTTCCAAAAAAAAAAAAAAATGGAAATAATAAAATAAGTACTCAAAGGAAAATAAATATTTTTATTTTCTCTTGAGTACTTATTTTATTATTTCCATTTTCCCATTATTTTCTTATATATATAAGAAAATAAAAATCAGAGAGGCAGGTAAGTTGGCAAGGCAAGAAAGTTAACCCATCTGTCTACCAAAACTATTCCATTTTTCTTTTATCATATCATTTTCACAGTTTAATCTCCCCAACATCTTCTCGCACGCTACAGTCCCCATCATCTGTGTTTTCCACATACTCAGTGTGGGAGCTTGGGGCTCCCTCCAACACCTCAGAATATTCTGTAAATATGTTATTAGGCCAGTTTTTAATATTCTAAAACTGTATTTTTTCTGTCTCCAAGGAAACATAACCTTGGTGATCTGAGAAGTTCGTAATTTAATGATTTGCTCATATAGTCTATAACTTTTTCCCACAAGGGGGAGATCTTAGAACATTCCTATAATGCATAAATAAATATGCCACTTTCTGCCCCACACTTCCAACATAGATCATTATTAATTCAACCCATTCTGTTAAGTCTTGATGGTGTAAAATTATATCTATGAATTATTTTATACTGAATAAATTTGCCTCTGGCTTCTCTTATGTATTCTTCAGTGTTGGAGAGGATCCCTTCCCATGTTTTTTCATCCAGTGTACAAGACAGATCTTTCTCCCTGCATCAGCTTGCACACTGTTCACTGTTGCGGCCGCGGTGTACACAGATAGGATAAATGACCATAAACCCTCCTAAAGCCCATTTAATCTGAACTATCATTTTCAGGGCTGTTTGCGGGTAAACCCCCTAAAGCTACAGTCAAGAGGTCTACTCATAAGTTTTATCTCTGTGGTCATGAATGTCAACTGAACAGGTCATTTCATTTCACACAACATATTTCATCACGCACGCACGCACGCACGCACGCACGCACGCACGCACGCACTAATATTTCAATTTTACATTGTTGTATGGAAATGTGAAAATATTTTATCAGAGTTTTCAGGAAACACTGGCACAGGGATCAATGTACATTTATCAAAGAAGCTGGTCAGGCTTCTTTTAGACCAGCCTGGTGACTCTGGCTATGCAGCCAAAGATAATACAATACAACACAAACCCTGTCCTATCAATTGCTGAGTGTTTCTTTTCCACCCCCATAGTGCCTTGTATCTGTTAACCAGTCTGAGGGTGAGAGTCTTTGAGGGTATGAGCTCAGTATCATCCAGGACAGAGAGAAACATTGATTTAGTGGTGTGAAAAGTTCATCTTATTACACCTGTGTGCCTCTGTGCATGGGAGGGATTTTAGTTCTCTGAAGTGAGTCCACGCGGTTTTTGGCAGTCTTTGTCCTGGCACTGGCCCTGCAGAGCTGGCAGACTGGAAGGGTTTGTTTGTAGTTCTCAGGTTGGTGATTTGTCACTGACCCTAAACTCACCTACTCTTACTAACAGACAGAGGTTTTGGAGGTCTTTTGTACAACTATTAATAAATGTGTATACATTCATCACCATGGCATATTAGAGCTTGAAAAATCCAGATTACCCAATTTCCCCCTGCTCTGTTAAGTTTTCAGGATGTCTGATGTTCTGTCCTCTGGCTGTATGACATGATAAATGTATGACCTGATAATAAAGCAATTCAATGGAGCATAAATCACCCGTTTAATACAGGTTTTAAAATACATTTATGACATTGTAAGAGGGGAAAAAACACCTACAAGGTTACCCCTGAAAACGCACTTGAGGTGTCAAATGAATAGAGATTTAGTTTGAGAAGTATTTCATTAGGACAGAAGATCAAATACTGAGACATGGCAGAGTCATAACATGGCACAAATTTAATTTTCGTTTTATCGCATCCAGACAGTTTTATGAGTCCAACATGTTCACCTGCTTTTGTCTTTCTGTGGGTAACTTTGACTTGAATGATAAAACACTTGCACCTTTGCATTTCTCAGTCCTGAGGTCACTGTTGGTCATGATTTAGGTTGTATTCAAGTAACAGAAAACTTAAATCCACACTAAACCTCATCAAACCAAGCCTATGCAGCCTTTTTTTTATTTTGCACAGGCAAGATTTTAGCATTTCTCTTGAAATGCTAAAGGTTTTTGTAAAGGGGAACTACTGTGCCCTGCAAAAACTCCACCACAACGTAACCTCTTTCAAAGTCAGAGACTTCACCAGCCCTCACTTCCTTCTCCTTTAACTGAAACAGCAGTGGTTTTAAATGAAGTGGGCACGGGTAAACACAGCCTGCAGTTTCTCACAAACATATTTTGCTAACGTTCTGAGCTCTCTGGGCTGAGGAGGTACATTTTAAAACAGCATTTATTTGGTTACAAGTCAAAGCTTTACATTGAACACAAACGATGAACAACCACGTACACTTCATATTGGGAGACAATTCCTTCAACAATGTCAGCATAGCACCAAAGATGTCATAATTCACCAAATTACATTTAATGACAACCCATATAAGCCTTATTCATGTTAATGGCAGGTGTCATATCATGATAACGACAGGGTAATGTCAGTCTTACGTATACCGCTTCAAAAATAGTGTTACCAAAAATACACAACATTTTAACATTTAATCAACCAAAAACTGTGGCCACTTATTTCACTGGCGTAATTTATCATTTATAATTTTAACAAACATTTTTATAAGGTTCTACATGGATGTTCTAGAATGTGCCATAACACAGTCACACTCATGGACACAGAATTTAAACTGAAGAAGAAGTTCATAACATTATTGCACCATATCAAGCAGAGGAGATAGTGCAGTCTCACAGCACACTGTGGCATATTTACATTTATGATGTATAAAGTATTTATGAAGGCCCGAGCTTATACATACAAAAACAACCTTGGAGGGGGTGCTTATGGCAAAGTTGTGAGTGCATACTCCACACTGGGGAAGACAGATGTTGCAATTAAGATCATAGACAAAGAAAAAATCATGTCAGCTTACTTGGAAAAATTTCTGCCTCGAGAGTTGAAGATCATCAGGTGTTTGAACCATCCCAACGTGGTCAGGAATCATGAAATCTTTGGATTAAACAAAAACAAGGTAATGTTTGTAGCTGGCACAACCACCCAGACCAACATTCCTAAACCATTAAAACAGAAACAGATGATACATGTGGCTTCTTTCAACAAGCTTTGGCCTAACTCACAGCATTAAACTAAAAACAGTGAATATTATGACCATAATAACTGTTTTGAGCTGCTTTTGCTCCCATTAAAATCAGTCAGTCAAGACATTACTATGTAAAACCTGTGACCTCATACCAGTTATCAAACCATTTTTTTAACTGAATTTTAAATAATTGCATTTCAGTTGAGCTAAGAACAATTATGTGCAGTTAAGTTCAGCTCAGTTAAATTAAATTAAGTTCAGTTACATTAAGTTAAGTCAAGTTCAGTTCAGTTCAGTTCAGTTCAGTTCAGTTCAGTTCAGTTCAGTTCAGTGTCGTTAAGTTTAGTTAAGATAAGGTCAGCAAAATTAAGTACAGTTAAGTTCAGTTAAGTTAAGTTAAGTCAAGTCAAGCCAAGTCAAGTTCAGTTCAGCTGAGTCAAGTTCAGATCAGTTTTCAGCTTGTGTTGAAACATTCAAGATATCAAAGTCTGAATGTTTTTATGTCTGTTTCATATTTTGTTGAGTTTTTCTTTCTTTTTCTTTTTTTTATATCATTCCCTCTTGTTGCCTTGCAGGTCTACATAGTGATGGAGCTCTGTGGGAAAGGAGACCTCTTGAATAATATCAGTGACCAGGGGGTTTTACCTGAACCTTTATGCTGCAGGCTTTTCACACAGCTCTGCAGGGCCATCAGATATCTCCACAAAAGCGAAATAGCTCACAGAGACATAAAATGTGAAAATCTACTGCTGGACAATCACCACAACCTGAAAGTGTGTGACTTTCGATTCAGCAGGCAGCTCACATACATACATGGGAAGATGAAGCTGTGTGAAACCTACTGTGGCACCTGGTCCTATGCAGCACCTGAAGTTTTGAAGGGCATTCCATACAACCCCAAAGTATCTGATGTGTGGAGTATGGGTGTTGTGATGTATATGATGCTTTATGCAGTGAATCCCTATGATACCAGCAATATTACAAGGCAGATGGAACTTCAAATGCAGCGCAACACTAACCTTCCAGACACACCAGGGGTTTCATCTGAAGCAAAGGACCTTATCCAGAGCATTCTGCACCCTGATGTGGACCAGCGTATCACAATCAGCAACATCTTACATAGCTCTTGGATAGTAAGGAAAGGACTAATGGAGGACAGCAATGAGGCACCTGCAGCAGGTGCTGGCTATGAACAGGAAGAACCACTACATGAAAAGGCCATAGAGGAAGAGGGGGACCCAAGAGACAGCTTAGATCCAGGGGAAGGACCATCAACTGCCCAAGACACTGACCGTCACTAACCAAGGCTCACTGATAATGTAGCTGTCCTATCTTACCATCTGTCTTCTGGGCTGTGGTGGCCTTAGTTTGGCCTCTGGGATGAAATAAAGAGTGTTTGGTAGAGCTGCTCTTTATGTGGAGATGGGATACCTGTGATGCATGACACCTCAAGTAAACGCAAACACTGACCAGTGACCCCACATTTTCTTATGTCTCTTTAATACACACCAGTTCCTACTTCCAACCTCGCAGTCAGCAGACCCCAAACCTCTTAGCTACGTATTTACCTTTGGCACCCTCATCCGCCCTAATTCATCTATGCTATTCAATTTTCCCTTTGTTCTATTGCCTGTTTGTGTTACCGTTACACTTCTCCCGCACAACTTAATGTTAATACTAAACTCTTCATAAAATGTTCAAAACTTTGATTTACTTTGATTTAAACTTTTCAAATATTCTTCCCTGGCAGAAATCAACTCAACCAATCCAGTCATCACAGACAAATCTTTTTGCTGTTTTTTATGAGCTTTATTTTTCATTGTTGATTTGAAATACCAAAGTGAGGCAGATGTGGAGGTTCCTTTAAAACAGGTTCAGACATATTCACATATGATTAAAATCAGACTAAGATAACCACACTCGACTGACACCAAATGCAGTGGTCATGAGACAGTTTCACAGTTGCAGGGTTTGACTTTCTAAGATAAAAAAAATTTATTGATCTCTGAAGGGAAATTTAAGATTATATAATATTATATATATACATAAATAAATATAGTATGTACAACATGTTCTAGCTCTATACATTATTGTCTTGATGTGTTAATGACAAACTGGGAATAACATTGAACATGCTGAGTAAGCCTCAGTCTGTGTTTAAGAACATCCCAGAGTCTGAGTCAGAAATGTTTAAGAGCCTCTGCAGAGCTCTTCAGTGTCTGGGTTTACAGCCTCACATGCTCTGGTTTGAAGTAGACATAGGGGGCCCATGACTCCTTTTGGAAATCCATCCACTTGCTGGGGTCATGGTCCTCCAGCTGCTCCTCTGCCTCTTCTCCTTCACTGAACACCTCCACTTCCTCTTCATCAAATCCCATCATCTCTGTACTGTCTCCTCTCATGCGACATGTGTCTTGGTTCGCTGGCTCAGTTCTCTGAAGACTGGAGTGACACATGGTGCAAACTCTGACGCACTTAGTCGGGTGGATGTGTGAGATCACGGCTCGATTCTTGGAGCATGCACCGCAGACCAGACAGCCACATTTTCTGCAGTGATGTCGGCGCTGGGTCAGAGTGAACTTGTCATTGCAGCGCATGCAGATAGCAGAGGCCTGGTCAGGAATCCAGGTAACAGCAAAGGCAGACCCTGCGCTCCGGCCGCTGCTCTGCAGCAGTCTGGACCTGCATTCTTCCATGTGCTCCATCCAAGCTCGCTTCTCCTCATATGAAGAGGCGCCTACGTAGAAAGACTTGCGTGGTGTGCGAATTAACCACTGGTTCCTCATCCTCATACCGTCCTCTAAGTCCTCCAGCTGGATGTCCTCTGAAACATGAAATATTGTTTGTTAATACAAAGCAAAAAAAAAAAAAGTTTTACACTCCACAGCCAATGAAATCCTGACTGTCAGCTCACAATAATAAGCCTTCTGCACAGTCAGCCACAATCAAAAGGTGAGGCCAAATTTTTCAATAACCCCACCCTTGATAGGCGTAGAGTCTAAACTCACTTCACAAAGTAAAGCTGCTGGTTGTGGTGCAGCAGTCAGTGTGAGAGAATATGCTTTTACATCATACATATCTTGGATATATTTTGTACCTATTTTTTAAAATTCTGTTTCTGTTTTTTCTTTTTATTTATCTATTGCACTGGAAATGGAGAAGCTCTCCAATCTCGCTGTATTGAAGTGTGATGACAATAAAGAGCATTCTGATTCTGATTTAAGGGGCCTATCATATTACCCGCACCTCTCATGCCAGGGGTCAAGGATATATACTCAGTGTGTTAAGTATATTTCAAATAAAGTATCCGAAAGCTTCTATGAATAGATTAACAGACCAGTACTTTTATTTCTACTAAGATGAATGTCATTTAAGTAACTGTATTTTTATTTGAGAAGAATATTCCTACCCCAGGACAAACTTTATTTGGTGTTGAAGTAGTTCATGTTGAACTAGTTAGAGTCATCCTCACACTGTTGTTTAACTTTAAATATATGAAAACCTGTCTGTGCCTAAATGTATATCTTTCCTTGTTTTGTGGATAAGCAGATGATTTTCTCACCTAAAGGGATGATCTTCTGTTTTTTGTGCCAGCGGCCGTTCAGGATGATGCTACCGTACACCAGCACATCATTGAATAGGAAGAAGACTTTGGGTTGTGGCCTCCGGCGGCTCTGCTTCATCAGTCGGCCCTCTCCAATCAGAACTCGACCAGGCTGGGACAGCGGTTTACCCATTGGCCCAAATGAGTTCTCGACAGCTTGTATCCGCTCCTTGTTCTCCTTAGTGAACATCAGCCGGTTTGTCATGGTGTCCTTGTTCATAGTTCTCCAGTCAATAAGGGTTTGTTTCCAGTTCTGCAGCCTAAGTCTTGGTTGTTGGCTCCACGCCTCTGCAGGTGTAAACACTTGTCATGTAGTTGTCTTCACTCTCACAGCAGGCAGCAGAGCAGGATTTATAGTCTCAGCCTTTGGTGACGTTACTGCAGTGGGACTTTCCAAAGCAGGTTCTGCTTTAAGATAGACAAAAGACTTGCAGAAACGAGGGGGCGGGTGCTAAATTTGAAACCTTAGTGACAAAAAAGGGAGGAAATGTCAACATCTTCAAAAAAAAACCTGTTACTCTTTTTCAGCAAAAATTCTCTCTGTTAGCAAAGTCTTCGTGTGAATCTACACGAGGGTAGGGCAGGAAATCAACAAGAAAAGCTTTCTTTATAGGAAATGTAATGGACCTCCCAATATTGCTATATCAGCTTATGACTGAATTTAAATCATTTTCACAGTAACATCAAACACCAAAGAAATCCATCACAGTGTAGAGGGTGAAATCTCTTCCACTTGGAGGAGAGAGGCTTTGAAAGAGTCAGACTGACCTGACAGGTGTTACTGTTCCTCAGACAGTTGCACTGCTGTCTCACTGATCCTTCAGCACCACAGGAATCTGGAGAAAAGGGTGATGTGTTTGACTTAAAGCCTGACTTTCAGAATTCAAGGATTAACTTGGACTTTAGCTTTGACTACATCAGGACTTTAACTAACAATCAACTGTAAAGGCTGTTTTGTTTTCTTTGTATGTTTTGTTAGTATACGGCTCTGTATATGAATTTAGTTACAAGCAAGGACTAGGTGTGTGGACACCACTCCTGCGCATTCACGTGTCATCTTGTTTTGCCATCAAAGAGCAGATGAGGACACGCTCAAACTTCAGTAACAGACATCTGTGTCTTAGCAACTGGATCTAAGATGGGAGGTTAGTTAGACTCTGAGGCCAGTGGGTTGCAGGTATTTTTGAGTTTGTTAAACAGCTGCTGCAGAGGTCTACGTTCATACATTCAATAGTTGCTGCTTATCATGAAAAATAACATGATCAATGAGGACCTGATTCAGACTCCACTAAGAGGACTCTGACTTGAAATCCAAGATACAAATCATCACACTCAGTCATGGACAGATTCTTCTTTCTGGGCACATCTACTGATAACCAGCAAAGTTTATGAAACCTATCTAAAGGGTGGAAGACTAATGTGTGGACATAAGCATATAATTTAAAGAGTGTCCTTATAAATGGATGAACTCCTAAATGTGAGCACACTTTATGCTGTTGTTTTGGGCTTCATATGATGTAAGAGAAACAAACCTGCAAGTCTAGATTCTGCAGTCTCAAACTTTATCAGTATCAGATCAGTGTGAAACCTCTTACGCAAGCTTGTGTCTTGAGTATTTCTTTGTCTGCTTCCTTATGAAGGAATAAAATGTCTTATCGACGTACCTCCACCTAGTCTGACTGCAGTCATTCTGCAGCATGATAGGTTTTTACCCTTCTGCTTTATGGCTCTCATTTAAAGTCACAAAAGTGAAAAGCCTCACTTTAATGTTTTTTTTTTAATTGTGTAATCACTTAATCAGTGTATTTGCATTTCAGCTCAAAGTTCTAATGTCACAAATGTAATTGAAATGATGTGATCTGAGGAACTTTCACCATCCCACACATGCAGCATCCAAGGAAACAGAGTTTTAATGTTTTTGTCTGACATTTTTAGTGACTGCCTCCTAAAATAAAAATCTTTTTATTTTTCTTTATTTTTTATCCGTGTCTCTTTTGTTACACCTGCATCAGGTTGCACCTTTTACCTGCTTTCCTACTTGCACTTGCTGAGTCATAATGCCTCAGACATATCCCTCCACCTCTCTCTGTTTGTCAGTAAGTACGACAGTGTTCATTTCTGTTCTGTCACTCTATCAAAGTTTCACTGCCCAGAATACATTTACATATAGCAGGGTTCATATTATGTAAGTCTCTTTTTAAAGACTCAGTCAACTAAAAGAAAGAGGGGGAATCCCAACTTACCTGGTTGGACAGGTGTTTAAACTATAGTATTGACTGTACTTTAGGGCCTTTCTGAATCAGAGAATACAGTCGGCTCACATACAGCTGCAGTCTGCATCACTCACCATCCAGGGCTCCCTGCCATACTGAAAAACTGTTTGGTACAGACTTTCTTCAACCTTCACAGGTTGAACCAGAACACCAGAAAACCAGAAAAGCCAAATCAAAGCACATCAGAGTAAAAGTTGGGCTCTCATTTCTTCCACAATGACTCAACCCATGGTCTGCACACTACACTACATTAACCTTATCAAAGTACATTGTGTCTGCTGTTGAAGGGGAAGACAGAGCTGAGATACAGTAAATGCATTACTGTGTCTGTGGCATAATCTGAAACATTTGGCGTACAAAATTATAGCAAACTGAGATGAAAAAAAAAAAGATCAAATCCAACTAGAGAAGATCATTATACTGAGAGGAGGACTTTGGTTAGATTTTGTAAAAAAGCAGCAAACTGCTGCTGTTTTAGTTCTTCATACAGTTCCCTTTGAAATATTGAACTCTTCCTTTAAAGTTTGTTAAACTCACACAGTACCTACAATTAAAAAGATATATTTATAAAAAGTTGTGTAAAATTTCCCCTCGTATATTCCATAAATGTGCAAACCTCATGAAGTGATCCATGTCAAACCTGTTCCTTAGGTGATCATAATTCGAACCTGATGCAGGATCGTCAAGGGTCTAATATACTCACAGTAAGATCATGTTAGGGAGAAGATTCATAATCTAGGTTTACTAGATTTACAGAGCTCTGCATAGTATTAGTATGAACATATCTAAGAATATTTCCCATGTAACTGATTTTTATCCCACCTGTGGTTATTAGTGATTGCACAGGTGGGATTGTTCAAAAACATACTATAGCATATAACTGTAAAGAAGATGTTAACGAGAAGTCACACCCCCTTAATGAAAGAAAATTCTTGACTTTTCCAGATCAGCAGACTCTGTGAGCGGTTAGACGGGTTGTCTAACCCCAGGAAACTTACAAGTACGCAAACCAGCACTTAGGAGGAGCATAAAAACAACCTTGAAGCAGATAAACACAGTGATTAAAAAACAGCTCTTAACCCATGAATCAAATCTTCATATCTTCATGATTTTTTTATCACAGAAAAGAATAAGGAAGTTCACAGAATTTCTTGTGAAAAGTAATGATGTGCTTACGTCACACTTGCTTTCCTCAGCCACGTTTGTCGGACTTGGAAGAAATACAACTTATCTATAATTCTGTTGAAAGGAAAGATTAGTCACCTTATTATGACACTCATTTTGTTTTTGTTTTTTTAGAAAGAGCCTTTTGTGTCTTCACAAGGAATGAGTCTCAAACTCACTCCTACTGACACACACACATTTTTGTATTCAGTCACTGTCAGTGCTCTAAAGAAGAGAGGAGTTTTTGTTGTTGCATTAATTGACATTTTTGATGGTAAAACTTGACAAATGGAGAATCATACTGATCATTGTATTAAAGAAGCCTCTTGTCCATCAAGGCCACTGTTGTTTCTGGAGCTTCACCGGCAGGAAAACGTGAGGAAAGAAGAGTTTATATCTAGAATCTGCAAAATACTCTCATCTCTACGTTTATAACTATGTTTAAAATTTGTATCTTTTCCCAATGAATTTAAAAAAGGCAATGCACATTCATCAATGAACCTCTAAGACTGTATTACATAAATATGCCTGAATTAGCTCATCTGTAATTATCCAGTAGGTACCCAACTAAATCTATCTGCTCAATCAAAGTCAATCAGTTCAGTGATTCCTGAATGAAAAATGGGTGAAGCTCCAATGGAGCAACTGTTCAGAGTTCAGCTATGTCACAGGTTCACAGGTTTTAATCAGGCCACAGCTCGTGAAACTCAGGGTTGGGAGAAACTGATAACTGTGCACTGAAATGAACAAAAGGACAGTATGATTTGGCAATGGTTTGGCAAGCCACCAAATAACTGCTTGACTTGGTGCCAGTCTTCAACAGGAAATGCGTGTCAGGTTATTTTCCTCTCTTAGCTCTACTGGGAAGAGGAGATGACTTTTCCTGAACTCTCTTCAGTGAGAAGTCCTTGTGAAAAATGCGATCAGGACTTGTTCCCCTTTCTCATAAGAGGGCAGAAGCCTGCAAATTTTCCACAAGTTAAAATTAGCAGGAAGAAGCTTTATATTCCTATTTGTGTGTTAACAAAAATAATATATTTGTGATATACAGAGAGCCTGAAGCCTGGACCAACCAGCACACATCACTGCGTCCATCTCTGCTGTTCTGTGGGACTTCAGCAGATAACAAAGATCAGTCACAACACCCTGTTTAGGGCCCACAGGCCTGACTTCAGAGGACATGGATTCCACGAGGGCTGGGCGATATGGCCTCAAATCAATATAACGATATATTGAGCAGTTCACCTCCATAGCAATAAATAAACAATAACTATTCCCCAAGCTGCTTACCCCCTCCCGCATTAACCTCCTCTACTTCAGCCACCGCCCCAGCCGCTACAACTTTTGAACCGTCCTCCATCTCCTCACTTGTCTCTCCCTCTTTGTTACGGACTGGATGGGGCAGACTCACGTCTGTGACGTAGGACAGCGTCTTAAAGGGACATAAGATTAAAGCCTGCCTAGACACATATAAAACCAATTTTTATTTTTTTGACACCAAATATATTGACATGGGCAAAATGTCATTGGTTATTGTTGTAAACTTTGGTATCAGTACATTTCGGTTAATTGCCCAGCCCTAGATTCCACTAGACCTCCAAAGGTGTGCTGTGGTATTTGGCACCAAGACACCAGCAGCAGACTGTTGGACCTTTGTGGATCAACCTTGGTTATCTAGTAGATACCACAGATGCTTGACTGGGTTGAGATCTGGGGTTGAGATCTTTGAAGACAAAGTGAACCATGTTATGTTCTTCCAGACCACTTTCTTCAGGTGCTCCATGGCCCAGATCTGATGCTCATGTGACCATTTTAGGTTCTTTTGACTGCGGACAGGGGTCTATTCGGATGACTAGACCAATCTGGGGCTCTGTAGTCCAAAAAACAATGGACAATAGACAATGGGCTGTGTTCTGGCACATTTCTCATAGAACCAAGTTAATTACTTGAGCTCTTCTGTTGAACCACACAGACCATCCTTTGCTGTCCACAAGGACCATTTGACCCTGTGATTGGTTTGTTCACTGGTCTTCCCTCTTTGGACTACTTTTGGTAGATGCTTACCCCTCCAGACTAACCTCCCCCACAAACAGCAGTAACTCTGGAGATGTAGTGACCCAGTCAACAGCGGCTCATCCTCATACCTTTTCTCTGTTTCTAACACATCAGCTGTTCATTCACCGCCTGACATGTCTCACACATTAAAGGGGCAGGTGTGGATACAGTAAACAGTATACGTTACTGACTACACCTGTCAGCTATGTTAAAGTTATTTCATATTTATTTGCACTGAATCATTTAATGCAATATGCATGTAGTACAATATAGTTAAAGTGCAATCTTAAGTAAAACATGTAAAAAATAAAACAACTTTCTTTCGTATGCATTTTAATTGTATTGTATTTCATTGCAGTGGGAGTTATGCTGTTGATCTTGAGTCCCTTTTTTTCCACACTGGCATGTTTATTGTCATGCACCAATAATGCCTCAAAACTTTCATACCGACTTGGCAGTGACCATCAACTCCGGTTCTGTGAGCAGAGCAGATATGCACATGGCTGGCAGGGTGAAGATTGTTCATCTGCATGAATAAAATGTTGCAGCTACCTGTCGGGTTTTTCTGTCAAAGACTCCACACACTGCACAAAACAAAGTACCTGGAACTACCTGGGAGCATGATTTATTTCCCTCATTTAGAGTCTCTTTCACACAAACTCTGCTCCCTTACTCCACTCACTGTCTTCATACTGCTGCAGTATATAAAATACAAATAAAATATAGAGTATTGAACACAAGGCTCAGAAAAATAACCCATAAATAAAAACCATGCATGAGCTGGAGTCCACTCAAGAATCAAAGACAGGAACTGATGTAGACCAGATATGGTTCAGGACCTGCATTCAGTCAGCATTGGTCCAAACCAGAGGACCTGGATGTTGCATGCTGCACACACTGGTGTGACCCTCTGCCCTGTCACAAGTCAATGGTTCCTTTAACTTTGAATTTCTTGGCAGAGCGTTCACTGGCTCGCTGCTCAAACTTGCTTCCGTAGATGTGGGAGATGAAGCCGTTGATCTCCACTTCAAACACGCTGTTCCTCTTCGGGATCACTGTCACACAACAAATGTGGAAGAATGGAAACAAAACAGAGGGATAATGCATGTTATCCACGAAATTTCGCCTCCGCAAAAACATACATTTGAACTCTAATGTAGAAATGAGACAACATGCAGGAGTTGAGTTTGGTGAGTCCCTTTTTACCTTTGAGTTTGTCTTCTTTGGTGATGATTTTGAAAACATGTTTGAATTCTTGGACCAGAATCCCTGTTGTCCCCACATATGACGGACATTTAGAGCGAACCACTGAGAGACAGAGACAGACAACAAACAACACCATTCTAAAACCAGCTGTCCATCACTATCAGTTTTTTCAATGGACGATACCCATGCTCAGTATTACAAAGACAGTCAGCTGATATAAATTACTGACATCATCATATTATTGTTTTTTGAAATTGTTTTTTCTGCTTTAACAATTTTATAATTACAACAGCTATCATACTGCTTACACATTACAATCTTATTATGTTTGAGCCAGAAACATGTTTCAGATGGATTTTGAATCAATTCATGAAACACAGGTGTATTTCAGAAGGCATTAACAAACCTCTCTTCTTTTAGCTCATATCTGCATGGTTGCTGACTGCTTTGGTTCCTTTGACTCCAGTGATAACGCTAACAAAACCTGATCTGATAAATATGAGCAACTTCATCTGAACTCCAACACAAAAAAATCTTCTCTGATTAAACTCAGTGGTTGGTTATTTTAGTCAAAATGAATATTTACCAGTGATGATGGCTCCATGGAAGTCTGCCTTCAGAAGCTTTTGCTGCACAGACTGTGGACTGCTGTAAAAACACAACACACAACGTCAAATATATGCAGTTAAAGTAAAAACCCCAAACCCTGAAGAGCTGGATACTTTGACAAATGTTGGTTTTTGAAAATCATTGAGCCCAGTCTAAAAACAACATCTCAGATGTTTAAACTGAAACATGTTATCAGCTTATAAAAAGTACATGCTCATGTAAGATTCAATGTCAGCACATATTTCAAAAAGCTGTGACAGAGACGTGTTTACTATTGCGCTGCATCAACTCTTTTTTGAAAACTCTGAAAATGATTGGGAACCAATACAAAAATAGTTCCAGGAGTTTTTTTTAATGAAATTTCTGTTATTCTTTTCTTATTTTTTAAGATTTCAGATGCTCAACAGTTCAGGGTCTGTCTTGTTGTATTTTTTAATTCATGATGCTCCAAATGTTTTCAATGGGGGACGAGTCAGGACTGTAGGCAGACCAGTTTCTCAGCAGGACTCTTCTACTACAGAGCCATGCTGTTGTAATCCCTGTTTTGAGAATGTGGTTTGTCATTGTCTTGCTGAAATATGAAGGTCTTCCCTGAAAAAGTCTTTGTCTGAACGGCAGCAGATGTTGCTCCTAAACCTGTAGATATTGTTCAGAATTAACTGAGGCCTTCCCGGATGTGTAAAGTACCCATGCTTTGCATCTCTATCCCATCACAGACTCTGGCTTTTGAACTGTGTGCTGACACAGGACAGGTGGATGTGTCCATGATTTACAAAAGGAACGTCTAACTTTGATTAGTCAGGCTTGGGCCAAAATAGATGCCAACGTTTCTTGATCGTATATATATATATATATATATATATATATATATATATATATATATATATATATATATATATATATATATATATATATTTATTTATTTATTTATTTTTTCTCCTGTCTGTAACTGTGTTCATAGACAATGGTTTTTGGATGTATGTCTGAGCCCATGCAGCGACTTCTACTACAGTCATGTTTGCTGTTAATGCAGTGTTGAAGGCTCTAAGATCACAGTCATCTACTATTGGTTTTCTATAGTTGTATGTGAGGGTCCATAGTCTGAGCAGCACTGAGATCATCTACCTTGTTGGTTTCAATCCACACAGGTCAATGATGTATTGTCTCCAGAGCTCATGCAGAGGCAGGAACAGCTCATACCTACAATAAAGACATGAAATCAAGAGGGTCAAAACTGGCTTACCAGAAATCTAGGACATAGTGTTTCTATAAGATTACTGGTATGGGTCAGATTCCCAACCTCTGGTGCTCAGGTTTGATCTGGAAGACTTTCATTTTCCGTTTCTGCTTAGCGCTCAGTCCTTTGGCTCTCTTGCTGCTCCTCTTGGACTTGTCCTTCTGGGGTCTGGTAAAGCCCAGAATCACAGCTTTGTAAGACAGCATGCTGTCCAGGTCGTGCTTTGAGGTCCGCTGCATACTGTTCTTCAGAAACGCCCTGGTGAAGGCTTCTGCTTTAGAGCTGGTCTTAGACTGGTAATGAGACATCAGAGAAATATTTTTACAGAGAGACTACGAAACACTGTTCGGTTCCTGGACGGAACCCCAGAAAAGACTGACCCATCTTTGGTTTGACCGTTAACCACTGAATTGTTATTTTGACAAACTCATAGATTGTAAATAAATCAGAAGGAAACAGGTCTCTGTTTGGATCCAGACTGTTGGAGTAAGCCTGAGTGAAGTGTCTGTGCATTGACTGAGCAGATGATCAGGCATTTATGCTGCAGAGGTAAACCCAGCATGGAGTAGGAAGTTTCAAAGTTGTTAAAAGTAATGCCTACACCAGAGTCTTGATCGGCCCCAATTCACATCAAACGTTATCCAAAGATGCTTTACAAGAAGAACAGATCAGAACCAAACTTTTAATCATTTATAAAGACACAACAGCAAGATACGATTCAGTCTGACCTGATATCAACACTGCCTTTTAAACTTTGTGTCTGTATTTACAAGGCTAAACAATAATAAGTAATTATTCTACATCTACAGACATGAGTATTTCAAACACAAATGAAAGGACTGAAGGGTTGATTTTTGGACAAATTAGACTCAGCTCGAATTTACGTAAAGTCACATTACTCTCTGCGAGAAAGTCTGAGGATCATTCAAAAGACAGAAAAAGTGCACTATGTCCTCAGTGGACATCATCACATCCACTGAGGACTATCTGCTTACCTCAACACCGAGGATCTTCCTAAGGTCTGGAGGAATCGGGGCTCTAACCAATGCTTCTGTTAGGACGACACAAATACGGGTTTTAAGGTTAATTTGACCTGAAGAAATATATTTACAAAATTGATTAAAAAACTGCTTTTGTCTTTTTCTTATTTTCATATTAGAGTCTACAGAACCTTTGGCTGCATCTAATGCTCATTTATTCAAGAGCAAAAATCAATAAAAAACGATTCCTCTATGGAGGCATTCAGAGTTGTTTCAGTGTAATATCTGTTTGTTTTTACTGTTCTGTCACTGTTTTTCTGCTATCACTCATTTAGTGGAGATTTAAAATACATTTTTTTTACACTCAAAGTTAAAGCTTTTGTATTGGAGATCATTTTATGTTTCTTTATTATTGGGAATGCTGCCACTACTACAAACATAGGTTTTCCAGATAATGTGATCATTTTCATAAGAAAGCTAAAGATCAACATTTGTCCTCCTTTATCATTTCTTACAACTTACACAGTCACCGAATTATACACAGCCTTTGTTTGAAGTGACCTACATATCTAGTTGTCAACACGTGCAGGTCTGACACAAAACCTGTTGTGCAGGTTAGCGACAACAGGCTTTCAGGGACTTCCTGATCTACGTGAGAGAGGGAGTGTTCAAGAGTTCAAGACTGGACTGTCCCTTCATACTTGATCATTGAGGATCTCACTTTTACGGTTATGACTTTGACTAACATCAGACAGGTCTAGTTACATGTTTCATTGCCTGGGTTTCCACAGATAAACACAAGCCGGAACAGCTATCTCAAGAATGAGGATGCGTTGAGATTAAAAATGATTTCCTGATCTAAATCAATTATTTCCATCACAACCATCCCATGATTGTTCTTTTGATAGATTCCCTGTCCTCTGCACAGTGACAGCTGGCCATGTGAGAGGCGGGCACCTCAGAACAAACATGGCAGCTGCTTCTCTGAAGACATCTCCAAACCTTGAAGACAGAGAGGAGCTGGACAGATGTAAAGCTATATTCGAGCTGTGCAACAAGGAAGTCAATTCTCTAAAAGTAATTAATGCAGCATCCCCCTGATAAACTACCAAAAACGCTCAATCCCCACTAGAAAAGGCACTTCAGTTGACATTCCCACCCAGCCCTCTGCTTCCTCCCAAAAACCTGAGGCTGTCAGAACCTTCAGATGCTAGGATATCAGTCTGCACAGTGTGGTGGAGAACACTCAGTAATGTCCTTAAACCTCATCTCATGTTTGTAGCATGCAAACCTTTGAGAAACCGAATACAATGATTTGCAAATCATTTTCAACCTATATTTAATTTAATACACTACAAAGACAAGATATTTAATGTTCAAATTCATAACTTTTTTTTTTTGGCAAATAATAATTAACTCAGAATTTGATGGCTGCAACACCTGCCAAAGAAGTTGGGAAAGGTGGCAAAAAACTACTGAGAAATCTGAGGAATGCTCATTAAACACCTATTTACAACATCCCAAAGGTGAGCAGGTTAATTGGGAACAGGTGGGTACCATGATTGGGTATAAAAGTAGCTTCCCCAAAAATTCTCAGTCATTCACAAGCAAGGATGGGGCGAGGTTCGCCACTTTGTGAACAACTGCGTGAGCAAATAGTCGAACAGTTTAAAGAACGTTTCTCAAAGTACAATTGCAAGGAATTCAGGGATTTCAACATCTACGGTCCATAATATCATCAAAAGGTTCAGAGAATCTGGAGAAATCACTGCATGTAAGCGGCACGGCCGGAAACCAACATTGAATGCACGTGACCTTCGATCTCTCAGGTGGCACTGTATCAAAAACAGAGATCAATGGATATTACAAAGGATATCACCACATGGGCTCAGGAACACTTCAGAAAACCACTGTCAGTAAATACAGTTTGTTGCTACATCTGTAAGTGTAAGTTAAAACTCTACTATGCAAAGTGAAAGCCATTCATCAACAACATCCAGAAATACCGCCAGCTTCTCTGGGCCCGAGCTCATCGAAGATGGACTGATGCAAAGTGGAAAAGTGTTCTGTGGTCTGATGAGTCCACATTTCAAACTGTTTTTTGGAAATAGTGGACGTCGTGTCCTCCGGGCCAAAGAGGAAAAGAACCATCCGGACTGTTATTGACGCGAAGTTCAAAAGCCAGCATCTGTGATGGTATGGGGGTGCATTAGTGCCCAAGGCATGGGTAACTAACACATCTGTGAAGGCAACATTAATGCTGAAAGGTACATACAGGTTTTGCAGCAACATGTGCTGCCATCCAAGCAACGTCTTTTTCATAGACGCCCCTGCTTATTTCAGCCAATGCCGAAAGACAGTGCCAAGCCACATTCTGCACGTGTTACAACAGCGTGGCTTTGTAGTAAAAGAATGCGGGTACTTGACTGGCCTGCCTGCAATCCAGACCTGTCTCCCATTGAAAATGTGTGGTGCATTATGAAGCATAAAATACGACAACGGAGACCCCGGACTTTTGAACAACTGAAGCTGTACATCAAGCAAGAATGGGAAAGAATTCCACCTTCAAAGCTTCAACAATTAGTCTCCTCAGTTCCCAAACGTTTGAGTGTTGTTAAAAGGAAAGGTGATGTAACACAGTGGTAAACATGCCCCTGTCCCAACTACTTTGGCACGTGTTGCAGCCATGAAATTCTGAGTTAATTATTATTTGCAAAAAAAAAAAAAAAGAGTTTTTGAGTTTGAATTTTAAATTTGTTGAGTTTGTAGTGTATTAAATTGAATATAAGTTGAAAAGGATTTGCAAATCATTGTATTCTGTTTTTATTTACGTTTATCACAATTTCCCAACTTTAATAGAATTGGGTTTTGTATATCGAAAATTAATTTCGCTCAGTATATGAAACATGGTCAATATCCTTTTCAATAGCTGGCATTCTTCCATGTTTGGTTAGACTGTATGAATAGCCAATGAAAAGGGGAGTTGCTCCAAGTCTGCTTCGCACTGAACCAATCATGTGCTGAATTAGAACCAAGTAGCAAACAACTGCGTAGTAGCAGGCTGCAGCTACACGCAGCCATAGCACATTAACACATGAAGCCGACAGCACTGTCAGTGAGAAAAAAAGAAAATGAGTGCTAACCCCGGCAGAAATGCGGATGAAGGCTCAACAGATGACAACATCGTCGACAACACTGGTACGAAAACGTTGGTGGTGTGGAGGTATTTTGTTTTTTTGAGGTCGGACATGAGGCAGAGTAGTGTGCACTGTAAATTATGTCGAGTACATGTTCTCGCAAAGTCGGGGAATACCCCAAATCTTTTTTACCACCTGAGACAGTGCCACACAGCAGAGCACACGCAATGCAAAAGGTTACTAACCCTGAGCGGAGCCCAAGGAGCCCATGGAGCCTGTGCAGCCAAAACAGCAAACCATTCTGTGCGCTTTCTCTAGCGCAACGCCTTACGACAAAACGTCAAAGAGACACAAAGACCTCACAGATGCAGTAGCTTATTAGACATGCTACCTTTAAGCACTGCTAAATTTCATTTAAGAGTAACAGGGAACATTTAAGATTGACAAGTGAGTTTTTTATATTGGTGTATATCAATATTGAGTGATATGATAAAAATATATCGGGATTAACTTTTCCTCATATCGCCCAGCCCTAGATACCATAAACACCTGGCCAGTGAAAATGATGGTGAATGGAGGACTGAATGTACACAGCCAAGAGTCCAGCACAGTCTTAGTTTGACATGTTTCAGAGACATTTACACACAAACAAACAAAGTCTTACTCAACTGTCTCTCTCAAGGACAAATAACAAAACTAAGTCACTTCTTTCTCTTTGTTCTGTCTCATTTTTTTTCTCTGTTTTTATTTGTTTGTCTTTGTTCCAGCTCTGTGTTGTCGGAGTTTATTAAACCCGTCTGTATAACTCCTTCTAGGTTATATCTGAGGACATTGACTGATTATTGTCCTCCAACAGCTGTAAAACTAACAGGATTGTCTCTTGGAGAATCTCCATCATCATGAAAAAATCTGTGATGCAACTGAATTAACCTTTAATGAACTGATGTTGAAGAATTATGAACTTTTGGATCAGAATCAAGTCATGTCAAGCATGTCCTATTAATGACAGGGACAGATTTTAGACTGAGGAACAGATGACAGAGTGGTATGATCTTAGGAGCAGACAGTCCTGTCTGACTGCAGTCATGGAAACAATCCAGTCCACAGAGTCAGATCACCCTTCCTCTGATGACAGCTAAGGTGATGAGAGGTTCCAGGGAAGAAAAACATGACCCACTTCTCTCCTGAAGACTGAGCCCTGCCTGATGAGCAATGAAACACTTGTGCGGACACCTGTGAGTCACGCTGAGTACCTAAACCCTTAAGTGACTCTTTCTGCATATTTACACACCCAGCAGGTGCAGCAAATCAGAGTCTCTTTTTTATGCCCGACCAGTATTCAAATTTTTAAGGGAAGGACATTTTTCAGTTATTGTTCTTGGCAAAATCCCCCCGAAGACATCACTTTTTTCAATATCCCACACCTCCGGGCTAAATGATCAAACATCAATTACCAAAAATCTGCACAGGTTTCCACAAGCAGTGCATCGCTTCTTTGCTACTATAACCCTTTTTGTCCTCTCTCACATTTCCTCTTTTGTCTTAGTTTTATAAACCAATGTGGAATTAAAATAAGGAGATAAAAACACAGCTGTTGAGGATTACCTCCGGGAGCATGAGTGACGCTATAGTACCTGAAACCGAACAATGACACAATTATGTCTGACATGCTTTTCTACCACAAAGAAAGGTGGTTGCTTGTTTCCAAGGAAGAGTTATAATATTTGCTCACAGGAAACCTGTTGACATGCCATGACATCAAAAACACAAGTGGAATTAAAAACAGTGAATGTGCCAAAACAGGCAAGCCAGCATAAACAGTATCATAGCACTAAAATTAGCAGGCATGAATAGCATACAGTAATTATCTTTGGTCTTAATTACAGCTGTGTCTGAGTGACCATATGAATGTGAGCTGCTGCTCTATCTTTGAATTTTAGAATGCTGGGATTTATTTCCCCTTCAGTCTCTGTCACTCTCTGTGGCAGAAAAAAAAAACTTTCTTGGGTGGGGGGTGTTATATTTGTTGCATCAAACTCTCATGTCTGAGCACTTAGTGCCATCTCCTGGTCAGCTCCTGAATCACAAACGGCAGCTGTAAAGAACTAGCTGCCTCAAAGCCCTGGCTGGATGTAATTCCTATTTTTAGCAGCAAAAAAACAACAACTCTGGTACAGTCATGTTCTTATCATCTCTAGATTATTTCCATCTAAACTTTTGAACACAGAGATATGGTTTTACATGCTCTCTCTGAATCACACTCTGATTCTTGTATCAGCCCTTTTTACCTGACTAACTTCAGGCTACACAGAACTCAGAGCCCATACACCATACAGGAACCACAGTTCATCACCACTTTAAAGTGAACCATGCAAACAGGAAGCCTGATATAACTGTGATCTAAAAACACTGACAACTTCTCTGAACCCAGGCCACTGAAGCATGAATTGAGGGAAAAGTGATCCAATCTAAGGGTTTTGTGGGGAAAATAATGGACACTGCAAAGAAGAGAAGGGCTAACATCTGCTGCCATCCAGACAAAGACTTTTTCAGGAAAGACCTTCATATATCAGCAAGACAATGACAAAACACATTCTGAGAACAGGGATTACAACAGCATGGCTCTGTAGTAGAAGAGTCCTACTGAGAAACTAGGACCAAGCCTTTATCCCTGTCCTACTTTTCTTGGACATGAAACGCTATTTTTAGTTAAATAAAGACTTTGTACACCGTCAGTGTTGTTTATGTCGACATTACACAGAACAGCCAAACTCTTGTGAAATGAAGCAACCCTAAAAATGAGGTCTAACGGTTGTGATTTTGGATCAGGGTCTGGTCCAATGTGGTCACTAAGAGGTGAAAACAGTGAAATAGCCGTGTCTTGCATTTTCTCCAGTTGAACAAAGGTTTTTACAAATCTTTTTTCGACATATGTTTTACTTCTGATGGACTCTGATATCATTGGAGATACTATGTAAACAGGAGGTGAAGCTGATATAGTTTAACAGAGAGTATACAGGCTTAAAAGAACCCGGATGAGCGCTTTAAGAGCACAGGGTGACTTGATGACAGGGTTTGACGAAGTTATACAACTATACTGTATAACTTGTAACATTACCGTTACACAGTAATGTTATTGTATGGACCTCTGCTGGAGGTTCAACATGAGCATGTTTCAACACTCTTTTAGCTGCGCTGTCCCTTTAACATTAACTCTTCCACAAATACTACTCACCCTCCATCTCCACGTCTATGTCTGTCGTGGACAAAAACGTGACTGATTCAAAAATAGTTTCTGAATCTCAAAAACCAGCGAAAAAGTTCAACAAGCATGTGAAAATGCAAACCAGGGTCACTTCCTCACGTTTGTCTTCTTCTTCTTCTTCGAGAGGAGGAGTTTTCCGCAGATTTTTAGCTGCGAGGAGTAATGTCGCCCCCTACCGTCAGTGACCCGCCAATGAATCACATTCAGCCACACACAGAGAGGTGACCAGATGCAGCGCAAGATGGCGGACCCAAAGATAGAAAACCACATTTACAAAACGCAATAAGTTTCCGCATTACCTCCGATTGGCGGACCCAAAACAATTACTTCCGGTGGAAAGGCTTTCTCGTTGGCGGACTTCCGGCGCCGAAATACTTCAGGTAGTCGGATTTAGTCGCCGGATCCTTTTTTTTTTGCCCCGTTCATTCCATAAGAATCGAATTAAATTTATTATTGAGCTAAAAATCAAAATAAAACGTTTATGTTTTAATTATGACAACTGTTTTGTTCTGAATTAATTCTGAAGTTTACAGTAATATGTATATATAGCCTGATGTCCTCATATTCTGATAATTTGTCAGAATAGGTAAATGTATGTAGAAGTTATCATCTTACTCAAATTCTTTTGTAAGAGTTTGCTACAAGTATGGACTGTTACACATCTCGTTACACATCATATAACAGTGTTTTCTAACTTTTCTCTCCAATAGCTTTATTACACAGCACATCAATGTTTCTTAACTTCTCTGTGACCTTGTTTCTCCACTCCTATTAGGACCTCGTTTAATGTCAACAATGTTGCCCTGACCCTCACATATTTTCTGTTGTTCATAATTATGTTTTATGAGAGTGCTTATGTTGCTGCACAAATTTACTCCCCCCATCCTTTAGTAATATTGTGTAACCAGGGACATAATTTATGAAATGGTGTGCTTCCTGGTGAACCTCTTCAGGATTGCTTGACTGTGCAAAATCCAAGTATACAATAGTTGTAGAGACACAAGTCACATGATCTCTTTAAGGTTCAGAAGAGCCATATAGCAAAAACAATTGAATAGCGATATCATTACAGACTGTGTAAAGAAATGGGAAATTGTCATACAACTGCTTTGAAGATTTCTTTAATTTTTTCCAAACAAAATTGTGAACAGTAAAAGAATATATATATATACAAAATTCAGCACTGCCGTCGGTGTGGTGGGGGGCTTAAAACACGTTGCCACAGGCCATCATCAGCTCTGCTCTGAACCGGGTGATGCCATGCTCCTTCAGTGCTTTGATCAAAAGCTGAAAAACAGTCAAATAATGTGAACAATTGAAGTTATGCAGTATGGGTTAATTGTTGTTCTTGAGCTTTCCAAATGAATAAGAACAACCTCTTAACAATATCATCAATTTTCAAAGCAAGCTATATAGTTTGATCTACTCACCTCTGGGAGCATGACGTCAAAAACGAAATCAAGCAGATGAATCTCGCCTCTCTTTATTTTTTTAGAAATGTTTGTTGCCACCTCAATGAACCGCAGGAGCTCGAACATCTATTGAAGAAAAACACAGAAAGTAAACACCTTTCAAATGTAACACCCCTGAGAGTAAAAATACTCATGATGGATGGCATTTTTACTTACGCGCTGCTCACTCCAACTTAGTGTCCTTATCTTAAGATGCTGCTTTAGTCGGAGTGAGGTGGCGGGATTCCTCCAAAGGAACATTCTGTTGGAGCGGATCTTTCCAGACAGTAGATCATCGTGTAATGTCTGAAACCAAAGAGCAAGAGGCAAAAATGTAATCATCTGAAAAAGAAACGGTGGCTTTAACAACTGATAGTGCATTCAAAAGCAACCTTGATCTGTGTCTTAGAAAAGACAGCATGAATTCCTCAACTGTCAACAGCATCCTTGATCCTGCAGAGAAATAAGAAAAGAGCAAGCCCTCATTTTTTCATCCTTTGAGCCTCGTATTTTTGACTGATACTATGTTTCCTTGATAAATTATGTTATACCGAGGATGCTCAATGGAGTCCTCGCACCCGCAGTCAAACGGCTCCATTTCAATCCCAGCACAATCCTGATGCAGCCAGCCCCTGCACGTCTTGCACTGGACCCATTTTATGACGTTTACCTCAGGGTAAAGCAATCTGATCAAATGAGAGACAAACATAATATTAAACAAACACGCTGTCCAATTGATTATACCTCTGCAGCACATTTGAATGTATAAATAATTTTCCTGCATGATTCGTGCATTTAAACTATATGTAAAAGTGGTCACTTCATGGAAAATCACTGAATAGGCCCCGATAATTGCATTTATTAAATTGAGTCTGCAACACACCTCTCTCCTGTGTTGTTCGATGTCTGGTAGACACAGAATTGCATTGAATCTGCCATGCACATTCTTTGGACATCCGATACCGTCTGCGTCATGGTTTCCTTGACAAGGCAATTTGAAAAGTAACATCAATTACCAAATACATCGAGACAATGTTGATCCATACAACTGTGTGCATTTTGAAGGACTCCCACTGAGATAATACTGTTTTTACAAGGCAATTTTCTAACCTCTATGTCCTGCTGCTCTGCCTTCCTCTTTAGACTGAAGACCGGAGTATGCTTTCCAGCAATGAGCTCTTGACATTCTTTGGTCCAGTGGGCGAAGATTTTCCCACAACTGTAATGACAATATGTCTTTAAGTACAATATATTGATTGTCTTCCAGTTAATTAGGACATCTAGTTTACTTAAACTGTCTACCTGTTCAAAGAATTGTTCTCCAGGAGCAACAGGCACCACCATCGCCGCCAAACAGGCATGTCATGCTGAAATTGTTGTTTGTATTTCATTTTAGTGCACAATACAAAATACAATCTTGAGGATGACACTGCGTGTTGAAAAGTACTTACAACTGAGTAGTCAAACTGTGACTCCATAACGATGTACATGGCAGACTTTAAAAAAAAAATTATGAGACAACATGTGAGATAACTTTAAAAAAGTCCATGTTGGAAAGTTATTCTAGATACAATATTTGTGCATTACAGCTCGTTATGACCTACCATCAACATGAATATGCCACAGTCTGAGCCGAAGTCCTGGCTGGGGAAGCCCTGATTTAACAAAAGCAAACGTTAATCATCTTGTCACATACACTTTGTAGGAGCCAGATTGGGGTTTTGCAGTTTATTGTTATGTATTTTTTGTGCCAGCAGATGGTGCTATTGTGCCTGTCTATTTAATGGGTGGGTTGATTAGGAGAGGTGCGCACATAAAATGATGAATGAGTAAATAAATCAAAACAACAGAAAATGTGTGTGACATGTGACATTATTCCACCTGCGGGCACGCATCAACTCAAGCAAAAAGGTGTTCGCCACAAGTAACAGCATTGGAAAGCTGTTATACACTTTTCAACTGTAATATAGAGCATGCACAAATACCTCCAAATCTCTGCCCGTTTTCTCAGTCCATTGCCCAGGACATATCTTCTGCGCAATGTTCCTGTTAATTTGAGAGCGTCACTTAGATTTCCCATGATGGAAACAATGGAATGCAGGGTTAGGGTTAGTTTGAGTGGTCGGATGTGAGATTGAATGAATGCGGACGGCTTGCTTCTTTTCAAACTTCCTGAGATTTCTTCTTCTTCTGTAAATTTTGCCGTCAGAAAGTGTAGGTACATACCGCCACCTACTGTTCTGGCATCGCAAAGCAGAAGTTCAAAGTTCATGTTTTGGGTCCGCCAATCGGAGGTAATGCGGAAACTTATTGCGTTTTGTAAATGTGGTTTTCTATCTTTGGGTCCGCCATCTTGGCGCTGCATCTGGGTACTCTTGCACACACAAAGCCTTTTCTGTATAAAACTAACAAGAATAGTGAGGAATTCGGGGTTTCTTTTGATCTTTTTTCAAGAAAAGCAAGGATTGTTTTCTTTTCTAGTTTCTGTCTCAAAAAGCCATGATGCCATGCCCAGGGACTACAGGCAGAAATTAGCAATTGTTGCTATAACCCAGCTCAAAGCATCTCTTCTTGTCTTACAAGATTAATGTTTTTTTGTGCACTGTCCTGGTTTTAAATAAATTCATTTCAATTCAATAAATATTCTGACCTTACTCAGCCCACTGAATAAACTTTTATTTTCATGTCCACCTCTGGATGAACCAGCCTGACTGACAGGACTCAACTAACACTCATCTTAACTTAATTGCAGGTAAACTGATCTCCCCTCAGGATAAACATGAAAAAAAAAACACACAAGAAATAAATAACACATTTATTTTTACCAGACATGACTACTGTTGTGCAGCAAATGTTCACACAGTCAGGCTTTGGTAACAAAGCTCTGCCCTGTGCACACACTGAACATCATAAGAACTGGACCGTACCTGCCTGACACTAATTCTCACACTCAACATGTCAGTATGAAAGCACTTTAGTTCAGTTTATGGACATCTCTCCCCAGACATTCGTCTCTGTCCTGCAGGAGGAAGCCATGCCAAAAGCAGTACCTTTCACCTTTCTATGGAGGTTGCTCCGCATGACCTTTGATCTCAATCTGGTGCATGTAATATTAAATATCTGCTTTTTAATTCATGAATTCTAGCTGGTCTGGGTGTATGAAATCCACATAAGGTGTGAGAGGTTCAAGGCTCAAATCCTTGATGAGCCCACACAACATCCAAGTCCCTATGGGATGTTTAAGAGGAGCTTGTCCAGTAAAACGTTGATTGTGTGTTGCTGCAAAGAGTCCTGAAGGACTCAGTTTTGTAAAACCCTAAACTTTAGTCCATCAGGACATTGCATTGTTTGCAGACAGGCAAGTGATGCTTTAAGATATTGAAGGCAAACTTCATCAACTATACCATACATTTGCTCAAATGGAATTTTCAATTGTTTTGTCTAATCAATTAGACCTACAATCCCGTGGCTCATTGGTCTAGGGGTATGATTCTCGCTTCGGGTGCGAGAGGTCCCGGGTTCAAATCCCGGATGAGCCCTCTGAATGTATGTCTGATGTTTGTATATTTGTACCAACACATCTAACGGCATATAACCATCTCATCTATTACCTGCTCTAATGTGTTGGTGTGGAAAATAACACACCATGGGAAATATAATGGGTGCTGTTATGACCTGGCATCAAGTGATCCACCTGGTTAGGTAAGGGGAGTTGAACCTATCACTTTCATCTTTCTTTCCAAAATGCAACATATTCTCATTATGATCTTTAAAAAAAAACTCCTTCCAGTTTTCAGATGAGCAAACAAAGACTTTGGGATCTTGAAGAATGGCTCCTACATGAGTGCTGGTACCGATTTGTGGTGCCATGTCTTCTGCTGCTGTAGATCTGCTGTGTTTCTCAAGTCTTAAAGTCCTTCAAGCCTCCATCTGCAGACAAGCTTTATGGAGATTCCAACAGGACCTGAACCTGGTCACAGTGCCAAAGCTCCTGCCAAATGGTTTGTTGACCGTATAAATTTGCTTGTTTAGCAAACCAAATAAACCTGACCTGAACCTTACAGAAAATCTGGGGGATGTGTGACAAGAAAAAGATGAGAAACACCTGACCCTCAAAATACAGACCAGTTGAAAGAGCTATCATAGTAACCTGGATTTTAATGAGACCTTGACAGAGCTGATCGCCTTTATGTTGATGTGTGAATTCATGGAAAAAAAAAATTAACATCCAAGAATTGAAATAAAGACACTTTTCGGAAGTTTCTGTAATTTAAATCTTTGTGTTACTGCTCCTTGTAAATATTCATATATCTTGAGCCAAAAGCACAAATAATAAAAACCTGAAACAAAAAAGGCTTGAAATATTTTATTTGCCATGTTACAAATAAATGAATTGCTAAAGTTTATAAATTGAATTATAGAAAATGAACATTGCATGAAAATCCTTATTACTGAGCAGACCAACAGAGGATATAAACTTTCAACTTTGGCCCCAGTCACTTCAGAACTGAAGAAGCCTTTTGGAATAGAGGCAAAATGTCTTCAAGAACCTCTACCAAGTCCAGATGCCTTTTCAAAAAAAAAGAATTGGATATTCATGACCTGGATCAATGAGAACCTACACAAACATAGGGTTGCAAAATTCTGGGAATTTTAAAAGTTGGAAACTTTCCATGGGAATTGACGGGAATATATGGGAATTAACGGTAATAAATTCAGAAATTTACAAAATTGAACGTTGGCCCTCAACAGGGAACTTAAATATAGCTGGTGAAAATGTGTTGTAGAATAGAATAGAATAGAATAGAATAGAATAGAATAGAATATTCCTTCATTGATCCCCCATGGGGGAAATTTTTTGTCACAGCAGCATCACAGACAAAGTGCAAAAATGCAGTTATAAAAATAAAGATCGTAATATTAAGAACTTAAATAAATATAATAATTAAGAAAAAATTTAGAAAAAGGAAAAAAGGGAGAAGAAAAATAAAACTATCTACAATATACACAATTTAAATGCCAGAAAAAAGTGGTGGTGTGAGTCCAGTTATTATTACAGTTCGTTGTACAGTCTTATTGCAGAGGATAGGAATGACCTGCGGTAGCGCTCCGTCTTGCAAGGTGGGAGTCTCAGTCTGCTGCTGAAGGAGCTGCTTAAAGCCCCCACAATCTGGTGCAGTGGGTGAGAGGGATTGTCCATGATGGATACAAGCTTTGTTAACATCCTCCTCTCACCCACCTCCTCCAGGGAGTCCAAAGAACAGTCCAGGACAGAACTGGCCCTCCTGACCAGTCTGTTCAGTCTCTTCCTGAGGCATAATCTTTGCTAAAAAAGCCTAATTTAATGCAAGTACACTCTTCAGTCACATGCACACAGCACATTGCGTACTGCAGGGCTATTGAGGCCACACCCCCTACATGCACTGTGCATTCCTCCATCACACGCACAGATGATTTCTTGAACCCTGGAGGCCACACTTTTGAGCCCAGAGCACAAGACATTTGAGTCCACAGACTACATAAAGTCAAATTAGTTTTGATTATTTCATACATTATTTCATAATGTTATGGAGTAAATATATTTGATCTTCAATAGTATTAATATTTGACTTGCAAAAAAATTAAATAAAAATAGGTGCTAAATGTAAGCTATTTTCATTTCATTGACCATTTAAGGGGCTAGCTTATTATAGTGGTGGTAGCTACCTTAAATGTGATGCTGTTTCTTCTGACTCCTGCAAGACGGTTTTCTGAAACCATACAATAATTTATACATCAATTGTCAAATATTTTGAAGACCACTCCAGTTGTTTAGCCAACGATATCTCTGTTCATGCAATTGCATTAATGTTTTTACTAGCTTTTGTTATTTTATTCTACAGAAAAATGCCACGTTCACCATCTGATGTGTGAGAGCATTTCACACAAGCTAATGTTGAAGGTAAAATATTTACATTTATGTTTGGATATAATACAGTTTGTTTGAATTACACCCAATTTTCAGTTAATTCCTATAAATTCCCATTAATTCCCATAATTCCCATGGAAAGTTTCCAATTTGGAATACTTCCAAAATTCCCGGGCTTAACCTTCAATGGAAAGTTTCTGAAAATTTACTGGAAATTTACTGGAAATTTTCTGCCCCTTTGCAACCCTACACAGACATATTTCTGGACTTCTTTAAAAAGCTGTTTCTGCCTCATAGAACTATAAGCTGTGGCAGCTGTCATAGTAAACACTTTTGTGTAGAAATAGGACACCTTCTGTCTGACGGTCTTGTTTGCTGTTGAAAGTTTTGTACAGACATCAGACATATTCTCAGTCTGCTTAATAACCAACAAAAAACTCCTCAAAGGAGCTCTGAGCTACCATGACCTTGACAGATCCCCTGCTGACGGTGGCCCCGAGAGCTCAGCACAAACAATTTGGGAAAATGTGTAAATACACAAAGCACAAGAAAATGCAGTTATTTTGACACAGGCAGAAATGAATAAAAGGATTTAGACAGCAACAGAGAAACAAGAGCTGCCCTGTATGCAGCAGTTCTGGTTTGAGCTGGTCAGACTCTTTGAATGCTAAGTTTTAATTCCTAAACTCATCGACAAACTGCAGCGAGAGGGATACATGACAATCAAGGACAGTCTCAATCATTGGTTTCTTTAGAGACACCATGGAGCCTTGCAGTCAGCCTCATCATCATCCATGTTGGTACACTCTCTAATTCCTTCTGTATTTGTGACACTTTACAGATTTTTTTTAACCAAGTCGCAGAAAAGTTATTGAGTCCCAGACAGTTTCAAACTTTTCCTTGGTATCCTTTCCATAGTTCTTATGTGACTGATGCTTAATAACGCTGGTTTGAACCACAGCTGGTGCAAGGGAAGTATGAAAAAAACTTGAATCAACCAACTGGCCATGTCAGCCCCATCTTAGCTGTAACTTTACCATCAGTGAACCTGCCACTTATCCTCAAGTGACATATAGCCTGAGGCTGACAGAGGCACCATGGGTAAACAAATGCAGGAGATGACAGTCAGCTCAGCGTGTTTATGATGAAAAGATAAACACAAACAGTGAACAGTGTGCTCCTAAATCAGCTTTTCTCACCTCACATGGCCCTGGACACACACACACACACACACACACACACACACACACACACACACACACACACACACACACACACACACACACACGTAAATGACAGCCTTTATGTGCCCTGACTTTGCTACACTATAATTTTACTGCTGGCTGCGGGGCTAACTGAGGATCATACCCATAGACTGAAATCGTCTGCCTCCTTTCTGGGTGAAGCCTCCGTGAGAAACAGCACCCCCTGGTGACGGGCTGGTCGTAAACCCTGTCCTCTCCAGCAAAATGAATGGAGCTGTGGACAAACTTCAGAAATTAATTACACAGAATAAAACTTTTTCTCCCCCAAGCTGGGATGTTGAGTTATTATTAGACAGGTTTGTGCTCAAGTCCTCTTTTTTTCTGTGCAGCTCCATTTTGTCCATGCGTTGTCCATACTATAAACAGTCTAAGGCTGTGTCTCAATTCAGGGTCACTGTCCAGTGAACAGCCCAGTATGCACCAAGCGCACCCTGCATAAGGTAGATCAACTTTGGTGAATTGGGACAGTCTACCCTCTGTAAGACTTCCTGGTTGCATCACCAAATGTGTCTGCCCTCAGGGACACCCTTAGCGGTGCGTGAGTATGTCATGCACACTGCAAATGCGCACTGGCCAGTATGCAGACCCTAAATTGAGACACAGCCTATGATCATATCTGGAGAAATCTGCACCCAGCTGTTCTGGTCTCTGATGTGCAATGCCTCCTAGTCAGAGTCCAGAACAGACTCACACCTGCAGCCCTTCCAAATCAGTGCATCATGCCACAGACCATAGCAATGGTCTTTTAGCGGTCTGGAGCTTGTGTGGTTGTTAGAGAAGGTTTGAACAGCTTTGAAACCAGAGTCTTCCACGCTTTAGGTGTTTGCATGTCCACATGTCCACATGTAGGACTTGTATGTGTTAGATGTGTTACTTCAGGCACTTAGCTGTCTTTGCATTTGAATGTTTCTTGAGTGAATTTGTTAAGACTTGAATTTTAATCTTTGAGAGGGGTCTGGTTGCAGACCTCCACTGAGAGGACCGGAAGTTGTTTGAAGCCTTTCAAAATAAAAGCTCATAAACCAGGAGTATGTTTCTTTTTTTGAGTCTAAAGTTGATTTGAAGCCTTTCAAATTAAACGCAATAACACCTGGAAGTATGTATTTTCTTGTCTAATGTGAATTAGAATTAAATTCTTTCTTTTAAAACTAAGTTTACAATATATATATATAACTGTAAACTTAGTTTCTTTTCCACCCACTCTTTGGGCATGTGAGTCTTCCCTGGTTCAGACTCAGGGTCATTGGCACAATAACAACTGCAGGAGAGAGAACTTAAATATGGCAGATTTTGAGTGAGTAAGCTGACCCGCTGACTAAAATATTTCTTATCACCATATGATTTTCCTTTAAAACCACTAGTTTGTGATAGTTATTCATAACCACTGCGTTAACTAAAGATAGCATGCAAATTCCAGGACCACTCTTACTGACCTTATTCGCCTACAATGTAGCTATCAAATCCACCCAAACCTACTAACCCTCTATCACTATTGCCGGGTGAAAATCACCCGAACTTGTGCCTGTAGGAAAATGCGGGTTTTGGATCAGAGAAACAAATATGCCTTCAAAGATGTCAAAGGCAATGCTGAAGCTTCCCAGGGACCCATGATATCCAGACAAATGCAACATAATGAAAATCACGCAAACATGTTTGGTCGAGTGAAAATCACCCAACGATAGTGTTCTAGGGTTAAGATGATCATATTCAGGCTTTACTCTCCATGACTGCATGTCTCTAAGCTCTCTGACCATCATTCAGCATCATTGATACCCACTTTCAAAAGCATCAAAACTCCATGCTGGTCTTATCAATACTGTAACTTGTGTATTCACACAGGCGCATGGATAAATCTGGGCCTCTATTGTGCCACCCTTGAGAATAAAGTCTGTAATCCGCCCCTAGAGACAAAGTGACCTGCAGATTGCAGATTATGTTGGCTTCACTTCTGAACACTGGAGGCTGCCGCTTGGTTTGCTCCAGAGGAAAAGAGGCGTGCCGGCCGGCGGCCTCTGTGCGCTTCCGTGTCTCTTCCTGGTTCTTCGGTAGAGGGGCAGAAACTTTCCTCGGCTCGGATACGTCCGGGCAAGTAACTTTATTCGACTTATCAGGCGTTAAATGCTCTTACTAAATTAGCGATATCTCATCCATCAGTCTCAGCTCGCTCCATCCGAGCTGACAGAGAGTCCTTGGCCATGGCTGACAGCCGAGAAGAGGAGAAAAAAGAGGGAGAGCAGGAGCTTCAGGGCGCCGTGGGTGGGGAAGGTACGTGAAGCCATTTCTGCTCCAATACGAGCTGAAGGCCCCACAACAGCCCAGAACAACAGTTTACGTTTAATGTTTGACAAACAGACAATGTTAAAAGTGAAATCAGCTGCGATGGAGATGATTCGGTGTCGCTAAAGTTTGAATTGGTACGAAAAGCGCGTCCTTTTAGAGAAACAAGTTTTCTGGAGTCAACAGACCTCACATATCTTAAAGGGCTTTCCCACACAGCTGGTCCAGTCAGAAGTTTTAACTTCAAGATCTTGAATTGGATCTGTTATTAAAACGATCTAAACCTACGTGCTGGTTTAACATGCGACTTTTATAGATCCGCCGAGGCCTGAACTCTCATCTGTCTGGCCTTTAATGCTAATGGTGAAAAAACAAGGTAATAAAAGAAGCGGGTGCCTGTCTGAGTCAGGACAGAGTGAGTCACAGCAGGCCTACCTGGGCTGAGAGCCCCCCCCCATTAAGAACAGGTATGGCCAAAATGTAAAACAGAAAGAGAGGAGGCTTTGTTTAACTTAAGTGTTTAGCTTTACATGATGTTTTACTAGAGTATTTTACCATCCAAGTCAGCACATATGTCAACTTTACAGCATACAAAAAACACATAAAAATTTCATAGTAGTATGGGCTACAGTAAAAGATATTCTGCAGGGTTAAATACCGATGAAACAGTTTAGTGAATGCATTGAAATACAGTGAGAAGGTGCCATTATGCTCATTAAAAGCAGCTCAATGAATGAATGAAACTCAGAATGCCCTTAGGCACAGTGAAATAAAGCAGTCAAATTAAAACAGCCTCATGTGGCCACTGTGAGCAGTATTAAGTGCCGGGTTCAATGAGGAAATTGGTTAGCCATGAAAGTCCAACAAAAACACCAGAGCAGAGAAGGATGGTAAAGAGACAGAAAGGTTCTGAATTTTACACTAATTTGCATGCTAAATTTCACTGAAAATGAGAGAGAGAGTCTATTCCTGAAGATGCACTTGTAAAAATATTCTGTGATTTTGTACATCACCTGTGAAATTTAACCAGCCTGTTTTTTTTAGCCCAAAGCTGTGAATGAAAGGAAATATTTTTTTATGAGAAGAGCATTTTGTTAATGTTTGATGTATTCAAACTAAAACATTACGTGCATGGTCAGTTTAAAGAAGGTGTTGGAATAACATGATAGTTATATGCTGATACCCTGTTGTGAGGGAATGTAAAATAGATGCAGTTCCATTAGTGTCCACTTGAGGCTGGCTGTTAAAGCCATGAACTCTCCATTTAGACCCATATTAAAAGCCTGTTATACGGCTTGAATAACCATGCTTACAGCACAGTCTAAAAACAATATCAGGTGTGTGGCTCGCCTGCTTATTTGCTCACACTGCTCATATTTGTTAAGGTATTGTTAGTAGGAATAGTTGTACATAAATTTGACTTAATAGGGGGAAGACTGTGTTTCAGGGCAGGTTGGCAGAGTGGAGCTGTTTGCAAAGAGGTGCATCTTAGCTCCACCTTTTTGCTTGTGTCAGAGGGTTTGTAATAGAAAAAGATGTTACCCCTTTGTTTTTTTACTAACCATATTTCCTTAAACCTGAGCCAGGGACAGGTACAAGGAGGAAGGAAAAGACAGCTGTGGTGATTAGACGATTGGAGTAAAATTGTTGGAGTTACAGGTCATAATTCAAGCGCACAAAAGAGTTTTTTCACTGTATTTTACCTCCTGTCTTGTACTGTGAATGTTAGTGTTGGCTCTCTCTTACTATCAGCTTGTGATGTTTGAAGTGCTAATGAACACACTCCATTGTAACAGATTCATTGTTACTGTCGATGTAAATCATTCTGAATCTTGGCAGTGGAGAAATTCCTGGTCAAGTCATTCAATCAGCAACCATCCTAAGTGTGGAGGAGTGTGTTTAGACAGCAGAGCGCAGTAAGAAAACTTTGGACAACTGCAGCCAATCAGACAGAAAGGAGGCTTTGCATCTAAATATAACCAAATAAACTTAACAAATAGAGGGAGATAGATGTAACCAGCTTCACATAAAGGCCTGGTGTCCTCTGTACTGTCTTCTTGGTATCGCAGTGTGAATTAGTTTACAAGATATACTGTATAACTTTCCTGTTCAGACTGAAAGGTTTGGACAGCTACTCTTTATTCTGAAAGAAAACCAAATCAGGAATTGAAAAACAGTGAATCAGAACGGTCCATGTGAAAGGAGAGTTTCAGCTCTTCTATGTAATATTTTTTTTTTTTAACAAACCAAATACTTGAAACTTAAACAGCTTACCTTTCCAGTCATGTAACTTTTTTCTAGTTTCCTCATGCAGGAGTCAGAAATGTGACATAAAGGTGTTATTTAATCTTCTTATTTCTTCAGATGTGGTTGATGATCCCATCCTGGAGCAGGGGGCAGTGGTCCTCAGAGGGTAAGTTTCATGTGTTTCTTGTTTGAGACAAAGTTTTTCTTCATGACTTTAATAATGGTTCATCAGAAGTTCAGAGCACAGATCTCAGGTTATGCTAAAACCTTCTTCACAGTAAAGCTATTTGTTTTAATGATTTATTCCAATCTACCAGTTTTTTTTCATTTTTTTTTAAAGATAGGTGCACTTTTTTTAATCTTTTTTACAGATACCTGGAAATAATACATCCATGTCTGTTTGTCTATTAACAGTTTTTTGATAATGTAATCTACACTTCTCTGTGTATACTGCAAAGACGTGCCTTAAGAGGTTTTAAGAAAGTGAAGGAGGAGACTAATCATGGTTCTCATGGTATGCACATGTCCTAGGTATGTGATTGAACGCATTAACAATGAGGAGCCCAGTCGACATGTGTCCTCTGAGGATCTGGGAGGACAGTCCAACGAACAACAGGATCCACAAGTCAAAGAAGTGGTGGAGCAGCTGCTCAAGATCGCAGACGAGTTGAACAGGAACGCAGAGCTGCAACGGTAAGCTGTGCATCAACATGAGGACCAAATCAGCCTGCAGAGGTCTGAACTCCTGCAGGACTTGAAGTTAGATGTTGTCATTGTGTGGACAGGTACATCTCCTTGATTTAAGCTTTATGTCATAAGTCCTCAATAACTGCTCAGTAACTGTAGTACTGCCTGAGGACTACGTTCTGCTGCTGTCGAGGTGTTCACAGTTGAATGTGGACAGACTGAGCAGAAAGTTAGAAAAGAAACTAAAAGGTTAACTCTGAGTTTTTAGCGTGACAACGGTGGCTCACTTCCTTCTTGGGTACATCACCGTGGTTACCTCAACCGCTTCAAAATAGGTTATGTTCCAGACAACAGAGCTCACTGACCAATGAAATCCCTTGATCATGAGGGTGTGATGTGTGTGTGTGTGTTAGGGGACTTCGCTGGGGTCACAGACAAACGTTTTTCATAGACATCGAAACCTGTTAGTTACGAAATTTAAGTTAACTCTAGACTTTTATAAAAAAAAATGTGCACATTTATAAAATTTTGGTTCTTGTCCTATATTTAAGAGATTTATTTTAGGCTTTTTGCCTTTATTCGGAGTTACTTAAATGTGCTTGCTCTACTTCTTTAGAAGTTAGATATCACACACACACACACACACACACACACACACACACACACACACACACACACACACACACACACACACACACACAGCTGCACCTGCCCTCTTTGAAAATATATAACAGCTTGACCCCTTTTCTGCTTCTCCTTCCTCTTAACAGCAAAACTGTTGCTAATAAACTATTTGAATAAGTAAAGGAAACACTTAGATCAGAGAGCTTAGGTCGTGATTTGTGTCATATTCTAGTTGAAAGTCATTATTAATGACATTGTGTAATTTTTGGAGAACAATAATAAGTAAGAACGATCAGTGGAAACCAAAATCATGAACCTGCTGAGGACTGGATTCAAAATTAAAGTGACAAAATTAGACCACAGGCAGATCCAGGTCTGTGGATTTTCTGAAGACCTCTCAGAATGTGGCTCAGGAGTGTGTATGGCCTCCATGTGTCTGTATGCACTTTCACATTCACTAGGCATGCTCCTGATGAAACTACGGATGATCTCCCAGAGGATTTCCTCCTAGCCCTGGATCAAGCATTAGTCAGCCCCTGGTGGCGGTAGAGGCCATGATACATGATGTCTCAGAGGTGCTGGGTTGGATTCAGGTCTAGGGTACTGGCGAGCCAGCCAACTATATCAATGCCTCCATCCTCCAGGAAGTGCTGACACACTCCAGTCACATGAGGCCGGCTATTGTCCAAACCAGATGGAACCCAGAACCCACTGTATCAGCATATGGTCTGACAATGGGTATAAGGATCTCATCCTGGTACCTAACAGCAGTCCAGATGTCTGAATAGCACATAGAGGTCTGTTGCTGCCCTGTAAGGATATGCCTCCTCAGACCATCGCTGACTCACCACCAAACTGCTGATGCTGGAGCAGTAGCGGTTCTAGGCACGGGCGAACAGGGCAGCCGCCCGGGGCGGCATTTGTGTCATGACTCATGGGGGGCGGCACGAGCACTTCCAAAAAAATAAAACAAAAGATAATAATAATAAATCTTAACCGCAAAGCGGTTTTGTATTAACTTTTGTTGTCAAATTGGCGCCCCCCGCTGCTGTAGGCGCCCCTGTTTGCTCCGAAGGTGCTGCACAGAGGCTGAGAGACTGTGTGAGACGAGGCGGGGAGAGAGTCGCGGGGGGACAGCTCTGCTCTGTGTACGCATGTCAGCATATCAGCGGGAGCGCGGACACGTCATTTTGTAGTTTTTTAATCATTTCTGGAGTCGCGGTGAATGAATTCACCGTGCCCGTCTGCCTTTGATAGGCGAATAAAGCGCTCGGGTTCATGCTCGGATCTTGCTACGTGCTTGATGAGCTTCGTGAGTAAAGTAAACAATGACTGAGGCAGAGAGCAGCTTCAGAGGAGAAACATCCAGCAGTGTGAACAACCTCTTCATATTAAGTGCTTTGGTTCACACTATCAGCGTTTTCTCTGAGTGTTGCATGACTTTGGGTGAGAACAGAGATGAACACACTGTCAGCCACGTATTTATTTATTCATTTTTTAGTTTTTAGTTCTGCTTTTGTACTGGCACTATACTGGGGCAGCTGTATACCCTTTCAACACCTTATTTTCTATATTTACATTTGTATTGAATGGACACTTTATCATGACTGCCACTTGTTTTACAGAAAGCAAATTATTTGTCATTCTCCAGTGCAGAGCCTTTACTTTTATTTATACAGCCGCTTTATTTCATTTGAGTTTGTTTGTTCAAGGTTTTCAAAAATGTGATGAAGGTTTGCAAAACTAAAAGAGAGCTTTCTTGAAAGCCACACGTATAAGCTCTCAAATACTGTTTGAATTTTGTTTCTATCTACTACAGAGGCCGAGATAGCAGCTTTTTTGTAAACCTCGACACTTCAGAAAACCTCAGGATCGTTTGTGTTTTTTTCTATTGAAGGATTTCTGCAATTGAGAAATATATTATTTTTGTTGTTATAATAATAATAATAATACATAGTAATACAAAACTATCTGTTCAAAATTCTATCTTTTTGTGTTTGTGTGTGTGTGTGTGTGTGTGTGTGTGTGTGTGGTGGTGGGGGGAGGGGGGGGAGGCGCACCTGGAGGGGTGCTCGCCCGGGGAGTAATTTGGTCTAGAACCGCTACTGTGCTGGAGAATGTTTCAGGCAGTAGAACTTTCTCCAGAACATCTCCAGACTCTCTCACGTCTGTCACATGTGGTCAGTGTGAACTTGCTCTCACCTGTGACAAGAACAGGGTGCCAACGGCCCTGTTTCTGACTGATTGGTCGGAAACATGCACACGAGTGACCTGCTGGAGGTCATTTTATAGAACTGTGGCAGTGACTAAAGAAAGGTGCAGGACATAAGAAATTGATTCCACCATACTCGTATATATATATTTTTAACCAATGCCATGACTCCATGACTATTATATCTCCAAAGTTACTTATGTCTGATATCTGTTAAACTGTATTTTTATCCTGCATTACATCCTGCTCCATATCTGACCAAGATGTCTTGTTTCTACCTGTATGTGAGAAAGCTGCACTCCTTTGGTCTCTGAATGGTGTGGGGAATCTGGTCTTTTCACAAATAATTGACTAGTATTGGCATTAAAACAGGAGTCAGAGGAAAAATCATAAAGTCTTATTAGGGTATTTGAAGAGATGTGCAACTGAATAAAAAGCAGATTGTGAGGGTTTAAATCCCAGATTGGTAGACTGTTGTGAATACTATCAGTCAAAGAATCGATGGGACTATCATCTGTAATCACTTAAAAAATCCAAAACACATCTCATGAAAACTTTTCAGAGCATGTAATCCAGTTTTAATATTTAAAGCTGTTGTTTTTTTTCACACAGACTGATCAACCAGGTACCAGGCAACTGTGCTCAGGACATCTTCATGAAGGTGGCCAGAAATATCTTCGCTGATGGCATCAACTGGGGCCGAGTGGTGGCGCTGTTCCATTTAGCTTACAGACTCATTTACAAGGTAATACAATGGATATGCTATCTAAAAGAGCAGTCTGAACAGGACTGCTTTTAGAGAGAAGACAGATATAATAGTACTCTGAAATTAGTTTGAAAGTAGAAACGAGTACTCGATGATGAAAAAAATAGTGTGGCAGTATGGTTATTTTACTAACCACTGAAGGCTGAGTAAAGAAAAGTGACAGTGATTACAGAGACAGTAGTATTTACTGTTACACTGACAAAGACACCATCAGTTAGACTGGACCAGAGGAAACACATAACTCTATTTCATTTACTGTGGTTTGTACTCGATGGAGGCTTTAATTTAGCACTGACACACTAATGTTTGTCCACAAACAACTTTAATCTGCTTAACTTGCTTGCTCTCCTCTCTACACAAACTCAGTATGCTCCTCTCACACAGCAGTTTGTCCCTCCCTGCCTCTCCTTTTGTTTTTTAAAGAACACAAGTCAAGTTTAAAAAATTTCACTCACATTGCCATCCTGACAACATGTGATCTGTGCATTGACAAGGCTTGTTGTTAATCAGTATATCTTTGCCTTTATCTGTAGCGAAAGCAGGTTGAGAGCAGGTGTGTGTCAGTAAAACAGAGGGACAGAGTGAGCATGGGGAGTATAGTTGTAGTTGCACTCAACTGGACTTCCAGACACACATTTTTTTTCACTGCCAGGATTTCAGCACCCACATTGAGTTTATTTTTATTATTGATCCATGTCCAGGTTATAATGGGATATCACTCAGATGATAAATGAAATAATAAAGTGGGGGTTTGAACCCTGATCCTTCAGAGTAAAAAATTACTTGACTGAACCATAAATTTCCTGAACGCAGGCAAGTCAATTAATATCTAAAGAGATAACAAATGCAACTTGGATTTATAAGGAGAAAAAACAAAGCCTTAAGAAATGACCATAAGAGCGTGCGTACCTCGTCTGTGCACCTGGCACTGGTCCCAAACCATAGTGTGTGTGCGTGTGACATCAATGCTATGCTGTTGCAGATTCAGTGTAAAAGTAGAAAGGTGTTGTGAAACAGAGCTTCATTTGGGCTCTGCTGCAGATTGGCAGTGTACAAGGGGCTTGGCTTTCTGCTGGAAACTTTGGTGGATTCAAACAACTACAAAATTTAGAGTTTAAGCCCATATACAACCTGGACTGGTTTAAAGTTTAATCTAGAGGCTTCTTCAGTTCTACACTGACAGTCTCTTAAGGCCACTGGTATGCTTTGGTCAACTATATGTCCTCTATGATCAATAAGAAGGGACTGTGAGCTGAGCTGCTAATTTTGATTTGATTTTTGTTTTAAAGGCAATAACTACTGACCACCTGGAGAACATCAGAACGATCATCAGCTGGGTTCTCCAGGTCATCAGGGAACAACTCTACAGCTGGCTCGTACAGCAGGGAGGCTGGGTGAGTGAGGAAACATGCATAAAGAGCTTTCAGACGGTGTCACTGATTTAAAATATGTATGTAACCAGGATTGAATGGTAACTGTCTACTGTGATTCCACTGTACAGAAGAAAACATTAATTTTCAAAGTGGTCGAGGAAGCAGAACTGAAGGACTTTCAGTCTCAAAGCTAGAATACTGATGGTTCTGACATGAATTCAAATATTTAAATAATATCAATTTGTTTTTCTAAGACTAACAATAGAAACAAGTTTGTTTAAAGACAGAAACAGCAGGCACTGCTGTAGCTTCCATCTTGCACTAGGATAATGTATCGGGGAACAGTACCCTCTGCTGGTGGGACACAGAATTTAGCCATGACTCTCCCACATGCACTAACACTTGCACTTCACAGTGTTTTTCTTCATCTGTTTTTCATAAAGGAAAGAACAAATATAATTAACTGCTTTTACTGACTTGGTTACTGACTTAAATTTGACCAAATTTTGAGCAATGGGAGGCATTTGTGCCCCAACTGAGACATGCATACTACAGTCATCATGCACTAACATCATCACCAGTGGAGAAGTAAATTAATTCTGGAAACTCCCCCAAATACACAATGTTTCATCCTTTGAGTAGGACTTTAACATGCAATAAACAGCACCTTCAGGCATAATCATGACTATTGGTATTTCTGCTCACTAATGGGAGCCTTACCTCTTAGACTCAAACATTAATAACACAAAACTATCACATGGTACAAGAATTTGAAAGGTACAGTGCAGTCTCTTGATTACTTGCTTTACTTTTTGCTACTCCTACTATGATCAAGGAAATCAACATGAAATTTTTTCTGCTCAGGCCTTTGGCTCTGCATGGCACTGAAGGTCTGTCTCCTTACTGAAGTACTCTTCAAGCAAAAAGAAAAGTAGAATATTGAACATTAAATCAAGAGGAAACTCGACAGTGAGACACCTGAGAACCCTGCTGCACACTTACATGTTGTCTCATCTGTAGGATCCAAAGCTCAGACTCTGCTCTCTCTTTCCAGGCGGGGGTGATCCGTGGCATTTCTCGCTGGAGGACAGTAGCCATAGTAGCATCTGTAGTTTTGGTGGCGACTATTGTTTACTACAGGAAGACTCGCTGAGAGCCTCAGACCTCACACCCAGAGATGGGGTGCCATCGCCTGGATAAAAGTAGCCAGTTTTAATAGAGACTTTTTAAAGAAAAAAAAACAAACATTTAAAACCACTGCAAAGACTTCATCTTCTAACAAGAGGAGGTCAAGTACTGAAATTAGAGGATCGAAAAAGCTATTTTCTTCTCAGGGTTTCCAGAAAGGAACACGTGTACAGTCAACATCAACATCCTCCTTCAGCAGCAACCTTTCACCTCATTTCACGGAATACGATGTTCATCTGCAATACCACCTGCAGCAGCCATATTTCAGCTTTCTCCTCAGACTCTGTCAGCAGATGTGTATGTCTATGAACATGTAAACTAGCTATATATTTGTCAGACACACTAGAGGACCCAACCCTTCCTGAACCAGGTCTCAGGATTAGTTGGTTTCTTGTTCGGGTCCAGCCTTAACTTTACCAGGTGTTGGGTTCTGGAAAAGCGGGTCGGATGTAAAATGATTAGAAACAGGCTGAAAAAATTCTGATGACATCAAAACATGCTGCATATGAGATATGCAGATAAAGATTCAACAACTCACCATAGTTATCATGTTTAAAGTCTTTAGGAGACCTTTATTACAGTGAACAGTTTGACATGTAGCACAAAAAAAAATCACAGGCATGAGTTCTTGAAGTCCTTAGACTGATTATTGCGTAAATTGTTTTAACTAGGGCTTTCAAATGGCTGATTATTTTAAAATTGAGATTAACTGCTGAATTTAAATGCTTCAAAACATTTTGAATGGCATGTCTAAAATCCCAGTACTTTGCATTTTAAAATAGGTTTTAAGTTTATCTACAGTTTCCCTGTTTTAACTGAAAGCCGGGGAGATATAGGGCCAACATTAGTCTGATTAGCTGAACCTCTACACTCAGTTTGTAGGTGACAGCTCACTGTGGCTCATATTTTAAAGCTTGACTTAAAGTGCATGTTAATTTTAGGTTTAGGAGTTTTTTTTAGGTGAAATATGCTTTTCATATTCACAGTGATGTAGTTTTTCCCACCATTGTTGCAGCAGGAAGCATGCAGAGAGTTCATCAGGGTGACAAAAAAGTTACAGGACTGAAAAATGAGTTAAGATAGTAATTGAATTGGAATTAATGCTTCAACACTGCCTGTCCTAATTTCAATATACTTAAAAGTCTCACCAAAAGTACAAGTCAAAATTTATCCGTTGAAAAAGGTCTCCTGAAAAATACTCTTGCCAAATTCATCCAGAGAGATTCAAAATCTTTTAGAGGACAAACTTAATTGAGATTTCCAAAAAAATCTTCCTCAAAACTTAAGCTCATTTTAAAATCAATCTAAAAATGTTTTTTTTTTCTTTTATTTTTTTTAACCAAATGGTAGCTTAGAGTTGTTGATTTAGTTTTGAAACTCAGTCTTTAATATTTGCATTTTATTTAAAATTAAATTCAGTATAAAGTTGTTATCTGATGTTTTCTAGAGTTCTTTGTGCAGAAAAAGAAAGAAACTTTTTATCACTTTTGACAACCTTGGAAGCTGGAAAGTCTGCCCACCTCAGAATCCCACAGACCCAGTCATGACAGCATGAGGCCAGTAATGTTTGGGGGATATTATATTTCAGATATTTAAAAACACTCCATTCAGATGATGGTTCGTTAAACCAGCATGGTTGTGAATGTCTGCTGCTTCAGAGGCAAACTGTAAGGTTCAGAGGTATGAACAGATCTTTGACTGTTTTTCTGCTAACGTCTTAAACAAAATCTACCTAACAGCATCTGTCTTCAATGCTTGGAAAACCTAGATAGAATCTTTGGCCCTGAAACATTTAAAAAACATGTGCCAGCATCTTACTGACCAGCTGAAATACTTTAAAGCACAGACCCTGGTGATGAAATCCTCATGTATGTGTGTCAGCTAATGTGAATGTAAAAACAGCTGGGCAGCATGACTGACACTCTATGTGGCAGATATATTGCGGGGAAGGTCTTTAGGGGGACATAACTGTTCATAGTTGAGAAATTATTGAATGTGGTCAGCTGACTGCCTGTGTACTGTGAACACACCTGCTTTGCGCTCTGGCCCTGCTGAATCTCCTGATAGTTTGATTTTAGCATAACCACAGCCTGCTTTGATATCAAAAGTAAACACAAACTGGTGCATTGTGAGCAGGTCTCTTATTGGTTATTTACAGATAAAGTTGAGGAACTCTGTATCACAGAAGTTAGTGTTTTCTGTCTGCCTGTTGTCAGTCATACAGTACATGGATGTTCAAGTTGTTGAATGTAACAGTGGTTTCAGTGAGTGTGTCGATGCAACAGCAGCAGAAAACTGCTGTTAGCAGGTGAATGACACGGCAACACCAAGAGGGTGCATCCCAACAAATAAGAATGAAATGAGAAAAAAAGGGGAAAAAAGGGTTTGTGGTAAAGAAATCCTTTGCTTTGATTAGTACCTGAAAATGTAATGACGTACAAGCTCTGGATTTTTTATTTTGAAGAGCTATAAGCTTTGTTGAAGTTGTTCCTGTATAGTCTCAGGTGGAGGCAGAAGCTTTATTTAAAATTGACAATCTAAAAGTGACGCGAAAAAGCTTTCTACCCTGTTTTTCTTCTATTTGTCTTCCATTCCCAGAAAACCGTCACAAAGCAGTCATTCAGTGTAATCCCATTATTTTAGCCTGAGCTGACTCCTCGGACTGAGAAGATTCGCTGTGTCATTTGGGTCTTTGAACATGTTCATTAAGAGACTTGAAAACTCACAATACCACAGAACACGTCGCTGTCTCCTTATCTTGTCATGTTGAGGCTCTGTGTGCAGTATTTAGACTTGTCACATTACAAATTTGAATAAAAAGTGATGCAAGTAGAGTTTCAGCACATAAAACCCCCTTTTTTAAGCTTTAATCGTTTCCTCTCCTCGTTCAAGTTGCATATTTGTAGATTGAAAAGAAATGTGCCAGGAGGTGGACGAGACTTTGAGAACTTTTTTTTCTGGGTAAAGAAATGTTTGTCTTTTCTTTTTTTTCTAAGGGTCTAATAATTTGTTTAGTGATAAATGTTGGGACAGTCTGAAGCTTGTAGCAGATGTAGATATTATGATCTAGTGCCACATGAGCTTTTACAAGTATTTTTACTATCAAAATGATTGTGCAATTTTTAAAGGGATACTGTGCTATTTATCTGCAGATTTGAGGTATTTTTTAAGATGTGACCTGCTCATTTTATAGTTGTAAAATAAGGATGCAACTCAAGTTCTGTGAATAAATCTCAAATGTGTAACACCATACATGCCTCACTTCATGACTTATCATGAGCAGCCGAGAGAAGTCAGGGCTGGAGTCACTAAAATGGATTGTGGCTGGTAAATGTTCAGCCCCCACCATTTGCATGAATTTATTCAAGGTCAAAGCATTTTGTTGTAATGGTACAATGATATACAAACACAGTAAAGCTCTGCAGCTTTGTGAAATTTGAGGTGGGTCTGTATGAACGGTAGTTGCGTGGCAAAAAAAGTGCCCCCCCCCAACACACACATACACATGCACTCTCCAACTACCACCCCAGCCCTCCCACATCTTCTCCCTTCCTAAATAACAGTTCTTGTTCACTTCTTCACATTCATGTGTATTTTTATCTATTATATGCTATTCAACAGGTACAATAACTATTTTTACTTTACTTTACATTCTCAGTTGAGCCACTGAGAATGTGTCACGCTCTGGATGGGTCAAGGACAGCTGGTCGTAAGTAAATATTTAATGCGATATTTATTAGATATTTAAAATTTTCTGTTTATGCAACTTCAGTAGTTGTCGTCCTCATGTTGTCCCCTTCATGTGCTCTGAAATGCACTTTACTCAATAAAACAAGTGGATTTATGTTAAAGATTAGAGTCTTTAAAGTTTTTTTTATTTTCTAAACATAGATTTGCTTTGTTTGAATTCCATAAAAGTGGATTGTGACTTAAGGACCTTGGGAAAATGTGGGCCCCAGAGTGAGACCAGTTGAGAACTACTGCTCTAAGCTAAAGTGGTGGACTTTTATGCTAGGTTTTTGACCTCATGTTTTATAGATACCACAATTGATGTATAAAACAAATTTAAAATGATCTTTTTTGGTCTTAACACAATTCTTAAAACTTATGGCAGACTAAATTCACTTTCAAGAGTGAAAAATGTTTTTTTGGAAATAATTGTCTATCCCCTGTCTAACCAGAGTGTGCTGTTCTTGTGGTGGCTTCACCTAACGATGAGGCAGACACTGTCAATTCTATATACAATCTATGGCTGTGTGTCCGAAATGAATCACTCAATCCCTAACCCCTAACCCCCATATGGGATTTTACTATATAGTTGACTATGTAGTGAACTCAATCACCGGTGATTTCGGACACTACATGGCAAGACGCAACGCATGACGGGATGCCCACCCCCGGGTGATGGTCACTACATTTTGCAATGCTTTATGGGAAACTTTGAGTCGACTATATTGGGCACTGGAATTGATTACTGAAGTTTCGGACACCCCTCAAAATGGCGCTAACCCCCATATAGTCACCTGTATAGGGGTAAGGGATCCATTTCGGACACAGCCTATGTGTTTTATACATAGACTGTATATACTATGGAAAACTTGGTTCCACCTACCGCCTGTATACAGATTTGAAGCCAAATAGCTCTCGATATTTCCGGGATTTTTCTTCATTTCCTGAAACCAGCGCTGCACAGTAGCGATGCGTGCATTCGGGTGCCCAGTCGCTGAGAGTCGTTGTGATGACGCTCGGCTCAAACAGCATATCCCCAGAGAGAGCTACGCAATCCCTGAACGCCCATAGGCTGTATCAGGTGTCAATCATAGAAAACATGAACCCCCTAATAACTTTTAAAAATGGAGCTGAACAGAAAAAAGAGGACTTGAGGACAAACCAGTCTTACAATAACTACATGTCAACATCACAAGCAGGGGGGAGAAAAATTTATGTACTGTGTAATAAATTTCTAAAGTTTGTCCACAGCCCCATAAGCTTTGCCGACGGAGACGGTGGAGTAGGCATGTGTCAATGTGAAAAATTTTATATCACGATATTGGTGGCCCAAAATATCACGATTCACGATATTATCACAATATTAGCACATTGCTTTTAACGTTATAAAAAATTGCAAAAAACTTCCCTCGTGTTAACTTCCCTGCAGTGAACTTCTGTGCAAAGTGAACTTTCCAGGGTTGAGCTCCAGTGTGGAGTGAACTTCCCTGGAGAGAACTTCCCCCAAGTGAACTTCACTGGAGTGAACTTCTCTGGAGGAAACATAAGTTAGGAGTGAACTTCCCCCAAGTGAACTTTCCTGAAGTGTACTTTAGTGCGGAATGAACTTCCCTGAAGTGAACTTAACTGGAGTAAACTTTCTTGCAGAGTGAACTTCCTTAAAATAAACTTCCCTGGAGTAACTTTCCTGAAGTAAACTTCCCTGGAGTCAACTTCCCTGTAGTGAACTTCCCCAAAGAGAACTTCCCTAAATCGAACTTGTTTGTGGAGTAAAAAGTAAAATTCCCTGGAGTTCATTTCCCCAAAGTGAACTTCGTCAGAGTGAACCTCCTCACGAGAGAACTCCCCCAGAGTGAGTTACAGTGCAGAGTGGACTTTCCTAAAGTGAGCTTTCCCGGGTTGAACCTCCCTTAAATGAACTTCCCCAGAGTGCACTCCCCCAAGTGAACTTCCCTGTAGTAACCTTCAGTTTGGAGTGGAGTTTCTTAAAGAAAAATTCCCTGGAGGTAACTTCCTAGGAGAGAACCTCCCCCGTTTGAACTTCACTGGAGGAAACTTCAGTAAGGAGTAAGCTTTCCCATAGTAAACTTCCTTGAAGTGAACTTCCCTTAAGTGAACTTCATTGTAGATTGAACTCTCCTGGAGTGAACTTCAGTGCAGTGTAAATACATCCCAAAATACATACAACTCATGCTGGATTTTAAAAAAAGCATTGTGAACAAAAACTTGAAGTTACTCCCAACTGTTCGGCCTGTAATGGCCTTGCTTCCAAACTTTTGGCCTGTAGTGTATATGTATATCACGAGATGAGAACAAGGCTCTGTTGGAATGCTACTACTCCAGTAACCCTTACCAGTGGGGTTACATGAACAGGCTGAGGGATATATGGTTGCTTCGATACCCTCAGTCAGTGCTAACACCGAAACAGCTAGTAGCTCAGTGTTCCAACATCCACAAACGGCAGCTGCTATCACAATTAGAGATTGAGGAGATACAACACACAAATGCTACGGCAACGGGGAGCCAGAACACCAGGTCAGGTGGAGGAGTTAACATTGACTCCCCCCAGGATTGGGTACCAAGCCCCAGAGTTGACCAAAGAGCTAACTGACCTGAGAGATAAGATCATGGCTAAGCTGTGCTCCTGTGAACCCTGACTAGTGAGGATTAGTGAAGTACCTCCAGAGATCCTAGCCAATGTGAATGCAGTGATACAGACGAGATCCACCATACCAGGCAAGATTCCAGGTACAGGCTGTGCAAAGAGGGCCCTGAAACAGTCCAACACCTAACAGCAGGATGTAAGATGCTGGCAGGAAAAGCATACATGGAACGCCATAACCAAGTAGCCGGTTTAGTGTACAGGAACATCTGTGCAGACTATGGACTGGAAACCCCAAGGTCAAAATAGGAAGCACTGCCCAAGGTAATGGAGAATGACCACGTCAAGCTCCTGTGGGACTTCCAGATACAGACCGACAAAATGGTAATGGACAACCAACCGGACATTGTAAACGTGGACAAACAGCAGATAAAAGTCATTGTGGTAGATGTTGCCATCCCAAGCGATACCAACATCAGAAAGAAGGGACAAGAGAAACTAGAATACCAAGGGCTCAAAGAGGAGCTAGAGAAAGCCTGGAAGGTGAAGGCAACAGCGGTGCCTGTGGTCATCGGGGCACTCGGGGCAGTAATCCCCACACTGGAGAAGAAGTGGCTCCAACAGATCCCTGGGGAAACATCAGACATCTCACTCCAGAAGAGTGCAGTCCTAGGAACAGCAAGGATACTGCGCAGGACCCTCAAGCTCTCAGGGCTCTGGCAGAGGACCCAAGCTTGAAGAGACACAATACCGCCCAGGGTGGGTGAGAGAAGAGTTTTTATTTATTTATTTATTTTTTATATGATACAGTAATTTCAGCATTCTGGGGATATGAGCTGTAGGTCATCTGTGTTTGAAACATTACCATCTGTATTTAAACTTGATTCATGTCATGTTGACAATAATTTGTTGGCACAAAAGAAATGGCAATTGCATATCACTTTAACCTACCCAGGACATATAGCTTAGTAGTTAGCTTTCTATTAATTTATATTAAATTAATATACATTTATATTTATATTAATTTCCATATCGTGTAAAGGACCCCCTGCTCCTCTATAATCTTATGCACATCCCTGCTCACTGTTTTAAGAATTCATTTTGCTCTGTCTGGTCAGAGATACAGTCTTTCTTCATGCAGGACAAACAGACTGAAAACCTCTTCAGTTCAAGCTGGTATCAGTTTTTAAAATGGCTCTGTATGATTTTATTCACAGTAATGATTCCATCGTCTTTTCATTGTTGTGTTGTTATTCTTCCCTTTTGCCCATGTGATGGTTGTGCGCACTGCTGGCTGTAACACAAAATACCACCAAGCCAAGAGATTATAAAGATACAGGTACATGATTTGGATGATGATTGTTAATTTTGAAAAGCATTTTAAAACGGGTAAAAAAATAAGATGAGTGTTTCTTTTAATGAAACTATATTTATTAATTAAATTTTGATATTTGATCTTTTTAATATATATATTTTTTTATTCTGTTTTGTACCCTGTATTATGCTTATAGGCTATCCTTGATTTTCTGAGCCATCAAAACTTATGTCCTTATCACCCTTAATCCGTGCTACGTTTTTAATTGTCAAAGTTTATTTCCATTTCTCTTTAAAACACTGAGCTATGTCAAAGTATGAAAAACGCTTTAGACTCCAAGTGAATTAAATGGGAACTGCACTGCCTTGCTGAACTCACCGAACTAGAATGGTACGCGGCCCTGCTTTAGGTAGTAGGTGTCGTGCGGTGTATGGAACGCAGCCCATCTCGTCTGGTTCCTGTCTCCGTCATATGTCAGAGCTCCAAATACTACACAGCTCTGCTAGCTGGTTAGCGAACTTTAAAACAAAGTTTCCCTGTAAAGTTAGGGTACTAAAATTAGATAAGAGAGAGTGTCCCATTAACAGGAAGTGGACGAAATGCCTGCGGTGTCTAAAGGGGACGGGATGCGGGGCCTGGCGGTCTTCATCTCTGACATCAGGAACTGTAAGTTTGTTTATCACATTCATACACAGTTCATGGTCAGGACATGGACAAGCTAGCAGCTGGGACTGAGAAGGATTAGCGAACTGACCGGGGTTTAACAAGTCGAGAGTGTTATCTTTCCCCTCCCTGAGAAACACTCAGTCAACTTTAACTCATCAGGGTGGTTTTGACAAACCTCTTAACTGGTTAGTTTGCACCAGCTAATTAACGTTAGCCTTTAGCTTCAGCTGCTAACGTCTGGTCTAAGGGCGTGGAGCGCACCGCTAACCGCCCATAACACTAAACTGTCGCAAGACCGTAGTGCTCAAAGTTTGTGTAATATCTGGTTTCGAAACAGTTTTCATATCCTCATTGAAGCGAATGAAGCGACAGCTCACATGAACCACTTCAAGTGTCGTTTACTGAATCCCCCGAAAGACATACAGCTTTACCCAGACACTCCTAGGGCCCCGAGGTAAAACAGGCTGCAGGACTTACAAACAAGTAGTCCAGTGGACCCCAGTGATGATAGGCTTCATACCGTAGACCTGCAGAAAAACTGTCTTTCTGTTTAATAAGAATAATTTAAGTCAACACTGACCAAATTCAAAGAGATTCAAATGTATTCAGATGCACTGACCAGTCAGAACAATATAACATTATGACACACCTGGACAATCCAATGTATCCCCAACAACAGTTTTACCACCAATGACTGTTTTGTGAACCTTCAGCACATTCCGTTTTTGCTGACATGGTCAGATAGGTGATTGTTAGCTTCAAAGTCGTTGTTGGAACTGTATTGGGTGTTGATGGTCTACTGGAGCGCAATGATTGATCAGAAGTTTGATCAAATGACACTTCAGGTATTTTGATCAAAACAAACTCGATCAAAGTGTCAGAGGATTGCTCAGGAGATCTGTGCTCATAATTTTGCACCATTAAGTCAAGACATACACACATCAGAGCAGGAAATGCACTACAGCAAATTGTCTTGTCCAACAACATCTGGGATCGGCTGTAGTCATTTTCAAGTGGCCCCCAGAAGTGGGTGAAAATGATGGATGGTTGAGATAACAAAGCTTCTTTCTCATAATAACTTTATTGATCTTATTATTGAAGACTTTAAGTTAATTATTACAGTGAATTCAGAAATGAGTTTCTGATTAATGTGATTGATTACATCTGATTTTAGGAGCTAAGTCATCATTTGATCAAAGTGTGATTCAATGGTCAAAATTTATACTCACTCAAATTTATGATCCCCGCACACACGCACACGCCTGCGAAGGGGAAAAAAAAAAAACCTAGAGGCTTTAAATTATGTCACATCAAAACCTCTTAAGAAGAAGAAGAAGAAGAAGAACTTTATTGATCCCCAAAGGGAAATTCAATTGCCTGTTGTCTCACATAATATATCTAAAAGTTATCTATTATTTACATAAGAGTTATAAAGCCTGATGCTGTTGGTACAAAAGATCTTATAAATCTTTCTGTCCTGCAGCAAAGAAAGAGGAACGGTCCACCACCATGTGCCCTTTGGTCCATCAAGGTGTTGTGACGTGGGTGATCCATGTTCTTTAGAATAGACTCCACCTTCCTCAGTGTAGATCTCTCCACCACATCCACTGAGTCCAGCTTGAATCCTACCACAGAGCCAGCCTTTTTCACCAGTTTGTTAAGACGTTTTACCTCTTTGTGTTTGATGCTTCCTCCCCAGCAGGCTGCAGCATAGACCAGAACACTTGCCACCACAGACTGATAAAACATCTGCAGCATCTTACTACAGATGTCTATTGATCGGAGTCTTCTCATGCAAATGAGGCGGCTCTGCCCCTTTCTGTAGATAGTCTATATTCTTAGACCAGTCCAACTTATTATTCAGATGTACACCTAGGTATTTATATGATGTCACCACTTCGATGTCCACTCCACAGGTGTTCACTAGCTGAAGAGGGGGTTTGGATCTACGGAAATCTATGACCATCTCTTATGTCTTTGAGGTGTTAAGGAGGAGGCAGTTTTTGTGACTCCAGTCACTGAAGGCTCTTATTAGACCTCTGTATTCAGCTTCTTGTCCATTTCTGATACATGCCACAATAGCTGTGTCATCTCAGTATTTCTGGATGTGGCAGGACTCAGTGCTGTATTTGAAGTCTGACATACAGTATACATGTGAACAGGAATGGCGCCAGCACTGTCCTTTGTGGAGCCCCTGTACTGCTCATTAATGTCCCAGAAACCCAGTTCCCCAGCCTGACAAACTGCGGCCTTCCTGTCAGGTAATCTGTCATTCAGGAAACCCAGGAAGGATCCACTCCCATCTCTGTGAGCTTGTCTTTGAGTATGGTGGGTTGGATGGTGTTAAATGCACTTGAAAAGTCGAAGAACATGATCCTCACATAAACCCCAGGTTCCTCCAAATGAAACAGGGCACTGTGAAGCATGTAGAGGACAGCATCATCCACTCCAATGTGTTCTTTGTATGCAAACTGCAGGAAGTCCAATTTGTCTCTGACCTCAGACCTCAGAAGGTGTAGAATCAGCCGCTCCACAGTTTTCTTGATGTGTGAAGTGAAGGCCACTGGTCTATAGTCATTGAGTTCAGCAGGACTTTTTTTTTTGGTACTGGCACAATGCAGGATGTTTTCCACAGAGCAGATACCCGCCCCAGCTGTAGACTCAGGTTGAAGATCTTGTGGAGAGGTTGACACAGCTCTGCAGCACAGTCTCTAAGCAGCCTTGGACACACACCATATGGACCAGTTGCCTTCCCAGGACAAAGTCTTCCAAGCTCCAACGTCACCCCAGTTTCTGTGACAGACAAGGCCTGGTGTTCTAGGAGAGAGGGAGTTGAAGTGGTTGAGACATTTGAATGAGATGGAGTAGGAAGGGGAGAAGTTGTAGTGGAGATTTGTTGTGGAGAGGAAGGTGGAGTAGCAGTGGAAGTGGGAGTGATAGCAGTGTCAAATCTGTTGAAAAACAGGCTGAGTTCATCAGCTCTTTTCACATCACCCACCACTGGCTGTCTTTTCTTTTGACTGCTGTGTCCAGAGATGGTACTGATTCCTGTCCACACTTCACGGATGTTGCTGTGTTGTAGATTCTTCTCTATCTTCTTTTTGTACTCAAGCTTTGCTATCTTCAGTCTCCTCTTCAACTCTTGTTGCACTTGTTTGAGTCGTTCTTTGTCACCATCTTTAAAAGCTTTCTTTTTCTTGATAAGGATTGCTGTTATGTCTCTTGTGATCCAGAGTTTGTTGTTGGGGAAACAGCGAACAGTTTCTGTGGGTATAACTGTGTCTCTACAGAAGTTGATATATTCAGTGAAGCAGCCAACCTGTTTGTCAATGTTCATACTATCCACATCTGTTTCCAGTCTGTTGATTTAAAACAGTCTCTTAGAGCTTCACTGGATTGAGGTGTCCATCTTCTTAATCTTGACTTTGGTCACAGTCTGCCTCAGCACACAAGGTCTGTAACAGGTTTGCAGATAGACCAAGTTATGATCTGACTTGCCCAGTGGTGGTAAGGCAGTGGCTCTGTAGGCTTCTTTGACGTTGGCATACAGCAGATCCAGGGTCTTGTTTTCTCTGGTAGGACAGTTAACAAACTGTGTGAATCCAGTCAGGTGAGAGGAGAGGGTGACATGGTTGAAGTCTCCAGATATTATTATTAGTGCCTCAGGGTGTTGAGTCTGTAGCCTGGCAACACTATTTTGCAAAATGTCGCAACATTTTTCAGTTGATTTGGGTGGAATGTAAACAACTACTGTTATGATATGACTAAATTCTCTGGGAACATATTATGGCCGAAGAGCAACTGCCAACAGTTCAATATCTGGACAACACAACTTCTCCTTGACAGTTATGTGTGAAGGGTTACACCATCTCTGGTTGACAAATAAAGCCAGACCTCCTTCTGTCTTCTTGCCACTAGCTTGAGCTTCTCTGTCTGACCTTATGAGAGTGAAACCAGGTAGGTCCACACTGGAGTCCGAGTTGTTTTGATTCAACCAGGTTTCAGTAAAACACAGGAAACTGCACTCACGGTATGCTTTCTCAGTCTTTACTAATATCTCCAGCTCATCGCTTTTGTTGGGCAGAGTTGACGTTTCACATGATGATTGATGGAAGAGTAAACTACTACTTGAGTAAACTCTTCGCCCAGCAGAAGTATCCATCAGCAGCCAACAAAATTACAACAAAAATGTGAAAAAAATCTAGCATCTAGCAATCTAGCATTTAGTTGGGTAGGGGAATATTACCTGTTGTTTAAGAGATGACCCGGATAAAATTTTTCATCAGAAATTTTTGTTTTTCACTTACCAAAACAATGATACATACTCTTATAAGCAGGATAAACCCAGCATGTTTAGGTCTTAAACTTATGTAATCCTTGCTGTCATGTTATATTTATGTGATATTTATTATATATATGGAGAACGTGAAGAGTTATTGCACCTTGAAAAATGGACAATGCAGTACACTTTTGACTATTTCTTACATAATTTAAGGTTTCATAAAACACCAGCTCTGTTGACTGCCATGGATGACACATCTTGTCAGCATTGCTCAAGATTTGTAAAATTGTTGGCACGGTCTCTTCACAACAGCAAAAAAAAGCTCAGTCTGATTTACTGGAATAGGTCTTGTTGACCTATTCCAGCTCATATTTTTTTGCATGCGGGCTCATTTTAGCGAAGAAGAAAAACTGCTCACTTTAATCCAAGTAAGCATTCTACGGTCTGTTTACTCTTTTTTTAAGGCAGTTACATTTTGAACACGTCAGATCAGAAAAGAGAAAATCCAGATATAGTTCAGATTTAGGCCCCTGACAGCTGCTGTCTCATTGTCTCAAACAGGTCCAGTAGTGTTTACAGCTTCAAGAGCTGATAAACTCAATGAATGGTCATTACACAATATGAAATGTATCTTTCTCTATTTGCAGGTAAAAGTAAAGAAGCAGAGATCAAGAGGATAAACAAAGAACTTGCAAATATCCGTTCCAAATTTAAAGGTAGGTGATCACCTCTGATGAACAGGACTAAGGGAACACAATTTTATATACTGATTTCTACCACATTATATTTTTCATCTAAATAAATAGCTGACGATTTCTTGCTGCTGATAACCTGCTTTTCCGACTTATCTCTCGGCTGCTTCTTGGCGTCCCATCCTTACAGTTTCTTCAGTATTTTTCTTTTTCCACACTGTTGGACACCTAACTATAAATGTGTGGGTCTCTCTTGTCAATGTTGTCCCTCTAGCCACCTGTTCCTCGCTGACTATTATTAGTTTGCTTCAGCACGCTGCCTCTTTGCTCGCTCTGCCCAGCATACTGGCATCTAGTCATCTGTATGTATTCCCTGTGTGCTTCCCTGCCCAGACATGATACCAAGGACTGAGCTGTCTTTTTAAAAAGAGATGCTTGCCTCAGATTTAAGAGGAAGAAAAAAAGGATATTTAACTTCCTCTCTGCATAAGCTAAAAGCTGCATTAACAGCAGCCCTTATCCTCGAAGGTTCCTCAAATAATTGTGTGCTGACAGTTAAAAGTCTTAAATGCTGGTGTTGAGTCTTGCAGATAATTGAAGTCATCTAATGTTAAGTCTGATTTGTATAGTCATCTCTTCTCCTCTGTAACACAGAAGACAGAGGTCAGTTAGGGTCAGTTATCGGGTTTCTACCTGACAGTTAATAGTAGGATCATATTGAAAACATCAGTCATCATCTTTACTATGTCTATATACTAAAAATATGTATAAGTAGGACAAAATATCAGCACAAGTAGATAGCAGGTAAAATCACAGTCACTAAGCAATGAAAGTCTCTTTCAGTCTGCATTTTTTCTTTTTGCTAATTATTGAAATAGTCTGAACTTCACTCTCTCTTTACTTCATTTTCTCTTAAGGTTGTGTCTTCTTTTGCAACTCCTGTGCTCAAAAGCTGCAGCCAGATTGTCAAAACTTTCATTTCAAACTTCATGTGGACAATCAATCCATATTTGTTTATGTGTGTGACCTGATGTGTGTCTTTGTTGTTGTGTATGTGGACAGGAGACAAGGCTCTAGACGGATACAGTAAGAAAAAGTATGTTTGCAAGCTGCTCTTTATCTTCCTTCTGGGCCATGACATCGACTTTGGACACATGGAGGCTGTCAACCTACTCAGCTCCAACAAGTACACGGAGAAACAGATTGTGAGTTTGTTTGCTTCTTTGTTCATCTACTGCCAGCAGCAGAGAGGTGTGTGATTAGGCAGTCACTTTTTGAAACTGTGTATTTTTGAAGGAATTTAGATCCTGACATGCTAACCTTCAGGTTTAACCAATCGTCCAACGCTGCAGTATTATCCCTTCATCTCGTCTCTAATGATATTATGAGGACAAACACAACAGCAGCAAAACATAACCAAAACAGCACCCTGAGGTCCCTCAAGACTCAAACTTCAGATAGAAAGTGACGATAAAGGAGTGCTGTATAATGTGTTCCATGATATTATGGTGCTATGTCTCTGACGTGTTTCCCATATCTTCCTTTAGGGTTACTTGTTCATCTCAGTGCTGGTGAACTCCAATAGCGATCTGATTCGCCTCATCAACAACGGCATTAAGAATGACCTGGCCAGTCGAAACCCCACCTTCATGAACTTGGCCTTGCATTGCATTGCTAATGTGGGCAGCAGAGAAATGGCTGAGGCTTTTGCATCTCAGATTCCCAACATCCTGGTGGCAGGGTTTGTACTATAAGCCTTGATGCATGATGAATAGAATAGACGACTTGTAGAGACATCACGTCTCACACAAAACATCCATAAACAGATGCAGTCTGTAATCATTGCAGGTCATGATTTAAATAGGGACACCATACGTCCTCTTTTGTCCGGACATGACCTCTTTTTTTATGGGCCTTTCCAGTCTGGTCCGGGGGAGTTTATAAAATTCTTCAAATATCTGGGGTTTTGTATGGAAGTTTTGAGTTTGTGTTGCGTGGACTAACTGAGTTAGAAGCGCGAAAAAAACACTCAACCTTACCCGAAAAATCCTCAAAATGTACTATGTGCAACTCCGCCCTGTGTAGTTGTGTCCTCTTTTTGGGGATTCAGAATTTGGTCACTCCATTTTAAAAGCTGTGGTTAAATGTGCAGTTTTTAAATCCACTGAATCCAGATTAAAAACAGTGACAAATAAGCCATCGGCAGGGTTCTCCTTTCAAGCTGGATTTAAAAAAAAAGACAGACTTATTGCAGGAAGTCTGGTTTAAGAGAGAGTTCTGCCCCCTTGAGATGGGTTTGAGGAACCCCTGCCTCGTTGCTATGGATACTTATGTTGCCCATCAAGCCTGCTTTGTAGCAGAGTGACTCTCAAGCTTAAGTCATCAGTGTCAAAGTGTTGGACAGGAACAGACAGTTGTGAAGTAAATTTCTGTGCTCTCATCATTCATGTTTTTAATTAAGATTAAAAATCTATGTACTTCCAGGTTTCACTTCTCTGCAGTAGATGTAAAAATACATTACCCAGCTCTTGATCTGATGTAGAAAGTATGTGAAGTTTCTTTCTGGAGTGAAATATCTGACAGTAACTGTTTCATGAGCTGTTTTCATGAACTCTCAGAACTGCCTCTAGAAATAACAGGTTGTTGTCAGAACTTTTAGTTGTTGTTGTACCCTGAACCTAGACTCTAAACAACTGAATGTTCAACAGAACATGATGTAGGTGTTGGGTTAAGTGAAATTGTGCTTGGCCTGCCTCTATCAGGGACACCATGGACAGTGTGAAGCAGAGTGCAGCTCTATGTTTGCTGAGACTCAACAGGATGTCTCCAGACCTGGTACCCATGGGTGAATGGACAGCACGAGTGGTCCACCTGCTGAATGATCAGCACTTGGTAAGACTGCACCCATGTTCCAGATCTGTAAGAGCTCTGTAATGTGGCAGATGTTCAGTTTCTAGAGCACTCACTCTTGAAATAAGACAAAGTCGGGTTGTGTCAGCAGGAGGTACCAACATACTGGTAGGTGATTTTTATCCCACAGTTCAGTTAGATTGAAGTGTGATTATTTCTGAGCGTACCGCAGGTAAAAGAGTGAACTTTGACCTTTTCTGTGCAGCACATACAGTAAAGCCTTGGTATGTAGGATGGTTCGGGGTACAGTGGGATTTGTCTGGCCCTCTTACTGTTATTTGTGCACCTGAAGTCGGCTGTTCTGTATTTTTGTCCATGTGTGTCTGTTTTTAGGGAGTGGTGACAGCAGCCACCAGCCTCATCACCAACCTGGCCCAGAAGAGTCCTGATGACTTTAAAACCGCCGTCTCACTGGCTGTAGCCAGGCTCAGCAGGGTGTGTGTCTATTTAGAGCATAACATGAAATCTTTAATCACTGAGTTTTGACTTTTAACTGAAGTGATTTGATCTTTTTGGACAGATTGTGACTTCTGCATCCATTGACCTTCAGGACTACACCTACTACTTTGTTGCTGCACCCTGGTTGTCTGTGAAACTGCTGCGGCTGCTACAGTGCTACCCTCCCCCGGGTATGGTACAATAGAGTCATGTGTATAAAGTGAAAAAACATGAGTACCCCCAATGTCTTAAATCTGATACAACAACCATGCATGCATGTGTTAGTTTATAGCAGATACTGCATGTGTCCAGGACTAATGTCATTAAAAGAAAAAAAGGTCTGCCTCGCCTTACTGTTAAAAAAAAAAAAGAAAAAAAGATATTTATTGATTTATGATTATTTATGGTCTCCAGATTATCATTCCTAGAATAAATATTTCAGCATTTTAATTCTGTAATTGCCCTTTCTTCTATTGCCAGGTCAAATTATCAGCTTTCTCCATAAGGTAATTCATGGCCGCATTTTCATCAGAATGCAACCATTATCTTTGGTAGCCCCATTACCTTTCCTCTAGAACAGCCTTTAGGCTTTCTGCGATAGTTTGCTGTTTTAGTCTCCATCTCAGTTCCCGTCCCATGGATGTTTGTTAGATAGTCTGTCAGCAGGACTCAACCCACAAGTCTATGATGCAGGAAACAATAACCATTTTTAATTTTCTTTTAGTATTCTTGGAAAGCTGAGGGTCTTACTGCGCTTTAATAAACAAAGATGATTTAAACAAAGTGAATAATTTATGATGTATCAACTTTAAAATGATAAAGAAATTAGTCTTAAAATGAATGCACTTCAGCATGACTGCCAGTCAGTGTTTTTTGTGTGAAAAGAAGTTGAAGCTCAGTGTTGCACTTTTGCAGCGCTTCATAAGATAGGGTAAAATATTCCTTTATTAGTCCCACGGGGGGAAATTCATGTTGTGTTTTATTGTTATTTGTTATAAAGACAGGGAATGTAGTTTTGTAACCGAACTTTTACTCTGCTTGGAAAAAAACAAACAAAAAACATTTAAATGTTTAAAATATTTTGAAAGTGGAGCCATAGAAAAAGCTTCAAGTCTGGGGCAGACAGCTACATGTGTTTTTTGAATCCAGGTTGTCGTAGTTCTTATATTTGTCATTGATAGTCAAAAATGATGCCCAGATTCTTTTCAAAGTCTGAGGTGTTTGTTTTTTCAGTTAGAATAAGTATGGACAGTTTCAGACTGATTTTTATTTTTATTTTTTAAACTACGTCTCTTGGATCAGGAAACATAGCGTGAAGAGGACCTCAGCATTACATGGCTCTAGAATTAAAAAGGAAACAAGCAAAAAAGACAAACCGAGAAACTTTGATATGACATCGGAATTTATTTTATTTAGTGGCAAATGATTTAGAACTTCAGTTAGATAAACAACTGCGTGTACTTTCAGTGAAAACCTTTAGTTTCTGTCCTCGTGCTGTGACCATAAACACCCATTTAACCATGAGGTTAGTAAGTCTTAAAGTAAAAGTTTTGAGGTGTTCAGGACACAGTCTTTGTTGTTGTAGAGGATGCAGCCCTGCGGAGTCGTCTCACCGAGTGCCTGGAGACCATCCTCAACAAAGCCCAGGAGCCACCCAAGTCAAAGAAGGTTCAGCACTCCAACGCAAAGAATGCTATTCTGTTTGAAGCCATCTCCCTCATCATCCTCCATGACAGGTGGGTCAGATTCACACCCATGAACCTCCATTAGTCACTGAGTTACTAGAATAACATAGAATTTTGGTAAGACCATCATGCTTAGCTCTGGCTTTCATGTTCCCTAATACACCAGGGCTATAAGATAAATCCAGCTGTAATAAGTTCACCTCACTGTATTGTGTAGAACATGGTTGGGTTTTGTTTGACAGTGTGTGTGCTTTAGTTTAAGAGCAGCTGATTTTTGTTTCTCTCTCCTGTAAGCGAGCCCACCCTTTTGGTACGAGCCTGCAACCAGCTGGGCCAGTTTCTGCAGCATAGAGAAACCAACCTCCGTTATTTGGCTTTGGAGAGCATGTGCACGCTGGCCAGCTCTGAATTTTCTCATGAGGCAGTGAAGACACACATAGACACTGTGATCAATGCTCTGAAGGTGAGTCTTTCCGACATCAGTCTACTCTTATTTTAAACAAGTCGAAATCTTGTGTCTGAGATTGGGAAGCAAGTATGTTTCTTCAGCTGTATTTAGAAATTGTAAACCATGTCAGTTAGTCATTTAAACAACTGTGATTTTTTTCCTATAGAGGAAACAGTACGTAATGCCTTTTCCGCTAAATCATTCTTTTTCCACAGCAGTATGATGCATGTAACTGTTGCATAGCCACAGAAACCAAAGAGGTGTTCAAGTAGTTAAATATGCTCAATATAAACATGAAATTATCTGTGGACTTGTAGAGCAACTGCTAAACTGTTTCAGTGCCTCGAAAGTACCAGAAGTGGAATAGCTGCCATCCTAAATCCTTGGGTTTTTCTCCATACAGACAGAGCGAGATGTGAGCGTTCGCCAGCGGGCGGTGGATCTGCTCTATGCCATGTGTGACCGCAGCAACGCCAAGCAGATTGTGGCAGAGATGCTAAGTTACCTGGAGACCGCCGACTACTCAATCAGAGAGGAGATAGTGCGACACTAAAACAGACCTGTACATCCTTTAGTTCCCCTGTGTGCCGCTCTCTCTTCCTCAGCTTCTTCCTTCTGTCCCTCAGGTGCTCAAAGTAGCCATCCTGGCAGAGAAATATGCTGTGGACTACACCTGGTACGTGGACACCATCTTAAATCTCATCCGAATTGCTGGGGACTACGTCAGTGAGGAGGTGTGGTATCGCGTCATCCAGATTGTCATAAACCGGGATGAAGTTCAAGGCTACGCTGCCAAGACTGTTTTTGAGGTGGGCAAGAAGAAATAGAGCAGCGTGTTGCACACGTGAAGAGCTCTTGAGCTGTTGAACAAATACTGTATGCCAGCTGTGCTGTTGGCTATGCCGTGAACGGGTCTTGATAGATTAATCACAGTGGGATCAGGAAGTTAAAAACATGATGGAGGTGATAACAATCGTATCCTCTCACAGCTAAAAACAGCGCCATCAGTTTTATAATGAGTGCCGGTCAGACCTGTTGACTCTTAAAGCACAGTAATACTGCACAAGCTTGTTACAAGTTGACATAAAGATTGACCACTCAAAAAAAATGTAGCAAACAATTTAAAATCGCACACAATATCATAAGGTATGGATTGGTTTGGATCATTCGTAGGCCCTCCAGGCTCCCGCCTGTCATGAGAACCTGGTGAAGGTTGGGGGATACATCCTGGGAGAGTTTGGAAACCTCATCGCTGGAGATTCACGCTCCAGGTAAAAACAACATCCATCTAATTATTTTAACATGTTTTCCTTAATTTTTGCCTAACTTGAGTAAATATTTGAGCTCAGTGTTTTGTTGACACATCAGCAGGTTTTCTTTTGTTTAGTTTTAAAAGTAGAGAGAAAGCTGAGCTGCCTCTCATGGCGCTGTAACTCTAACACCAAACAGAAATATTGGGGATTTCATGACTCATTTGGCTGTCTTTAACGCCTGTCATAATATCTTACATGCAGTTGGTGTACTGGTTTTGCTTGGTGAAGCAGTGTACAGTATAACTCTGCAGTGAGTTAGTGAGAAGTGCATCTTACAAAGGTTAAATATTGAATTAATGTCAGGAGCATGCCTGTATAATTAAATATTCTGCTGTTTTTCTCCCTCAGCCCTCTGGTCCAGTTCAACCTCCTCCACTCCAAGTTCCACCTGTGCTCTGTGCCGACCCGGGCTCTGTTGCTGTCTGCTTACATCAAGTTCATCAACTTGTTTCCAGAAGTAAAGACCACAATCCAAGATGTCCTGCGCTCAGACAGTCAGCTTCGCAACGCTGATGTGGAGCTCCAGCAGAGAGCTGTGGAGTACCTTAGGCTCAGCTGCATCGCCAGCACAGACATACTGGTAAATGAGGAGTGCAGTGGACTGTCCTACTGCAGGAGTTCACACACTGGCCCTTTATCCCCATATTTTGATTTGGTCGGTTGCCAAAAATAGATCTAAAGTCATTTGTATAAAAAATATAAGCAGGAACATTGGTTGGAGTATCTTGATATTATTAGCACATGTTCACCGTGAACTCTGAACAGTTTTTGTAAATTGTCATATTGTCCCTCAGAGTGTAAGAGTGGGAGCCTATTAAGTAATAATCTAACAGAGTACTACTTTAATATGAAACTGAAGCCCTCAGAGAGAACCACTGAAGTACCAGAGTGATGATGACTATCATAAAAACACATGTATTTAATAATTTCATGGTTAACAATGTCACACAGAGGTTCTACTGATCACTAGTAATCTCAATTGATGAGGTACTGATTTACTTGGCTTGGATCACCCTTTTCATCATGATATGATAATCTAGTCACTCTTCAGACAACCATACAGCATTTACCAACAACACAAAGCCTGTAATGACACACTTAACAACAATCAGTTACATTTCTCTGAAAGGAAAAGAGCAAAATAGTTTTGATCTTTGGACAGCTTTACAGCCCAAACATTACTGACATTTAGTTAAAATTAAACTAAAGCACTGCGTGTCTCTAAAAAGTGCTACGTGGTTCATGTGAAATGTTTTGTCACTTAAAATTAAGGGCCCCTGATTCCCTTTCAGTCCTGCACAGAAACATCCACATCTCTGTTTTACCACCCTGTATTAACAAGGTCTTGTACATGCACTGTGCTGATAGTTTTGATGGCATTGAATTTGATTTTTGGACATACCTGCTTATTTTAAATGATTGAATTCGTTCTGGAGAGAGAGACCTCCATGAATGATTAGTGAACTATTTCCTCTTGTGAACCTGTTTAGGAGGAGGATTGATCTCAAGTCTTTGCCCCACCAATAAATGAGTGTGGGCCACCTCTCATGTTGGCTCAGTTACGCCACTGACACATGTCATAATGTCTGGTATATACCTGGCAGCTGAAACATGTGAGAGAACACTGATGGATAGGAATTGGTGGAGCTCTGGAGTTAGCTTCATTTCATGTTTACCAAATCCTCAGAAGTCAATCTTGTGATAACCACTCTTTCCAGTCAGATCAGTAGTTTCATAAGGTATTATCTTCTTTGATTTAGTAGTTGGTGATAGATTATCTGTCTGTCTTGCCCAGTTTTGAAGCTCTAAACAACTTCCTTCCTTCCTTCCCTCTGCAGGCCACAGTGTTAGAGGAGATGCCTCCATTTCCAGAGAGAGAGTCTTCAATCCTGGCCAAGCTGAAGAAGAAGAAGGGCCCAGGCCACCTGCCCGACATTGACGACGCTCGCAGGAATGTTAATGGTAGCACCGAGCACAGCGAGAACGCAGAAGCCCCAAAAACAGTAAATCTGGACTTTTCAGTTTTTGTTTCCTTTCTCATTCATTTCCGTTTTGTCCCGGAAACAAAGCTGTATGACTCTTAACTCATTCAGGTTCTCTGGGGTGGTGTTTACTGTTGGTTCATGGTTTTCAGCCTTTGGACCATTTTTTCTGCTTTTTCTAATCTTTACCTCCACTTGTCTTTTTTCCTCCCATCTTTTTCTTCTCCTCTATCTTCCTTTCTCCTTCTCCTTCTCTTTCTCTCTGTCAGTCTTCTCCTTCACTGATGGCAGACCTTCTTCCTACCAACAGACCCCGCCCTGCCTCTTCTAGTCCCATCATGCTCTCTGCTGTCACCATGGTATTATAGAGTTGCAGTAGTGAAGAATTAGATGCTTCTCTTTATACTGAAGGACAAACACAAGCACAGCTATCCATGACTCACTAATGTTGAATTGTCAGTAATGGTAGTAACCATTAAACTAAATAGAAATTACACTTGTTGGGTTGTATTCCACTTTTCAAGATTGACTGTTTAATAGTAACAGACGAAATTGAGATTTAGAGACTTGAACTTACAGACTAAGACTTAGGCATTTATTGTCATTCAGTGTGCAGCTGGAGTATACAGAATCAAATTTCATTTGCATAGGCCTTCGTTTACAGATTCAGGGCAGTACAGATATATGTGCAAATAATTATATACATATATGTAAGGTACAGAAGAATATAAAAAGGCTAATGGTTGTAACAATGTGAAAGAACTGCAAGGGGAATAGTAATATATATTTAAAAAGTTCTGTATAAGAACAGAATATGAATACGCTGCAGAAGTCCTGTATAAAACAGGATTATGTATAAAGATATGCTGAAGTCCAGTAGAAACCAGGGTATGAATATGAATATGCTGCAGAAGTTCTGTATAAGACCAGAATATAAATATAAATTTGCAGCAGGGGTAAGTCAGCCAGCTACATGAGATATAACCCAGAGTTCACAAATGCACAATATCTGTGATATGTTTTAAACTTTATATGTTTTTGTTTTGACTTTCATGGAGCTTGTTTTTCTTAAAGATGTTTTTTGCTGACGTCTGCTCTCCTAGGGCTCCAACCATCCCTTCACAGACTTGATGAGTGTGAACTCTCCGCCTCCAGTAGCAAACAGCCTGCTGGTTGATGTGTTCTCTGACATCTCCACACCTGCTCCTGTAGATGTGTGCGAGGAAAACTTTTCCAGGTATGAAGATCCTGTGATCTTGGTTGATGAAACAAAAAAGGACAATAATCAAAAAAAATATATATATATATTGAGTTTCAGAAAAGTCTGCTGAACTTGTTCATTATTGTGATCCACTGAGCACATCTGGTCTTAATAGCCTGCAGTCCAGGAGTATAGACAAGTTATCTGAAATCTCAAAACTAAAAACTCCATCTGTGTTTCTGTGTGTTTGTCATATCAGGTTTGTTTGTAAGAACAATGGTGTTATCTTTGAGAACCAGCTCTTGCAGATTGGACTGAAGTCTGAGTACAGGCAGAACCTGGGTGAGAAGTACTCACTAAATGTAAAAGGACAATGATGAAAATAAAGTTGCATAGTTTCTATAAATCTGTCTGAATGTTATCAACACTGATCAGATGTTTACCCGCTGTTGTCTCACAGGTCGCATGTATGTGTTCTTCGGCAATAAGACATCCACCCAGTTCCTCAGCTTCTCCTCATCAGTGGCAAGTCAAGACTCGCTTAAGGCTCATATCCTTTCTGCTACTTGCGTTGTGTTACAGGACACATAATACTTCATTTACAGATCCAGCATCCTGTTGTGTGCCTGATGGGTTTTGTCTGCTTGTGTTGGGTTGTTGCATCAGTCTTTGGATGAGCTATTAAAGCTGTAAGGAAGTGTTGGCATACATCTATGAAAGAAAAATTTTTTTTGTTTTAATAGGTAGTTGTTGAAATACGGGGTGTAAAATACGTGGTGTTGTCTGCTCTGATAGACATTTTCTCTTACTGGACCTCTTGGCATTGAAAGCAGTGAACTTAAAACTTTAACCAAAAAGTTTTTCAAAGTATCAGAGCTTTAAATCTGGAAGGGTCAACAAACTGTGAACATTTTTTTAGGCTGAATGATTGTGTTAGCAATCAGCTGGATGGATTACATCAGGAACTGTTTCACTCATTATCAGCATGATTGCTTAAAAGATTTGTGGCTTGACTCAGTTTGATGATTTTGAAGATGCACACAGGTTTGGACTGCCCATAGGAATAATATGTGTTGGTCCATTATTGATAATCTGGTTTTTGCTGTGAACTGTCTTCATTTTAGAGCATACTGTGTCTCATGTTATGTGACTGAGTTCCTCCTGCTGCGTCTCTACAGGCCTCTCAGCTGACTCCTCCATGAGTGTCCATGCTGACTGAGCTTTTCCAACACTGCCCTCTGCTGTGTCCTGCAAAACCACCGAAACCTCAATGGTTTTTAAATGAACTGTTCAAGCACCTAATTTAACAAGGCACTTATTTACAGAGGAGTATCATGCACTTGAGCCTGCACTTGAACACAACAGCTTTAAGTGAATGTACAGTACGTTCTGTAGTGTCCTGTTTTCTACATGTAGATGTGTATGCTTGTGTTGTTGAACCATCTTCAGGATCCTTAACAGTTGTCTCCACAGCTGAATGTCCACGCTAAGACCGTAGACCCGATAATAGAAGGAGGGGCTCAGGTTCAGCAGATCCTGAATATTGAGTGTGTTTCAGATTTCACAGATGCGCCAGTGCTCACCATCCAATTCAGGTTGGTTTCTGACTGCATACTTGGCTAGATGTCGATATCACATGTCAGATATTTCATATGTTTTATGTCTGACTGTGTCTGTATGAACAGATACGGGGGAGCTCTCCAGAACATCACCGTGAAACTCCCCGTGATGCTCAACAAATTCTTTCAGCCCACAGAGATGACCTCCCAGGACTTCTTCCAACGCTGGAAACAGCTCGGAGCGTAAGTTTAGATTGAAGTTATCACATGCAGATTTCACATTTTCAGTCAGAACTATTGACTGTACATAGAGATGGAAAAACAGTCTTCATCACCTCCCATGTTTAAAATTCTGGCCAAAGTTTCCCCCTGCAGTAAGCTCTGCCATCTGAGCAATCCCATGTTAACGGTCCCTGAGATGGGTACAGTCAGCAGAACAGATTCTTGTCTGGTTCTGTAGCTGCAGTGTTAATCTCGTTGACCAATCATTTTCGTCATAGTTTTCATCAACGACTTTTTTTTTTCCCCTGACAAAAACAAGACAGTAACTATTAAAAACAAGTGCATATGGACAAAAAAAAAAACTGACACTTTCATCAACAAATAAAAACGAGACGAAAATCCGATTAGACCTAATTTCCACATGTAGAAAGTAGGGACAAGTTAGGAGTATATCCAATCACAGCTACTTTGGTTGTGTGGAAAGGTTGTATAAGTTCAGAGGGACATTCAATCACAACTGCCTTAGCTACATGGTCGGGATAAGTTGGGTAGAGATCCAATCAAGGGAGGGCAGTTGAATTTTCGCCCTGTGAGGACGGCGGTGTCAGTACCACGCACACATCTCACAGCTCATCACATGGCTACAAACAGCAATGGTACTGTGTCATAGCAGTTACTATTTCAACATTAAAAACACGTTAAAATAGAATGGTTACATTTTTGCCACTGATGGATACTAAGTATTATATTGCAACATTTTTTTTTCTTTTAAGTTAAAATCTGATGGGGAGGGGATCCCATTAGAGATTTTTCTTGGGACATTGTTGAGTACTTCACATAAAAACACAGCAAATGGAGTTATTTTGATAGAGTAACAGTAATCAGGGTTGGGATTCTAGCCCCTGCACTTAGTCCTTAAATGTTTTTGATTATTTTAGGGAAAATAATAAAGGTAAGTGTGTTATTGACAATTGATATATTCACAGAGAGCAGGTTTACTCTTTGTTTTTAATTCTGGTATTGTTACTGAGATGCTCTGCCAGGTAGTCTAAACGAAAGTGACTGCATTTCACATCAAAGTTAAATTTGTGTCTGTTCATTTACACATTCAAACTTTACTAGTATTCAGTAAAGGATTATTAGATGTTTCATTTTATCCATGTATAAAACATGACTTCAGAAATTCAAGGAAACATAAAAAATGCCTTACCCTGTACACTTCGTGTTTTAGTCGACTTAATTTACAGTAGATTATGTTGACCACAACTAGACTACAATTAAAACAATTTAGATGACTCAAACAAAAAGATATTTTAAGCAAAAGACTATGACTAAAACTAAATTTCAAAAGTGTTCTCAAAATGAAGACTGTGGAGCAGTAACATGTTTCCTCTTGTCCTCAGTCCTCAGCAGGAGGTTCAGAAGATCTTTAAAGCCAAACACCCGATGGACTCGGAGGTCACCAAAGCCAAGGTAAGGAAAAAAAAACTGCTCTTTTTCACATGAGTCTGTTTAGATCATGTGCGCACCTGTGATTATATTTAACTTCTCCTCTGGGGGGTGTTGTGTAGATCTTAGGTTTTGGTGTAGCTCTGCTGGATGGTGTGGATCCTAACCCTGCAAACTTTGTCGGTGCTGGAGTCATTCACACTAAGAGCACTCAGGTGGGCTGTCTGCTTAGACTGGAGCCCAACACACAGGCAGAGGTAAACACACACGCACGCACACACACACACACACACACACACACACACACACACACACACACACACACACACACACACACACACACACACAAACTCATCCCCTGCATCATCATAATCCAGCCTGTGTAACTGTGTGTATGTGTGTTCTTCATTCAGATGTACCGTCTGACTCTCCGGACCAGCAGGGACTCGGTGTCTCAGAGACTGTGTGACCTCCTCTCTGACCAGTTTTAGACTCTGCACTCAGCACCAGCATTTTCTACACCTTTACTCTCCTAGCCTCACTGTAGATTGGAATGATTTGTACAGTGTAAATTGTTTTTTTATTTGTTTACTCTTCATGTTAAAGAAGTGAAATGTATTCTTCGCACATAGCTTTACTCGTACGTTACTGCTTTAAACCTGCCTCGTAATCTGCAGACGGTACAGGAGGCTTTAAACACTCCCCCTGCTCTGAAAGGCTGAGCTGATCTGGTTTTGCTGCCTTTCCTATGCAAACCTTTCACAGAGCTGTTTCATGAGGCATTAATGAGACAGAGTTAGCAGGAAACCAAAAGATAGCCAGCCCAGCATTGACACAGCTGATGCAGTTGTTCTGGTTGTTCCTCCATGAAACATTTCTTCTTGTTGTGTTTCAAACAAATGTTGCACAGAACCGGGAGGCTTTCCTGAACTTCTTGTTCGTTTTGCACTTTAGGTAATAAATTTCAGCACAACAGTAGGTCAGTTAGATTTAGGAAAAAAAAACCCTCATAGAAATATTTGTACTTGTTTCGGTATCTTTAGAAGTCTGCCATCTCAGGAGGAAAGCAGAACTTTGTACTGTGGTATTTTTAGCTAAAAACTAGATTTTGAATGCTGCTTGTGTTGGGTGAATTTGAGACAAAGACTGTATGTAAGGAGTGGATGGAGCCTCTCAGGTTTTTTAAAGTTCAGACAAAGCCCTGTTAGAGCTTGAAATGTACTAATGACCCCAAATGTTTAAAAAAATTTTTTTTTAAAACTGAAATGTAACAATTGGTCGATAATGTAGCAAGTTGCTGAGCCCAAAACATAATAATTGTTTGCCCAAAATTTTGCAACTTGTTACATTTTGGGTCAGTTATTACATTTTGGGCTCAGACTTTTGTTACACTATCGCCCAGTTATTTTATTTGAGGTTTTTTTATACATATTTTTTTTAATAACATTTAGTGTCATTACATTTCAGGCTCTGACAAGCCAGCTGTCTTCAACTGCAGTCTTTTCTAATGACCAGCAGGGGATGACTCCAGGGTTTGCAGATTGGGGTCTTCTTGTTTGTTGAGACAAACAACTCTGTCTCCAGTGATGAATTTGCAGTTTACGTCTACAGCATGGTGTTAATATTTGAAACTATGCTCCCATTTAAAAATGGCTAACTGTATCTATGACAGAGTCAGAGCCAAACATTGTCTCCTCTCGCCGCATAAACCAAGACAGTAAAAACCAGGACCTGAGGCTGGTCTCCATCAACTTCTTTGCTACTGTCAGAACATTTGAGAGCTTTCTTGTACAAAACTTTTGCACATTATGTCCTTTATTGACTTAGATAGCTTTTTACAACAAAGTAGTAAACACGATTGTGCCTGTAACATTTTATCACTCAGTATGTTTACATGCAGTTAAACCCAGCCACGGTTATCACTCTGTTAGGTGGTTAATTGGACCCCTGTTCTTGTCCCGGTTTATCAGTTCCCTTTCAGCCTGTTACCACTGGGCTGTCTCCTGGTTAACTTCTCTCTACACACCGGAACAATCAACAAGCCAGTTATCAAGAGGACAACTTAACAGCTCTGTACCTTTCTAATGTACACTTTCCATAATTTCTGGTACAATTGAGAAGTATGCCTTCTCTCAGGCTTTTCTTTACTAACTGGCTTCCTTCTACCTTTTAACTTCTTGGTCAAAACCTGTGGCCAAGACCTGGCCAGATCTAAAAAATCTAACCCTAACCGCATTATCTGGGTTTGTTACTTTGAGTTTGACTAACATGTTGACATGCATTTTGAAAGTCCAATTTTATTTGGACTGTTGCAGTAAATCCATTTTCAACATCACATTAACACACTGACTCTGTCCAGAACAGATGCGGACCTCCACACAGAGCAGAGTGATCATCTGTTCGTCTAAAGCACTGCCACTCTCTCACACTACCCTCACCTGAGTGCTCTTATCCCACTGCACTGCATGTTTCTATAACAAATGTATCTACTGTTTTATAAATATACTTTTATGATAATCCATTGTTGGCACATTTAATGTTTTGCATTAAGACTGTTACTATGACTTTCTCTGGAGCAATATAAAGAAGAACAGACTGTGATTTTACAGGCAACAGAAAGACTTCTGGCCGGGAGACAGTCCTCACCAACTTTACGACTTTTTTATTACAAGGTAAAAACATCTTTTTCAACCACTGACCAGCAGTAGAGAGGTCTGTAATGCTCAGTTAGCTCTCCATTTTCTTGCAGCTTTATATTCAGTGGACAGATGTGGGTGGTATCAAACCTCTTTTCTTACTCTATGCAACAACGAAAAAAAAAAAGCTTGACAAGGCCACGAGCCAGAATGTTCAAATGATTCTTTAAAGAGCTTTTTTTGTAAAACAATAAAACAGAGTAAGAATAATGAATAAAAAAGTCACTGTGTGAAAAGGTTTGTCTTTTGTACCGATCAGTGTAGTTTAATCCTGACCTGAGAAAATTCACTGTGACAAAGATCTATAAGTTTGGCCCTCTAAGGAGCCTTCATGTTAACGCTTCACCTTTTCATACCCAACATCTGTGTGTGTGTGTTCTCTGTTAAATGAAGGAGACATTTATATTTAAAATGAACAAAGTCAAACAGTGAATGATGATGGTCATGACCTGTTTGTGACATGTTACTATTAAAGAAGCCACCTCACCACATGTTAGATCTGAAAGGGGAGGAAAAGCCGTCACCTGAATTCAAACCACCTGACAGACAGACCGTCTGAGTCTCTGTGAGCTGAGGAGCTCGCTGTCATGTGTCTGTGAAGAGAAGACTGAAACAGACATTGGAGCAGAATAAATCCTGGACTTTGACTAGCTGGGTTGCTTATTTTTCCAAGTTATCCCCCCTTTATGTTTGTTTATTGTAACACAAGAGCACATGAAGAAAATTTAAGTATGTGTGTGTAGCTGTGGTAAAATCCTGTAAATGGCTTACATGAAAACCACACCCAGAAAATATACCATCGTACTAAATCTTTCTCTGTATTCAGTCATGATAATATTCTGTTTTACTGAGAACAGATGGAGGGGTGGAGAGTAATGATTAATTATAATAAATAATTTTGGCTTACATAGTAGAATCAGAAATGCATTAATGTGAGGAAAATAACTTTCTGAGGTCTTTATATTTTATAAGGTGAGATGAAAATAACATTATTATAAATGTGGATCAGTCTAAATGTGCTGCTAAAAATGCAGCAGCTGAAGGGGGAGAATAGAATATTTGATTAAAAACTTGACAAATGGAGGCTCACACTTTTCACAGAAGATTATTGTCCTCTAAGGCGGGCCACTTTACAGAGGGAAGGGTTGAGCAAGGAAGCGTTTCAGTTCAAATCTGACCATTAGATATAACTGAGCATTCACATTTCTGTAAAACAAGTACTGTTGACCAAATCTGACTGACCTTCTTGAAGATAAAACCAAAGAGCTCCTGGTGATATTTGAGAGCAGCTGATGCATGGCCACAGGTGAATTATCTCATGGCCATGGGATTATTACCCACTTAAAAAACTCTAAGGAGGAGGAATTGAACTTCTTGGAGTTAAGTGCTCATTCCTAAACTGAAACTTCTAAACCATTATGATGATGCGTGGATAAGACCTGTCAGGTTGAACAAATTCAGAATTTTGGGACAGAGATGATTTTTTCTTGAATTCTGTCTCTTGATTTCTTAGCAGCCTCTGACTTTTTAAACAAATCTGTTTGCTTGACTCGTGACGGCCACCTTTGCACTGCTGACTGTAACAAGATTGATTTTAACATGAGCGCTGATTGATTTCAAAGATCTGCCTCACAGTGGGGAGGAGGTTACAGATAAGAGCAAACTTGTTAGCAGACTGTACTCCTGCTCCAGAGCCGAGCATGTCAAAACAATGTTACATTTACTTACCTGATTTTGGACCAAAGACTGTGAAGTTTAACTCAATATCCCATAAATCTAACTAAAGTTTTGCTTCAATCACTCAAGTCAAATGTTGGGCTGCATAGTGTTGTAGAGGTGAGCTCTGCCGCCTCACAACAACAGGGTGGTTGGTTTGATCCCCGGCCAGGTGTGAGCCCAGAGTTAACAGGACAGCGCCAGAAACAATATTTGTAAATGCATCTTCAACAAAACATGATCACCCAAGTTCATCTGCTGTTTTTTAAGGTCTTAGAGCCCAAAAAAGCTTATACACGTTTGAACTAGGATTTTACAGAAAGCAGTTTCAAGTCTCCTATTGCAATTTCACACAAAACATAATCTTAAGTGTGTATATCTGAGACAACATGAGACAACTCAAAAGAGCATTACTTAGCTTTAATTCTATATTCATTTTTTTATTATAGAGAAGGGAAACTGTGGTACATTAAAACACTTTCTTTTCAAGTGGGGAAATTAGAAAATATTCAACATCCTGATCCAAAATGGAAGATTTTAGAGGCACGTTATTCCTAAGAGTTTGAATAGGCAGTAGAGAAAATAGACCAGTTTGTTTTACAAACATTATTTGTGCTAATGTCCCTTTATATTCTAGTGTGCAGTCATTCCCTTCATCTGACATCCCCCCTTTGACAATAAAGGCTTTCAGCTCAGTTTGGCAGTCAGTCCTACATGAATCACGTTTTTTTTTTCCTTCCACATGACATCCAAAGTTGTGCTGCAGAGTCTGGCTGAAAAAGTCTGTGCATCAGTGACTCAGTCCCTGTAGCGCACCTCTGCTCTGAGCTCCTTTGTGACATAGCTGAGTATAGCAGCGGTGACCTGCTGCTGCAGTGTTGCGTTGCCCATCACTAAGGCAATGAGTTGAGCCGCATCGGTCCAGTCCAGGTTTCCTAAAACAGCTACAACGTCATTATAGATCTTCTGCTGCTGGTTAGGAGGCAGCTCCATCAGGATCTGGGGCAGAGGCCTGAACTGCCCACTGGTGAGCCAGCTGCCTAACAGACCGCCCACTGCTCCACCTGAGGGGGGTCCACAGAAGGTCAGTCACAGTTTCAGGACAACTTAAGTTTATTTGTAGAGCATCTTTAATACATACAAACCAACTCCAAAAAAAGCTTGTGCTCTTTAAAATGTTGATAGAAAACAGAAGTTAATGATTTAGGATTCATTAAAACACAGTCTTCAGATTCTACACTGAGATTTTGAGCTCACCAACATTATTCTGAAACTATTGAACTATTAGCTAATGCAGTCACTCAGAGTGGTGAACCACTTCCCCTCTTCCCATCTCATCTTACAACTTTTGACCTGTTTAGCTGTTCCTTTCCCAATTTATGTTCCTCATAAAATATGTTTCAACATTATTTATTTTCCATTAAACAGATAGCTTAAAGGATTTGTATTGAAGTCTGTTTTTAACAGCAATTTGCGCATCACTTCTACTGTTCAAGAATTTGGGTTTGCACAAGTATATACAGTTGAAGGTGCTTCACAAACGAAGAAACAGAAAGAAAAGAAGCAATTGGTGGTAACAGATGAAATCATAAAAATGAAGCAATAGAAAGATTCTTTTAAATGATATCAATAAACCAGTTCATCTGAAAAAGCCTACACAGACTGCTGTGGTTTTCTTAAAGTTCTGGACCCGATGAATTTTTAACCTCAATGTCAGAGTCTGAAGTCTCATCGGGCAGCTGTGATGTAAACTCATGAACACAGATATGAATATCAGAAGCCATAAATGATTTTGAAAGAAATATTGTGTATGTAGCCATCACATGTGTATTTTATAATTATATAGGTATGTTATTATATGGTATCATTTACTGAAAATCACTTGGTGTGAATGCTTGCAGAATTCTATCTGTTCCTTTTTAATGAGCATGAGAAAGGAGAAGTGTGGCTTTGGAGTTGGGACTGATATTTCCCACTGAAGCCATGCAACTAAATGAATATTACAATTTCACTCACAGGTTGTTTTGGGAACAGAGTGACATTGAACTGATAAGCAGGAACCTGATGATGAACTAAGCTCTCTTTGTTCCCCCTGTACAGACCACACCTTTACCACATTTGGTTACTGTTGTAATGTCATGCCACTTATGAGATTATATGTTAGTGGGCGGGGGTGTCTGTTTTTTGACTTCATAAAAGGATGTGTAAAAATATGAATTCCTCAGTCAGAGGAAGCTGCCTTTGCTGTAAGCTGCTGACTTCTTGAAGGTAAAACATTTTGAAGACCACAGTCTCTCTTGTTCTTCTCAGCTGGCTGCAAGCCAGATGCACTATAATCCTTCTGACAGATTTATTCTTACCCACAGCAATTCCTGCAGGACCGCCAAGCATCCCGCCTACAAACGCAGTTCCTCCCGCCACCATTGCCCCTTTGGTGGAATTTTTTACTGCCACCTTGATCTGATCATGAGCTGAAATTTCACAGCACAGACGCATGACATCGTCAATTCGAGGAGCCATTCCTGCACAGAAAATGGACATGGTGGGAGAGTCAGGACAGTTGACCATGCTGTGGAGTGTTACATCAAAGATAAGAAAGTCTTTAAGCTTTGGATCTCACTGGAAGGAAACCAGCACTTAACCTACAGCTGAAGCGCAGAGATAAGACAAGGAGATGAAACAGCATAAAAAAACCCCCCATAAACCCGGTCTACACAACAGCGTGAAAGGTTAATATTAGTCTGAAAGAAAGAACCCCTGCAGATAACAGAGATCCTGCGCAGGAAAGAGGAACAGTGAACAGTGACTGGATCTCCTCAAGTGTTAGGCTGTAAGTGACATGTCAGTTTACCGAGTTCACATAAACTCTTACTGCAGTCCTTCAAACTCCAGTGAGGGACTTTATGTGACCATTTTGGCAGACTCTTACTCTTTACTGTTTTGTGTCCTGGGCATATATAAATCACAGCTCTGATCAACCTTGCTGTATGCTATCAAATGTATTTGTCTTCAGATGTATATCACTCAATATATACCCTCAGGGGTAGGATCAGACCGGGTTTAGATTTAGTGTCAGTTTAGTTCAGGATGTGGTCTTCACTTTCTTTTACTTTCTTTTTGTGAGACTGTAAGTGGAAGTGGGGATGATTTATGTGACTTCAGACATGTAGAGAGCTAACAATACCTCTGATAATAATTAGTATTGACTATCACATCCTGATTTTAAATTAAAACGCATGATCAGCAGCACAGTGACCCACAGTGAGGTCAGCACTAATGTACAACATAAATCAACCGATTTAAAAAGATTGTTTTAACAGTAAAACAGTGAGATTGGTCTTACATTTAGGTGTCTATTTGTTTCAACATGACATGAGTAAACCGCAATGGCTTATTATATAAACAGAAATAATAACCTATTGAAACCCATAGCTTTGGTTCAGACAGAATCATTTAATATTCAAAGACAAGAAAAAAGCTGGTCTATGAAACTCTGGCTTGAGAAAAACAAAGATCTGTCGGATTCATATAACCTAAAAGAAACATAAAGTAGACTCGAGTTTTGTTGGACGCATAAAGACAACTTTCTTGGTCCTAATTAAGCTAGGAACTACAATAGTGTATACATAATCTATCCAACATTTAATTGATATTTTCAGTCTTACCTTAACTCTTCTCTGATATGTGAGTTCACGCACTTCTCGGTCTTGTCATGTCGGTTTCGAAGTACATTTGCGATGTATGGTGATTGGCATTCAAACGACTTCCGGGTCTCAATGATACGTCACTTTAAAGAGTGTTCAACGGTCATCATGGTCAAGATAATTCCGTTAAACAATAAACTGACCAACACTGATGGACCACCAAACTGCTATATGACTCAAGGATGAATATCAGATATCACGCTTTTCTTTTTGATCAGATTCAGAAGTGCCGGGTTTGGTGTGAGGAATTATTAACAAACATCGAAAAGTATCGTCACAATCACATCTGTAGAGACTAAACAAGTTCTTGTAGTTCAGCTAAATTAATTAATTATATGGTTTAACTTTTTTTCAAATGTTTATAAACGTCAATGTTGTGCCTTATTTACAATAACAAGACAATCATCAAGCGGAGCCCTCTACGCGCATGCGCATTTCACGCAGCAACGTCTTAGTGAAGGGTGAGTGAATTATCTTGCGTTTTCATAAAAGATTCCGGTCAGAGAGATATCATGAGGAGTTTCATTTTGGCTACATTCTCAATAATTATTTTCCCCTTTCTTCTTGAACTTTTGTGTTTGAATTATCATTTATCTAATCTGATAAAACTTTATCTAAAACTCATCTGTTGTCTCTCCGCTCTTCCTGCCTTATATGTGCAGGTTTGAGTGGTTACAACTTTGTGGCATGTTGTTTTATCGTCGAAACCGATAAAATCAAACAGAGACCTCAAAACTGTGTTGATGAACATTGTAACCTTTTTAGAGATGTAGTTCTACTATGTTTGCCCAAACATAGGCCCACCTGTTCATTCTGACAGTTAAGACTACAGAAATGGGGGAATAAAAGAAAATACTGTTTGATTTTATTTTACTTGTTTCTCTTATGTGGTGTTTCTATCCTACTTTCAAAAAAGAAAGTACAGGTTTGTTGACATGATGACGCTACATTGACTCACGCAGACCGCGCCCATTTGGGCGGAGTTTGGTGACGTTTCAGGACGCAGTCAGGGCTGTTACTGATAAACAAGTTTGAGTTGAAAACAATCCTTGAAGGCCACCAGAGAACCTGGACCCTTTACTGAACAACGACTTCACCCGAAGAAAAAAAAGGACTTCCTACTCAGGTGAGCGATGAAATCTGTGCTCAGCAGTGAAAAGGTCAACGTTTTACCGGGATGGAGTTCATTCCTCTTTTGTTCTCCACTGTCTCCGTTGTCTGTGCAACCTTTTGATCTGATTTCAGTCTGAATCCCCTTGTAAAGCTTCTTCATACTAAAGCTGGAAAAAATACCTTAATCCAAGCAGCAGCTCTAACATGATGAGTGCAGCTCCAGGGCTCCCAGCTGTTTTTCTCACCTGTTTTCCTCTGTGTGTTTTTCTCAGTGTGTTTTCCTCAGTCCATATGATGTTGTAACAGTCCTGCAGATGTTCTGTCACGGACAGGCTTTAGTGCAGTATTCTGAGGGAGTGGACAGTTTTCTACAGTATGCCTGTTGTACAGGGCTGGGGTCTGGTTACATTAATCCAGGGCAGACACCACCAAGCAGGCAGAAAGGCATCCAGACACTCAGGGAAAACACGCATCTATTTTTGGGCCTATGTTTGTCTATTAAACGACTAGAGTTGTACTTAATGTGCTTATAACGTGTGTTATATGAGTAATTACATACATATTATGTTGTATTGAGGTTGAATATCACACTTTGATCCAACACTTTTCATGTTATGTTGTGGACATAGTTTTTCGTGGACATTTTAACAGTTGAGAGAACAAAGTGGTCCTCAACAGATTATCAGCTAGTGCAAAAACTGGAGAACTTGAATTCTACCTTCATTTTAGCTTCTTGTATTGCTAGGGTCAGTGTGTTATTTGATCTACCCTGTGATCTGCCAGTTTGGCAGTTATCAATTAATTGAAGTGTTGTGTTTCAGTGTATTATTAAATATGTCACAAAATGTAAAAGTAAGAACAGACATAGAGGTTATTCAGTTTGATGGTGAAGGTCGGTCAGCTGTCGGTTGAGGTCATAACTTCAAGTTTTTCCCTTCTTCATGGAAGAAATCTGAGTCTGTTTCACAGCTTATATAAGTTGGCTGAAATCAGTGTAATTTTATCCTCTTATGTCATCATACTCCGTCAGACATTTCACTTTTAAACTGACCTCAGGACTCACCGTCACAGCAGCGTAACAGCTCAGTCTGCTCAGGTTTCTCAGATTGGTAAAGGCAGCGGTAGTTGATATGGAGCCATGGACCTGACGGGTCCTCAGTTTTTTTCTGGAACAGCCACTAGAGGGACCCATAGATGTTCTTGATTTTTCTGAAGACACAAAGTGCAGGTGGATGAGGTTTTTAAGATCAGCTTAATGTTGATTTTCAAGATAAAATTGCAAATCTATCTGAGTTCATCAACCCTAATGTAACTGTTACTCCACTGTGTCTGTCATGGATCACGGGCTGACAGAGAGGCTGAAAGATGATCGGAAAGATTCTCTCTCACCTGCTTGGGAACTCAGGTGAAGACTTAGAGGTTGCAGAAGAAGCTTATGATGAACTGATGGAGTTTGAGGAGGGAGGATGGGTCATCGTTGATCTCCCAGGTAAGAGTTAAACCCTGTTATTATGTTATTGATATCAGTATAATTGAAAAAGTTCCCCCTGGCAGACAGAGTATAAGATGAAACTGATCTGTTTTGTTTGGGGTTTCTCTTAAACAGAGACCCAGGAACTGGCAGTTCCTGAGGTGGGTCCTCTGGAGAACCTGCTGATCGAGCACCCCAGTATGTCGGTCTACCAAATGAGGCGGAGAATGAGCGGAGCAGAGGAGGAGGGAGGCTCTGATGGTGATGAAGAGGACACCTCCAGGTTACTTTCAATTTTATCTTCCAACACATTTGTCTTGGATCTTGATCCCTCAATGAATTTTTTTTTTTTTACATTTACAGCACCTAGTTTGTAAAATAAGTGAGACAGACATGTGATATTTAATCTCTGAGGCTTGAGTCAATCATCAGGCCTCAGAGCTAAGTGGCAGAACAAAAAATAAAATGTCATGGGATCGGTGATTTATGAAGATTTAACAAACAGATATTTCAAATGACTTTCATTCAGCCCTACAGTTTAGACATTTTCACATTCAAACTGTGTGTGGTATTTGTGAGCTAAACAGAGAGCGGTTAAATCAAAATGTAAAGCAATGCGTGTTATGAAAATTGAAATTATATGAATAAAATTAATGTATCAAATATAAAAGCAAATATAATTCCACAAACACAAGTCTCTGACACACACTATACTGCCTTACACTGAGACTGTGAACTGACAATTATTAACCTTTAAAGCTAAAGGGCATGAGCCAAAAGGAAGTACTCTTTTAAACTAGTACAACATCTGTCAAATCTATGAAATGTCTTTCTGAGGGTGCACAGTGGTTAATTTGGTACATCGACACATTAAAGAGGGCTAAAGATGTTTAATATATAATACCCGAACAGAGTAGGCCACAAAGACCCTCAAGCATCCTGGACTTTTATTTCTCATCATATTTCATACTAAAACTAATCACACCTGAGTGGTGTAGTATTGCATCAGACTACCAGGATGTGGGCTGCCACAAGATTCAGATCCAGCGGATGTCCCTGTGTTTGTAGCTTCCAAGCATTAAATCCTTTTTGGCAAAAAGAGCTTTAAAGCTCCACAAAGCTTCATCCACCATGTCCAGTCTGTTCTATGGCCTATATCCAATTCTTGGACTATAATACCAACATACTGATGATATCAATATTTAGAGGCTGAAATCAAGAGTATCCCATCTTAAACTACTTATTTTGTGTTAAGCCAACAATGATCCATAATAGTGACCTTTGCACTGTGCCTGTTTAGCCCCACCACAGTGAGGCGGCACGTCTCCTGGCATCTGGCTGCCTGGGGAATCCCTCTGCCCTGCAACGCCAAGCTGCTGGCCGCCCAAAGAGCCAGAGCTCAGCATGAGCGCAGGAAGCTGAACCGCAGTGCCCTCCACAGACAAAACCTGGCTAAGACACGGTTCTGTCCAGCAGAGAGACGCTACGGACACTTCAAGCAGCCAAGCCGGCGTCTCTACAACTATTGAATTGATATGATTGATCGCTTTACAGTCACCTCCATCACAGTGCCTCAGCTCTCAGTTACTCAGGTTGTCCACCAGTGTTTGATCTCTTGACTTCAGTTAAGACTCACTTGATCCCTCAGTTTGGGAGGAGTTCATAACCAAAACTGTCATTTTCATCTTGAAGTCTGCATATGACATTAGAAACGAGAACAGCTGATTTGTTTGATTTATTGTTTTTAGATTCACTTTCAGGAAGTTGGGTTTGTGTTAAAGCTCCTGAGATGATGTTACATTCACAGTGTGTCACACTGATTTGATAGACTGTTGTATTTTCGGCGCGTTGTTGCATTCAGAGTTGAATTGTGTGCATTAGAATTAGCAGTTTTTTGAAAAGTGTATCCAGTGTTACTTTCAAACCATGGTAAACTTTGTAATATTCATGAAAAGGACAACAAAATTCTGAATGTGAATTTCCTAACATTACTGTTTTTGTTTCTATGTGACTTTGGAGGATGGATTTTAAAGCCACTGTTCATGTTCTTTTTTAAATTGAGGACACCATTTTATACTTTCAGTGAGTGCTCAACATTTTCATGTCACAGTTTTTTCAATGTTATGTGTTTTTCAGAATGTGTGTGTGTAATTTATGAAATGTAAAAAAAAAAGGAAATAAATCTTGTTTTTTTAACCTTGTGTTAATACATATTTATTTTGACATATGATCCCACATAACAAGGGTGACACTATAATCAATGAGATTACCCACATCTTAATAAATCAACTGCAGAGAAGAGTCTCGCACATTTTTAACCCTGTTTCCAAAAGTGTTTGGACCTTGTGTAAAATGTTGGCAAAAACTGATTTTGATGGATGCAATGACTTACACCCTACATTTTCATTAATTAATGATATTAAAAGTTACATAAAATGTCATTCCAGCCACATATTTCAAAGAAGAAGGAACAGGGACCCTAAAACACTGAAAAGGGGTGTACCGTAGAAAAAAACAACTGTAGGAGCATTTTCAACCATTGAGGTTAATTTCCAACAGTTAAGTAACATGACTGGGTCTTAAAAGGACATTCAGAGAGGCTGAGTCTCTCAGAGGGAAAGATGGGAAAAGGTTCACCACACTTTGAGGGACTGTGTGAGCTAATAGTTCAACAGTTTCAGAATAATGTTCCTGAGTGTCAAATGGGAAAGAATGAGTGGATTTCATCATCTACAGTACATCATATCATTCAACACACCAGGGAGCAGAGTTAAACAGACCCTGACCACATGACAGAAAAGCTTCCTCTTCATTTTCGTAGCTCACACATCTTTCCCATGAAATTCTTCACTCTCTCTGGGTCAACTGCATTGGCCCAGTGACCACCTTTCTTAAAATGAGAGCCGATTATCATCCCGTTTGCTTCAATGTACTGTTCAATGTTGTTGTAAGTCACACCTGAACCTATGAGCACCGGGACTTTCACGGACCTGGAAACTTCTGCAAATGAAAAGAAAGAAAGCAACAACAAAGATTCACATTGGTGGAATTAACATGAGTCAAAGAGACAATTTCCAAATGCATAAGAACCGTAATGAATTAACACAGGAAATTAAAACCTTCTCACTTTTTACCAGCATGGAAGCATTTTATGGTAATCGGACAGAAGACACAGCCACTTCATTTGAATCTAGCACCTACACAGCAGACTGTTTTCATAATCTGAGCCTGTTTGTGACTGCTGCTCATGAACAAAACAGAAAGAAAATGAAACTTCAGTGAACTTTGGACACAGCTAATGCTGCCCTCCACACTGCACTGTATGTCTGTTAGTTTATCATAAATATACATGTTGTGTTGGAGACTCTGTCTGTCAGCCCTGGTCCAGCTTATAGAGCCCCTGACCCTTCTTGGGTTCAAAGCTGAATCCCTTTTTAAGGGGATGCCATATTTTTGGCATTTTGCCTTTATTAGACAATGCCGCTAAAAAAAGATGCAAAGAACTCAGAAAGTGATGGAAGATTTGCAGCAAAAAGCTGAAGCAACAAGGACTCCGGCCTCTGTGGATGGGATACACCTCGACTACTACGCTGTAAGCGCTCCAGTTGAATGCTTCAGTCAATCTTTTCAGCCACCAATGAAAGAAGGATTAAACAACATGGAAAACTTAAATACATGTAAAAAGTCAATTTGGTTGCAATAAGAAATAGTGTAAACACAAAAGTAGTGGAGTAGATTCCTTTTAAAGTGTTCAGTGGCTCACAGAACATCCTGCAGATATTGTAATGTAATCATTAAAATGATGTTTTAGACAGTTTGAAGCAGAAGTTTTATTATCCACCTACTCAGAGAGAACAAAGGAGCAAAATGTAAGATATCTACCACATTAAATCACCAAATGACTTAAATGACAAATGACAGTTCTCATCATGCAGCCAGCATGCTCTCCTGCAGCTGAGTTGAAGCTGTGGCTGAAGTGCCACATTTGTTCCTTATCTTATACAGTTACAGTTAGGTTAACCCAGAGACCTCATACAGGTTATGTGCTGCCTGAGAACATGCAATATGATCTCATTGAGGAAAGGCACTCAGATGACATGTTATCTGGTGACTTTCATACAAGTACTATGAAATTCAAATAAACACACATGCACAAATCTGTGTGTGAACACAGCAAGTAAGAATAAAGGAGATTCACCCTAAGTGAGTCAGCAGAGGGGGGGCTGGGTTCATGTTGGGTTCAAGAGGGTAGCAATCCCAACATGAGGCCATTTGGTCTGAGGGGTCTAAATACCACCTTTTTGAAGAATGCTCTGAATATGATGATGGAAATAAATGTTGCATTTAAATTCATAAAAAAATCATATCTGAAAAAGTGACTGTTGGTCAGACTGTGCTCGGTTCTGTTCAACAGAAGACAGAACTGTGCATTCAGGAACTCCAACAGGTGAGGCGAGGGTGCCCTCTGCTGGACAAAATGAGTTGCACGATGAACTTTGTAAGGCTGTGGTCTGGGAGGTAAGTTCCTAATCTCCATTTTAAACCACTGCAGATGCATCACTTTAAATACTAACATAATAAACTGAATTATTTAATCAAAAAAATTAGTTTAAATGTTCAACACTCAAGGATGAAAGTCAGCGTTCTTGCATCATTCTATAGCTCCAAACTGTAAGTAGAGGAGACTGTCATGTTACCTCTGAGCTCCTGTGGGTCAGCCTGCGTGCCTGTGGCTGTCCCTGTGATGATGAGTCCATCTGAGAGGAAGAACTCTGCAGCACGTGCCGTCTCTTCAATGCTCACGTCTGACGTCAGGGCATGGGAACTAAAAACACACACATAGTACACATAGTTACACAAGTCTAAACATGATATACGAAGTTAGTGAAAATCCTTCGAGGTCCTAGCATGCAAATGACCAAATAAATCAAACAGCACATGCAATGATGTGCTTTAAATAAATAACTTATTATTGTTTGTGTGTTTCCACTGTGCAATGTTATACAGGTGTAACTGTGACAAAAGCTTCTGAGTCTGTTAGAGGAAGCCTGGGAAAGTAAGTACAGGGGGAGATTGAAGTGAGGTTGTTGTGGTTGTTGGGTGACAGCTGAAGAGACTGTGCTGGTGAGTCTCTGTGGCATCATTGGTAGAAACCATCTTACCTGTGCTTCTTTTTAATATCAGTGAGTATCTGCACATGCTCAGCTCCAATCTGTCTGCGGTATCTTAGTAAGTCTCCAGCACAGGCGTTAAGGAGGCCCTCATCAGCCACATGAGAGAAGACGAAACCCTCTGCTCTGATAAAATCCAGACCTGTGCCCAAAAACAGCAAGTGTGAAGCTATGGTCCACTAACCTTGGATAGAAACAGATCCTTGACTTTTTTTTTTTTTTTTTTACAGAGAAGTCCCCAAACGCACAACAACTCATTGTAGTGATAAACACAAGATAAATTAGAGAGGCTGACCAGCTACAGTCAGGTTTGTTAAGGTAACCTGTTTACATTATGACCACTTTGGATTTACCCTTATTCACTTTCCACTTATTTATATAAATCCATAGAAATACACGAAGGTAAAACCTGATTAATATGTTGCCGCGGTACGGACAACAAAAGAGCCTGGAGTTAGCAATAAGAAGGAGAGAGCATGAACAAATCAGGGAAAATATCATATTGAGAGGTGAAGGGGCAAGAGACAATAGAATAATTATAATAACTAGTAATAGCTACAAAAGGAAGAAAAACAGAATCACCAAGAAGCAGATATGGAGCACATTTTCAAAAGTTTGGTGCTCAAAAACCAAACGCAGATTTGTCCAAATGCATGTGACCTTTGGGAACATGTAAGATGAGTCATGATTAAGTAATTTGCATAATAAAATAAATGAATAAATAAAAAATACTTTAGATTACTCCTATTTAAGATGTTATTAAATGTCTCCAAAGCTGAAGTTGTAGATGATGATGGCCTCACAGAAACGCCTTAACTAATGTCAAAACAAAGTGAACCTGAAGCCAGAGCTACAGCCAGAGCCTGCTGGTTTGCAGAGGAGAGTATTTGCACCCCGAGTGGCAGGGAAGGACAGATGCTCCTCACAGCACAGCACACTGCAGTCATGCAGGCACACACCTCAGGGCCAACAGAGAAGGAGTATGGGATATCATGCATGTTCTCAATGATCAATCCATCCTGAAACAGAAGGTTTGAAGCTGTGGTTTCCAGTTTGCACAGAACGTTGCCAAATGAGTAACAATATCATAAGACTCACAATCCCTGCATCTTGGTAGATTTCGGCCTCCCTGCATGCTTCTGCAGCGATCTGGGACATTTTCAGACCACTCAGTGGGGTACCTGAGAGAGACCAGAAAATCTGTCACACACAGTAGAAATATCACTATTTTGCTTCCCAAATATAAAGAGGAGCAGGAAAACTTACTTGGTAATCTTTCTTCATATTACATTTTTGCTGTACTTGAGCATAAGTTTAAAGTTTGTTATTATTGTCGCATTTTTAAATCAGCTTTATTTAGACCAGGTATGACAATAAAAGGTCACTCATACTAACTTGATAATGTTATGTGCAAAAGTAAGACACTCAAAAGGTTATTTCCAATTTTCTCTTTTTGAGAATAAAGTGTCCATCTGAGAAACTTCTTCAATGCAAGACAGCTACCAAAGAGAATCTGCTACTTTTACATACTTACATGTGTGCATGAGGGTGGTGTTGCCACTGTTAGCTCAGGAAAGAAACTCAAAACAATGAAGATTGCTGAAAACTTAATACAAACACTTGCCTGCATGTGTCAGTATGTTACCTGGTAGAGCTTTAACATGAATCATTCCAATAACCACAGATTTCAGACGGCCAAAAAGGTCCACAAACTTCCTGCTCTTCATTCTGTGGAATGCAGAAACCAGAAATCAGACAGGAAACATTGTTTTTTTGTCTCTCCAAGCTTGAGTGTCACGTGACCGGCCAAAGTTCAACTATGTCAAACAAACAGACAACAATAAATCATCATTAAAGTAAAAATCAACCGTATAAGTAAATATTTGAAATAGAAATGCATTGAGTTTTTAAATTTTTTTTATTGGTAAGAAATGTACACAAACAACATTTTGACACATGCCAGACAAATGAAAAAGGCAGGAGCCTACCTGTACTTTTTTGAGAGGCGTTAAAGTCAGTACCTTTATTCTTTAAGGGTTTTTTTTTTCATTCTTTTTTTGGTAAGTATTGTACTTCTCTAAAGTGAGTCAAAATATTGCTTAAAACATATACATTTACAGCAACTACATGGCAGCCACCTTGGGGTGATTTCAATGCTGCAAAAAATCAAAATCTTACCAAGCGAATTTGTCTCAATTCCAGTCAAGAAGACCTCATTACACTTAAATAAAGCAAGTCCAAATATTCTTATCTCAAGATACTTCAGGCCAACATGTTCTTAATACTTTATCTGAAATAAGTATTACATTTTGGTTCAAGAAACTTGAAAGTTTAGCATGAAGCATTTGCAGTCATTTCAGCTCATGATCCTTTTACAGTACCCCAAGTCCCTCTGCACAGACAGCCATGACTTGAGTGTGCAGGGACCATCTACAAAGTCCAACCAGATAACAGACACAACAAAATATCCAAGAACTTCACTCTGGATAGACGCAGAGTCAAGATACCCGTGTGTATTATGCTGTGTTATATAACTGCGATTAGTAACAATGAGAAAAATACTTTTACATGAAGTCGGGGGCTTAGTTCACTCGCCCAACCCCCACTGCAATATGACTTTAATTGTATTTCAAATAAAGTACATCTAAACATTTACATGAGTACGTTCACTTGCCCATGGTGTTTCGACCTGGGTAACTTTCCTCGCAGTTACCGTGGACTTACCTGACTTGTTCTAGTCCCTCACTCGCTGTTTGGTTTTTGGCGGTTGTAATAGAGGGATCGTGTCAAATATGGCAACCCGTTCTGGAAAAGGGCGCCCCGGCAGAAGCAGCTCAGGCTAACATTTATTGTTATTTACAGCTGAACCATGGTGCGCCTCGAGTGACACCGTCCGACAGCTTTCTCTGTAGTTAGAGCAACAACTTGGCTACGTTTTCTAACCGTATTATTGACGTGTTATGTTTAATTTTACCTTCTTTTCAAAGGTCCACGGCTTTGTTTACATCTGACAGACTAGCCACGCGGTGCCGGTGCACTTCCTCTTCCGTAGCTCCGCCCCCACAGCTGTCACCACGCGCAGGCACGCCTCCCGTTTATAAACTTATTTTTTCTTTACTTCGGTGCAAAATAGAGGGATTTTTTTCCAACAATATCACTTTGCTGACACTTCTAGGCGCGAAAGTGTGAAGAATAAAGTTGAAACTAGACGGAGAGGATGTGGAGCAGCTGGGGGTTTAGCGCCAAATGAAATATACTCCTCCCTGACGTTGAAGCCTGAAGTCATCTGGTCCTCTGTAAGGCGCCAGCTCAGAGGAACTAACCAGGCAGCCCGGCCCGGCCTGTAGCCACACTCACACAGGGAGCAGCCACAGGTCGGAACAACAGGCGGACAAGTCACAATATAGTCATCAGTTTATACTTTTAAAGGAGGATATAAGTGAACTTCAAGCGCTGACTCTTGGGGTGAGTGGATGAAACTTTTATCTCTGAAAGGAGTTATTTCACTTAAAACTTGCCTTGGCTACAACTCGTGTATCTAACTTTAGCAGAAATGAATTAAATACATGTTTGAATACTCGCTGTTAGATTTCTCTTGTGTTCTCAGTGCGTTTTATGCTCTTATTTCGCTGTTAAATGATGAATAGACAGATATAGGCGTCCTAGCTTCGCCTGTTGTTCGGCCATTATGTAGCAAGCCAGCTGTCCGGTGTTTAAAGGTGAAAATAATCAATATCCACTGTAAATACTCCAAACAAAAAAGTTGGGGGTTTAAGATAGCTTCTTTTGTGTATCATCTGATAGTTTCGTGGATATATTTGCATTGTGGACCACTTTTTGGCGACTTATAACATCGCGTACTGTTCGCATTTCCCCGCGCCAGGCTGAGCTGGGCTTTGTCAGGAGGAGGGAGCTGAGAGTGGGGGTTGGGAGTGTATGAATGTGCTTTCTTTCACCCTAAAATAAAAGTTTTTCTTCCACAGGTTTACTCTGAAACAGTTTCCTACCTCCTGTGTATAATGCCAGGAAAAGGGTGAGTTAAAAGAAAAGCTTTAAATCACAGTCTGTGGCTCTTCTGAGCGCGTCAATCAAAGTGTGACGACAGAGGAAAGTTGAGCTGATGCTTTAGCGAGAGACCAGTTAGCTTGTTGCTACATGACATTATTTTGATCATATTAACTCATCTCTGCTAGCTTGTTTAAGTGTTTCATGTTGACTGTGGAGACTTACGGCTGTGTTTTGGTTTTGTGTCGTTACAGGGAAGAAACAGAACCAAAGTCTGAAGCTCCTGAGGCGCCCAGAGAAAGTACAGTACGATCGAGGAAGAGGAAGGCAGATGTTGCCATTGTAAGTCGCCTGAAAGGCTCCCAGACAAGCCTACAAGTGGCCTAAACCCCATCTTCAGGTGCTGCAAGCACATGCAGGCCGCAATGAATAACCAATCCTCAACAACGGCTGCTACTTGCCCCCAAACCTCAAGCATTATCAGCAGAAATGATCATGAATGTGGTTCTTGTGGTTCCAGGTTTGCTGGTTGTATTTTAGTCCAGCAAAGGAAGGGTTCATAGAAAATCAATAAAAGTTGTTAAATTTCTCAATAATTAATTATACTAATTAAAAAGGCCTCTTTAAAACACAATGGGGTAAGTAAATGGTTTGATGAGTTTAAAAAAAGAGCCTAAATCAGGTCTTCGACACCAGTAGTGGTTACACTTCCATGAAATGCTGGGATTTCCACTTCTTGCTGCTGCTTTCTTGAGATCCCAACTTTAGTCGACAGTGTATAAAGGGGGGCATTAGCCTAGCAGTTTAACTGTGTGCTCCCTGCATGGAGGCTTCAGTCCTCACTGCTGTGGCCAGTGGTTTTCCTTTCATTTTGACTGTCCTGTTCATGACGGGTGGAAATCTCAGCTTAACTCCTGGCATGATGCAAGACTCAATACCTCACTCACAATAAGAATATAAAATCAGGATACAGTGATTCTGTGATTATTAAAAAGTTCAGACAATCATATGATAACTGATTAACATTAACAGGGCGCAACCATAAGGGATCTTTAATCAATCAATCAAACAAACTTTATTTGTGAAGTGCTTTTCCTACAAGGAATGTAACTTAGAGTGCTTTACAGTCAAGTTAAAAACAAAAAACTATCCCAGATGCCCCCCCACACACACACACAGACACCAACGCACCCGCACATACACAGATAATAGACATGAGGCTGAGTACAGATGAGGAGGGAGGAGTCAAATTCGAAGGATGGGTTGTTCAAATTATATTGTCATTATTTTAACACTCTAATATCAGTATTTTGTGCCAGTTTGTGCATCCCACAAGTTCGGAGAACATTATCGGACCCTAGTTCATCACCCCTGCCAAATACCACTATTTGTGTGTGACTGAGGGGAAAGTATTACTGTGGGGAAAACAGTGAAATCATTACCTTGCTATATTTTAGACTCGCACAACAGAGACAAATTTTCTCAACCAGATTTCTATTTTCATCCTTGTAGTATCTACAAGATTTGGATGAAGAGGTAGCAGAGATGACGAAGAAGAAGCAGCGCGACTGTGAGGTATGTTTGGGTCCTGGCACACATAGATTTTGGACATTACCAGGTAATTTTAGGACATGCAACCCCAGATGTTTAATTCAGGAACTCTGTTCACTCAGACACCGCAGTGCAGGAGTTTTTTTTCTGTCAAACAAGCTTTCATAACTCACAATGCTACAGTTTGATTTGTGGGTTTGAGGTTAGGTAGCACGTGGGGGAGTGTTCAGTAGTGGTGACTGCTAATGTTTATTACAAGTAAAAGGATATTTCTTCTGTAAGCACACTGCAGTGGGAAACAAATCTACCAGCAGCTGAGGAGTGAAGATCAGCAGTACAATAAAACGGCCCAAAACGTTTTCCATTTGTCTTTACACATGCAGCCCAACTATGAACTTTTACAGTTTATGATCCAAAGCAGAGTCAAGGACTTTTGTCTTCTTCTTCTACATAGGATTTGCTCAGGCACGTGCACTGCAGGTGAAGACGTTAATAGTAAACACCCTGTGGTCCTGCAAATACTCACCACTAAATAACCAGGACTCAGCAGCACTATCATCTTGTAGGGGTGACCATGTTTCAGGCTCATATATGTGGCTGAAATGTGAGGAAGCACTAGGATGAGCTGGAGAACACTGTCTTAAAATCTGTCTCACTTCATCATTTGAGCATTTGCTGGGAAAATTTAGACGACTGAAGTGATGTGTAAGCAATAATGTTTCAGGTCATGTGACACGGATCAAGACGGTGCAGCAGCCATTTCTCTGTGTGGTTAAGTGAGGGGGCTGCATTTTTGGAGTTTCTGGTGATGTGTCTCAGCTTAAATGACTGACTCTCCACTATGCTGTAGCAATCCCGCATATGCACACTACAGTTTTAATGTTCAAACCATATATGATTCAACTCCAGCACATTGCATGATGGTTCATATTTCTAAGTCAGTGGCCATTTGTTGTACACTGCTCTTCACAGTGCATTCTGGGATACAAAGAGTCTGGGCAGAGGGACTCTTGGTCAGAATCTACATGTTCATTGTCTAATCTGTTGTCTTTAATAATCTTGCTTTGATGTTTTACATTAAGCCTTTATTTTAATGCTTTAATATTTACACTTGGAGTGATTTCACTGGACAGTAATTCAGACCAGTATGTGCTTCTTCGACATGAACTTGGCTCAAAGTTTCACCCATGTCATCTCTGTCCTGTGAAGGTGAGCTGGAGTCCTGAGGCTGGTTACACAAGTCCACAAAGGTGGATCCCCACACCTGATCAAGAAGAGGACCGACCAGTTTCTCTGATAAATGCCAGCTTCCCCCACTATAACTTCAACAACATATTTGCAACTCCTGTGCACTGTGCCCCACTTCCTGTGCTGTGGTAAGTACTGCTGTGGTGTCACGTCTGATCGGGTCAGGCACGCTTGTTCTTCCTGCACACACTGCAGGATTTAAAATGAAGACCCTCTGATGTGGCTGAGGACATTAATCTAAGCATTTAATATGAAAGTTAACCTTTGAAAACTCTATATTATCATAGCACATTAGCTGTAGTTTAATTAGACTGAATGACTTTGGTTCAGCCCATTCCACAACAACATGAAATAGCGTAGGTTTTCCATTAAAAAGTGTCAGCAAAAGTTGACTTGTATTAGTTTTTTGTGTCAAATGGGTTTTTAATTCTCTGATCAAACATTCAGACTCTATAATGGAGATAATGACTCCCCCTCTGCTGTTTGTACCACTGTGTTCATCAGAGGAACAGCAGTCGTTAGCTGAATAGCCGCGCTTGGAGCGTATTTCAGGTAGCTTTAAATCTGTTTGTGGGAAATTGAACTCTGAAGACCATCAAGCCAGTCTGGAGCTGAACATACAGCCCATCTTCTTAAATTTTGTAGTTTCAGGTTGTTGGCCTTATGGCAGTATTATGATTTTAAACACACATTGTAAGAACTTGAGACAAGATGTGAAGAGACGCTGCTAAAAAGTTTCACTTACAGCCAGAGTTGAAGAGGGAAATATGTGAAAACCAAGTAACAACAGGATTGTTGAGTGTTCAGTCCTATAATTTTGATCTTGTGGTCACTGTTTGTATATGAAAAGTTTACCTAAAACTGCTAGTTACACAGCTTTATAGACTGGAGTTCCCCTCAATCATATGTTCTTAATTTAATTTGTCAGCTGGGCCAGTAAAGACGTGGTCTGGAGCAACATGCTGGGGAAGGATAGGACCTACACCAGAGACGTCCACATGATGGAGAAACACCCTCATCTGCAGCCTAAGATGAGGGCAATCCTTCTGGACTGGCTCATGGAGGTTTGTAGTTATCTATGGTTGTCTTAAAAAAAAAGGATGTGTCTGTAAAAAGAACATATCAGCAGAAATTTACACAAAGAACCAAGGAGAGGAAGTAAAGAGTAAAAAACAGAGAAACTCCACTCATCATGGCTGTTGTTATGGCTCCACCCGGTGGTGGACAATATGTAACAGACTTTTACCTGCAAGCACACATCAGCTCTGGACTAAGTCAGGGTGAAAATTGTCTGGATAAAGTCATAAAGTTTGGATGTCAGTGTTTCTACATGCAGCCCACTCGTGCCTTTAATCTGTTTAACAACTCTTTGAAAGTGAAAATGAAGTATTCAGTACCATTGCATTAATCATTCAGCTGCCTACTTCTCACCTGAACTGACCTCCAGACTGAGAAAACATTGAGTTTAACATTTTAAACAAACTTATCAAAATGTGAAGTTTTACTTTGTTGCAGTAACTCTTAAATTTTCAGAAAATTAAGCCGGTAATAAATTCACAATGCTAGATTCTGTGGTGCTGCTAAAGGTAAATGTTTTAATGATTGGATGACCTCAGATGGTGGTCAAACAACACTCAGACCATATTTACACTAATGTCTAAACTTAAACTAGCTGTGCAGTTGAGAGAGGACTTTGGGAATGAAGATATTTCAACGGCTCTCAGCTGGTATTCATACAGTACATTGTGCCAAATATCTAAACATTAAAACCACATGATTCCATGTAGGAGTCCAGTGGTGAGGCAGTGTGTGCATTTCATTAAGATATGAATTGACTCGACAGCTTAGGAAAAGTGCTGCATGTTTGAGGTTGCTATAGTAATACACAAACAGAGCACGTAGATAAATCTCAGAGCAATAAACTGTTTATCAGACCAGGAAGAGTCTCCAACAGTCAGAGCTGAAGACATCGCAGATCTGCCCCAACAAGACATCAAATGAAAAGTCTGTTAGTGCTGAGCACTGATCAAGTATCAATAACTCAACCATCAATACACAAATTGATGGTTGAAGCAGCTCCAAGTATTACAAATCGAGCCTCAGGTTGCACTCTTGTCTACCCGAGCAGCAAGTGGATGATTGGAGGATGAGTTCATACTGCTCCAACATCTGTAACACTAAACATCTGTGATGGTTTCTGTATCCGTCTGTCTTTAGAGCCCATTCTGCTCATAGGTGTCCTACTTTTTCTCTTTAAATCCAGCCCAGTGTAAAAACCATTAAATTATCATAAATAATCAAATTTGACCTTCAATAGTCCTCCACCATCCTCTTAATGAAGCTAAGACCTGCTGCTGTGATCGACCAGGATTTGATCTGAACCACTGAAAATTATCCTGATGTAAACATTTCCAGAAGTTTAACTTTAACACCAGAGCCAGTGTCAGGTCAGAAAAACTTCCAGTCTGTACCTACTCTGATACAGTAAGGCTCCTAAAGTCTACCCGTTTCATGTGAATTATGATGCGACAGTATCGACCCTTAGCGGCACAGTGCTACTAGAGAGAGTAACCATACAGCCAATCAGTCAACAGTGATTTTCAGACATTGTTTTGAAAGAGCAGAGTATTGGTGGTTTATAAAAAGATTGTTTCTAGCTTTAAGGTGATCTTCCTCTGATGAATTTCTTATTTGATCATTGTTGTTAACTTCCTCATAATGTTTGACGGACATAGTTTATCCGCCAAAGAAAACCTGCCTGTGAATGTTGTTCAAAGCTGTTTGAAGCCTCGCTGATCCAGTGCTGTTGTTCTGGGGTTTTCCTTTTAAGGTGAGTGAGGTGTACAAGCTGCACAGAGAGACGTATCACCTCGCTCAGGATTACTTTGATCGCTTCATGGCCACACAGAGAAATGTCTTCAAATCAACGCTGCAGCTCATCGGCATCACCTGTCTCTTCATAGCCGCTAAAGTGGAGGTAAGACTGCTTAGCGGTGTGAAATGGGGGGATCTAAGTCATGTTACTGTCTGTTTGTTCTCGGTGCATCATCTGTCCATTTACATCAACTGTTTCTGGCTGTAACGATGTCTGCACCGTGTTTTCGCTTCTCCCAGGAGATGTATCCACCCAAGATCTACCAGTTTGCCTACGTCACAGATGAAGCCTGCACTGAAGATGAGATCCTCAGTATGGAAGTCATCGTTTTGAAGGTGAAGAACATGTACAGATCTATGCAACCAAGTATCATAAAGTCACTTTGGCAGAGGTTATGGAGTGATGAGCAAACAAAAAAACTTGATAAGGGGGCCATTATAGGATAAAAAGGCAGGAGCAGAGGTTTTATACTTGTGTAAGGACTGAAGTGTAAATTAAAAAGCAGCAAAACAGTAGATAAAAGACCGGCGTAACAGTTACTGTGTTATTACCGTCCTGATGGTAGAAGAGTGAGAGCAGTGCCCTTTTTTATTTTTATTTTTATTTATTTATTTTTTTTGAAGGCTTTTACCCACAAACAACTTTTTCTAACCCAGTTTACTTCACTTCTCTGTTTGTTTTCTTCTTGATCACAGGAGCTAAAGTGGAGTCTCAGCCCACAGACTCCCATCTCCTGGCTTAACGTTTACATGCAGGTGGCGTACCTGAAAGAAACGGATGAGCTGCTCATCCCCAGGTACCCCCAGGCCACCTTTATACAGATCGCAGAGGTAAGTCGTCCTCCTTTTAAAAGTTGTCTAAGCCAGTAGTCACAGTAATTTAATGAAGGAAGATGGGGGGCAATGATTGACTCTCCCTGGATCTATTCACTGAAATGAGCCAATTTTACTGGATATGGTTAAAAGCAGAAATACCCCCTACAGTAGTATTCATCTGCTAACCAGGAAAGATTTTACTGTTAAATGTAACAAAGGCAAAGATACAACCAAGTTTTTTTGGAGTATTAGTGTTCATAAAGAGGTGTTTAAAAATAACAAATATGTCCAGAAATGGCAACACTCTGATTCTTTACAAAACACCAGTTTTATGATGAGTGTGACACATAGAGAGTTACTATGATTAGTTATTATTGATGATTAATGATGTACAGCTTGTTTTTACATTGATTTTTATCCGCTTAAATGCTCCAAATCATTTTTGAATCCAAGAAAAAGCTTGGTGCCAAATTTGAAGCAATGTCCTGAAGTTATTTTCTGAAATGTACCTCTTATTTTTGCAGCTGTTGGACCTGTGTATGCTGGATGTGCGTTGCCTTGAATTCTCCAACGGTGTCCTCGCTGCTTCAGCTCTGTTTCACTTTTCCTCTCTGGAACTGGTAGAAAATGTTTCAGGTAAACCCAAATTTACCTTGATGGCCCTGAAGGGAGTTTTTTTTTTTTTTTTGTTTGTTTCTTTTTTTCAAACCAGTCATTTCTTTTTCAGTCTCATTTATATTTACTGTCTACACGGCCTTGACATCTCACTATTCTTCCTTCTGCCTATTTAGCTCTGAAGAGGGTGGAGGTCGAGGAGTGTGTGAGGTGGATGGTGCCATTTGCCAAAGCTCTGCGGGAAGTTGGTGGTTCGACGATGAAAACGTTCCCAGGAATCCCTGCAGACAATATGCACAACATCCAGACACACACACCCTACCTGACATGGCTGGTGAGTTAAAAAAAATTATACTGTGAAGGCTTTTTTATTTTTTTGAAGAGAAAGAAGAAGATTTCTTAATTACAACTTCGAGTTTTATGTCCGATCAAAAGAAATAACATCCTAACTCTCCATCTCTAACATGTTTGCTTCTCTCTCTCTCTCTCTCTCTCTCTCTCTCTCTCTCTCTCTCTCTCTCTCTCTCTCTTTGCTTTCAGCAGCTTTAGGGTTAGAATACAGTTTGATCTGTTTTTTTCTTTTTAATAAGTTGGTACTTTTTGATATTATTTTGCACATGAGAATAAAGAAAATTCCCAGTTTCAGCTTTTAGTATATTGTCTTTCAACTACTTTTAACAAAATCTGTGGTTTCACTGTTTTTCAAATCTTGACATTGTTTTTTACATTTTTTTACATTGTCCCAAAATTTTCAGAAACAGGATTATATTAGTGGGGATAATGTAAGTTTAACAAAGAGAGATGTAATCTTTGATGATTTTATAAACGTTTCTTATACAGAGATGAAGTCAGAGAAACATAATGACCCACAATTTTGCTCGGACCTGCATGAGGCTGGGCTGTTCTCCTGAGCATTTGCAGAATTTGTCCTTGACTAAAAAGAAGGCAGAGAAAAAATGTGGAATATGAGATCTGTTTAAGTTGGTTTAAGAAAAACTCATTTAAGAACAGCTGTTTAATGGGATTCCTGATATGTTTCTGTAAAGTGGAGTTTTAACGTTTTGACCACGTTGTTCACAGGAAAAGGCCTACTCCTATCAGGATGCAGAGTTGGAGCGTCACAGCAGCTGTCCAGTGCCCTCAGGAGTCCTGACTCCGCCCCTGAGCAGTGAGAAAACTGAGGAGTTGGTCCGAGTGGATGCTGCCGCGCTGAAAATCATTCCCAGGATGCGCACACCATCTCCACAACATTTCCTGCCCTAAATGAGGAGAGAACTCACCTTGGGAAATGCAAGAGGACAAAACCTAAGGACGCTTTTGCAGCTGTTGGTGGAAAGTAAACTCTCTACAGCAACATTTCTGCAGGTACACACCTGCTCAATGGAAACTCTTTTTGTTCCAGACTTAGTCCAGGTGCTTTTAAATGTCACTGCTGTGGGGGAAAATAAGACCAACTTTGGTAAAATTGTCACATCTACAGTGAGGAAATGTCACCCAGGAGTCTCACCTCTTTAACCCACACCTGGGATCACACAGCAGGCTGACTTTGGACGGAACACCTCAAGAGGAATTTTTTTTTGAGCATTAATGCATAAATTAAATTTTGACCACGCTATCACTCAGTGGTTGCCTCTTATTTTTTTATGCAGAGGCCAAATTCTTTGAATTTTTTCGCGTGTCTCTACTTGATTTTTGTTTTATTTTTTTACTGTGTGTGTGCGCGTGTGTTTGAGACAGGTGATATCTCTTAGTGGCTTCATTGGCCCAAAAACTATTCATGGAGTCTTTTTTTGCTCTATGTGCTGCTATAAAGTGGGCTTGTATTATGGACAGGGGGAGAGTGATTGTGAATGAGTGTGTCGTTGTCGTTGCTGGTTCTGTTCTGCCATTTTATTGGAAAAAGCATGGCTTTGTTTTGCTTAGGGACCAGTAGCTTGGCTACCTAAATGGACAGGTGAACCAGCCGGGCTTCTGAAGCTAAAATATTGATTGTATTTAACTTTTATTTTTACCCAACTGGTTTTATTTTCCACATTGCCAAAATGTAAGATTTCTATTGACTTTGGAAAATGAAATGCTGCTACATATTTCAATTAAAGATGGTCTCTGAAGACTTTACTGAAAATCACACTCTTGTCCCCGTGTTTGCTTTGATGTGGTGGCTCTTGAAGAATTTTAGTGAGCGTATCAATCATGAAACATGTTCAAATGAAATCATATTAATGCTGAGATACAGTATAACACAGGATGTTGTGTTTCTGAACCTGGAAGAAAATCACAGCTGCTTTCCTCCACTAGATGTCAGTGTGACGCTGTATGTACGAACATACAGTTGCTTCCCAAATGAATGAGAAAATAACATTCAATGTTATCCATCAGCTATCTGAGAAAGTGATAGAATATATATTTATATATATCAATTTAGATTTATAACATAAAAATTGTTTGCAAGTAATTTGAACTTTGATAATTAAGACTAAAGCTGTGAAATATGAAAAAAATCCAAAAATCAGAATGTCATTGTGAGTTCGATCTAAAAGTACTGCTAATCTCTTGAAAAACACTCTTTATAAAACTATGTAACACATGTATGTACACATATAAGCTATATTATCATGGTTGCCTACTCAACATTGTATTATATTATTATGCAGTTATCAGCTGCAGGTTTACTGGTTTTCCAGGTGAGTATTGACTGCTGCAGACTAAACCCTGTACAGTGGAGATGCTTTGACTCAACTGTCTCATCTCTGCCATTTTTTAACTCCAAGGATAATACGTTCACTTGCTGCTTCGCGTATCCTGCCATAAAGAGGTGGTTATATCCACCTCACCTGTTTGTGCCTGTACTGTTTCACTAACAGTGGATAGACCCAGTGATTCAAGAATGAATTTTTTATACAAAGTAAGGTTTTATTTGAAATAATGTCTATGTAATAAAAGCAGTTCAAGATCATTTATTGTAATTACCAGGCAGGTATTCACAACTTCAAAACTTAAGCTCCTTTTTGACTTTTTAAACTTTATTAATACTCTTATTCATAAACTGGTTCAACATTACTTTTAATTCCTCCAGCTTAACATCAACACTAAATTTCTATTCAGTTCGAACTGCAAAAAAAAAAAAAAAAAAAAAAAAAAAAAAAGGAGCAAATGTGCTGTCTGTAGAGAAAATCAGGTTTCTAGTTATTCCAGACAAACCCAAAGAAAATCTCTTCAAATGTACATGATCTCAAACAATGCTCACATTCCTATTGATGGAAAAAATTGTCTTCATTGGATAAATCCGATAATATGCCTATAGCTAAACATGAAGCAGGACTGAACATAGCTGAGAGGTTTTATATTTGTTTAAGGACTGAAGTGTAAATTTTAAAAAATCTGCCTCATTTGGTCACATTTGAAACTCCTAATCCAGCACTTTACAACTATCATAGACATGTTTCATCCCTGTGACTAATCACACTTCATCAGACTATACATAGTCATCAATTTAAAGGCATATATGGTCTTGTAACTGTATACCACAATGTTTGACATTAGAGTTTTGAGTGCTTTTGATTTGGTTTATCGGTCTCAAATGTCAGAGACACAGCGACTTTAGACCAAAGCTGCAGGACTTTATCAAGAGGACTGAAGGTGGATGAGGGGCTACAGGAGTTTCCGTGACCTCAATAATGAAAAGCATCACTGTCATAGCAAATGGTAAGCTGAGCTATTTTCAGTTAACACCTTTAATGATGATCATCACCATGGTGTCTCTATAAACTGCGCAGGCCTGAATATGACTGTATAGTCTCATTATGATGCTGTTCATGTGGAAATGCTACTTTAACTAACTTCTGGTTGAATGAGTAATCGGCAAAGAGGTCGGCGTAAAGCCATAGCCTAGCCACCTGAAAAACTGACAACACCCCTCTGTCATATCAGCAAACACACACAATTAAAATAAGTAAAAAAAATAAAAATACTCCTCCTTCCAGTTATTACAGTAGAACAGTTTTTGTTCCAGGATGTTAAACTTTGTCATAAATATGGACATTTAAATGGTTTGTCATCCATTAGTTTGTTGAGTACCATTTCCAAGCATAGGCAGGAAAAATTTACACATCATCTCAGGCTTAACACTAAAGATCTGTGTAAAATTATTTGATAGCTTAATGGCAATGCAACTCTAACCTTTTGCAGCTAGAGAGCCCAGGTGTGATGGGAAACAGGTAGCTGTCTATCAGACCAAACTTACAAAGTGCAAAGGTGGCTTTCTGGTTTCGTCTGAGTCTATCTGTCCTTTGTTTTGTAATGCACGTGTGTCCCTGTGGAAGAGGGGTTGTCTTAAACAGCATTAAATGACACAGAGGCCAGGATGCTGATTTCCAGGCTAAAACAGCTCCATGTACGTAGACTGTGCAGCAGTCAGTTTTCCCCGGGCCTGACACCACGGCTGTAACGGTGGCATCTTACCACTTCAGTTACATGGTTGAGAAAAACAAGTAGTCAAGGAGGCTGAAATTACATTATATACCTCTAGGGGGCGGGGTTATGTTGAGGAACCGCAGTGCCTTATGGAGAAGACCTACAAGGGAGGGACAATGTCAAAATGACCTGAAATTATCATCAGTCAAACAAAGTTCTCGGGATTTTTACATCTTTACTGTAACTTTATTTGAACATTTATAAAGTTTAGAGACCAGTTACTGATTTTCTACAAGAAGAGTCATGACCTTTACTGAGAAACCTTGTTAACAGTGAGCTCTAATAACTGTAACTGTCAGATTTGTATGAAGGTTCAAGTAAATCAGACAGTTGACTGTTCAGAGAAAGCCTTATAAGATACTGGGTCAGAAGACCTTACTCACAGAGCTGGGACATGACCAGCACAGAAAGAACATGGTCTGCTTTGTCCACAGGAGGCACAGAGGTTGACCTCACCTTCATCTCCATATTGTAGCTTCTCAAAAACAGGCATTGATCTTTATGACAAATGAGTGACACAGAAATCCTGCAGATACCCTCCAAAAAAAAAAAAAAAAAAAAAGCTCACAAGTGCGGCTGTGGTACCTCTGGTGGGTTTTACATTAATAATCATCTGTTAGCTCTTTAGATCTCTCGGTTTTATGACCTGCCACCCTTAGCTCTGAGTTTACACCCCACTCATATCCCGAAACCTGAAGGAATGATGCAGCATAAATAAAAAATTGAGCAAACCAAAGCCGATCAGTGATTTCAGTTCCGATAAAGTTGTTGTGAACATTGCTTCATGATCTTTGTCTTTTATCTTTAATGTCTCTATTTTGTCTCTGTCTCTTCCTCTGTCTTGTTCAGTTGAAGCTGGTGTCTGTTCACCCGTCAGTCTGACTCAGGTTTTAGCCTGTTCTTACATTGGGTTAATGTGAGGTGTTTTTCAATGATAAGAGCTCTGTCTAGACCTACTGTGTTTGTAAAGTGTCCTGAAATGACTTTAGCTATGATCGGGGGTTTGTACAGATCAAAGTTGATTGATTGATTGATATGTTTCGAAGTTCTTAAATGAACCAGACTTGACTTTGTCTGCTCACATTAGCTCATTATAGTCCGCTTCATTAAACAGATGAGTCACTTCCTTCCTCTGTCTTATCTGAGAGGATTTTTTAGAGGGATTTTTGCTTTTTGAACCACCTTAATGAAACATTTCTGGTTCGTCATTTCGTCACTGAAATCACGATGAGACTAACTCTCTTTGCGATCGGCTTCTTGTTATCCAGCAGCCTAGATCTGGACTTGTTTGTCTCCGGGGGTTAGTCTCTTCTGTGTGTGTTGATGCTGGTGGTGGTGTTGTTGTCTCAGTCAGAACCAGGCCAGACCTCCCTCTGGGCCTTGCCACCACCACATGTAAACAAGCTGCTCCAGTGTCTATCAGAAGATACTGTGATGCCACCAGCTGACTTAGTTTCTCCTCTCTCACTCATTAATATTTTATGGACTCATTTACAACAGTGAAGTGAAATATTGGCTGTAATAAGGCCAATAACGGCTGTTTTTCAGGAACTCTGATGTAGAAGCTTGCGGTACAGTGTTTGGTAGCTAATCAGCTGCGAAGATAATAAGAAATAATTTACACAGATTTGCAGTTGATCAATTATGTTTTCTGAAGGTGTGGTGATTGTTTTGGGGCCACCAGGAACCCTGAAGTGCCCTTAAAGTGGAAGTTAAACACGTGTGTTAAAGTGAAATGCTCTGGGACTCTTGATGTACATTGGTGCTGTGTTAAATGTCTGTCTGCCTCCCTCTTGTGGCTACTTTAATTAAAAGCAGCGGTGCTGCTGAACCTCAGATTCGCTCACAGGAACCTAATGATTCCTGCTCTCCAGAGACACGGGCAGAGAAATATGGAGGGACATATTTAACATGCAACTTTTTTCCTTTTAATTAATTTTTCTCTTTTGGCCGCAGCAGCAAGCAGCCTAAAAAAGGTTTACATCCATGTCTGAATTATTTAAACTTATATGTTTTGAAACGGTGTGGGGTCTGCAGTAAATTTACAGAGATCAAGAGAGGACACTGAAATGCTGCCTCTGATTGTCAGTTAATAAACATCTTTGAATATTCACACATGTATGGAATGATTTGCAAATGTGTTTTAATGTAGGTTTCTGATAATATCTGCGTGTGAAATTAAATGTGTGTAAATGCATAATTTCATCAATGCATGATAGACTCACAGTTACCACAGTGTTATTTCTCAAAGTGAGTGGTTTGTTTTGTTTAATATTTCCTGTTAAAGGCTCTTTAGGAGTTAAAAAATATTTACATTTATTTTGTATTGTTATTTGAGTGTTTAAGTGTTTTTGTCTTACCCTCTTGCATTTGTAAAAATTCCACATTAAGTTGTAGATTTTGTTATGGACTCAGTAAAATAGTTCCAAAAGAATTAAAAAATATTAGAAAATATTAAGGATTAGACAGAAAGATGGAAAAAAGCCTCAAAAATGAGGTGACTATGGCCATAACAGGACATGTTTAAGTTATTCCAACTATTTTATTCAGGGAGAGATGTTTTTTAAGGATGCCTGTCTATTTCTGGGTTGTAGTCACGTGATAATTTTTGTAACATTTCCTATTCAATGTTTGTACATAGAGGGCAAAGTTAAACG